CCATCCCCATCATCAGGCAGAAGCGTTCGTGCTTCACCTTCGCAAGGGACTTGGTGAGAACATCGGCCGTCATATCGTTGGTCCCTACGAGCTTGAGGCTGACTGTCCCATCCGCGATACATTCCCTGATGAAATGGTATCGTACATCGACATGCTTCGTGGCAGCATGGTTGACGGGATTTCGAGCAAGTAGATCTGCAGCGCGATTGTCAATGTGTAAGATTGTTGGCCCGGCGATGCCTTCATGTAGTTCCTCGAGAAGTCATCGCAGCCACACCAGTTCCTTTGCTGCTTCCGCTGCTGCGATGTACTCTGCATATGTTGATGAGTCAGCTATGTTAGTCTGCTGCTTCGACATCCAGGAGATTGCTCCCCCAGACAACAAGAAGACATTTCCTGAGATCGACTTCCGGTTCATTGCATCATTCGCCCAGTCCGCATCCGTGTACCCCACGAGTTCCCCTCCCCCCGCTGTGTATACTATCCCCCGGTTCATAGTGCCCACAAGATACCTGAATATATGTTTGATCCCCTCGATATGTTCACGTCCGAATGTCGCCGCGAAAGGAGAGAGTGCCCGAACAGCAGCACAGATATCTGGTCGAGTTCCCAGAGCGGCATACATTAGTGAGCCAATCGCTTCGAGGTAAGGGTATGAGGAAACCCTAGAGTGGTCTTCCATGGAGGCGGGTTTGTATTGAGCTCTCGTGGGTAGTGGTGTAAGGGCAATGTGGCAGTCGGTCATTTTGAAACGTGCTAAGATGTCCTTGATGTACTGGGACTGGTCGATTGACAGTGTCCCTGCTGCGATGTCCTGGTGGACTCGAATTCCAAGTATCCATGAGGCCTCACCGCAACTAGATACTTTGAAGCGTGAGCTTATTGAGTCTTGGATGGATGTCAGGAGGTTTTCATCATTTCCGGCTAGGAGCTTGTCATCGACGTATACTGGGATAATGATGATTGATCGACCTCGTTTGAAGACGAAGACAGAATGGTCAGCATGTGTCCATTGGAAACCCAGTTGGATGAGAAAATCATGTAGTGTGGCGTACCACTCCCTTCCCGCTTGCTTTAGACCGTAAAGACCCTTCTTCAACTTGGCCAGCTTGTGTTCCTCCCCCTTTTCCTCATATCCCTTGGGTTGCCGCATGTAGATATCTTCAGATAGGGTGCCATTCAGGTATGCAGACTTGATGTCCATCTGGTGGACTCTCCACCCATGGCGAGCACAAATGGCAAGAAAGACTCGTAACGACGCGGATTTGACAACCGGGGCGAAAGTCTCAGAATAGTCAATACCTTCACGTTGGCTAAACCCTTGGGCAACCAACCGCGCCTTGAAGCGAGTGACTTCCCCGTTGGCACCCCGCTTCTTCTGCAGGACAAAACGGCACCCAACGACGTTTCGGATATCAGGCGTTGGTTCAACGAGCTTCCACGTCCCGGCTTCTTTAATCGCCGCCAGTTCCTCCAGAATGGCCTTGTGCCACAGATCACATTCAGGCCCAGCAAGTGCTTCGCGCAAAGATGGGGCATCTGGGAGATCTGTATTGTTAGCTAGTACTGTGCTGGTCAGATGGACCTCATCTAGGGCTATGTCCAGGACATCTTCAAGCTCGACAGTTGCTGCCACAGGCACGTCATTCCAGAGATCCTCGTAGACATTGGCAATCAGTTCCTTTCGTCGGCCATGTGGTCCGTATTCGGATGGATCAAAATGATGTGGTGGACGATGCACCCTGGCTGGTCGATTGTGGTGAGTAGGAGGGACAGGCGGAACATGTGATGCATCAGGTGCTGTGTCAACTGGACCATCGTGACTTGTAGGAGAGTCCTCAGCGGTTGCCGGTGTCGAACGACTCTCAGGACTCACCTCCGCATCGCTGTCCGAGTCACTCTGTGCCGATTCGAAGAACACACGTGCTGCTGCCTTTGCTTCTTCCCGGAAAATTGGCGCACGTACAACCTCAACTTTGTGAGTGATCGGGTCATATGTCCTGTACCCACTACAGCCTTCGGGGTAGCCCAAAAACTTCACCAATTTTCCGCACTCCCCCAGCTTTAGCGCTCCTAGATCTTTTGGTCTATGGATGAAAACATCGGCATACCAAACCCTCATGTGAGAGACATTGGGTTTCTTTCCATAGAGTCGTTCAAAAGGGGTGATTCTATCAGAGCGACTATCCACCGTGCGGTTGATTGCATAGGTAGCAGTCGCGAGGGCATCTGCCCAGAGAAAATCGGGTGCATGTGCATCCTTCATCAGGGTGCGCCCTTTGTCCAGAATCCTCCTGTTTGTCCGTTCCGCGACACCATTCTGTTCAGGGGTATGAGGGACCGTCAACTCCACACCGATTCCTTTCTCTGCGCAATACTTCTCCAGAGCTCCATTCACATATTCTCCCCCTCAGTCGGTCCTCAGTATTTTGACATGTGTCCCAAACTGGTTCGCAAAGAAGGTGTCCATCTTGGCAAACCAAGGGGTAAAGTCTGACTTTAGCGCACAGGGATAAAACCAGGTAAAGTTCGTCCTGTCATCAACCAGCATGCAAAAATACTGTTTCTTCCCAAGCGATAGGACTTCCATCGGGCCACAAATATCCGAGTGTACTCGGCCAAAGCGTGTGGTCGCAATGTCATGGCCCTTTGTGAAAGAACCCCTCACCATTTTCCCCCTGATGCAGGCTTCGCAATCAAAGTCTTCAGACTCATTCCGGGTTCCATCAACACCGAGCACAGCCCCTTCCTTGATCATGGTGCGAAGTGATTCCTTCCCCGGGTGGGCCAGTCGCTTGTGCAAGAGGTCAAAAGAAGGTGCAGTGGTCATTGCGGCTGGTCCATTATCTAGCTGAGAGGCCTTGGGAGATGACAACTGTGGTTGGTTTAGGTAGAACAATGGCCCCAACTCTGTTAGCGACTTGGCGATTAAGGTTCCAGACTTCGAGATTTTGCAGGTGTTGGTTCCCTCATCAAAGGTTACTCGTATTCCACGGCAGATCAAGACCCGGCAGGAGAGAAGACCGTAAGCCAGTTCAGGCACATACTGTACTTCCAAGACTTTGCGATGGACAATCTTTCCGTTTGCGGTGCAGGGGATCAAGACTGTTCCCTGTCCAAGTGAGGGGATTGTACTGGCATTGCCAAGCCGGATGTGTCGCGGGGTAGTGAAAGGTGTGTAATCAAGAAATTCCGTCCTGTTTGGGCAGAAATGGTTGCTGCAGCCAGAATCCACAATCCACGCTTTTACGGTATCCGTGGGTTTGTCCGCTACCAGGGCAGTGTCAGTGATGTATTCAGCACACATGGAGCTAACACTGTTCTTAGGTCTGGCAGTGGGAGGTTCGTTCCCCAATGCGGTGGCACACATGGCCATCTCAATGCCTGCTGGCATGGTACTGACAGTACTGACAGTAGTAACGTTGGCACTGCCATTTTGTTCTGCGGCTTTCTTTTCCCGGTACGCATCCTTTTCTTCTTGCGTTGCGGTACATTTAGAACGAATATGGCCTGTCTGTCCACACTTCCAGCAAGTCTGCCGGGAGAGCCAGATGGGGTCATTTGGGTCCTTCCTCTTCCCTTTAGGTCGTTCCCCCTCAGCAGCGAGTGCCTTCGGGGTTTGGAGTGAGTCGGATTTGGTCCCCAGGTTCTCTCCCGCTGCGCGTGCGCGACGTTCATCGGCTTGTACCCTTCTCTTGAGATCATCCAAGTTCCACTTCACACCCTTTGGAAGAGGAGTATCGAGGAGCATTGTTTGTAGTGTACGCATGCAGGGTGGGAGTGTATGGATGAGGCGCATGGCGATCGAACGATTTCCAATGCGGTCCTCGTTGTCAGTCACTTCCTTGTTGACCAGGTAGGCAAAATTGATAAGGGCTGTCAGGTATTCTGAAACTGAGTTGTAGTCGCTGAGCTTAGCGTTGTCATAGCTCTGTCTGGCATAGAATTCCGCTGTGGATCCAGAGTCCTCATATTCATCCTTGAGGGCCTTGAACAGGACGGCAGCGGAGCTTTTCCTGTGTGGAAAGGCATTGCGTTGGATTGATTCATCAAGTGAGAGCCAGATCCTTCGACGAGCATTCCGATCCCCAATTACCCAATCTTGGTGTTCAGTTACTTTGGACGCATCAGGAGCTGTGGTGTTGCTGCCTTCAATGAAGTCCCAGGTGTGGTCCATGGCTATTTCGAGGTTCCCAGACCACAGGATCCAGTCATCTCGTCCTTTTAGTTTGGGGATGGTAAGAACGGCCTTGTCAATGGCAGAATCTTTGAGCAGGGCGGTAGTCATGGTTCTTCGGTGTTACAACCAGAATAGAAGTGCGGCGAGTCAGAACTGGGCAGTCGTTTCAGACAAAAAGTTCAGCAGTGCCGGGCGGTGGGTGTGGCGAGTCAGAACTGGGCAGTCGTGTCAGACAACAGTTCAGCGGTGCCAGGCGGTAGGCTTTGCGCAGTGCTGGGGTAGAGTTGTACTGGGCTGATAACCTGTAAATCAGCGGGAGGAAGACTAGAGCGCGGTGTCTAGAGCGCGATGTCAAACGGGGTTAATATGTTAGGCAAGATGTAAACTATGTACAATCTATAAGGTTGAGGACTTACCTAGAGCGCGATGTCAAACGGGGTTGAGCATCGCACTCAGGTAATCCTCGCTCTTTTATGTCTATCTAACTATACAACAAAGCGGATAACAAAGGTGAAACTAGCGCCTCCGGCGCTTTGTGCGACTAAGGGTTTGCCACACGGCAACGCTTTGCCTGCAGCTCCGCCTCCCCTTTGTCCTCGTGTGGCGTCGGGCTGCCACATCAACAGCGCACACAAGTCATATTTAATCTCGTGCCTCCATTAAATTTAAAACGTAAGTTGCGGCTAAACCTCGGAGAAATCATGTGAGTGACTGGGAAGGAGAACCGTAGGCATTCGCTCAAGTCAAAAAATCTCCGCTTTTATGCATTACGGCAACAACCGAAAAGTGGCAAGCCATTCTCCCAATTACTTTCAGCATTATGAACGCTTCAGAGTCGACAGATGCACTCTCCGGTTCCTTGGAGGAAGTGGGAGTCGTATTAAAGCCTCTCTTTCGGAAGACGCTACAACAAACCCTTGAGAATATCGAAATAATCCAAAAAGCCAACCTCCCAACTCTTTTAATTTATGTTATTCAAGATCTCGTAACGAGTGGGTTTCACTAGACTGCAGCTCATCTTTTCTGCCCTCATGCTCTGCGTGGAAGTGCACCTAAGGTCTCGAGGGATTGATCCCATAACAGAGACCGTGGCAGAACAAATAGTTGGGTTTTGCGTCCGTTCTTCCGCAACATGATCGATTCTAAACCCTCTCTCCTGCATAGGTACGCCTCAAATCTAATTCCGACAAATCATCCAAGCCTGAGAAAGAACCAGTGAACCGTATGTCTTCCATCCGCATTTGCCATGGCCCGCCAATCCACTACATCCATCATCCACCATTCATCATTACAGGCAAACTTGCGCTGGACGGACCTACCGTCAACCAACTCATTGATGCAGCACTTATGCAAGCTGGACTCGGAGTGGATTCTTCTGGGGCGACTGCAAGCAACGTCAAGGATACAGACTCAGGTTCTAAACCGAGCCCAACGCCACCTGGCAATGCCGCTCCAAAAGACGACAGCTTGGTGATTCAAGACCTCGGGGATGTAAAAAGATGGAACAAAAGGAAAATTGCTGACGTTCTTACTGGTATGTTGCATGCATACCCAACGGCTTCATCGATAACATTATATCCTATTCTTCTTAAATGCTGGCGGTGATGCGCCAAAACCTGCAGACTTAGCAACACTAAGTACATACATACTCTAATCCTTGTAACAATTTGCTCACCTTTGTTTATAAAGAGGAAATGGACGCTAAAAAACAGAAACCGAATAAAGGCAATAATAACGAAAAGCGAAAAAGGAATAAGAAATCGCTGGAATGGAAAATATCGAATAAGACGAGGGCAATCAAGGGGACAGAAAAGCTGCTTACAAAGGTGAGGCATGCCGGGGAGTTGGAGAAAAAACTTCAGATGGAGAAGGGTGAACTCGGACTGGTGAAGCAGACGCTTAGGGACATGGGGAAGAACAGCGAGGAAAACAAGCAGGGGGGACTGAACAAGGACAAAAAGCAGGAGCAGGAGCAGGAGCAGAAGAGCGGCGAAAAGCAGGTTGAGCGGAATCAATTAGTCATGGGGAGACTTTGGGGCGAGCCGGTGCAGCTGATGGCGACGGGCGAATGGGTGACCTAGTGATCTTCGACCCCCCATAGACCTAATCACGCATAATTTTAGCCTTACCGATATAGTCATAGCCACCTCATAATAGTCTTCATAGCATTTTTTTCCTTTCTACATACATATATGACTTTTAACTTATCGAATGCAGAATTTTTTGTGTGGTTCCTCGGCTCTGTCTCAGCGTGACGGTGAACAATCTGACTGATGATTGACTCTCACCGCCCCATCCGTCGTCGAAAATGTCATCCCCTAATGATCCCCACTCTTCGCTTCTTAAGTCCAACCCTCGAGAATCTGAAGACAGATATATCATCAGTAATTAAGGTGTCCTTGTGTCGATAGATTTGAATGATAGCCCTCCCCCCGGGCCCCCCACCTACCTGCAGCCTGGATGAATCTGGATAATGTTTCTTCGCTACGCGCGCACAGTGCGATCAAGCCTTCCCTGCGATACGGTTGCGGTGATACTGAACCCGCAGATAATGCCATCCCCAGAGTCTCGATCAACGGATGTATGAGGTCCAAGTCATACACCTTCCAGACGAAGATGGAAAAAAAAAATTTATCCCTGGATTGTTGCTTGACACTCACGATATCTGCTCCTATTATCACTTCTGCATTAATTTCCTCTAACTGGGCTTTCAAGGACTCTTTTCGATCCAGGGACGTCGCATCAAACCAATCTAATCGAACCGTTTTCACATCGGGATGGTCAAGTACACCGTCTGAGGTGAATTGAAGAGTTCAACGTGAAAGGGGGGGGGAACAGCCATGACTCACTAGGGGGTAATGAAATGTTGTTTTCGCACCTCTCTAGGACAGTACGATTCACGTCTGTCAATGCTAGCGAGGGAACCCCACGGAGACCTGAATGAGTTTCGTCTAGTTTTGACTTTCGCATTCCATCAAGCTGCGCAATGAGGATTCCTAGGAATCCTACGCCTGAGCCTAATTCCAGAACCCGTTTTTTCTGAACAATTTCTAGTATGAAAAAAAGCGATACATCCTGGCAAACTTTAAAAATAAAATACAATCCGCGTTACCTGGACGTCGTATCAGCCATTCAGCCAATATTAAACTAGCCCTCCATGTGCGCATCCCAGTTGTACCATCTTCAATTGTTGTACGAGATTCAAGCAAGGCGATGCTTCGCCGAGAAGTTCTGACATTTGATTCAGAAGAAGGTGCGTTCCAGAAGCGGGTGATATACGAGGGAGCTGGTGGGCCATTCATGTAATCAAATGGACTCGGAGCACCCTGACTTATGTCGAGTTGGCGCCGTGAGTGAACAAGACGATTTCATGGCATAATTTCTCTTTTCACCTTAAGAGAGAGATGTGGCGCTCGTATATCCTCTCATCCGCCTATAATATAATAAGGGGAGGGGTAAAGAACCGTAGGTACATAGGGGGCAAACCCCATTGAAAAGCATAAATCTCACATACTTCCTCGTTCGCCAACTCGATCTTCTCTACGATATGCTTCCAGAATTTCAACTGGTACGATCGTGCGGGAGGATAGGTTTGGAAATGCTCATCGTGGATTATGTGTTCGACTAGTTCTTCCTGGGAAAGGTGTATCTGATCGGGTAACTTGGAGGGCGTCAGGAGGGCACCGTAAATTCGCTGAATGGAGTCGCGCATGTCGACGTCGTGTGTGACATGTGTATGTGACAGGCTGTCACTCCAGTCAGGGAGATATATTATAGCTTCAGCCTAGATAGATTGTCTTTCTTATGTCGTCCATACACGCACACAATCAGGATCATCCTCTAAAGCATCAGTCAATCTTTTCAATAAAGCAGCATCATCTTCTGGTATCTGACCCTCTTCCTGCGGCTCAGTACTGGGAAGGTAAGCTAACTCCATGGCAACAATGTTATGAGCGTGAGGCGGTGAAGATAGGACGTTCGAAACCGAGTTCAATTCCGTTGCACTCGTCAGAACCTTGCGTAGCAAGAAGATTTGATCGTTGGAGCCTCAGGGGGCAAGGGCAATGAGGAAGATCGTACATACCTCTACTTCACGCGTACTTTCATCAGGGTTGGTATTGACGTCCTCTGCTCCAGCTTCTATCGCAGCGTCCCAGACGTCTTGGACTTGAGCCCCATCTCGAGGTTTGACCACTATCCTCCCGACTCTCGAGAACATAAATCGCACTGGTGCAATGCGCGAACTTGAATCACATAAAACAAAGATATTAAGAAAGAACTCCGATACGAAAACCAAGGGGCGAGGCCTTACCCATGATCTCGTAGGGTCTTTTGTATATTCTTGATGGTCCTATTTGTGTTGTCGGTTTCGCATTCTCTGCAAACAAATACAACACGAGTCAATGGTTTCAATCACAATTATTGAGCGTACCCACATGATTAGAGCGGTCTGGGCGGGACCCAATGCCTCGTAGACAACGAGTTGAGTAGCACTCTGTCGTGAAGGATCTGACGCCTTATGTAGCGATAGCAATAAAGGGATTCATCAAGGATTCATTGTAATATTGTTTGTTCACTTTCTTCCCTTGTTGGGGGCACATGGATACGTACTCGAGATAATGCGGCACTTATGTTGTCCTTTGGCACTCCGTTGACTTTCGCTCGTCGCAATGCAACTGCAAGAGCTAGATTGACATTTGGATCGACCGATCCACCAGCTGGATGGGGGAGCAGTGGCAAGTTCAGCGCTGCAAGGAATGAGGACATTATGGTTTTTTTGTTTCCTTACTCTTGACCGCTGTGGCTATTTCCTTTTGGATGCCATCAAGACGTCGTTGACCAGAGCCCTTTCAGCGAGAGTCATCAAAGAAAAAAATCAAGTCCAACCAACGTGTGCAGCTTTTGAGAACAGTTTCGATTTCTTCACGTCTTCTGCATCTTTATGATGGGATATTTTGCTCCACTACTACCACGGAAGACGGAGCACTTCATTGGACGAAAAAGCTTTGTTGGTGAGGAAAATATACCCTGTTGTGACCGGAAAATGAAGCTGGCGATGATGAGAAACCCTTTTGTAGTATCACAACAAAGTTTCTCGCCCTAGGGACCAGTCGTGGAAGCGAGGTCATTTCGTTGTCAGAAGCGTTGTGTGTAGTAATGGATGTGAAGATGGACAGTTTAAGCGCCCGAAATTTCCCGCGCTTATTTTTTTTCCGGTCACGGGGCTGTAGACGCGTTGCCCTCTCCAATCAGCTCTCCATCATGAGGGAGTCTTTTGTTTCTGGTTGCCTTTGGCTTGTTATTGGAACAACCCCAGATTTCGGCTGTAAGAATGTTTTAAGCGGATAATAATTGGTTGATGGATGGTAGTTGTCTTCCGTTCCACGGGCGGTGGTCTCACGGAAGGATTGATGCACGTGAAGCAGCCCCACGATTAAAGGTAGGTTTCCTGGCGCTTAGTCTCGTAGCGGGGCATCACTGACACCTTCGGCATCCTCGGTGTATGCGGCGGCCGTACCCTGGCCGGGATTACTTAAGTGGTTTCGTGTTGCGGCCCGGCACATTACGTTTAAGATTTCCCATTCTCACTGGGTTTGTGAGTGGAACGATTCTCTTTCTTGCTTCCTTGTTTCTATTGTTGTGTTTCCGGTATTCCTACTAGTCCAATTTATTCAGGTTCAAAGTACAAAAGGAGCCGGCTACACAAGTTGATTCTAGTTTCTTGCACACCTTCTGTTCCCAGACGTACGCAAACCCTCTCCATCCCATACCCTCATTCTGTACCGTTCACGGTCCAAATCACCCAAAGCAACTTTCATCGCGAGCTCTATCATGGTATCATTCGATAAGTTTGTTAGTAGGAGCTATCCCAGTACGCCATCGACCCGATTGATCCCCGAGCAGTGTTAACTTTGGCGTTTAGTCCTCATGGGATCAATAACCCTCTTCACCATCATTGAACTGGCAATATCTGCCTTCTTGGTGTCACGATATAACTCACGCCACGATTATCCTAGCACAAGCGTGCGAGACCAGTCACGGTTCCTCTTGTTCTGTTCTGTGTGGACGTTATTCGTAGGCATTTCTGTTGCGGTAACTTTGCCACGCGCATATTTACCATAACTCTTCCGTTCAGAGTGCACCTGTGTACCTCTTCCTCTTCTTTTGGAAACCATGGAGATCCGTCATCTCTTCCACTATATCCCATCTCGTTTGGACTTCCCTGTCCTGGTGCGACAATTCTCCACTACTTTGAGAGGTTTTAAAATCGTTTCCTCACATGCCTTTTAAAGGATCTTCTGGTTTTCTGGTGCAGTCGCCATTACTGCATCACTTGGTGGAGGTAATAACTGCTCGTGAGTGTTCAGGGGACGTCTCTATGCAATTCGCAGTCCTACTTACAAATGCGAACCTGCAACACAGTAACTTGGATTACAATCTTCCATATTGCAACCACCTCAATGCGCTGGAGGTAAGCCACCGCTCTAATCAGTTTCGCTCCAATGTCTCAATACCATCCCAACTTCTTCCAGGGATTCGCATGGATTGAATGGTATGTTGAGGTTCTCTCTTCGTTTCCTGGTTCGTCACCGACGAATGAGCATATTCACCACATAGGATCCTCTTCACCGCCTTCTTCCCTGTTGTAATCTTTATTGCACAACGTGCATACAGGAGCGGGTCTCCTCTTCGCGGCGGTCTCATCAGCACCAGAGTCTAATTCCGATCGCGGTGATGGGGATTCAAATGTGTGTGCGTGCCGATCCCCATTACATTTTCTGCACGATATACCAACGGAATCGACTGTATCCAAGTACTATGTACATAGTTTTTGAGAATAACTTTTTTTTTCTGTACCTTGCACCATATACCAACCCCGGGGATGAACCAACTGTATCCAAGTACTATGTAGTTTTCTGAGAATACTGATTTTTTTTCTCCCGTTGTGTTGAACCTTCCGAAGCGCGGGAGTGTATTGGGTGGAAGTGAACCCCGATCTGAATGACGTATTGAATATATTACGATTGCATCACTTTACATCCGATCGGCTGACTCTGAAATGGCTCCACTGACATTGATATCGGCGCCACACAATATTCAATTGGCAGCTTCCCCTCGTTCCACCATTCTCCAAGACATCGAACATCCGTAGTACATCCTAACGAGCAGCATTGGGATAATGAGTGTGGATATTTGGGTTCGCAAGGGCCATCCCAGTGAGCTTATGTTTTTTTTTCTAAACATTGTCTGGGCCCTGATCATGAGTGATGACCACAAGTCATTTTTGGACTCCTCATCGTCCTTGGCATCGTCGAGGCAAGGCAAACCAATAGTCTCATCTGGTTAAGTTGCTGAACGCTAGATGATCTTTCTTAGCTTTCCATTTCGGCATCCTTGACGTCTCTGTACAACAAGCACCACAACTACCCCCGCGTTAAAGTTCGCGATGCGACCCGTTTCATTTTGTTCTCATCCACTTGGACTGTCGTCGTGCGTCTCCGCGTTGCCCCGTGTTGCCACTTCGAACTGACTGAATGCATAACAGTTTAGCTTGGCTTTCCTCGGATTGTTCCTTCATAGCGCGGATGGTTCAGTTGCGACTTCCATCATCTCGCATCTCATATTCTTCACCCTAACGTACATTCCCTCTCACTTATTTTCTTTCCAATTCTCTCTAAATCTCTCTATTCCAGGTGGATTTTCTGGAGTGCTGGGGTTGGTGCGATCACAGATGCTCTCAATGGCGGAAACAACTGCTCGTAAGGGTTTCTCTTCATTATGTAAATCTAGATGGTTTCTGACCGAATAATCCATAGGAAAATCAAGTACAATCTTCCGTATTGCAATCAGCTGAACGCACTTGAGGTATGATATACTGTTACAGACATGTGCGATAATAATGTGATTGACCACCTCGTGTTTCGGAAATTCGCACCACAGGGATTCGCTTGGGCCGAATGGTTAGTAGTTAAATAATTATCGCCCCGCTACAGCCGTGCTCAGACGCTGGCATTTTAGGATCGTTACTACTCTGGTTCTGCTCGTCATCGTTGCTCTTGCCACTCGCTCCGTTCGCCGGGGGATTGGATACCGTGGTCCGCTTACGGTCTAAAGGAACCAAAGCTGCGCATCAAGTTGTCGTGATGTCTGACAGTAGTGTCTTGAACGACCATTGACGATTCGTCACGGTTGATAGCAAATTATCGAATGCCCCGTCTGTAATAATTCTTTTTTTTTTTGATGTATGTATCTGGGTTGCAATACCATTCGTGCTTGTCGATCCCCCGAGAATATCTTTGCAGGCCTAAAGTGGAACCGTTAAGTGCATAGTAGCCCGAAGAGATCATAAGATGAAATTCACATTACTCCAAGTTTGTCAACCGTGAGCCACGGCTTGTATATCCACTGGAGGCTCAAACCCTGTCGGAAACACCTGCCTCACATTAATATTAACCCTTGTCGTCTTCAGATAGTGAGCGAATGGTGCCCAATCATGATCGACGTGATGTTGAAGGCTCTGCGGTCCGAGATGATCAGGTAGTGTACCCTCAAGAATACGGGGTACGCCATGGTATGCTCGCCTGCATGATGGACCTGACATGATGATTGCATCCCCCGAACGGAGGAGTATTGGTATCGGTTCAACGTCTCGTGTGAGGCCTCCTATCAAGAATATGGCAGCATTCCCTAGGCTATTGGGACAGAGTGGCTTCGAGTGGAGGTTAAGCGTCGTGCCAGGAGGAAGACTTACGAGATAGACACGAGGGGAGTTGTAGAAGATAGTTCGGATTTGTCGACGTGTCCCATGAGGGTGTCTTTTTCTTGGTAGAAATTGACTATCCCAGCATCTGGTTCTTCAAGAGCGGGCAGGCAGGGGCGCAGCGCAGCGAATTTTTAGCGAGTGGGAATGAGCGCGGTACGATAGACCTTTACGACGAAAAAACTAACCATATGTTTCATCCCATTTCCTCCATGTCCCTTCCTCCTCTCCCCAGCTCAACCCTCCATCTGTCACCATCTCTGCCTTTTCTCCCCAAACATCTTCCCAATTCACAGCTCGTACGGCCCTCTTACATATTTCCTTGACGTCTTCAGGAAAGGTGCCAAGCTCTTTTGAAAAGTCATAGGATTTGGTTTCCCAATGGTATGACCTGCCAATGTTGACCCAACGCAATTTATAGATCAGTTTTGAGATTGACAAAGGTGTGAGTGTCAAAGAAGGATCGGGCGGGGGTTTTGGGGTTGAGATGATTGTTGAGAGGTTGGATACTGAAGCGGACATGTTGTCGACTAGAACGCGTTTGGTGTTTCCGAGCTTGAGGGTTGACGATGATGAATCGGTCTCGGTCATTGAGACTTTGGTTGGAATAATAAGTGGATCGGTGGATGGATTTTCGAAATGATCGACGAACATATTCCAAAGACCTTGTGATGGGAGAGTGTAGTGCGCATCGAGATTCGTCTCGTTCGGTTGCTTAGCTTGGTTTGTCAAACAGGACTTGATAAGGCTCCGCTGTTCCTCCGTTGAGACAAATCCCGGAAGTAAGACGAGGCCTTGGGAAGGCAAGAAAAATCAAAAAAAAAAAAAATCGATATGCATGACGTGCAAAAACAACATGAACCACTGTTCATGGGTCGTCGTACCCGGTACTCGGGGCAGCAGAAAAGCCCGACCTTGCCTGGCATTTAATTTTAAAGCAATTTCTCGAGTCTTGTGAGCATCGATCGCGCCGCATGACCAACCCACAGCCCTCATTGAGCTCTCAAGGACTAACATAGTTCCTTCAGAAGAGGTGGTGGCAAGTGCACCTATATCCAATACATCATCCAGTGAAGGCCGAGGAATCCGAGTCTTGAAACGTTTCTCTTGAATGCGAAAGGCACTCCAACTAGATGTGTCAACTTTTGTATTCCTGGTCTTCAGGTGGTGTCGTAGAGCTTTCTTATACTCTGGGCTTTCGGGGTCATAGGGAGCAGGCATCTGCCTTATACTAAGAGCTCAGACGAGCTCGACCGGGCGCTGATTGGTTGTCATTCAATTCATATGCTTTCTCACGGCACGTCCCCTCGCTATCATTGGTTCGCACATTATGGCTTCATCGAATCTGCGTGCCAGCAGACCCTTTGCCATATATCTACAGAGTTCGATGTTGTCAACGACTGAGACTGATGACGGCGGGATGCATTTGGTATATGTTGCTGGACCTCTCTTCCCGAGAGTGAAACAAATCGGAGGCGGATACTGTCGGGCTCGTTAGCACGGTTTTCTTCATCGATGTGTGTCGATGCTGAACGATATTCGATGCGCAATTAGTAGTGCAATACGTTTCATACAGAGCGTTCAACTTGCCTGCGATTGCCATGGTAGTGGACTAGGCGCCGTAATGCCATTTAAACGTACATCCCTCTCTTTTCTCATCACCTCCGTCCCTCACGAAACAAGCTTTGACTCCGTACGGTTTTTACCTGGTACATCTTGGGCGTCTATACAGCGAGCTTTTCATTGGTACAGGGAGACATTGCGATGCCATCCACGCTTTCTACCTGTATGGTTCTCAGCTTGCCGACACAGTAAGCCTCCTGTGAGCGAAACCACTGTGATCTTTGACATCACTGGAGTCATCTCCGACCGCAACCGGATCTTTCGATCCTCCTGTGATGTCCCCCTTTGCTGAACATGTGGAACGGCTTAAACGCTTTCGCTCACTGGTTTCTATATTACTCAGGTAGTGGGTGTTGACGATAAGTTGTTACTGTCATGGACCAGAACACAGCGCTTTCCAGGCTGTAAACCTCAGTTGCAATGCATGTTTCCTGGTTGTGTAAAACGTATCTCCCTCCCCAGACTCAAAATTTCCAACTTCACATACCACGACCGTTGAGACCCACAAAGAGTCAGACCGGAAGACCTACATAGTCCAATCCTGCAGCGGATACACGCACATAACGAGAAATACTACCAAGTCAATACTCAAAAAATCACGGGCAACGAACAAGCGACGACACAAAAGGGCGCAATGCCCCAGAGGACCTGCAGCCGCACAAACCCAAGGATTCTATCTAGCCGACGATACCAATCAGTCACTTTCATCATCGATCCCCAATGACAGGATAGCCACACTCCGCAGGGCATCAGGACTGAAGGCACAGCCGAATTAAGGCCCCCCCGGCCTTGTAATCAATATGTCACACTCCAGACTTTCCAACGCAATGGCAATGAGGATACATTCTCGGGTCGAGATATTACCTATCTGATTGAAGCTTACTGCGTGCTACATGGAGTTGTATACACTTGAGTCATTTACTACACACCTACGTTAAACTAGTTGTCATCCCCACCTGACAACGCTGATCCACCGATTTCGCCTTTCAATTGCGCCGACATCATGCAAGTCTCGGCTTCATTGCATGCAATGGCGTGCGGAAACAGCGACAGAACATCAGCAGTAGATGATGAAATGTCTCAGATTCTTGATGTTAGGATCATAAGTTAGATTAGTTGTGAGCGGAACAGCCAAGAAAGCCCGTAAACGTTTCATTAACAGTTCTAAACTAGGAGTCAACGTCAGTCCCCCAAACTGAACACCCAACTGAGTTGTGTGCATTATAGTGCGAGTGGGAGATGAGAGGATGCAATAATAAGGGAGTTGTCTGAATCAGTGCTTCGGGATACGTCCAAGGTTAGAAAGAGCGGTACGTAATTCGTTGAGTGACATATCCAAATTTGAGGTGTGTAATCCTGGGTTAACGGCAACCAGCTCACGGTAGAGTTCAACGCTTTCCTCGATGAACGGAAGCGCCTCTGAGTGCTGTCCGAGATTCGAAAGAGCGTTGTACAGATTCTTGAGTGACCAAGCCAAATTTGCATTGTATGATCCTGGGTGAACGGCGATTAGCTCGCGCCAGAGTTTGATGCTTTCTTCGATGAATGGGACCGCCTCCGAGTGCCGTCCGAGACCCGAAAGAGTGTGACATAGATTGTTGAGTGACCATGCCAAATCTGAGGTGTACGATCCTGGGTGAATGGCAACTAGCTTGCGCTGGAGCTTGACACTTTCTTCGATGGGTGGGAGCGCCTCTGAGTGCCGTCTGAGGAACAAAAGAGCGTTACATAGATTGTTGAGTGACAAAGCTAAATCTGGGGTGTATGATGCTGGGTGAACAGCAACTAGACCACGTCGGAGATTGACACTTTCTTCGATAAATGGGAGCGCCTCCGAGTACCGTCTGAGATTTGAAAGAGCGCAGTACAGACTGTTGAGTGACCAAGCCAAATTTGCATGGTACGATCCGGGGTGATTGGCGACCAGCTTGCGCCAGAGTTGGGCGCTTTCCTCGATGAACGGGAGTGCCTCAGAGTACCGTCCGAGATTCGAAAGAGAGACATTTAGATTGTGGAGTGAGAAAGCAAAATCTGGGGTGTATGATCCTGGGTCAACGGCAACTAGCTCGCGCCGGAGGTTGACGCTTTCCTCAATGAATGGAAGCGCCTCCGAGTGCCGTCCGAGATCTGAAAGAGCGCAATACAGACCATTGAGTGACCATGCCAAATATGAGGTGTACAATGCTGGGTCAACGGCAACTGACTTGCGCCAGAGTTTGACACTGTCCTCAATAAATGGGAGCGCTTCCGAGTTCCGTCCGAGTTTGGAAAGAGCTAAATATAAAGCGTGGAGTGCCCTGGCCAATTCTGGGTTGTAGGACTCTGAGTCCACAGAAACTAGGTGACGGCAGAGTACAACTGAATCATTTGCTGCCTCATATGCCTCCCCGAATCTTAAAAAAAATACCAAGTTTGAATAAAGCTGGCCAAGCACGTTGGACAGCATGCAGATAGCATCCTTTGACCTTTGGCCAACTGCCAACTGGAGATTCATGAGCTAATTTCATTGACACAATTGATAATCCGCACCTTCACCCACTCAGGGAGTATCGAGATACCGATATAGCCTCCCATTCTCACGCAGATTTCCACCCAGGGAGTGGCTTGCTGACTGAGAAATACGTGTACTGATTCATCGAGCTCCTGTGATGGTTCCTGGACTCCACTGAGGTGATAAATAATCTGACGACATGCATAATGCATGTGCTCTGATAACTGCTCTGGGAGAATGCGCGGCAATTCATCTTGTTCGGATAAGTTCTCAATCAGTCCCAGGCCTTCTATAGAGCAGAGGTTCTGGTTCAGAATCTCGGTACATCGCAGGGCAACCCTGGCGTTCTCTTTCCCCACATCTACTGGACCGCAGCGAAGGCTGATTGACTGGGGATCGATCCGATCCAAAATAAAGTCACGGAAGGATTGGTGTAAAATGCGGATAGGAATGTGGGGCTCCTCAACTCCCGAGAGGAGAGGTGCAAGTTCGGCCAGCGTATATCGAACCGACGAATTCAAGAAAGGTGACAGAATTGCATCCCAAGCTGTGGCAGACAGGGGCTGTTGTGCGGCAAAGATTGCTCCCATCACAACTGGATAGTCGTGTGCGAAATCTTCGTCCCTCCAATCACACTTCTTCAGAATGCTTGTATACAAGCGATCCATAGTTTTCTCAGCAGAAATTGCTGAGCGATCGGTGCCTGTACTGAGCAGTCTTCCTAGCGTCTTCATAGGGTCTTTGTTGGCCATCTTCATATAGCGAAAGATGGTGCTGATCCAAATAAACAAGCCCCCTGCTCGTTCCAAGATCCCCTGTACCATTTTCTCTTCGTCCTGAAGCTTATGCCGTATTTCAGGATGACAATCCTTCAGCATCTGCAACTGGGAACGTATGTAAAGAGCACAGTCCCGCACGTTCATGTCATCCGAGAGATCGATGGTAAGACGATCGATAGGGAAATCGGGCGAGAGGAAGCGGTTAACAAGATCAAATTGTCTCGACGTGATGAAGAATTTTATGGAGGATGGTAATTTGGGGACTTCCTTCCGAAGAATATTGGCAAGGGGCTCAAATGCCTCTTTGTCGCATTCGTCCAAAGCGTCGATGATGACCACAAAAGGACGATCAGAAAGCAAAGGTCGATGGGAGAAGAATGGAGCTACCAGTTTCTTGAATTGCATTGTGAATGGCGCTGTTGATAGAGTGGGATCTCTTTCAAGAGCAGAGACAATGGAGGAGCGGTATCTTCGATCATGATTTGCCAACGCTCGAGCCATGCCGCTGAATAGACTATCAGGTCGCGACTGTTCACCCGCCTTGAAAAGGAAACTCATCAACAGGGTGCATTCCCTTTCGCACCTTTCCGCAATCGTGTGGGCAATAGAGGTCTTTCCAGCTCCGGCTACAGCAGTGAGAAGCATCACCCGGTTCTCGCTGTCCCCAGTGTTGTGACACCAGGCCATGATACGCTCGGTAAGGCCGACCCTGGTGCCTTCTAGGCATGCCTGAGTTGAATCATGGTGGGCGACGTCAGGATATTGGAGTCTACCGAGAATCGAGTCAGCTTCCATGGCTGACAATTTGACACCAATTCTCAAGTTCGTCCTAAGCTGCATCGGCCTAAAATCAAAATGGGGTTATGGGATGATACCGCGAAGAAAATTACCTGAAATGACGCCAATGCTTTGTCAAGATCCTTCTTTAGGCCCTCGATCCTTCCCGGGTTTCTCAGGTAGGACAATGTATTTATTAGAGCTGGCCGTTTCTCTACCTTTGTGCGTCTTCGCTCGATTTCAGACTTGATCTTCTGTAGCGCGCTGGGACTTGATGTAAGCAGGACACTAAAGACCACCAAAAACAAATAGAATTCACCGATCAAGTTTCGTCGCACTCTCCACCCATGGCTTTGCCGCTTCCGCTGACGGATCATAGGACTTTATGGCTGCAACTACCTCGGCCACGTTTTCGACGACATAGTTCCCGAAGTCCTCCCATTCCTTCTTATTCTCCTTGAACTTCTGCACCAAAACGTCGGCCTCAGTTCGCAAACCCAGAATAAAATAGTTACTAACTTGAACCTCGCTGATAATGAAGAGTGCGCCGCCAGTCGCACTCTTTAGAGGAGGGCACATATCAGCGGCAGCATTGACGGCCGTGAGAATTGGGACAGCCATATCGCCTCCGGCTGCGAGGATATCATCGATCTTTTGCCTGAGACCTTCGGCCTTTTGTCGCGACGACATAGAAAGTGTGAACGAGGAGAGAATCTTAGGTGCGTGGTGAGGCCTTGAATGGTCAAGAGCCACGAGGCCTTGGCCCGAAGGCCGAGGACATAGCACATTCAGTGAGTGCAGAATACTATCGGGACCTCTTATCCAGGATCGATAGCATAAGTCTGGCATGGATGAAAGCATGATACGGATCGGTCGAATATTGGGACAAATGATGATAACGGTCCCCCATCTAGTTTTCTTAGGGTAAAGGTTGCTCCAAGTGGTTCGCCGGAATTAACCGAGGACCACGGCGTTTCCATGTTGATTCCAATTCCGACATCACATCACTAGCCGGATACGTCATTCGCTGGATGCGGCTGCAGCTCCTAGTGATTCACGCCCTGGCATTGGCCCCATCAATGGTTGGGCTTAAACTGCCATCAGGACATGACTGCCTCGGAGGGACGCCAGTCCTCGTGTGGGCTGCCCCTTGACCCCCAACCACCACCGCTTGACCGCAACATCTTTTTTACGCCAACGGGTTGTATGCCTGCAGGGAGCCTACATTTCAGTTGCTCAGGGTTTGGCCGTTGCATCCCCAAAAGCCCAACCCTGTTGTTTGGAATGCCCTTCAGAGGAGGCTTGTGCTCGTTGTCTTGTTGCGTACCTTCAAGCACTGGGACAGGCCGAACAGGTCACTAGGCAAGGTCGTTCGGCAATTCTGCTGTCGAGATTAGTATTTTTCAATCTATGCATGCCACTTTTCCTCCGCTTGTTATTAGTGGTAGCCCGTTAACTACGTGTGAGATGCTAGATAGGTGTTTCACATGTCCCAACATGCATTATCGTGGTCTCATTCGTTCACCAAAGTGAACACCCAATATAGTGCTCTGTCTCCGACTCAGTTGAACACCTAATGATCGATGGCGGATTCCTGTGTAATTATCCAACTGCCATGTAATCCCACTGGAGACGAACTGGAATTAGGTTTGTTGGGATCTCCAACACCCGGAAGCGGTGAATCGTGATGATGAACCCTTTGGGATCGTTGAACAGAAGCCTGGTGGCTGGGTTGTCACGCCGGTTTTACGGTGCTTGGATCTTCGAAGCAGGTCGGAAATGGCTTGATCCTGCAGTGCACAATCATGTCCCCAACTCAATCGGGTCACAACACTCCGTGCATGTCCACTCAGAAACCCTTTCTCGCCGCAGCAACTGATGTTCCTAGACCGCCCATTTGCTGTTGGTCTGTGATTGCGATTTTGGCTTTGAGCCCATTCGATTTGATGACTGGGGGCGATAATATGGGTCCAGAAACAGGCTCGTTCACAGTTGAGTCTCGATTTCACGTGGTTGTGTTTCCACCTCTTGTGGAGAAGATTGAGGTCGTAATACTGATCTCCGCTGCCGAAAAGGAACGGTTATACGCTCGCTTGATGCTCGACACTCAAACTGACGAATGTGGTTTTGGAAATCAACTATGGTCCTTGCAAATTGTGACAACTCCCGATGTTGAATGTGGGCGTTGAGTTGCCTTTCAGGTTTTTCCTCAGTTCACGCACTACGGAACTGAGGGTATTGCGCTAAGATTTCTAACAACGGCATGATGATCTTTCCTCTCTTCGCGGTGCTGGTGCCAGCTCTTGCGTTAGCTGACTCCCCCTCGGCTCACCTCATCGTAACCACCATCAATCATATCCAAACAGGCGTCCAACTGTGCCAAACTTTATCAGACTCCGTTCTTATCAGTTCCACTGTGGAACCGAACGGTTTAACCAGATGTCATTATGCACCTGCAACACCCGTGCCATGCCTTCTTCCTGCGGAGGGACCCAAGAGTAATGAGGGAACGAAAGGGACCTCGACAGTGCTGGTGAAAATGGTCACCATTGAGGCTTTGGAGGATAATCGGGATCAGACCCAAGTAATCGTCGAGCAGCCAGAGCTAAGTGCTGCTCAGTGGAACCTGTCATTAGCGCTTAATTTTTCATTCCGGCAAGTATTAACTGTCCTACGTCAGGTCGTGTGGAATCTTCGTGATGTACTGCTGTATGCGGTTAGTATTGGTGCTCAGATTGCGAATCAGTCGCTTGTAAATGGTGCGTTCTAATGTTTGCGCCAACCTCAGTCATTGACAATAAACGATCTCATCTCCAAAATATACTCAACAAGTGTTCATTTTCACTTGGAACTTCAAAACTGCCTTCCGACACATGGTTTCTTCCGAAGAGGTGGCAGGTGCACCTATATCTAAGACATCATCCAGCGAAGGCCGAGGAATGAGTCTTGAAATGTTTCTTTTGAATGTGAAAGGCACTCCAACTAGATGCGTCAACTTCTGTCTTCCTGGTCTTTAGGTGACGTCGTAGAGCATTTTTATACTCTGGCCTTTCAGGGACATAGGGAGCAGGCATCTGCTTTAAACTAAGAGCTCAGACGGGCTCGACCGGACGCTGATTGGTTGGCGCTCCTCTCTCATGCTTTCTCACATCACGTCCCCTCGCTATCATTGGTTCGCACATTATGGCTTCATTGAATCTGCGTGCCAGCAGACTCTTTGTCATATATCTAACAAACACAGAATTCGATGTCATCAACGACCGAGACTGACGACGGCAGGACGCATTTGGTATATGTTGCTGGTCCTCTCTTCCCGAGAGTGAAACGAATCGGAGGCAAATACTGTCGAGCTGGTTAGCACGGTCTTGTTCATACATGTGTGTCGATGCCGAACGGTGTTCAATATGAAAATGTGCGAAATCAGTAGTACAATACGTTTCATACAGAGTGTTCAACTTGCCTGCAATTGCCATGGTAGTGGAATACCGTTTAAATGTGCATCCCTCTCTTTCTTCTGTGTCTCATCGCCTCCGTCCCTCACGGGACAAGCTTTGACTCCATACGATGTTTACTAGATACGTATTGGGCGTCTATACAGCGAGCTTCTCAATGACGATAAGTTGTTACTATCGTGGACCAGAACACAGCACTTTGCGGGCTGCAAACCCCAGCTGTAATGCATGTTTCCCGGTTGTGTAAGCAGGATGACAGCGCATAACGCATCTCCCTCCCCAGATTTAAATTTTCTAACTCCACACACCACGACGATTGAGACCCGCAAAGAGTTAGGCCAGAAGACCTACATAGTCTAATATAATCCTGCAGCGGGTACACGCACATATTGAGAAATATGGCTAAGTTAATACAGAAAGGAACTCAAAAAATCACGGGCAACCAACAAGCGACGACACAAGAGCGCAATTAATGCCCCACAGGACTTGCAGCGCACAGACCCAAGGAATCTATCTAGCTGACGATACCAATCAGTCATTCCCATCATGTAAAGTCGACCCCCCTCATAGTGTAACGACAGGATGGCCCCACTGCCATATGTATCACGGGCCGCAGGGCATGAGGACGGAAGACACAGCCGAAGGCCCTCTGGCCTTGTAATCAATATGTCCCACAATTCAGACTTTTCCACTCCGTCCCAACGCAATGGCAATGACCTGGCTGGGATACATTCCCGAGTCAAGATATTACTTATCCGATTGCGTGCTACATGGAGTTGTATACACTTGACTACACACCTGCGTTACACTAATTGTCATCTTCAGGCCTCCACACTCGCATGCCACACCTGACAACGCTGATCCACCGATTTCGCCTTTCAATTGCGCTGATATCATGCAAGCCTCGGCTTCATTGCGTACAACGGCGTGTGGAAACAATGACAGTAGTAGAAGATAAAATGTCTCGGATTCTTGATGTTAGAATCATGAGCATAAGGTAGATCAGTTGTGAGTGGAACAGCCAGGAAAGCCCGTAAACGTTTCCCCAACAGTTCCAAACCAAAAATCAATCTCGGTCCCCCAATATTCCCGAACTGAACACCCAACTGGGTTATGTGCATTATAGTGCAGGTAGGAAATGAGAGAATGCAATAACAAGGGGGATGCCCAAATTAGTGGCTCGGGATACGTCCAAGGTTAGAAAGAGCGGTACGTAGTTCGTTGAGTGATATATCCAAATATGAGGTGTGTAATCCTGGGTTAACGGCAGCCAGCTCACGGTAGAGTTCAACGCTTTCCTCGATGAACGGAAGCGCCTCCGAGTGTCGTCCGAGATTTGAAAGAGCGTTATATAGATTCTTGAGTGACAAAGCCAAATCTGCGTTGTATGATCCTGGGTTAACGGCAAGTAGCTTGCGCTGGAGTTTGACGCTTTCTTCGATGAATGGCAGCGCCTCCGAGTGCCGTCCAAGATCTGAAAGAGCACGGTATAGATTGTCGAGTGACTGTGCCAAATGTGCGCTGTATAATCTTGGGTGAACAGCAACTAGCTTGCGTCGGAGTTTGACGCTTTCTTCGATGAATGGGAGCACCTCCGAGTGCCGTCCGAGATTCGAAAGAGCGTAATATAGATTATTGAGTGACCATGCCAAATTTGAGGTGTACAATCCTGGGTAAACAGCAACTAACTTGCGCCAGAGTTTGATGCTTTCTTCGATGAATGGGAGCGCTTCCGAGCACCGTCCGAGACTGGAAAGAGCGGCAAATAGATCGTTGAGTGACGTAGCTAAATCTGGGGTGTATGATCCTGGGTACACGACAACTAGCTCACGCTGGAGTTTGACGCTTTCTTCGATGAATGAGAGTGCCTCCGAGTGCCGTCCAAGATTCGAAAGAGCGTTATATTGATTCTTGAGTGACATGGCTAGATATGGGGTGTATGATCCTTGGTAAACGGCAACTAGCTCGCGCCAGAGTTTGACGCTTTCCTCGATGAATGGGAGCGCCTCCGAGTGCCGTCCGAGATTTGAAAGAGCGCAGTACAGACTGTTGAGTGACCATGCCAAATCTGAGGTGTACGATCCTGGGTGAACGTAAACTAGCTTGCGCTGGAGTTTGACACTGTTCTCAATGAATGGGAGCGCTTCCGAGTACCGTCCGAGGTCGGAAAGAGCTGAAAATAAAGTTCGCAGTGCCCTGGCCAACTCCGGGTTGTAGGACTCTGAATCCACAGAAACAAGGTAACGGCAGAGTTCAACTGAATCGTTTGCTGCCTCATATGCCTCTCCGAATCTTGAAAAAAACCTCAAATTTGAATAAACCCGGCAAAGCACATTGGACAGCGTGCAGATAGCATCTTTTGACCTTTGGCCAACTGCCAACTGGAAATTCGTGAGCTAATTTCATTAACACAATTGATAATCCACACCTTTGCCCACTCAGGGAGTATCGAGATACTGATATAGCCTTCCATTCTCACACAAATTTCCACCCAGGGAGTGGCTTGCTGACTGAGAAATACATGTACTGATTCATCAAGCTCCCGTGATGGTTCCTGGACTCCACTGAGGTGATAAATAATCTGACGACATGCATAATGCATGTGCTCCGATAACTTCTCTGGAAGAATGCGGGGCAGCTCATCTTTTTCGAATAAGTTCTCAATCAGTCCCAGGCCCTCTATAGAGCAAAGGTTCTGGTTCAGAATCTCGGTACATCGCAGGGCAACCCTGGCATTCTCCTTCCCCACATCTACTAGACCGCAGCGAAGGCTGATGGACTGGGGATCGATCCGATCCAGAATAAAGTCACGGAAGGATTGGTGTAAGATGCGGATAGGAATGTGAGGCTCCTCAACTCCCGAGAGGAGAGGTGCAAGTTCGGCTAACGTATATCGAACCGACGAATTCAAGAGAGGTGACAGAATTGCATCCCAAGCTGTAGAAGACAGGGGCTGTTGTGCAGCGAAGATCGCTCCCATCACAACTGGGTAGTCGTGTGTAAAATCTTCGTCACTCCAATCACACTTCTTCAGGATGCTTGTATACAAGCGATCCATCGTTTCCTCGGCAGAAATTTCTGAGCGATCGGTGCCTGTACTGAGCAGTCTTCCTAGCGTCCTCATAGGGTCTTTGTTGGCCATCTTCATATAGCGAAAGATGGTGCTGATCCAAATAAACAAGCCACCTGCCCGTTCCAAGATCCCCTGTACCATTTCCTCTTCGTCCTGAAGCTTATGCCGTATTTCAGGATGACAATCCTTCAGCATCTGCAGCTGGGAACGTATGTACGTAGCGCAGTCCCGCACGTTCATGTCATCTGAGAGGTCAATGGTAAGGCGATCGATGGGGAAATCGGGCGAGAGGAAGCGGTTAACAAGATCAAATTGTCTCGACGTGATGAAGAATTTTATGGAGGATGGTAATTTGGGGACTTCCTTCCGAAGAATATTGGCAAGGGGTTCAAATGCCTCTTTGTCACATTCGTCCAAAGCGTCGATGATGACCACAAAAGGACGGTCAGAAAGCGGAGGTCGATGGGATAGGAATGGAGCCACTAATTTCTTGAATTGCATTGTGAATGACGCTGTTGATAGAGTAGGATCTCTTTGAAGAGCAGAGGTAATGGAGGAACGGTATCCTTGATCATGATTCGCCAGCGCTCGAGCCATGCCGCTGAATAGACGATCAGGCCGCGACTGTTCGCCCGCCTTGAAATGGAAACTCATCAACAGGGTGCATTCCCTTTCACACCTTTCCGCAATCGTGTGGGCAATAGAGGTCTTTCCAGCTCCGGCTACAGCGGTCAGAAGCATCACCCGGTTCTCGCTGTCCCCAGTGTTGTGACACCAATCCATGATACGCTCGGTAAGGCCGACCCTAGTGCCTTCGAGGCATGCCTGAGTTGAATCATGGTGGGCGACGTCAGGATATTGGAGTCTACCGAGAATCGAGTCATCTTCCATGGCTGACAATTTGACACCGATTCTGAAGTTCGTCCTAAGCTGCATCGGCCTAAAATCAGAATGGGGTTATGGGATGGTACTGCGAGGGAAATTACCTGAAATGACGCCAATGCTTTGTCAAGATCCTTCTTTAGGCCCTCGATCCTTCCCGGGTTTCTCAGGTAGGACAATGTATTTATTAGGGCCGGCCGTTTCTCTACCTTTGTGCGTCTTCGCTCGATTTCAGACTTGATCTTCTGTAGCGCGCTGGGACTTGATGTAAGCAGGACACTAAAGACCACCAAAAACAAATAGAACTCACCGATCAAGCTTCGTGGCACTCTCCACCCATGGCTTTGCCGCTTCCGCTTCCGGATCATAGGACTTTATGGCTGCAAGTACTTCGGCCACATTGTCGGCGACGTAGTCCCCAAAGTCCTCCCATTCCTTCTTATTCTCCTTGAACTTCTGCACCAAACCGTCAGCCTTCGTCCGCAAACCCAGAACAAAGATAATTACTGACTTGAACCTCACTGATAATGAAGAGGGCGCCGCTAGTCGCACTCTTTAGAGGAGGGCACATATCTGCGGCAGCATTGACGGCCGTGAGGATTGGGATAGCCATATCACCTCCTGCTGCGAGGATATCATCGATCTTCCGCCTGAGACCTTCAGCTCTTTGTCGCGACGACATAGACGAGTCAATAGAGGAAAGAGAATTTTAGGCGCGCAACGCACGTGGTAAGGCGTTGAATGCTCAAGAGCCACGAGGCCTTAGCCCGATTATAGAAGGCCGAGGACACAGCACATTCAGTGAGTGCGGAATAAGTACAATCGGGACCTCTTATCCGGGATCGATAGCAAAATCTGGGATGGGTGAGGGCATGAACACGGATGGGTCAAATGTTGTGACAAATTGGCCCCCCGTCTTATCTGGTTTCTTAGTAAGGCTGCCAGTTTTCCAAATTCCAAGTTTCGCCGGAATTAGCCGAGGACTACTGCATTGGCGGTTGGGTCCGGAATCCAATAACGATCCCCCTGTGGGGTCGCTAACCGTTGATGGGGCCCAATGTCACAGAACGCCAAAGGCGTGAATCACTATAGCTGCAGCCTCATCGGCTAATGGCGTATCCGGTTGGGCCTCGTAAACCGCCATCGGGATATGACTGCCTCGGAGGGACCCCAGTCCTTGGCCCCCCACCCACCGCCGCTTGACTGCCGCATCTTTCTATGCCAACGGATTTCATTCCTACAGGAAGCCCACGATTCAGCCGCCCAGGGTTTGGCGGTTGCATCCCCAAAAGCCCAAACCCTGTTGTTTGGAGAACCCTTCACGCTCGTCGTCTTGTTGCGTCCATTCAGGCCGAGCAGGTTGTTATGCCAAGGTCGTTCGGTCATTCAGAAACTTTGGTTGTGCTGTTGGATTAGCATTTCTGGTACTCGATCTATGCATGCCACTTTTCTTCCGCTTGTCATTAGTAGATGCTAGATATGCGTCCTGGATGTTCCAAAATGGCCTCATTCGTTTGCCAAAGTCATGGAGCTCTGTCTCCGGGCCCGGGATGGTCGATGGCGGGTTCCTGTGTGATTATTCAGTCGCACATGTACTCCCGCTGGAGATGAATTGGAAATCGGTTCGTTGGGATCTCCGACACCCGGAAGAGGTGAATTGCGATGATGAACTTTTTGGGATCATTAAACAGGAGCCTGGTGGCTGTGGGCTGACACCCCGGTTTTACCTATCGGCGCAATTCAGGACCAGGCAGGCTGATCGTTCGCAGTTGAGTCTCACGGGATTGTGTTTCCACCTGTTGTGGAGGAGTGGGGTGATCTCCGATGGCGTGAAGCCGAGAGGAACGGTTATGCGCTCGCTTGATGCTCGACACTCGAACTGACGAATGTGGTTTTGGAAATCAACTGCGGTACTTTGCAAATGGACTAAACTGCGACAACTCCTGATGTTGAATGTGCGGCGTTGGGTTTGCTTTTCTTGGTATTGTCGCTACCATGTTCTTGCGCCATTCAGAGTGCTACGCTTATATAAAGCAGAATCACTTACTTTTACGTTCTTCCTTAGTTCACGCACCCACTACGGAACTGAGGGTATTGCGCTAAGATCTCTAACAACAGCATGATGATCTTTCCTCTCTTCGCGGTGCTGGTGCCAGCTCTTGCGTTAGCTGACTCCCCTTCGACTCACCTCATCGTAACCACCAGCAATAATGTCCAAACGGGCGCTCAATCGCGCCAAACTTTATCGGACTCCATTCTTATCAGTTCCACCGTTGAACCCAACGGTTTAACCAAATGTCATTGTGCACCTGCAACACCCCTGCCATGTCTTCTTCCTGCGGAGGAACACAAGGGTAAAGAGGGAAAGAAAGGGGCTTCGACGGTGTTGGTGAAAACGGTCACCATTGAGGATAATCGCGATCAGACCCAAGTGATCCTCGAGCAGCCAGAGCCAAGTGCTGCTCAGTGGAACCTGTCATCAGCGCTTGGTTTCCAGTATCCAGATATCCCTGTTTGTATCATTACTATCTTTTCATTCGGGCGGGTATTGACTGTCTTGCGCCAGGTCGCGTGGAATCTTCGCGATGTACTGCTGTACGCGGTTAGTATTGGTGCTCAGACTGCGAATCAATCGCTTGTGAACGGTGCGTTCTAATGTTTGCGCCGACCTCAGTCATTGACAATAAGCCGATTTCATCTCCAGAATATAGCAAGTGTTCATTTTCACTGGGATTTCGAAACTGCGTTCTGACACATGTAATCTATGGTTACAGATCCCAATTTCACTGTCTTCCCCAGCTACGCAGCTTGCCTCTCATTTAAAGGTATCAGCTATCTATCTCGAGTCTCATCCTTGGCTTACTTTATTTTACAGGAACCAGCGAGGGCTGGGTCAATTTTACCTCAGGCCGTTACAATGGTCCGATCCCTGGCTTTCCAGATCTCACAAGATTGTGAGTTTTCCCCGTTCATGAACTCAACGCAATGCTAACCCAAGGTTACCTTCCATGGCTAGCCCTCCCGTAAGTGTCTTGTTATTGCATGGGCGATGAGGGATAGTGTCTAACTGGCTATCCGAACGCGTGAAAAGGTTCAAGATTTCCAATATATCGAACCGTATCTGCCTCTTCCCAATAACAGCGGAGCTGTCCCGTGGACGATCAAGAAGAAGATCATCTCAGTCGAAGAACACGTCAGCCCCAGTGGATCGAACCTGATCATCGAGAACGAGCTCACATTATTCGATCCCAACGGCGTGAAATACACTCGTCTTATTGTACGTCATTCAATAAGGCTGAAGGCGACAGCTTTAATTCCCAACCCGCCACCGTATTGAGTCTTCTTCTGACAGGCCGCGACGAAGTACCTTGGTGGCAGCGCGAACGGGTTCAATTACTCAGAGAGGGTTGCTATTGGAATAGAGCCTAAACCCGTTCCTTCCAGAGCCCCGAATCACCAAATTCGTATTACGGTTAGCCCAACGGAGACATTGGTTTATCGGTTAAACGGCGATTATAACGCTTTGCATGTTGGTGAGTTTAGACTTTTGTCCTAGTGTGCGTGTGTATCTCAGGTAAGAATAATATTTCACCCCTACATATTAGACCCTGAAGTGGGCATCAAGTATGGCTATGGAGAATTGCCATTGCATGCACTGTCGTACTTTGGATTTTCGGCCTTTGAACTCGTGGGCCATTTGGGCGGTGGCGACGTTTCATCGCTTCACTCTATGCAAGGCGCTTTTGGGCTTCCTGTTTCTCCTGGAGGTCAGTGCTTCGTCCCATTTTTCGTTCCTTAACACAATTTTATTGATGCCTTCCGGTATCTGGTATAGATGAGCTAGTCCTAAAAGCTTGGGAGGTGGGAAATGGTCCTGATGGAACTAAAGAGATCACCTATGTGGTGGAGGACCTGACAAAGAACTATACTGTGCTTGACCGCGCTGCTGCGTATATCCGAAGGAAATAGGACCATGAAGATCTTCATAGAGTATATACGTGGCCAATCGTGATCCACTTGGGTACAGTATCTTGTGGAGTCCTGCATGCCTAGTATTTTGCAGCGCATGTAGACATAAGTACGAGTTTGGAATTGGATACCAAGTTCAGGCACGTCCACGTTCGCGAATGTGCAGCTCGACATTGACCGTCACGAAGACGCTGATGCAATCTAATTTGATACCGCCATCGGTCGTTGTGTGCCTATGGGCATATTATAGGTTGAGGACCATGACTGCAGTCATCCACAAATAAGTAATACGAGGCCTGGGCTGACAACCTCATCAGGGGATCGACCCAACGATGACTGGACCAACGCAGGTATATATTGGCGATGATACATCCTAGATGTTTAATGCACAATTTACGCCCGCCGGTGGACGTGGTCATGGCATGTCCACGCCCGGGAGCACGATGCCCCACACCTCGGACCTACTGCCCTCTCCAAACGCAATGGCAACAGGGATGTGTACTGCTTATCGAGATAATGGTCCGAAACTTATTGTGTCTCTTACATATTGGAGTTAGATATCGTTAGCCCATAGTGATGCTTCACGAGTTTTCGACTTCCACACCAATATAGCAGACGATGTGGACCCTATCGATTGGGTCTTTCTATTGCATCAACATTCAGCACCTATCAAACCTTGACGTCGTTGCTTACGATGGCATGCAAAAACATGGACCAGTACAAATAAGAGAGATGAGTATCCTTCATATTGAGATTCTATGTTGCGACTGTGATTTGCTATGTTGCGACTGTGATTTGCTATGGGCGTAATTATTCGATCAACCGAAATTTAGGTTGCCTCTGTTAGGACTTGTTCTCCATGAGCAGGCAGCAAAGTGGCAAACACAATGACAAGGGCAAATGAGTGGACCACCGGACTTGGGTCACTCAAGCGTGGACCATTTGTGCCTCGGAATGACGGGAAAGAGCTATATGTAGATTCCTGAGTATATTGTCCAATGGTGGGGCGTATGCTCCTGGGTTAATTTCAACCAGCTGGCGTTGGATCTTGACACTTTCTTCGATGAATGGGAGCGCCTCTGAGTGTCGTCCAAGGTTGGAAAGAGCCAAATATAGATTGTTGAGTGAGATGGCCAAATCCAGGGTATATGGTCCTGGGTGAATGGCAACTAGCTCACGGTATAGTTTGACGCTTTCTTTGATAAATGGGAGTGCCTCCGAGTGACATCCAAGATTGGAAAGAGCACCACGGAGATTGTCGAGTGATCTGGCCAAATCCGGGGTGTATGATCCTGGGTGAATGGCAACTAGCTCACGGTATAGTTTGACGCTTTCTTTGATAAATGGGAGTGCCTCTGAGTGACGTCCAAAATTGGAAAGAGCACCACGGAGACTGTCTAGTGAGATGGCCAAATCCGGGGTGTACGATCCTGGGTGAATGGCAACCAGCTCACGGTATAGTTTGACACTTTCTTCGATGAATGGGAACGCCTCCGAGTGCCGTCCGAGTTTGGAAAGAGCAAAATATAGACTGATAAGTGAACCGGCCAAATCTGGGGTGTATGATCCTGGGTGAATAGCAACGAGCTCGCGCCGGAGTTTGACGCTTTCTTCGATGAATGGGAGCGCCTCCGAGTGCCGTCCAAGGTTCGAAAGAGCCAAACATAGATTGTTGAGTGAGATGGCCAAATGCAAGGTGTATGATCCTGGGTGAATGGCAACTAGCTCGCGCCGGAGTTTGACACTTTCTTCGATGAATGGGAGTGCCTCCGAGTGCCGTCCAAGTTTGGAAACAGCCAAATATAGATTGTTGAGTGACAGGGACAAATGCGGGGTGTAGGACACTGAGTCCACAGAGAAAAGGTAGCGGCAGAGTACCACAGAATCGCTTGCTGCCTCTTCTGCCTCCTGGAATCTTGACAAAAATACCAAATTCCACGAAAGATCAGCAAGCACATTAGCTAGTGCGCCGACAGCAGCTTTCGAGCTGTGGTCAACAGACAACTGGAAGATCATGAGATAGTTTCATTAACACAACCAACAATCCATACCTTGACCCACTCAGGGAGTAACGAGATACTGATGTAGCCCTCCATTCTCACACAGACTTCCACCCAGCGAGTTGCTTGCTGGCTGAGAAACATGCCAACTGACCCATTGAGCTCTTGAGATGGTTGCTGGACTCCGTTCAGGTGATGGACAATATGACGGCATGCATAACGAAAGTGTTCAGATAACTCCTCTGGAGGGATACGCGGCATTTCATCTCTTTCGGACAAGTTTTCAATCAGTTCTAGGCCCCCTACGGAGCAAAGATCCTGGTTCAAGATCTCAGTACATCGCAGGGCAATCCTGGCATTCTCTGTCCTCAAATCTACTGGACCGCAACCAAGGTCGATGGATGGGAGATCGATCCGATCCACAATAAAGTCGCGGAATGAATTGTGTAGTGTGCGAATCGGAATGTGAGGATCATCGACCCCCGAGAGGAGAGGAGCGAGTTCAGCCAATGCATATCGGACAGAAGAATTGAGAAAAGGTGACAAGATCACACCCCAGGCAGTGACAGACAGAGGCTGCTGCGCAGCAATGATTGCTCCCATCACAATTGGGTAGTCATGTGAAAAATCTTCATCTTCCCAATTACACCTTTTCAAAATGGTCGTGTATAAGCGATCCATCATTCCCTCGGCAGGGACTTTTGAACGTTTGGTGCCAGTATCGAGCAAGCGCCCCAGTGTCCTCGTAGGATCGTAGCTGTTCGTCTCCATGTAGCGGAAGATGGTGCTGACCCAAATAAACAAGCCATTTGCTCGTTCCAAAATCTCCTCCACTTTTTTGTCCTCGTCCTGAAGATTATCGCGTAACTCTGGATGCGATTTCTTCAGCTCTTGAAGCCGGAAACTTATGTATGTAGCGCAGTCCTGCACATTCGTCTCATCCAAGAGATCAATAGTGAGTCGATTGATAGGGTAATTGGGGGAGAGGAAACGATTCACGAGATCAAATTGTCTCGATGTGATGAAGAATTTTATGGAAGATGGTAGCCTGGGCACCTCCTCCCTAAGGATTTCGGCAAAGGGCAGAAACGCGGTTTTGTCACACTCGTCCAGAGCATCAATGATGACGACCATGGAATGACCGGAAGGCGGAGGTGTATGGAGGAGAGGCAAAGCCACCAAGTTCTCAAATTGCTTCGCCAGTGGGGCTGTTGAGAGAGAAGGGTCTTTTCGAAGAGCAGAGATAATGGAAGTGCGGTAAACCGGGTCACGGTCTGCTAAGGCTCGGGCTATACCGGTGAATAGAAAATCGGGGTGCGCCCGTTCACCCGCTTTAAAGAAGAAGTGCAGTAACAAAGTAACGTCTCCTTCGTTGGCACATCGTTCTGCTATCGTGAGCGCAATTGAAGTCTTGCCAGCACCGGCCACAGCAGTCAATAGCATTAGCCGATTCTCACTCTCCCCAGTGTTGCGACACCATGTCATGATACGTTCAGTGAGATCAACCCTGGTGCCCTCTAGGCACGCCTGATTGGAAACACTGAGGGGGATATGAGGGTATTGGAGGCTCTCGAGAATTTTGTCGTCCTGTTGACGACGTTCTATGGCCATTAATTTGGCACCAGTCATTAAGTTCGTCCGAACCTGCATCCTCCGAAAATCAGAATGGTTATGGAACGATACCCTAAGGAAAGCTACCTGAAATGATGCTAATGCTTTGTCAAAATTTTTCTTCAGGCCATTAATCCTTCCTGGGTCTCGCAAGTACGAAAATGCATTTATTAAGGCTGGTCGTTTCTCTACTCTTTCCCTTCTTCCTTGGATTTCGGACTCAATCACCTGTAGAGCGCTAGGATTTGATGTACGTAACGATAGCAAGGACCACCAAAAGCAGGTACAACTTACTTTTTGAGCTTTGTGGCACTCTCCACCCACTGATTTGCCTCTTCCGCTGACGCATCGTAAGATTTTATGACTAAAATGACCTCGACTACGGTGTCGGCCACGTATTGACCAAAATCAACCCACTCCTTCTTGTTGTCCTTGAACTTCTACGTTGCCCAAACTAATGTGAGCTTCCAGTCACGGCCAAGCACAAATGGTTGCCAACCTGAACCTCGTCGAGGATGGAGAGTGCACCGCTAGTCGCCATCTTGAGAGGGGGACACCAATCGGCCGTAGCATTGACGACCTTGAGAATTGGGACCACTATGTCAACTCCCTCCGCGAGGAGCTCATCGATCTTATGCCTGAGAATTTCAGCCTTTTGCTGCGCCGACATGCTCGATAGCGGACAATGGGATGGCTTTGGGGACGCAACACGCGCGTGAGCTCAGAGCCACGAGGCCTCCCTCTGATTATGGAAGGTCGAGGAAGAGTATAATAAATACTTTTGGCCTCCGATCCAATATCAACGGCGAATCCTAGCAAGCGCGCGCGGTTGACATGACTCGAGCTGGTCAAGTGGGACGGATGATGACATCAAGTCTTGATTAAGTCCCGGCCATCTACTCCGAGAGAAGAACTGCACGCAGCATGAGTGTGGTTGGGAACCCGTGAATTCGATATGAACTGGCAAGGATATCTATGGAACATCATACTGAGGCACCAGTCGGGGGCGGTCAGGGCTCGCGGTAAGCGCCGGTTGTAGTCAGGCCAAGGTCCCACCTGGAGGCGCCGTAATGTCACTCAAACCTGCATCCCTTTCTTTCCTCTGTGTATCATCACCTCTGTCCCTCATGGAACAAGCTCCTCTGCGTATGAGTTTTGCTGGATGCGCCTTCGTAAATAAGATTCCTGACATTGGTGATGGGCGTCTAGCTATACAGCGAGCTTCTCATTGGGACATCGTGACTGTGTGGTTCTCAGTCTGCCGACACAATGCAGCCCTCCCGTGAGCGAGATCAATGTGATCTTCGACATCACCGGAGCCGTCTCTGATTACAATAAATCAGATCCTTCGATCCTCCTGTGGTGTCCCCCTTTGCTGGACGGTTGGAACGGCTTCACTGACATCGTCTGTATTGCCGCTCACTGGTTTCTATGCCTCCCAGGCGGTCATAATGATCAAATGAGTCATTCGCGCACGGAAAGTTGTGAGCTGGGCGTTACGTTGTTGGATGACGACGATAAGTTGTTACTGCCATCGACTAGAACACAGCGCTTTCCAGGCTGCAACAATGGCTGCATGCTTCCTAGTTGTGTAAGCAGAATGATAACGTTTAATGCGACACCGTCCTCTCTCTCCTCCGCATGACTCAAAATTTCAATCTTCGTCCAAATTCTAACTCCACATAGGTATCCCACCATTGAGACCCACAAAGAGTTAGACGGGAAGACCTACACAGTCCAATCCCACAGCGGATGCGCACATGTCGAGAGATCCTAACAAGCCAATACAGAAAGGGACCCAAAAAATCAGCAAGCCACGACACGCAAGAGTACAATACCACACTTCAGACTTTCCACTCCATTCCAACACAATGGCAATGACTTATTCCTGTGTCGAGATATTACCTATTCGATTGAAGCCTACATGGAGTTTGTATGCATTTGAGATACTTACCACACGCCTACGCTACACTAGCTAGACCACCATCCCCGGACCTTCACACTCTCTAACAACGCTGATGCGCCAATTTCGCCTTTCAATTGCGCCGACACCGATCATTTCATGCAAGTCCCGGCTCCAGGATCATTGCACACAATGGTGTGCGGAAACGGCAAAACATCAGTAGTAGAAGACAAAATGTCATATAGAAATGGGTGTTCTTGATATTAGAATTCTAAGTAACAACCGTGATCAGAGCAGCCAAGAAAGCCCGTAAACGTTCCCAAACCAAAAATCAACGTCAATATTCCCGAACTGAACACCCAACCGGCTTGTGTGCATTACAGTGCGGGTAGCAACGAGATGCAATAATAAGGGAGGTGTTCAAATTAGTGCCTCGGGATACGCCCAAGGTTAGAAAGAGCGGTACGTAATTCATTGAGTGACATATCCAAATTTGAGGCGTGTAATCCTGGGTTAACGGCAACCAGCCCATGGTAGAGCTCAACGCTTTCCTCGATGAACGGGAGCGCCTCCGAGTGCCGTCCGAGATTCGAAAGAGCGTTATATAGATTCTTGAGTGACCAAGCCAAATCTGCGTTGTATGATGCTGGGTGAACGGCAGCTAGCTTGCGCCGGAGTTTGACGCTTTCTTCAATGAATGGGAGCGCCTCCAAGTGCCGTCCGAGATCCGAAAGAGTGTTATATAGATTGTGGAGTGACAATGCCAAATGTGAAGTGTACGATCCTGGGTGAGCGGCAACTAGCTTGCGCCGGAGTTTGACGCTTTCCTCGATGAACGGGAGCGCCTCAGAGTACCGTCCGAGATTCGAAAGAGAGACAGATAGATTGTTAAGTGAAAAAGCTAAATCTGGGGTGTACGATCCCGGGTAAACGGCAACTAGCTCGCGCTGGAGTTTGACGCTTTCTTCTATGAATGGGAGCGCCCCCAAGTGCCGTCCGAGATTCGAAAGAGAGGTATATAGATTGTTGAGTGACAAAGCTAAATCTGGGGTGTATAATCCTGGGTAAACGACAACTAGCTCGCGCTGGAGCTTGACGCTTTCTTCGATGAATGGGAGTGCCTCCGAGTGCCGTCCGAGACTCGAAAGAGAGGTTAAGTGACAAAGCTAAATCTGGGGTGTGTAATCCTGGGTAAACGGCAACTAGCTCGCGTCGGAGCTTGACGCATTCTTCAATGAATGGGAGCGCTTCCGAGTGCCGTCCGAGATTTGAAAGAGCGCAGTACAGACTGTTGAGTGACCACGCCAGATCTGAGGTGTACGATCCTGGGTGAGCGGCAACTAGCTTGCGCAGGAGTTTGACGCTTTCCTCGATGAACAGAAGTGCCTCCGAGTGCAATCCAAGATTCGAAAGAGGGGAATATAGATTGTTGAGTGACAAAGCCAAATCTGGGGTGTATGATCCTGGGTGAATGGCAACTAGCTCGCGCCGGAGCTTGACGCTTTCTTCGATGAATGGGAGCGCCTCGGAGTGCCGTCCGAGATTTGAGAGAGCACAGTACAGACTGTTAAGTGACCATGCCAAATCTGAGGTGTACGATCCTGGGCGAACGGCAACTAGCTTGCGCCGGAGTTTGACGCTGTCCTCAATGAATGGGAGCGCTTCCGAGTACCGTCCGAGGTTGGAAAGAGCTAAATATAAAGTGTGGAGTGCCCTGGCCAATTCCGGGTTGTAGGACTCTGACTCCACAGAAACAAGGTAACGGCAGAATTCAACTGAATCGCGTGCTACCTCATATGCTTCCCCAAATCTTGAGAAAAACTTCAAATTCGAATGAAGCCGGTCAAGCACATTGGACAGCGTGCAGATAGCATTTTTTGATTTTTGGTCAACCGCCAACTGGAAATTCATGAGCTAGTTTTTATTAACACAATTGGCAATCCACACCTTCGCCCAATCAGGGAGCATCGAGATACTGATATATCCTTCCATTCTCACACAGATTTCCATCCAGGGAGTGGCTTGCTGATTGAGAAATACGTGTACTGATTCATCGAGCTCCTGTGACGGTTCCTGCACTCCACTGAGGTGATAAATAATCTGACGACATGCATAATGCATGTGCTCCGATAACTTCTCCGCGAGGATGCGTGGCAGTTCATCTTGTTTGGATAAGTTCTCAATCAGTCCCAAGCCCCCCTCTATAGAGCGAAGGTTCTGGTTCAGAATCTCGGTACATCGCAGGGCAATCCTGGCATTCTCCATCCTTGCATCTACTGGACCGCAACGAATGCTGATTGACTGGGGATCGATCCGATCCAGAATAAAGTCACGGAAGGATTGGTGTAAGATGCGAATCGGAGTGTAAGGCTCCTCAACTCCCGGGGGGAGAGGTGCAAGTTCAGCCAACGTATATCGAATCGACGAATTCAAGAAAGGTGACAAAATCACATCCCAAGCTGTGGCAGACAGGGGCTGTTGTGCAACAAAAATTGCTCCCATCACAACTGGGTAGTCGTGTGCAAAATCTTCGTCCCTCCAATCACACTTCTTCAGGATGCTTGTGTACAAGCGATCCATCATTTCCTCAGCAGACATTGCTGAGCGATCGGTGCCTGTACTGAGCAATCTTTCTAGCGTCCTCATAGGGTTTTTGTTGGCCATCTTCATACAGCGGAAGATGGTGCTAATCCAAATAAACAAGCCACCTGCTCGTTCTAAGATCGCCCGTACCACCTTCTCTCCGCCCTGAAGCTTATTCCGTACGCCAGGATGACAATCCTTCAGCATCTGCAACTGGGAACGAATGTAAAGAGCGCAGTCCCGCACGTTCATGTCATCCGAGAGATCGATGGTAAGACGATCAATGGGGAAATCGGGGGAGAGGAAGCGGTTAACAAGATCAAATTGTCTCGACGTGATGAAGAATTTTATCGAGGATGGTAATTTGGGGACTTCCTTCCGAAGAATATTGGCAAGGGGCTCAAATGCCTCTTTGTCGCATTCATCCAATGCATCGATGATGACCACCAAAGGACGACCAGAGAGCGGAGGTCGATGGGAGAGGAATGGAGCCACCAATTTCTTGAATTGCAATGTAAATGGCGCTGTTGATAGAGTGGGATCTCTTTGAAGAGCAGAGATAATGGAGGAGCGGTATCCTCGATCATGATTTGCCAGCGCTCGAGCCATACCGCTGAATAGACGATCAGGCCGCGACTGTTCACCCGCCTTGAAAAGGAAACTCATCAATAAGGCGCCTTCCCTTTCGCACCTTTCCGCAATCGTGTGGGCAATCGAAGTCTTGCCAGCTCCGGCCACAGCGGTGAGAAGCATCACCCGGTTCTCGCTGTCCCCAGTGTTGTGACACCAGGCCATGATACGCTCGGTAAGGCCGACCCTGGTGCCTTCTAGGCATGTCTGAGTTGAATCATGGTAGGCGACGTCAGGGTATCGGAGTCTACCAAGAATCGAGTCATCTTCCATGGCTGACACTTTGACACCGATTCTTAACTTCGTCCTAAGCTGAAGCTGCATCGGCCTAAGATCAGAATGGTTATGGGTGATACTTCGAGGAAAATTACCTGAAAGGACGCCAGTGCTTTGTCAAGATCTTTCTTTAGGCCCTCGATCCTTTCCGGGTCTCTTAAGTAGGATAATGCATTTATTGGAGCCGGCCATTTCTCTATTTTTGTGCGTCTTCGCTCGATTTCGGACTTAATCCTCTGTACCGCGCTAGGACTTGATGTAAGAATGACACTGAAGACCACCAAAAACAAATATAATTTGCCCATCAAGCTTCGTGGCACTCTCCACCCATGGCTTTTCTGCTTCCGCTGACGGATCATAGGACTTCATAGCTGCAACTACCTCGGCCACGTTGTCGACGACGTATTTCCCAAAGTCCTCCCATTCCTTCTTATTCTCCTTGAACTTCTGCACCAAACCGTCAGCCTTGGTTCGCAAACCCAGAATAAAATAATTACTGACTTGGACCTCGCTGATGATGAAGAGTGCGCCACTGGTCGCACTCTTTAGAGGAGGGTACATATCAGTGGCAGCATTGATGGCCGTGAGAATTGGGATAGCCATATCGCCTCCCGCTGCGAGGATACCATTGATCTTTCGCCTGAGATCATCGGCCTTTTGTCGCGATGACATAGTAAGTGTGGACGAGTCGATAGAGGAGAGAGAATTTTAGGCGGGCAACACACGTGGCGAGGCGTTGAATGCTCAAGAGCCATAAAACCTCAGCCCGATTATGGAAGGCCAAGAACAGATATTCAATGAGGGTGAAATAGTATCGGGACTTCTTATCCAGGATCGATAGTAAAGTCTGGCATGGCGAAGGCATGACACGGATCGGTCAAATATTGGGACAAATGATCATAACGGTCCCCATCTAGTTTCCTAGAGCAAAGGCTGCGAGTTTTCCAAGTAAGCTTGTAGTGTTGTAGTGTTTAACATTCAATGGTCCAAATATCATAGCTCGGCGTATTTGGGGCGCTGTTGTCGTTTAGTCCGATTGCGGCTGGCTTACGGATCCAAACGTTTTTGGTATTCGGTTTCACCGGAATTAGCCGAGGACCACTGGCAATTCAATACCACGCTCGCCTTACAGCATGCATTACTTTGGATTCAGCAGCGGAATGCATTCAATGTATTTAAATGAAAGAGAATAAAGAACGTGAAGCCATGTAGTTCGCAAGAAAGGACATATTCCAGGAGCAAGGTATCGGAACACCATGCCACTCCATTTAACGCGAACATGACCGTGTCACGGGCGGGCAAGCAAATACACAGTTATGTAATACGAAAATTCAATCAGGTAAGGAAGAGGATAAGCGGCTGAATGAACTAAACCAAAGTCGATCGGGAGATAATATTGAGAGATTGAATTACTTGCAGGAAAGAACAACATCACGAGACCAGATAAGAAGCACGTGAGGCATTCCCACATTAATTTCAGCGAAACGTTACGTAATGGTGCGAAAGTGGCGTATTAATCCGACGCCACATCACTAGCCTGATGAGGCTGCCACTAGCCCCATCAACGGTTGGACTTCGTAAACAGCTATCGGGACGTGGCTCCCGCGGAGAGATGCCAGCGATGAACAGATTTAACTGAAGAATGCTCATCTGTTTAGTCCGTGTGTGCCCCTTGACCCCCATCATCCACCGACGCCTGCAAGGGGTTTGTGTGCCTACAGCCCACGTGTCAGTTGCTCATGCAGGGTTTGGCAGCTAAATCCCCCGGAGCCTGTTGTTTGGAAAGGCTTTCAGAGGCTTGTGCTTGTCGTCTTGTTACGTCCAGTCAGGCACTATGTATGACAGCTTCACGGACCCGAATGTCGGAAATGAAGGCTGAAGTAAGGTATGGGGCGTAGTCTGGCATTACTCCGGAAACTCGGAGGAAGGCTCTTTGCTCTTACGCCGATTTTCGCATCCAGAACCATGGAGTGAGCATGGCCATTTAGGGCCTCCACTCACATTATCAGAGACTGTTTCACATAATGCAGTTCCGCTCGAAGCCATGCCACTATCAATGTAAGATAGTTGTAAGTGACCATGAATAACCGTATTCCTCACCAACTCGTACAAACCCCGTAAATGTTCAAGTCTGACCAGGCAGAAAACCAGATGCACCATGGTAAATTGATCATTCTAAATTTACCACGGTTATCGACGATAACGAAATAGGTCATTTTCATGGTATTCTAATCCACTGTGTACCAATAATCCCAGTATGCACTGGTCCTGGCGCAACAGGCGAAGTAAAATTCCCACGAATTTCGTCTTGCCCTTGTAGGCGAGGCAATACCATCCAGTGGCGTCGCCTCCGTATATATTGACTCAATTCCGATGTCACACCACTGGCCGAAGACACCATCGGGCTGCATCGACCGATGAGGCTGCCACCTGCAGTGGTCCACACTGTGGCATTTTTGGCATTGGCTGCATCAACTGTTGGGCTGCATAAGTGTCGTCGAGATGCCAACGCCGAAGCAGATTGAACTCGAGATTGTTGGTTGCGTGTCTGCACAGAGCTTATGGTTCAATTGCTCAGGGTTGGTCATTTGCAGACCCAAACCCCATTGTCTGGACAACGCCTCAGAAACAGCTCGTGCTCGTCTTGCTGCATAGATTCAGGCGCTGGGGTAGGTCGGTCAAGTCGCAAGGCAAAGTCTTTCGGCCATCCAGAAACTTGATCTTTGCTATTGGGATTAGAATTTCTGTCACTCGATCTATCTATACCACTTTTCTTCCGCTTGCCATCAGTGGTAGCTTTCCTAGCACTACGTGTCAGATGCTCGATCGGAAGCATTCCAGCTCGCATTTCCCATCATGCATCATCGTGGCCTCATTCGTTCGCCAAAGTGAAGACCCAAGATTGTGCTTTGTGTCCGGGAGCAACCTACCTGGTTGAACACCTAGTGTTTGTGAAAGCTGGTGGCTAAGCTGTCGTGCCGACTTTACGGTGTCTGGGCCTCCGAAGCAGTTCGGAAATGCACAAACATGTCCCACGCCGGGCATCAACGCTCCGTGCATGACCACTCGGAAACCCCTTCTCACCTAATCACCGCAACAGCTGGTGTTCCTTTACCATGCCACGCATCCGGCGGGAATGCTAGCAGTTGCTTTTGATCTATGATTGCGATCTTGACCTTTTAGGTCATTTCGAGTTGATGATGAGGGACAATAACGTGGGCCTAAAAACAACCCAAGGCAGAACACAGGCAGACTCGTTTCTCAAGCTAATGGTTCTGTTGTGGAGAAGAATGAGGCCGCAATACTTGTCTCCAACGGGATGCAGCCGAAGAGGAGCCGGTATACACTCAATCCTCAACACTTGAATTAATGAACGTGGTTCTAGTAATCAACATTACTTCGAATGCCGATTATAGTTTCTACAAATGGATGCAGTGCGAACCAGAACCCCTCCATATTTCCCCCGGCAACTTGTGTGATCATCCAATGCATGAACCGTTGTTAGCATAGAACAAGCGCATCACCCAAACCCTTTCCTCATCCCTGGACCTCACAACCCTAACCCTATGGCTGTTTGACGTCGAGGCATAACTGTGACGGGCTCACGATGTTGAGCGTGTGGCGAATTGCCCCTCTCGGCATTGTTCCTGCCAAGCGCTTATAAAAATCAAATTTGTCACCTTTACGTCTTTCCTCTGTCCACGTACTACAACCAGACCTCGAACAACGCCATGACTATCTTCCCCCTCCTCGCGGCGCTGCTGCCGGCTCTTGCATTGGCTGCCACCCCTCAGTGGAACCTGTCATCAGCTCTCAATTTCCACTATCCTGATATCCCTGTTCGTGACAGTATCTTCTCATTAGGGCTAGTATTAACTGTCTTGCACCAGGTCGCGTGGAATCTTCGTGATGTGCTGTTGTACGCGGTTAGTATTGGTGCTCAGGTCGCGAATCAGACACTGGTGGATGGTACGTGCTTATGTTTGCTTGCTAGCCTCAGTCAGTGATAACAAACTGATGTTGTCTCTAGAATATAGCAAGTGTCGTTTTCACTGGGGTATCGAAACTGTCTTCCAACACGTCTAATCCATGGTCACAGACCCCAATTTCGCCGTCTTCCCCAGCTACGCGACTGCCCTGTCATTTAAAGGGACAAGCTATTCATTTTCGGCTTCAATCCCTGACTTACCTTATTTGGACGTTTTTCAGGAACCAGCGAGGGCTGGGTTAATTTTACCACGGGCCGTTACAATGGTCCAATCCCTGGCTTTCCGGATCTTTCAAATTGTGAGTCTTGTCCAATCGTAAACCCAGTGACGCAAAGCTGACTTTTCATGGCTAGCCCTCCCGTAAGTGTGTTTGTTATTGTATGAAGGATGAGGGATAGAGTTTAACCGGCTATCCGAACGCGACAAAAAGGTTCAAGATTCTCAATATATCGAACCGTATCTGCCTCTTCCGAATGACAGCGGACCTGTCCCGTGGACGATCAAGAAGAGGATCATCTCAGTCGAAGAACGCGTCAACCCCTCGAGTCTGATCATTGGGAACGAACTCGTGTTGTTCAACCCTAAGGGCGTGAAGTACACTCGTCTTATTGTGCGTCATTCAATACGGCTGAAGGTGACAGCTTTAACTCCCGGCCTGTTTTCTTCTGATAGGCCACGACCAAGTACTTCGGTGGCACCGCAAACGGCTTCAATTTCTCAGCGAGCATTGCTGTTGGAATAAAGCCCAAACCTGTTCCTTCCAGAGCGCCAGATCTCCAAATTCGTATTCCGGTTAGCCCAATCGAGACACTGATTTATCGGTTGAACGGCGATTATAACGCTTTGCACGTCGGTGAGTTTTAAAAGGTGTACATACTTTGTTAAGTGTGGGCAATACTCAGATAGGATTTCTACCCACATAGACCCCTCCGTGGGCCTCAAATTTGGCTATGGAGGATTGGTATTGCATGCACTGTCGTACTTTGGATTTTCGGCCTTTCAACTTGTGGGCCACTTGGGCGGTGGCGACGTTGCATCACTTCATTCTATGCAAGGCGCCTTTGGGCTGCCCATTTCTCCCGGTGGTCAGTGCTCGTCGTATTTTCGTTCCTGACGCGATGTTATTGATGCCTTCCGGAATCTGGTATAGATGATCTACTCCTTAAGGCTTGGGAAGTGGGACATGGTCCTCATAGGACTAAAGAGATCACCTTTGTTGTGGAAGACTTGACGAAGAAGACTATCGTGCTTGATCGCGCTGCTGCGTTTATCCGAAGGAAATAAGGTTATGGAGATCTTTATAGTGTTTGTGTGATGAATACGTAGTTGATTGTGATTTACTTGGGTGCAGTATCTTGCGGAGTCCTTTCTAGTATGGGTGCAGTGTAGATATATATAACTATGAGTTCGATATACCAAGTCCATGGTTGCGAATGCGCAGTTTACAAGTCATCGCGAAGAGGCTGGCAACTGGCTAGTTGTTACTGAAATCCAGAAAGCATGTGATCTAATTTGGTGCCGACGGAGTGCGGTCATTGACAAATAATGCGACATCTCCCATCAAGGGACAGTTGAGCCAACGATGGCTGGATGAACACATTAATGTCGTTTTCTAACGATGGTAAATGGTCAATATATTTGCCTCGCCCGACGCCGACTTGGTCATTTGCGACTATTATGGCAGTAGTATACAGTACGCGTACTCCAGTCACTGCTTCCCAGTCACTCCCTATGGCAGGATAGCATCTCGCCGTCACCCCAACCAAAAATCTCCCTCTCGTCCGACCAGCCCGAGCAATTCGACACATACCACTGTGACATGATTCCGCCGTCGTCACCATCGCGTATGCAACGGACCACCGACCTCCTTATGTTACGAATGTCACCCGACGAGACACGAGCATCACAAATAAAGGATCGATCCTGCAACTTTCTCTAGCCCCACTGATTGTTTGGAAAGTGAAGTCCAAAATCGTAATGCCAAAGGTCTTTTTTCTAGCAACGGCAGTTTTTGGTTACCATCGTGGTTTTTCGGAAAGGTATCGTGATAACTGACCCCACGCTTGAAACACACTGTACACACTATCTCGGCTCTCCACTTGGCCATCGCGGAATTTTAAGTATGCTGCAGCTCAATGCGCGTCAAATCCCCACCAGACGACGATTCTAAGAAGCGCGTGAATACGTGGGGGTCCAGAATAAGCCGGCTAAGTTTAGGGCAAGTGTTTCGGTTGGGGTTGGGGAAGGAAGAGTGTGGAGCTGGACTGAGTAGAGAAAGCTCCTTGGAAAGCTGCACTGGGGAGTTCAGAGAAATCATACCACTCCCACATTTAAGTGGGGTAAATTAAATGGATATGGACACAAGTAATAATGTATGTTTTGAGATTAGAGAATGCTTTTGTACCGTTCGCAGGAGATCCCGTGTCAACCAGCAGGGTCGCTCTAATTCTAGGACACGCAAGCGAGAGGTCGTCTTCCCCAAAAAAATGTTGGTGCTTTGGAGAAGTTCGATGAGGGCATCCAATATTTCGTGCCTGTTCGGGCGAGAGCTTCTAGCGTGGCAGAAAGGCGCTGGATGGCACATTGTAACCCATGCGGATGACCTCGATTGGCCGATGTGAAAAGTTTCACACCAGGTGAAGGGACCAGCACGGACTCGAGCTCGTCAGACATTTTGCATGGTGAACTGACACAAGTAGCCTCTGGAGGCGGACAGGGGGAGGGGGAACGAACAGCACGTCAAACAGAGTGCTCACTTACTGTAAAGCTACGTAATGAATGACACTACTGATGATGCGCAGGTACATAATACATAAGAAAATGTCATTTGGCAATCCGGTTACCTGAGCTCCTTCCAAAATTCTCCCAATTGGGTTAATTGGACCGGGTCTGGCATCAAGGCCCCGATCGAAAATATTCACTCGATTCCAAAACGCCCACGGTCCAGCGTTCACACGGAGCCATCTGATCAAGACCGTCAGCTGGTCAGTATATACCATCTCAAAGGAGATCGATAATCCAAAGTCTAACGAACAACCTTCTGACCTTACTGTAATTGTCGTCTGGTGGAACGTTCGAGTATGGGTTCTATAGGTCTATTTAACGAGCATACTTGATCGTCACCTTTCACAACAATCACCGACCACCTGAAAATGTGGACCAAAACTCCGCTGTTATATTCTGAAAGCATTTCCTCTCGTTTGGGCTGCAATGTTTTTTTGAAACTAGAGGCAAGCCCCCCGGGTCCTACAAGTTGATCGGCAATACTTAGTACACACATACGTTCTTCCTTCAGACCCTTCAGCCCACATTGAACTTCAAGCAGCGCTCACAAACCAAGTTTGCAAAGCAGCAATTCGAAAAACATGGTTCTTCTCTTCATCTCGTGATGGCATCTGGTGGAAATGCTGCATTTGCATTGGCATATGCAGCTCACACTCTGGGAGTCAAGTGTACCGTATTCATACCTAGGGAGGCCGGGAAGAAGATCGCATTAGATGCTTTGCGACGTTGGGGAACTGAGACCATTGTGGATGGTGACTGTTACCAAGACGCCCTTTCCAGAGCGCATGAGTTCGCCTCTAAGCACGAGAATGCGTAAGGCAGTAAAGTCTGGGGGGTAAAAAAACCGGATCTATTCACGACTTAACAGAGTCATGGGATCGCCATATGAATACCCTGTACTCTGGGAAGGGGTCTCTACCATGGTTGATGAGATTGCCGAGCAGTTACCTTCTGATGCATCGCCTCCTGCCGCTATCCTATGCAGTGTTGGTGGTGGGAGCTTGCTTGGGGGAATGCTATTGGGATGCAATCGGCACGGATGGGAAAATAGTGAGCTGTTCCCCCTTTGATCCAAATAACCCCCTCTCAAATCATTCCACGGTGTGGGTATCCTAGCTCGTATCATCGCCGTGGAGACTCAGGGTGCAGAGAGCACATACTCCTCCATCATGGCGGCGGAAGGATCCCCAGACTCACTGGGTTGGGACAGAAATATTCAGACTCATGTGGACGAAGAGACCGGTGTAACCGTTGCCACTCTAGCAAAAGTGACAACTCGTGCCACCTCCTTGGGCTCCGTCATCACTGCTCCCGGCGTTCTAAAGATGGCGCTCGATCGTCGTGCAAAGGGCAAGGGTAAATATGAAGGCGGTCTGACAACCGTTAGTATCCCTGACGAGTTGGCAATGCTTTCTGGGTTGAGCTTCCTTGGTAAATTTAATATTTAATATTATTTCTTCCTTTTTTACTAAACTTCGATACATCCTCAAGACGAGCATAAGATAATGGTTGAATTAGCTTCGTCTGCGACGCTGTCCCCAATATACTCCCCACAACTCTTCCGCGAAATCTTTGGCGTTAGCACGACGGCGAACAGACTAGAAGAGAAACCCAAGACGCTGGTGTTCATTGTCTGTGGCGGATTCAAGATCACCGCAAGTGAGATGGAAACCTACAGGAAGGAACTTGAGGCTGGTGGCGTTGACGGCAAGCTGGCTTTCGTGGATGGTATGAGGGTAGATCTGTGAGGAGAAACAGTACTGCAATCCTTTCCATGGACTGTAATATAATACATCGACAGTAGGGCGAATTGAGAAGCAGTCGGAACACATCAAGAATAGGGAAGGCCACCCGGATCACATAAGCGTTGACGGAACATCCAGCTGCCATTTAGTGCTCTGCGCTGGATGTTGAAGTTCTGCTTCCCTTGGGGCTCCGCGGTATGCATAGGTCTTCATCGTCTGGATCCGAATCTGGTACGGCATCGTCGCTCATGAGCAGTGCTATAGCATCCTCCAATGGTTGAATGTTTCTCCAGCTTGCCCCTCGACCAATTCGGGTGAATGGACGTTTTGGAGACATCGTTCCCTCGTTCCCATCCTCTGGCTCAGAGGAGGATAGGTCGATGCGACGGCGTTTGGGTACGCGAACGTGCTCCGGAGTGCTGGGCAAGGAATGGTCTAGTAGCCCCCCGAGGGGATCGAAAGTTTCTAGCTCGGGCTTTCGATTATATTGAGATCTATTTGCTCCATTCGATGTGGCCAAGGGCGGTTTTGAGGGAAGGGGAGAAGAATTTGGAACAGACGAATGGGATTTTATCCTTCTCCGTTCATGCTCTTGGGTTATCACATCAGACACGCCGTTCCACTCCGAATGACTATGGCTCATACCTGACACGTACGATGTTGAGTTGGATAGCTTAGAGGTGGAGAATGTTGCTGCATTACTCGACGAAGCATCCTTCAGTTGGAAATACTGATACAAATGCCCAACCAAGTAAGGGTCTGCAAAAAACAAGTCGAATTATTGCTTACTCGGTCTCGCCAATGCTCTAAATCATGTTGCACTTCGGCAAGTCGTCGTGAGCCCTCGAGAATTTTTGCCTTCTTCTCCTCGATCGATCTAGCGCGAACATTGTTATTAACATCATCCTTGCAACTCCTGAAACTGTACCTAGTTCCTTCCGACTGCAGTGCCTCTGAATTGCGGAGCTTGCGGGTTGCAAATGGGTTAACTGTGCCAAAAGTGAACGGATCTTGCTCACTCTATTTCTAAGGCTTTTGTTCTCCTCCAGGATCTTGTCCCTAGCCTCGCCTTGAAACCTCAGTTCTGAAGCCCTCTCTACTAGTTGGCTAAAAAAAAAAACCATCAGTACACCCGATATTCCCAACGAACAGAACACATTACCGTCTGAGCTCAGCATTCTCTTTCTCTAGATTCTCAACCTTATGATATTGGTGAGGCAAAGTAACCGGGGGCGGTCAGATGTCATACCTCCACCTCCAACCTCGAACACTTGCGTAACATCTTCTCTGAGTCTGCGGTTCTTCCTTCAAGCTGTTTCTGGCAATCCGTTGCAATGCTGCGAATGAATTGAGATCATGGGTAGATGCAAGACGAACGAAGCGCGTACGTGGACAAATGTTTCCGCTGCAGGCACGGTCAGCAATTAGCTAGGTACCGAAATGAGCATAGCGACCCACCTCATCTTCAACGCTCTCCAGTTCAACTTCTAGGTCGCGCACCAGTTTCTCGGATGCGGCATATTTCCGCCTTGCATGGTCAAGTTCCCTACGCGGGAATGTTGGTTAGGTTGTTTGTGTACGAACTAGTTTTGTGCACCCACTCCCGAAGTTCTTGTCGATAGGTGATACCCGTCCTTAAATCCATCTCTACACGTTGTAGCGAGTTGTTAAGGTCTATAACCTGAGCAGAGAGGCATAGATTATCTCGCTTGAGCATGATCTCGTTATGGGTTCGTTTCCTTCGGCAAATGGCTGGGATACTTCCATGATCCAATCTTTCCCTCAGCAAGTCGACATTCAGAAGCAGCCTTGTTACCGCAATCTATGAAACAAAGGAATAAATTGAGTCTATAATACATAAACGACGCGTTCTCTTACTTGTGTCTCAATGTCTTTGATGGTCTGGACGCCCTGAGACCACCGGCGTATATCATCTAGGACACTACCAAGGATGGCTGGTGTCGTCTCAATCCCAAGAACACTTAGCCGCTGAGAGAGAGCCTCAGATTCGGCACGTTGTTCCTCCGTAAGAACAGAAATGGGAGGAGGATCGCTACTCCCCTCCTGGTCTTGTTCCCGCTTGTCGGATGGTTCCGGAAAGTCAATGTAGAGCCTGATGACCTTCTCGAATTTGAAAGGTTTTCGACACCCAGGACACAGGGGACGCTGAGAGACCCGGGAGAGCTCGGTTAAGCACTGATAACAATATACATGGCCACAGCGAAGTGAGCTTGCAACACAATCGGAACCATATTCTTGACTGCAAATTCCGCATTCAGCGCTCATCGTGGCGAAGGATGAGTGCACGAAATTGAGAGCGGAGTAAGAGAAGCGTATGGGATCCCGACGCGTTGGAGGGCCAAGTTCACGGCTGAACTTGGTGCCACCGAAGGCAGCTTTCCAGGTCACGGGATCGATGGGGCCGCTTTCCCACACAGCCACCACAGTCTCCTTGGCACCGGCATGGGCTCAAGGAAGTGTAGATGCGTGGCGTTAATTCTCTTGGTTGCCAGCGCCTCCAGTGCGCTTGCCCACAAGCACGACGGCGAGGTGGTCCACAGTCCAGATAACGATGCCAAGCCGATCGATGCAATTCTATATTTGCACATTGCCATCCAAACACTGACATGGGGCTTCGTATTCCCAATTGGCATGGTCTTGGGCTTAGTTCGGTAGGCCGTATCTCTCGCCCTCATACATACGCGTGTATCTATCATGAGCGCCCATCTCTCAAAGCTCACGTTGGCATATTCCAACGCAAGTATGTGTGCGCCTCGGCCAGCTGGTGCCACACCAAATCTGATCCCCACTTAGGTTGTAGGGTTTGTTTTAACGTCCGGCGGCTATTTCCTTGGGCATTCCCATGGCGGGAGGCAATTCAAAGAGACTGTGAGTGCTGTGGACATACCTTATTGTGCACCTCGTGACCCCGGCTTGATTGTAGGTACACGGTTCATTTGCCTCGTTTCTTTACGTGCCAATGGTCATGCAGTTGTGCATTGGGGTGTATCTTAAGCTCCATGTTCACGAGAAATCTATACGACCCTATTTCGTTATAGTTCATGGTCTCCTTGGCAAAATATGGCCTATATTGGGATGGACACAGGTGACGCGTGTTATTGACACTACATGCTGTTCCCCACTTAATACCATCGGACCCTAATCCAGATGGTGTTCGGTGCAGCGACGCTGGGAGGCTACTGTTTTGACGGCGGATTGAACCAGTGTCTGGCGCATTACATTATGGGTTCCGGCTTTATTGCTTATGGAATCCTATTGGCCATTGCTCTTCTTGCTGGGTCTGAATGGATACAGAGCACTGGGAGAAGTCAAGAGTGGTTCGATAGCGTTGTCATCCTACTCTGGGGAATTGTGAATACTTTTACAGAGCACCATGGTCCTCTGACAAAATGGTCACACAAAGATTTGCAACACACGTACGCCCCTCATTGATGACTTTCACATGCCTGACTGACCTAGGGAGATATTAGGAGTCTCGGAATCCTTTGTAAGTGGCTGTAAGCTGACTGTGCAATGTTCATATATTTAATCTCGACAGGGTGGGCGGGCGGCGCACTTGGTGTATATTTGTCTCGCAATGGGAGACGATCCGTCATTCCTGGGATCATCATCATCATTACTGGCTGGGCAATGTCAGCACATGAGCAAGCGATGGCGATAAGCACTAAAGTACGCCCCTCACGACCGATCCCCCGTCAAAGCTTAGCCCTTGCTTTTCCCTAGATCCATTCTATATTTGGCATTGTCTTGATGTCTGCCGGCGCTACTCGAATAATCGAAGTTTCTCTTGTCTTGCGAGATCTAGCAAGACTGGAACCCGCGTCAAGAGAACTTGAACCACCTTCCCCATTTATTCGATCCTTTCAGCATCTTCCGCCTCTGGTAGGTTATTTGTTAAGAAAATGAGCCCATACACTAGCTAACCGTAGCGTTGAATAGCTTCTTGTTGCCGGAGGGTAAAAATTGGGGTCTATCTAGCGTATTTCATACTCTCTCATCGCCAATTTCACAGGGTGCTGTTCATGAGCGCAACGGATGAAGAACTAAAATTTGTAAATTCGATTGAAGTTGACCACGTAACATATGCATTACTCATGTTTTGGTACGTTCATCCCGGTTTCTCACCTACTTCAACTTCACCATTTCCCTTCCATAGTCTCGCTTTCGTTATTTATCTTCACACTGTGTTTTTAATCAACCTGTGGCGTACGTTGGGTCGTAATGCTGCCGTTCGGGAGGGCGTGGCAAAAACGAGAGGCAATGCAGGGTACACCCGTGTACCATTCGAACCGATGGACGGAGTACTACATGATGCGGAGGTTTTTGAACTGGGACCCACTGATTACGAGCCAGACGACACATTGGAGCAAAGTCGAAGAGGGAAGAGGTCCTCCAATGTGACCGATTAACGATATATCGACGACGGACACATCTTGAAATAGTCGCTGAACGAAGGATACTCACTCCGTGGCGAGTCCCTTGCACTTGAAAACTAATTGCCTCACCAGCATGAACCAGCTCGAGTGTTATTGAAAGATGCCCCGTACGATGTCGTGACGAGAATATATGGCAAAGTAAGATTGTTCCCGGTGTTTATTGTTTGTGGATGTATACCACAATACATTCTCACTGTATTTCACTTGTACTAGCTAGAAGTGGTACTAGTAGCGATCCTTTATGTCCCCGCGGTCGCATGGAAATGCTCTAGTGCGATGTGAGAATCATCAGAACGGTGGCATGGGAGGGGTATCGATGATATCGAATTTGTAAATGATGTTATGTCCAGAACGGGTGTCACATGAAGAACCGAGCTGGCCCTCCCATTGGGGCTTTGGGCATGTGGCCTTCCCGTATGTTGGAATACGAGTCACATGATGAGACTATATCCGGGAATATTCTACAGCGCCTGCGTAAGCGCTAGGCATAGAAGAGCCTGGAATGTTGTTGAGAAGTATAAATATGGGCGCTGAAGCACCGTGTGTATTTTAGTTATATTTCTTTCTATATTACATCTGGGTTGCGAGTGAACCGCTGAAGCGGGTTGCCATATTTGGAACGCCGCGTTTACAACACCGTACTCGTTTCCATCGGCCTGGGTGAGGTCTACATACACGTTTCTGCAATACGCGCGGGAGGTGCAGCTCGTCAATGGCCATAGGCGTCCCTCGTGTTGCAATTGATTCATTTGCCAGCGCATCAGCAAATGGTCCTCAGGGTTTCACTTCAAATGGTTTGAAAACAATTGAGTTCACTTCTGAACTGAATTGAAATATGACACCTTTATTGGGAAATTGGCCAATTTCATTGTATTAGAAGCAACAGGACCGTCAGAAATGTCCAAAGTTGACTGCCACAATTTCCTGATGCGGGTTGACGATGACCGGTTGTCATATGGCCCTCTATGGCCCTCGTCACTGCGTATGCGGTACTGGCATGCAGACTTGCATTGTGGCGACCATATGGGAGGCATACATAGAAAACCCTGGCATTCCAGAGCTGCTGGGTTTGTCAAAAGTGATGCTCGTTGACTTGTGAACAGTTGTTCTTCGCCAGCCAGCCAAGGTGGTAAGATGGGGCTAAAGTGGATGAGGCGGAACCAGAGTACTTAGCCCTCCAGTAGCTGGGTAAAAATTTGAATTTGTTCAGGAGTACTTACGTGGGCTGTCTCCTAGCGATTTCTGGGGGCGATGCCATCGAGCTTCTTGCACTACAGGGGTGTCTTCCCGAGGAGTTGTGCACGGCAACAGTGAAGCCTCTGTAATGACAGATTCACACACATATAATGCACAGCCCCAACGCTGCGCCTGCCTGGCCACCGAATAGCTTTCTATATATTGTTTGTTTGTCATAGAGGCTGGAGTCCTGCCTAGAATAGCTTCTAGGCAGGATCCCCGACCTTGGTCCGAATTGCTGAAGGCACTGTCATAAATAGGGTTCTACTTATCTCACGATGATATTTTTCCTGTGCCTGAGCTACATTCTTGGAATTGCTAGTGTTCCTGAAATTTGTCTTTTTATGAGCTCGATGCACTGTGCGATAGCCGACGCACGTTGTACATCCGAACCATTCTTAGTGCTTCTTGCATGAGTCGTGCGTTCTGCGCTTACGTTGTTAGCAGGGATTTATGTCCAACTTGGAGAATCGCCACCCAGGTATAAGATTGACGCCAAGAGCGATGCTTGGTTACCTTCAAGCCCTCGACACTGAAGATGAAGAGTCTTGCCCACAGTGCACTCCTAGCCTGTTCCTTCGTTGCTGCTGCCCAAGGAGCTGTAGTGCCAAGGACCCTGGGTCCTGTTTTGGTGACCTTGGGAGGCTTGACATTTATCAACAAGGTGGGTGCTGGGCAACGCAGTTACTCCCCGCAGGGCGTTATACTAAAGCCCTGGCTATTTTTCCCTTAGGGACTCGTGGCGGTTGGGACCATCTCAGCCCAGCTGCGTGACACATTAGGGGAAACAATTGGAGGGATCGGTTCTGCGATTGCTCTCGAACCCGGTACCTTCACGAAGCAAAGCGGAACGTATTCTGGTACCCTAATTACGCAGCCCGACCGGTACTACCCTTCTCCTTATCCCACCTGAAATTAATTACTCATCCAATGTTCATCTGTGGGGTAGCGGCCACAATACGTGAGCGATATCCCGCCAGCGATGAAGCGTTTCCGTTTTTATACCTTGACAACTGCACAGCGAAGGTACTATTGATTATCGAGCTCGCCGCCAGTACTTCGACTTCACCTTTGCTCCGTATTACGGGACTGGCAAACTTCCTTTCGATGTTGGAACCAAAACATTGAAATTGACCTATCGTCGTACCGCACTCACTTTCGACCGGAAGAGAGGACGCACGACAGGTTTAGACGCGTTGGGAGTTCGCCCTCAAACCCCTGGATATCCTCAGAACCCTTTTGCTGACCCGCCCATTCCTATTGCTAATGCGACCTATAACCATTTGACCATCGATGCGGAAGGACTTGTCATCAATAAAGATGGCTCGTGAGTACACCCTATGACTATTTCAATCCACATCTCACCGTCTTCTAGGTACTTCGTGAGTGACGAGTACGGTCCTTATATTTACCGATTTAGACGTGATGGTTGGAGCTCGTTTCGATTTTGAGATGTCGGCAGTTAGTGACAGAAATTGCGTTTAGGCACACTTCTATCGACGATTCAGCCCCCTGAAGCTCTTGTTCCTCTTATTGGTGGATCATTGAATTTCACATCTGCCATTAACCCCGATACTGGTCGAACACCAAACCAAGGTTACACATCTGTTCCCAAGTTCCTGATGCTGGACACTAAGATCTTGACGTGCAATAGGCTTCGAGGGCTTGACCATTTCGCCAAACGGCAGATATCTATATGCAATGCTCCAGTCTGCCACGATCCAGGATGGCGGGTCCTCCAAGTCAACTAACCGTTATACCCGCCTCTTCAAATACGTCGTGTCGGGGAACAGCCGTCCAAAGCTCGAAGGTGAATGGATCGTGCCTTTACCTCAGACATCGAAGGGCACCACTTTGGCGCAAAGCGAGATTCATTACCTCAATAAGAATCAGTTTTTGGTGCTCTCCAGGGATGGAAATGGTCACGGAGGCGATTCAACTCAATCTTCTTACAAGTAAGTTGAATGTAGCTTGTGAAATTTGTCATTAACATTCGAACCGTTTCGTCAGGCAGGCAGACCTCTTTGACATCTCGAAAGCGACTGACATCCACGGCTCCAAGTTCGATGGACTCACGCCAGTAGCACCAAAGGGAGTTCTAGACCCATCTATCACCCCAGCTGCCTATGCTTCGTTCGTCAATTACCTTGATCCTGACCAGCTCGGAAGATTCGGCCTTCAGAACGGTTAGTTTGTTCAATTCTTTAACGGATAAAAACGGATTCACAACAGAACTCGATGTCAGGAGGGGCCAAGGATAAGACCCTTATCTCTGCCAAATGGGAATCGTTTGCACTCGCCCCGGTGCTCGATCGGTCCTTTCCCAACGACTACTTCCTCTTCACCATGACTGATAACGACTTCATCACCATCAACGGGAGTGCTGCCGGAGTCCCATACGTAGACCCATATGGTCAAGATGTTGACACTCAAGCTTTTGTATTCAGGGTGACCTTACCCAACGTAGAGAAGTTCAACGTGTAGTACCACTGATGGACCTGTATTATCGTAATATAAATTGACACTTGGGTCCTCCTGCGATCTCTGCGTGTTGCGGATTTAATAATCTAACTGATTGGCCTCGTTTTTTTTTTCGCCTTAGCAACGTTCGTCACCATCATAATTGCGTTTTTGGAGTTTTCAGAATCTCACTGGCTGTTCCAATGGAAAGATTGCTAGTGAGACACTGACCTCCCCCTGGTCGGATTCGTGCGCAGAAAGCAGATCCTCAAGGGTTTAAGGGTTAATCGTTTCTCCGTTTTCATCATCAGGAACTGGGCCCTGTGTCAACTGCGCGTGGTACTTGCTTGATTTCCACGGATGACCAGCTCAGTGGGCACACTTTGGTAACCATGCTTTCCCCAGCGCGCTCGACTTGCAATACGTGATATTTCCTACTACTAATACATATGCCCCCGATCGTCTTTATTCGAATATCCACTGAGCCTTCACATCGGTATATTGAACAACGCCCTCGGGGAACCAACTGAAAGCGAATAGTTCGTCAGTGCTCAAAGGTGAAAGTAAGAAGGTAAAGTGCCCACAGGGTGATCTCCTTTTCAGCATTCTCGATGGAATCACTGCCGTGGCACACATTTCGCCCAACGGCAAGGGCGAAATCGCCTCGGATTGTTCCTGTATACGGAGATTGAGAATCAGGTGAGAACAATCGATGCGAAAGGCAGAACACACCTGGAGCTGAGGCGAGTGGGTTAGTGGTACCAAGGATGGTGCGCCCGGTCTTAACAGCATCCAAGCCCTCCCACACCGTTGCAACGACAGGCCCAGCGTTCATGTACTTGATAAGTCCCGGGAAGAATGGCTTATCCTTGAGATCTTCATAGTCTGCAGCCGCACAGGCGAACGCAGCCAGGGTCAGTATCTATATATCATGTTCCCACAAAGGGAGAATATAAACCCGATAGACTTGAAACGCACGTTTCTCAAGATGAGGGACTGAAGCATGGACCAATTTCAAGGCGATTAGCTTGAAGCCGCGCTGCTCGAAGCGCTTGATGATTTCTCCAACGATCCCGCGCTGGACGCCATCAGGCTGTTACAGGAACGTCGAAATGACCAAGATCGAAATATTGATAGAGGATTGGACAATGGACAGACCTTGATCATGATGAAAGTGCGTTCGGCGTTGTTAGGCATGGCTGGAACTATTTGGAGGTTACAAATAATAATCGAGGCGCCAAAGGTGTTTATCGTCTCACCTTCTAAGCCTTTAGACAGCCTTAAGAATAATGTGAAGGAAGCTAATAAAGCGACGAAGAATGTTTTATAGAATTTCGGTGCGGACCCGGACGTAAGAAGCATAACGCCGGTAAAATCCGAAGGGCATTTCACTTTCTCAAGCTCACAGGCAAGCGGTCAGCTCGTCGAACAGAGCTGATCTTCCATAGCCAGCATGGTGTTCGGACCATTCGGTGTTTCACTTGCACCTCAGATTCGTGCTTCTCGCACGCTTTCGAAATTCTTTGCTCCATTGGCTCAGTCATTTGCCAGAATATCCGGTCATCGCCAGATGGGTCTCCGGTATGACGACCTTTGTTAGTGTTGAGTGTCGCTTTGTGTATCGTTCCCTATGTTGATTTTTGCGTGCAGTGATTGAGGAGCGGGATGATGTTGCGAAGGTCCGTATACCGTGAGTAGTTGTGGAAGGTCAGGCTAAAGGGCTCTCTTTTTCATTAGGCCCTCCAGCGTTTATCGCCTGCCGAGCAATATGATCGTGCCTGGCGTATACGCCGGGCAGTCCAGCTCTCTATTCTTCACCAAAACTTGCCAAAAGACCAATGGACTCCCGTTAAGGAGGTGCGCAATGAACCTGTGTCGCGCTCGCACACCTACATACCAGAGTTGTGTTGTGTGTGCGGCGTGCGCTTCGTGGATTGTGGACTCACCCTCTGTTTTTTTTTTTTTTGCTCACGTTAGGATACCCGATATCTTACGCCTGTTATTGAAAATGTTGTGAAGGAGGACGAAGAGCGCAAGTTCTGGGACAATGTCGAGCCTATTCGAGCATAATTGTAATCATATCAGCTTCAGTATCCTATTATGTACCTTATTCTTTAAAACCCAACCTTCGCCTATTCCTTTGTGCGTTCTACATGGGCCATGCTTCCTGCATGGCGCCCTCAAGTCAGCACTCATTCGGAATGCTATGGGTTTCTCTTGTTTCGCCATCATATTTATCCCGTTACCAAAGACTGCAACAGAACCGATTCACAACCGTTCTCAAAGTATCTATTTTTGTCTTGCTGACTCCAATGGGCCATGGATGGATGGATGGATGGATGGATTCATTTTAGAGTACGTAACCGTGCCTATCGGCATATGCCGTACTATAGTGACTCGGGTGAAAAAAGTTTGGAGAACATAAGGATGTGAAGAAAGGAATTTGTTTGACCTAGGAAGTATGAGACATCGAGTAATCAATGGTGTGAAGGAGAATAAAGTGAGATGAAGCAATAACACATAAAGGGGCATGCGACCCCTGCACTGAGATTGAACAACGGGTGAGGGAGAATGGAGGTGGAAAGAGGTTGGATAGAGAAAAGGACACGCGACCCCCAGTGTTGGGGTCGCATGTTTTGCTGCTGTGTGCCTATGGTTAAGTCAATGTTTGAGTGCGCGGTTCTTGCGGGTGGGTGAGTTGGAGGGTGCTTTCACGGGTTTATGTCACGGTAGGCTGGTGAATGTTCCAGTGGCAGCGAAAGGCGATGGGTGTTGGTGGCATCTTGCTCATGCTTGTTGAATAAAGGCATGTGGCAGATAGGCCTTTGGTAGAAGGGGTAGTGGAGAGAAATGAAAGTGTTGGGGTGACGGCAGGACTTGAACCTGCATTCCTTGCAGTCAACTTTTTGTCGGCATATGGGGCTATCGTTGGCGCTACCACTATCGCGCCTCGTCACGAAGAGGTAGTGGAGAGAAAGATGAATCGGAAGGGTGTTGGGGTGATGGCAGGACTTGAACCTGCACTCCTCCGGCCTGCCCATGGACTTATGGAGGCTACCATTGGCGCTACCACTATTGCACCTCACCATCCCAAAAGGTAGTGGAGAAGAGAAAAAGAAGGAAGGGTTGGGGTGACGGTGGGACTTGAACCCACAGTCCTCTGGCCAGTCCCGTCTGGGCTTACGGAGGTCACCATTGGCGTTGCCACTATCGCGCTCGTCATCCCAAAAAGGTAGTGGTGAGAAGAAAAAGGAAGGGTTGGCTTGACGGCGGGACATGCACCCGCGCTCTTGCATCTCTCCAGCCAGTGCGGCTCTGGGCTTACGGGGTTGCGGTTGATTGGCATTACCACGGTGGCCACGTCATCCTCCCTTCAGATGTTAGAGGCCTAATTAGTTTTAAACAGGGGCACCGCGTGAAGGTTTAGGCCCGTGCCGGGTGTTCGCTGTGGTAGCAGAACTCCCCCTCGACTGACATCCATCGTCGAGGCCCTCCAATGGGCCATTTCTCATTGCCGAAATCCTTCTGGAGTCAGGTGATCTTCACAAGCTCCCAGTACTCGCGTAAAGCGCCATTAATGGTTGTATGGTTTCCCCTGCCGGGGCGAGGATTGGCAAGCTTGCCTTATCGGCCTTTCCGCAATGCCCCCTCTACAGTAATGGTTGTCCAAGAACATCATCTTCTGCTCCGATCTACCCACCAACAGAGAATTCTTCCCTTCCGTTATAATTCGACCTCGGCCACAGAAAGCGGAAAATCATCAAGCGTAAGCGCGACTAATAGCTCAGAAGTTTCTTCTTCGGGTCCTTCAAAGTCTACCAGCCCAAACCTCATAAAGGATGCTGAAAGAGATATTAGTAACGTAAATATCACTCAAAAAAAGAGCACGGAAGCTCCCAAGCAGCCTCTCCTCACGAGAGCATGGCAAAAGATTAAACATGAGGCAAATCACTACTGGGATGGAACCAAGTTGCTGGCTTCTGAGATTAAGATCTCCGCCCGTTTACTAAGGCGAACGCTTCAGGGGAAAGCTTTGACACGGAGAGAGCGCCGTCAGGTGTGTTGCAGCCCCCCGGAATCATATGGCGCTGCATTGACGCATCTCTCTGGCTCCCTCAGCTTCGAAGAACAACTCAAGACCTCCTCCGGCTCATTCCTTTCTCCGTTTTCGTCATCGTCCCCTTCATGGAACTTCTCCTGCCTGTGGCTATTAAGCTCTTTCCCAACATGCTTCCGTCAACATTCGAGGATAAGTTCGCTGCTGTTAGTCAGTCCCGGTCCCTGTGGCGTACCTTTGAATGCTTACGCCTTCCACAGGATGAGAAACAAAGAAAGCTTTTGCGGGTGCGCCTAGAAATGGCAAAGTTCCTCCAAGAAACCCTGCTGGAAAGTGGTATTAAAGGCGGGAAGTCGATAGTGGGCACGGAAGAGTTCAAAGAGTTCTTTTATAAGGTTGTCAATTACAAAATACCATTTTGTCTTGTTGATTTAACCATCTCCAGGTCCGAAGCACTGGTGACAGGCCTTCAACGGAGGATATCATCAAAGTAGCAAAGCTCTTTGACGATGAACTCACCGTGGATAACTTGTCGAGGCCACAACTCGTCTCCATGTGTCGGTACATGAACATTAACGCGTTCGGGACGGACAACTATCTCAAGTACCAGATTCGCAAGCGTCTCGAGCATATCAAGCGGGATGACAAGGTTTGCCTGGTGCCGTCTCCTCACTCTAGTTGCGTGACTTATCTAGTTGTTACAAGTTGATTGCGGCTGAAGCTGTTGATAGTTTGTCTACTGCTGAACTGCAACACGCATGTCAATCACGCGGTGTCAGGACTATGGGTGTTTCCCCCAGTCGTCTACGCGAGGAGCTCGATAACTGGATTGATCTCCATCTAAACCACGATATTTCCGGTGTCCTCCTCATCTTGTCTCGTGCCTTCGACTGGGGCGAGAATCGAGGTAGTGATGGAGTCATTCAAAGTTTGGCTGGTGTGTTGAGCAGCTTGCCTGATCCACTCGTGAGTGCAATCGCGATTTTAATAATGATCAGATCATTGACATTGGCGCGTGACAGCTCAACGAAACAGAGTTGGCTGTGGATAGCGAGAAAGCGAGTTACAAGCAGAAACTCGAAGTTTTGCAACAGCAGGAGGAGCTCATTGAAGATGAGGCTGAGCAAGAGAAGGTACAGGACCCATTGTTTTTAGCGTTTATTCCGGATCCTCAATGTTCTTCCAGAAAGAAGAAGACGCTAGGCGCGCCAGGAAAGAGCTGGAGGAGAGACAGAAGCTTGAGGAGGAACAGCGTGTTGTGCAATCCATGCTTCCTGATTCCGAGGTGCGGGAAGTTAACGACCCAGATGGGATGTGTCCTGACTGTTCACCTAGCTTGTCGTTGAACCCGAAGCAGATGACGCTCGCATGACAACTGAACAGCTAGCTGAACTCGGAGAAGCCCTGGTAATCCTGTGTGCCAAATCCAGTGTCTTGAAAGAGCGTGATGAATTAGGGGCGATCATGGAGCAGAATCTTCAATCTGAAGAGGTGATGCCTTCCAACATCGACCCCAACAATCAATTGCTGATCGCTTGACGTTAGGAGACCTCTGGGGAGGCATCTCCATCACAATCCTTATCCAAGCGCATTCGTGGTATGCTGAACAAAGTGGATAAGCAACTTGATGACTATGACTTCCGCGTCGGGTCATCGCTTCAGCAGATCACTGCCGATCAGCAGGGACGTATATCCATTCGGGATCTGCGACATGCCTTGAGTGTCATCAAGCATAAGCCCGATGCGGAGACTGTAGATGGCATCGTCAAAAAACTTGACCCTGATCATGATGGCTACGTATTGCTGGAGCATGTCTTGGACTTAGTGAAAGAGGAAGGTCTCGGTATGCGTTTCGCGTGACCTTCTTTTGTCGCCACGTCATGGACTTTGTCGCTTTTCAGGTATTCTTGTTGACGACAACGCCAAGGATATTCTGGGTCAAGGGAAGGAACTCAGGGAGTTGAGACCCAAGAAAGAAGATATCATACAGGAGTAACTATAATAAACCCAGCACTAATTTGACTATTTTTTCCTCTGGCATTTAATACCCTGTGCAGCTGGTAAGCTAGCTTGCTCTCACTGTCATATTTCATGGTTGGGGTCGTGACGATTCGGCTACTTGGATGTTCTCGCATTTTCCTGGCCCTCTGGATGCACTTTCCGGACTTCCGGCTGTTACACGAAGCCTGAATGAATCTGGGTGACTTATGTTCTCTAATTGCGCCAATCTTCAAACGCGCTAATGTCTGTGTTCTCGCTAATTTCTCCATTTCATATTCAGGATGCTCCACACCCCATGCTCCAACACATGGTGGATCGAACCGTGTATTTATTTGGGAGCTCCAGTCTGCGAAGTGTTCGTTAAATCAGCAGTCGTCTCAACCATGCGCTGACGCCAGGGAAGATGGAAGCCACGAGAAATGGCGCTCAAGGAAACTGAGGTCTATGTTCGCGCGTGAGAACCACGCTTCCTCCGATGGTGCAAATCTGTCCAGCACAACCAAGGTAACACTATCGAAGTTCCGTTGAGGTTTTGGGAAATCAGGTGGCCAGCGACACTCGTTGACCGTTTCCGTCTTCAGGCAGCAAGTCTACCTTCCATCCAACCTCGCCTGGTTGCACACTGGTAGCATGACAGGAAATTTCTGTTTTGGCCTGCGTCTAAGCTAAGGCGCGGTCCCGGGCCGTACTGCACCTTAACGTATGGTACCCTGAGGCACCAGTAACAAACACTTTCAGTGGCTGCCATGCGAGTATACATATTTAAATCGTGTTGCTAAACTGATTTCGAGGATTGGTGGCTGGTGTATCAAGTGCCCCGAAACCGTGCAGTCGGAATTTGTCCAGCTTAGCCGAAGTCTACAGTACACTTGACCGACGACGCGGTGAGAACTCAACCTTGGCGGGAACTTCCATGTCATGCCCAGGGCAGCCAAGCAAGCCCTATCATATTGTGGGTAAGGATGGAAACCACCTGGCTTTGGCACGCAATCAGTCCCATCTTGCCTGAACAAGTGCCTGTTCAGTCAGCGGCAACACAAGGTTTCGAACAAATGCGATGCTGCACTGGGATGCACCCAAGGGTGGGGATAATAGTTTCATTTTCGTATATTGCTTCCACACTATAATTTTCCATGCGGGCTCTGATGAAACTGGGGTCGCATTTCTCTTTCCTTGTTTCTATCCTCAGCTCTCCATAGATTAATACTCGAGACTGATAGCCTTGTCCTAAATCAGCCCACTTCCCTCACAGATTGACGTCGACTGAGTCGATATTGATGACGCCCTTTGTGTTGGAATGCGTGGTGATATTGTAGGCCCAATTACTGGAGATCTGGGTGATACTTGGAGGTGGTTGATGATTTAGTGTTTCAAGTGTTGATGCGCAAATCCGTAAGTTCCCCCCAAGTTACGTAGTCCGGGTGCTTGATGAGAAGGCAAGTAGCCAGAGCCCCAATGCACGAGACTGTTATACTCTTTTTCGAAGTACAGCAGTCACAGAGTGGCGCTCTTGACAGTGGACACTTTTGGACTTGTCAACTTAGTCATCACATATACCTTGTATTTAATTCACGTCTCCGATAGGCCCAGTGCTTAGCCTAGCCTAGCATCGTAGAGCTGTGTGCTCTTTGACGGGATGGTGCGCAGAGGTGGTGGAGACGCGAATAATTGAGTGATCGATCTCAGTTTGTACGTTCCCACGACGTTGGCCGAGGTCCGGACTGAATCTCGAGCAGACGGATCGCGTCCAAAGCTCAGGACCCTTCCAGCGCATCCAAACACCAATACATCGAACAGAGCTGGAACCTTCATGATACCCAGCACGAAAGAGCTTGTCGACAAATGGCTCTCCTTGGATCAAAACCAAGCTACCAGGGCTGAGATACAGGCGCTTTGGGATGGGGGTAATATCGAAGAGCTCGATCGACGACTGAGAAATCGAATCGGATTTGGTACAGCAGGTTCGCACCCAGTTTTACCGCTGACGAAAACCGTTCTAATGTAAAGGAAGGTACAGTAAATGAGGAGTGTCATGTTGCTGCTCATCTCGAATGACTTTGACACGTATGAAAGGTCTACGCGGCCGCATGGAGGCGGGGTTTTCTCGCATGAACGATGTCACTATCATCCAGGCATCACAGGTCTGCAATCCTAATGCAAGGAGTGGTACTGTGTTTGATAGCTGTCACGTAGGGTCTTGCTTCATACACCAGGGAGAATGTCGCCCATGCAACAGAAAGAGGCGTTGTCATTGGACATGATCATCGGCACAACTCCGAGCGATGGGCACGGCTTACTGCCGGTGCTTTCGTCCAGGCAGGCTTTAAGGTCTTTCTGCTTAGAGGCCTAGTACACACACCCTTGTGATTCGATTTGCCATTTGCTCATCTCCGCCATATTAATTGTCACCGTCACCACGCGCGATAGGGTTCCATTTTCTGTGGCACATCTGAAAGCAGCGTGTGGAGTGATGATTACAGGTCTGGCGCCCGTTTCAGGATCTGTTTCGAAAGCTGACAGCACACCTAGCCAGCCACAACCCCAAGGTTAGCGCGCCTGCGGCTGCTTTGTTGTGACCCGAGCACTTAATCAGTCACATCTCAGGATGATAATGGGTACAAGGTGACCGCGAATATTTCAAGTAATATTTGCTACTCACGACCACGGTGATAGGTTTATTGGGATAATGCGGTACAGGTAGGTTGATCAGTGACAGAATGAGCGTTATCTGATAAGGGTGGAAGATCGTTGAGCCTCATGACAAAGGGATTGCAGCTGCCATTGTAGAATGCTCGGAGCCCTTGATCTGGGACACATCGACAGCACTTGGTTCCCCGGACGTTACAGCTGGAGCGAGGAAAGCATATTTTGAGACTTTGAGAGGTCTCAGCTATTCACAGTCAGTTAAGTTCGGTCAGTGGCGCCCGTCCACTTGATGAATTTCATTCCGTCCTAGTGCGACAAATCAGTCATGCATGCTTGACTTTGTCAATACGTCAATGCACGGAGTCGGACACGAGTACGTTGTTCAAGCATTTGAAACATTCAATTTTCCTCCGTTCGGATATGTTGAAGCACAGCGGGCTCCCGACCCCGAATTTCCCACTGTGCCCTACCCCAATCCGGAAGAGAAAGGTAGATTATGATTAACGCTCCTGGTACAGCTCTGAGTCTGACTAACCTTTCAGGCGCACTGGTGCGAGTTGCGCCCAGGAGGAAGTAATGCTGACTTAACATAGGCATAGGACTTGGCATTGCGCCAGGCTAATGTGATAGGGGCATCATACATACTCGCTCAAGACCCGGATGCAGATCGTTTTGCTGCAGGTCAGCGCATGTACGTGTGCAACGCATGTTAACCCCGCGTCAGAGCCGTTCATGTTCCTTCAGCAATGCGGGAGAGTGGAGGATTTTTTCCGGGGATCAGTTGGGAACTCTCCTAGCCTGGTGGATCCTGTACAAATATCAGGAGTCTGGTAACCCAATTGGTTTGTTTCGGCATCCTTGGTGTTTTTTTCGGAGACCTGATGGACCCATCTAGAGAAACTCGCGATGGTGGCGTCAACAGTCAGTTCAAAAATGCTAGAAGCTATGGCTCGCATCGAGGGATTCAAATTTGCAGAATCTTTGACTGGCGCGTGATTCCCGGCTTTGGAATTCAAGTGCTTTTTTGACAAGCACAACAGGGTTCAAGTACATTGGCAACACAGCTCTTGCTCTCGAGAAGCAAGGATATGATGTACAATTTGGATATGAAGAAGCAATTGGCTACATGCATGGGACGGCAATCAGGGATAAAGACGGAATTTCCGCAACCGTAAGCGCGTGTGGCAGTCGGTCAGTCTTGTGGGTAACGCCGATCATCGGCCCAGATGTGTTTCGCCGAGCTTGCTGCCCATTTACACGCACGCGGTGCAACTGCGTACGATCATTTGCAATCTCTCTATGATAGGTATGCAATTAGCCTCGTTTTCGCCACCTTACACGAGCTGAAAATCATATCCAGGTACGGGTATTTCCAGACGAGCAACAGCTATTTCATATGCAATGAGCCCTCAACAATTAATCGCATTTTTGCTCGATTGAGACACTACAATGATAGCCCTGACGTCAGTGGTATTTTGAGAATTTCCACAGCCTCGCCTCATACGCTCTTGACAGTCCACAGAGCCCCGATATCCATCAACTCTCGGGGGACTCCGAGTCATTCGGGTTCGAGATTTGACTCTAGGGCACGCGTACGACAGCGAAAATGCGCCTTTATTCAAACCAGATTTCCCTCTGAGTGGTGGGCACATGATAACCTTCAGGGCAAAAGGAGCAGGAGACAAGCAGGGCACGCCCAGTATTGTTCTTACAATTAGGTACGACTCCCGGATCTCATCATATTCCCTGGGTTGATTGAGAGACTCATAGGACGAGTGGGACAGAACCTAAGATCAAGTACTATCTAGAGGGCAGTGCCGCAGACAGACATCTAGTTGGGACATTGCTCGAAGCGGCAGTAGAAGAACTCAACACGGAGTGGATGGAAGCTGACAAAAACGGTCTTGAGATGCCATGATATGGATGCAATATGACAAATATGATGAATGCATAATACCATAACTTCATTTTGCGGCGGTACTTCCTACGAGGAGGAGGCCGAAACGTGACCCAAGTTTTGCTAAGTCGAGAGTGGGCGTAAGATCTTCCTGTGGCGGAGGCGGTCCGAGAGGAAGAAGCGCAGTTGCCAAACGATCTATCTTCCCAAGCAACAGGGCTTCTGGTGGCCGAGTGATTCTTAACAGGGGTCCGAGTAAAAGCTGAACACGGGCGATCTCCTGATCTATGGCTGCACGATCAGAAGGATTGGGTGAGCGATCCTGAGGGGTGGAGCTAAGTAACCTGATAGGGATTAGGGAAAGCACCCACCGTCCCATTTTGACAATTACCCGCCAGCGATAAGACTATCAAACGTCCCAAGAAGGCAGTGTCGTATTTGTTCTGCTGCCTATTGAGCTTCGAGGATGAGGAAATATCTTCAAGAAATCCGCCTAGGAGCGCTGCCGGAACTGTTCTGAACTCAGATGACGCAAATGGCAGTCCGAGCAATTGCACTTCGTCAACAAGTAGTAGCAAAGCCTGAATAAGCGCAGGTGACGGTCGCGGCGGAGTCGGGTTGTCTAGAAGTCATTGAGTCCGCATGTCCATGCTGACAATGACACGATACTGACCCGGAAAATCGAATCTAGCTGTTGCGTATGCCGTGACACTGCGATCGATTGCATATCGCTCCCACAACGAAATGGATCGTTTGAACACCGCCTGCAGCGGCAATTGAACGTCTGTGAACGAAGAATTAGGGGTGCCAGCCAAACAATGCCATTACACCCGCCTTTTGGAATTTCCTGCTGCCGACAAAGCACGCGAGTATAAAGCGAGTCCGCCAAGTTGTGTGCGAGTCGTCCAATGAGAAGCGACTCCGCAACTGCTATTGCTAATTTAATTAACGGAGCTGTCAAGCACGGATGTGGCAATTCCACCGCAACAGAACGCTCACCATCTGTTACAACCTCATCGGATGATGTTATTGAATCAAGACGTGCGCTCAATGTTCGTCCTATTTCGATGCACGTCTTGAGTGACGCTTCACTGTAATCCCGGTCCACCCGATCGATAAAGCCACTGGGTAACGAAACGTCAGAACTAGGAACGGTAGGAAAGATCCTTCGCAAACCTCCCAAAAGGATCCCTCGCAAATGAACGAAATGACTGTTGAGGTCCCTGACGGCCCTCTGGAAAGTCTTTCCCATCGCGCTGAGATAAGGGATGCGCCACGCTATTCGATTGTCAAGAGCTTTGCGGAATGCCACAAACGATAGGTTGGGGGAGCGAGGTGATGAGGGATGGGGTATGGAGCTCAGTAAGAAGCTTTCTGGGTTGATTTCTGTCAAGGGAAAACGTTCCAGCGCATTCAGGCGAAGGTTTGTGGGCACGTACGGTCAGAAATTTCGCCTCCTTTGAAGTCATCCTTGACTTTCTCAAGGAACGCCGAAAAGCTATTTTCTATATCCTTTAGCGATGCATTCCATAACACTTTTGCGCGCTCCAAACATGACGTATCAAATACATTTATCGCAGCGCCGAATTCCTCTGTTGACATTCTGTCACTGTACGAATGCAGCACGCATCTCACGTCCCATACGTCGGTCAGTGTGTCCAGATTAGCCAACCAAATCTGCAGGCTTGCTTCAAGGGAGGAGAGGCTCTCTTCAAACCATGCTTTCCGAGCTTTGTGGACATCCTCCTCTGACAACTGGGAGGCAGCTGATGAGGTGTCGATATATGGTGAATATAAGATAATGGACGGCGGTAGGAACTGGAGAAGCAGTTGGGAAGAAGGAAGAGATTCAAAAATCGTGGTTGTAGAGAGAGTTTGAAGAACGGGGGTTATTGGGGTTGGAGTCGCATGAAACGATGAGATGATTGAAAGGCGCGATTTATGTTTCAGATGGTTGGGTCGACCTATTATCTGTGCTGACTGAACTGATTCGAGGACCTGTTTGATGAGCGGCTGCTCCATAAGATCGTCAGCACCAAAGATAGCCCGGCTAGTTTCCAGTGTCCCAATCAGGAGGTCCAGAACTTGGCGCAGCGTTTCTCGAAGTGCAGAAACTGCCTCCTTCCGTCGTGTGCGGGAAGCCCTGCTGCCATCCAGAGCGAGATCAGCCAGTAAATCGGCCGCAGCTTCCGAGTTTTGCTTTCTATCAGCAGAAAATGGTGATGATGGTCGAGATCGACTAGGTGAGGTCGGCACGAGCATGCCAAGCTTAGATATCAGGCCTTTTAGCGCTTTAGACCGTTGGGACAAAAAGAGACCAAGACTCTCGGACATTGATATGGTATCCAAGAGCAACAGCGCGATAAGGGTGTGGCATGTTTCCTACAGAGAACGCATGAAATTCAGAGAACCGGATACATGTCGTGCACCCACGAGAGGAGTTCTGAGCCAAACACGCAAGTCCTGTGTTGACCTGAGCACAATTTGATGTCGGAATGTGCTAATAGCATCCCATTGCCGTTGGGCGAGAGGGAAACTTTCCTGCGCAGAAGAACGGTCGTAGAACACCAATGTGGTGACCAAATATACTCTTACCTCCACAACGATACCCTTAGAAATCCAGGGCTGCTCCGAGTCTTCTTCGTCATCCCCATTTTTGACAAGATTGCGAAACACCACCCTGGATACTGAGAAGAGCCATGAGGCGTGCAGATGCTGATGCTTCTCCAGTAATCGCCACAGCTGCTCTGGGGCGTCCATCAAAAGCTTAAGGTGCGCGGAAAGAGACTGCAAGACTTCCAGTTGTCCATCTATACACCATAGTTTATTAGTGCAAGCCCCACTCCTCCCCAATATTTGTCTCGCACCGTCCCTCTCTCCCTTCCTTGGATGATGAGGAATACTTTGGAATGCTGAGGTTTCGGAATCTGCTGATGCCTCTTCAAGGGAGTCAAGAGCAGAGACGACTCGGTTTGAACTGTCGCGCATGGTCAAGATTGAGGTGGAAGCCTGCAACAAATCTCGGTAGCGTTCGCTACACTAACATAAATGATAAGAAATGGAGTAGATGGAAGGCAACGTACCCAACCATTTGCCGCAGCTCCTCTTGCTTTCCATCTGCCTCCGCTCTGCGAATTCTAACTTAGCAGATAGGATGCTAGTTTAGCTGAATAGAAGCATACCGAAGTCGATTCTGAAGTGCGAGCACTTCAGAAACACTGAACCTAGCAAATAGTTCGCCAGAAGGCAGTCGACTCAAATCGTGGTCTGAGCCCTTGAGAGAAATGGGTGTGACATTCGGGTTGTGTGGAGTTTTCAGCGCTAAAGGGCTTTTTGACGTGAGGCCAGGCGTAATGGGGTCCCATGCAGCACCGGGTACTAGAGAAAGCGTTGGTCGTTCCCTCTTCGCCGCTACAGACATACATGCAAGGGAGGAACAATTGATGAGTGCCGCGTCTATTCAGTCTTGACGAATACTTATAGGAGATACGTCCCAATGGTGTTTTTTGTTTCTCAGCAATGAAAGGCATAAATTTTGAGCATTCTCAACGAATTCTGAGGATGGCACGCGCATTGTTTGCGAGATTCATGGGCATAAACGCGAGGTGCAGCTCGTCGACGAGTGCTGCATCTGCACTTGACCAGAAAATTCGATTACTTTCTCATGTTTTTGTATTGAGGCAACGTGTTTTTGTGAGCCAGCGGCAAAAGATGCCGGTGACAAGTCATCTGTCTCTAGTTGCAGTGAGGAACGGGGAAAAATTCGAGTATGATTGTGGAGTTTGCTCATGTTGTTCAACTGCCGCCCGCCTGTTTACTACTTGCAACCAATCTACTACCTGCAGAGGACACTAATCAGATATTACACTCTGCGGCGTTACGGGAGGCTGTTGGGCGTCCTCACTCCCGATAGAGGATCTGTTGGCCTAAGTGAGGGGCCAACTCTAGGCAGGTTTGGGCGAGGTTTTCTCAGCGGACAGACGTAACGCCCAATGTCTTCCCAAGTCGCAGCGTTCGCCGACGGGCCATACGCACCCATTCTAAGTGCACCTGTTAACATTGAGGGGACAGATCTCTCACTAGCGACGGAGATCTTACCTGCGCCTCCACCGGTTGCCTTCATTCGACTGCCAATGAACAGGAGGCCAGGGGACCTAGCTAAGCGACCGCTCCCCTCTTTCATACCCACAAGTGATCCAGGGTCAACATACGCGACCCATAGCGCACCGACGCCTATGGTAACGACTACAACTGGAGTGTCTGATGACCAAGGAAGGAGGAAACGAGCGAGACTCGAGAAGTTGTACGTGGTCAGATTGCAATCTGCATCACCCCTCACTGAACATTCCACTCCCCACCTACGTCTCCTCACTTCGTTCCTTGCTTCGATGGCGTGCGTTCTGTTCCTGCATTGTTTTTTAGACCTCTAAATCGCGCATCAAGGTCGTCTACACGGTACAGCATCAGTCTGGCCCCTGCCAGTTCTCCACCGCCAGAACTCCTCCCACCGCCAATCATCACCCCCCAACCTGCGGGCCCATCCACCGGATCTCGTAGTAGCCCCGCTAGCGATGACGGGGCGCTCGCCTCAGAACCTTTACGACTGGAAGATACTCCATCCCTCCTTACCAACAAGTCGAAGAAAGGGCGACCTCGCAAAGGCAAACTTGACTCGAAGCCTGATTATGCTAAAACGGAAGATGCAGGGGATCCAGAGGTGACTAGAGAGCCTGTGAACACCCCTTTTGTCTGTTCTATGACTGATCTTGCAGAAATGCACTTCACTGATGTTTCTTCTCATCAGCGAAACGACGACATTTGCGCTTGTTGTTCCATCTCACACCATGCGTCGAACGCCAGCCCGCTCTCGCACTTTCTCTATTGCGATGGATGCACTCGCTCGTTCCACATGGGCTGTCTGGATCCCCCAATCATCGACAATGAGGACATGCCCCCCCCAGACAAGGATTGGTTCTGTCCGGCATGTAGCGCCAACAAAGTGATTGCCGTACATTTTATGTTGTCAACGTCTGCTAAGGAAGAATCCCCAACGTCATTCTAGGCATCCCTGTCCAAGTCCCCGACCATCGATTCCCCTTTCGATCACTTAATCTATGAACAAGGCCTCCAATTGCCTCAAGTATTTTCCCTACCAGAAGACATCAAAGCCTACTTTAAGAATAGTAAGCTGTCTCTTTAACAACTAGCTTCTTTATCGGTGAATGACTGCACTCTCTAGTTGCTACGGGTTACCAAGGTGTGTATGTGGACACAAAGGACTTGAGATCTGGAAAAGCAAAGTGAGTTGAAGTCGTAGGTCTCCTTCGTGTGCCTGAACACCCGAATAGCCGATACGGTTTCCTGGAAGATCGCGATCCATACAGGCTAAAGGACCGCAACAACAACTTCATTATTTGTTACAGATGCAATCGTTCGTCAGCGCCAGGCTCGGATCTGGAATCTCTTCTGCAAGATGCTGAGAATGGTATGTTGGCATCTCGAAGGGGAGCAGAACCACGGAGGGCGAAGCTTGCTGCCGACGCTGCGATTAATTCGGACCAGCAGAGAATTATCTCCTGTGATTACTGCAATCTTCACTGGCACCTCGACTGCCTGGATCCCCCGATGACAGTTATGCCGCCTCCCCTCAAAAAGTGGATGTGTCCGAATCACGCCGACCATGTGATGGTGGGTATTTTGAACCACTGGTCACAACCATTTGTATCACGCTGTGCTTACAAATAGCAAATTTCAGCCTCCCCGCCGCAGTACCAAAAATCCCCGTATCATTGAGGTCAAACATCCTGGGACAAGAAACAACGGGAACATAGAAATTATCCCTTCGGCAGAGGACCTGGCAAAGGAAACCGTGCCATACGATGAGATTTATATCAACAATCGACGGTACTTGATTCCCGAGAAGGCGATAAGGCTAGACTTCCTCCAGAAGGCGGCCGAGTTCAGAGGTGCCAATTGGAAGCCGAAAGTGGCTGAAAGGTGTGCTGTCCTCGACATTCTTACAATACTTTGCTCAGTTCTATGCAGGGAAATCTCCGATACCTTCGCCTCGTCCCCGCTTACTTCTCTCACGTCTCTTACTGACGACGAGGATCGAAAGCAGGAGACGGAAGATGCGGGTGATGGTGACAGTGATTCTGAAAGTGAAGGGATTTCGCGCGCCGAGGCACAGGCTGCCCAGATGTTATTGCAAATCTCCAAGGGTCTAAGTGTGAGTCAGTCACGTTCGTCTTCACCATGTGCTACCTCAACTTGCCAGTGTAGGGGTCCAAGGACATTAATGAAACATTGCAGCATGTTGCTCATGTTTTGCGTCGCATTACAGGGTCTCTCGCATTCGCGAATGGGCCAGATCAGTCCCTTTCAGATTTCGTCCACTCGATCTTCTCGGATGTAGGTTGGTACTTCTCCATCAGGGATGCCTTACTGACTGGGACCGACAGTGGGAACACGATCACGTACTGCACCCTGCAAACGATCCTCTGCGACACCAACTCCGCCCACTCTCACCGTCGACCTCTCTCTCATCCCTATCATCATCCCTTTCTAGCGTTCCAGATATACCTCTTGCATCTCCCTCACCTCGTCCCAAACCCGATTCACATGTTAAGGCGGGCTCTACAGCCACCTCATTTCGCATTCGACTCAATCGCAGCGGCAGCGCTGCGGTTCCAGGGGCGAGTCCGTCAACCGTGACTACACCTTCCAAGATGAGCCGGCAAGATTGCGGTTCGGTTTCTTCGCCTGCGCCCCCGTTATCTGTCAATGCCGATCCCTTGCTACAAACTTCCAACTGTTCACTATCCGGTCGTGCGTCACCCTCAGCAATTTCCCTTCCTCAGCTGTCGCCACAGGAGATACGGCAGCTCCTTCGGCTTCGTTCTTTAGTAGTTTCAAAAGGAGAGCAGAGAGTGTTCGACTTCTTCAGCTCGTAATTCACACACCTTCGTTATCTATATATCTGTATTGGTTCGGGGTTTCTCTTGGACCTTCATTGTCCTTATCATAGTCCATTGTTGTTACAAGTATTACTGTAGCTCTTAATGGTTCCGTTGGAAGAACCTGGATTGTGCCGAAAAGGCAATTCCCGCAATCGAAAAACGTTGTGACCCCAAACGCAGGTGTGCCTTTGGCATCAGATTGTACTTAGCAGGCTCACTTCAGACCCATGCCGACTGACGCGTCTACCGCTGCCAAGTCTCCTCCTCATGTCATCACTTGTCAGAGCGACAACTGTCCGAATGGAAAACCGCCAGCGCGCCTGGAATGTCCCACATGCCATAAGTGCGTGCTGAATGTGGGGAAAGAACCTCACAACAACGTTGTGCCCATCTGACCACTACAGACAGGCTAGGAATTACAGGCTCTTTCTTTTGTGAGCAAGCCTGCTTCAGGGAGAATTGTGAGTGCACATTGTTCGTGACTGCAATGTGGCTTACCACACTTCGGCTCCAGGGGTACGTATTTGCACCAATATAAGGACTACCACCTCAAAATTGCTGCGGCTCCAAATTCACGTTGTTCCAATAGAAATCGCACAAGCAAATACATGAATTCGTAAAGGCCTCTGGTGCGATTCCATGATTCGTCTCGCGAGGTGTGGCTCATTCAGCCTGATGTGTGACCCAGCCATTACAAATCCATTCCCATCTTATCGCTTTACTGGTTCTTTGCGGCCCGTATATCCCCTATCTCCTCGAAGAGTAGTTCCGGACCACATTCCTCGACCAGATTATGCAGAAGACAGTACGGATTACTTCATCAATATCTTTGATTTCTGACAATCAATATCGCGGTCCTGCTGCAGGCATTCCACATTCTGAGCTCAAAAGTGGATATTCTGGAAGCATTAAAATACTCACCAAACAGGAACAAGAAGGAATGCGGGCAGTCTCTCGAGTGAGGAGTCAAGTTCTTTCAACCCTTCCTGTCCTGAAGTATGACCACAGCTTGCGCGGGAAGTGCTCGACATCGCGGCGTCTCATATTCGACCAGCTATTACAACAGATGAAATAGATGCTATCGTTCACGAGGCTTGCATCGAGCGCGGTGCCTATCCATCGCCATTGAACTATCGCAGATTCCCGAAATCCGTTTGTACGTGAGTGGTGATCCTGATGTTCAACAAGCGCTCGGTTCTGACTAGTCTTCATGTAGCTCTGTCAATGAAGTCATCTGCCACGGAATCCCTGATCAGCGGAAGCTGGTCGAGGGCGATATAATCAATCTTGGTGAGTTTCCCTTTGAATACATCCTAACTACGTGCCTGATGGGGCGGTTGGGAAGATGTCACATTATACCACAATGGTGAGCTTGCTCCTCGTCACGCGCACTCCGTGTAAAGGGCTTCTTTCGAAGGATTCCACGGTGATGTGAATGCAACATACCCGGTTGGCGAGATCAGCGAAGAATCTCGGAAGCTCATCGATACCACTCGACGCTGCTTGGACGAAGCAATCAAAATCTGTAAACCGGGGGCATTTTTCCGCGATTTAGGCAAAGTCATGTACGTTATTATGCCGAATCTGCCAGTGCCTCAATTTGCAGCATCTCATTTTCCTTATCCGTTAGCGAACCAATCGCCCAAAAGAGTGGCTGCAGCGTTGTGAGGCAGTACACGGGTCATGGGATACATAGATTGTTTCACTGCGTACCAAACATTCCACACTATGCCAAAAACAAGGCGGTTGGCCAGATGAAGGAAGGAATGGTGAGTTGGGATCTCCTTTGGTACATCGACTGTGGCGCATGAGAATTAATCATCTATCAAGTGTTTTACTATTGAGCCGGTTCGTCCCGCCTGACTGCGTTCCAAGGAATCGCGGATTCACTGAACATTCTTTATCGGGTAATGCTCAGATGATCAATTTGGGCAACCGGCATGACGCTGAGCATTGGCCTGACGATTGGACCGCTGTCACTGTCGATGGCAATAGGAGCGCTCAGTTTGAAGAAACATTGCTGTATGTTTACTTCCCTTCTCATTCACTGAGGCTTTACAGATCTCCATTTTACTTTAGGGTTACTGCTGATGGAGTGGAAGTATTGACTAGAGGACCATAATTAGTCAAAGAGCACCCATTTGTGTGTTGCCCCTTTTTCATTTTGTCCACACATTCCCCGCGTGTATGCACGCGCGAGCATAATGATCCTTTAATAGCCGTTCTGTTGCTACAAACTTATTGTCGAGGCTCAGCCCGTGGGATAACCATTCCTGTCACGCAAACATATTTCTGCCTCATGGCCTTAGTCACTCTCGGGATATGCCCATCGGATCGTGCAGCGAATGAATCCTGGATCTTCGCACCTCATGAGTATTGGATATAAGGTTACGTTTACTTAGTGGATCCATCCGTTATCGTGCTGTCCCATGTGGTGTTCTTCATCTGTGCGGGCTTCTCATCTAAAGCGCGATGAGAGCATAGTCAATGAGGTGCATTTCTTTGAGTTGAATTGTAGATTCTGAGCAAACATATACCAAATTCCCGGTCTAGCGCCGAAACAATCAGCATGCTTTGCAATCGAGATCGACGGCTTTATCGACTGCTTCACTTTCTCCTTCCGAGCGTTAAGGGATTTATGGAGCATCTAAGGTGGAAATGTTGTGGAATTGATGTCACTGATCCGTATAATGGCGGTTCTATCTACTCGAACATGTTGCTTTCAAGTAGAAGCTGACTTACTGGACCCCGTTTTCATTGAGGGCTACATATTCCGCTTCCCATAAAAGCAGCTACTGCTTTTACACCTGCTTCACCATTCCGACCATATCCCATATTCCCCCCTCCCCTTCCCGTACAAACATGCCATACGATGATTATTATCGACAGTACGCACCAATCCCCGAAAACGGCCTGACGTACAAATGGGAAAATCAGGGATGCTTCAAGAACGCTGTCTATAACGAAATTACGAGTTGTGAGTGAGGGCAGGGGCAATTCTCCCAAACGGGGTTCGCAGACTGAGCGACTGTGACTGAATTTAGTGTGGGGAATTACACCCTTCAGACGCGGCAGGCGATGTACCGAGCTGCGTTGCGCAGACATATATCCAATCATGTTTGGCGACGAGTACGCGGGTTCCAGGGGTTGCAGTTATATCCAGTTTCACGATGAGGGGGATCTCATCCGGTCCGTTCAGACACCTTCTCCGCGGAATCCTGTCATTGATTCGCAGCTTCCGTAGCTGTAAGAACTGCTTTCAGTCTTTCGTCAAAACAGATCTTCTCCGCGTGTTTGGCGCAGTGGAAGGTCTGCAGGTGACGAAACGGAGGGGGGAATAAGTGCACAGATCAACAATTCACGGCGCTCTGAAGGCGGCTGTGGGGTTTGGGGCCCGCGTACTACACATGAAACGTTGGGGACTGAGATTGAAACCGAGCGGGTGATTGGTCGTTTGCTTCCGGCCATGACACTTTTGCCTGTCAATACTCGGACATGAACCCTCTGTTCCTTCTGGCTGGTCAGGCCTCCTGTGATGATGATGATAAATCTATCTTAATGCCCCGTGGCCTCGTGATGACGTGGCAATGCGGCTATTCCGTCGTAACACCGTAGCGTACATGAGGGGATCATCTCTACATGGGCAGTCTGGTCGGGTGTCGTGGTCCTCGGAGTTAGGTCTCCCGTGATACCTATAGCGTCTCGAAGCGCGTACAATTTCCGGTGAACCACGCAATTTATCTTTCACAATGCAGCCGATTTCCCTTATCAGCGGCATGCGTCTTTATTGTTGTACCAATCGCCCGCTGGGAAGTTTCGATAGGGGTTCATATCGGAGCTCGTTTCGGGTTTATCCAGAGGGCATTGCATGGTTCCTTTATTCGCTGTATTCAGGGAGAACTCAACTGGCACCTTACTGAGTTTGCCACAAATATTCTTGTCAACGCTTGATGTCGATGGCCCATCCACATGCATGGCTCTTCCCCTCACTAGGCGTCGATGGCACCACACCCTCCGGTCTTACGGGCTCGTATGTGTGATATACTCGAACGCCCGTGCGAGATTTTGCAATGACTGTAGGACTGTAGCCCTCGATATGCTTGATTTTGGTTGAAGCGTCTGATCCGAGCCGAAGATATTTACTGGAACGCCGAATCGCAACGGTCCTCGCTACAGGGTCCCGATGACTGAACTTTGAGGCAAGTCTCGTGCTCTATAAAGGATTGTACTGTACGGGCTTTCATCTCCATGAAGCTCTTGATAGAGATTTCTAATACATTTTGTAACTTGATGTTGTGCAAGTTCCCTGTCTGGCCGACGGCTTCGTTTTAGAAAATGACCTTCACGTCCAACTAGCACCACGAGTGTCATGAGACCGCTCCAGCTCACAACACATGTATTCCCCAACTCTCTTTGATTTGCCATGCCCGAGGCACACCTTGAGGCACACTGTAGATAGTTGAAGTAATACATCAATGCCGATGAGCTATCCGCCCAATTCCTGCATCGTCGGGTGGCTTGCTGTCATGAGGGGTGAAGGTCTTGATGTGATTCCACTTTGCGATTACCCCGGCAAGCCAAGTTGCACCTAATTATTTAAACATAAGATTATGTAAGCGACAAATTCAATTCGTTCTTCCTCAATTACTCAGGTCTGGCAACTCTAGATTGAGTTGTTCGCGTTTTTCGTCGAAGCAATGCACTGTTTCCGCTGCCGATGGGGAGCACTTGCGCGGACGCGATTCCGAACCCAAGAGATTGGAACCTCGGTAAATATTGATTGAAGCCAATCTTCTCACGTGACTGATTCCCATCAACAGAACACTTGGCTTCAACGCGCTCGGTGTGTTGACCGTCGCCCAGCTCCGGCACACGACGCGGATCGCGATTCCTGGGATATTAGGGGGCCATTGGGCTTTACACGCGCACTCTTTCCGGCGCTTGCGCACTTGCATTGATTGAAGGTATTTCGGAATGGAGGAGGGAGCAACACCAGTTGAAGAGGACTTTTCCTCCCTGCCTCTTTCGGAGCGGCTCGCCCACAAAAACTGGAAAGCACGCGTTCATGGATACGAGGAGCTAATAAGGGTTTTCCAGAAGACAGGATCGGAGGATGATCCAGCGTTCAGACCTTATATCCAGAATCCGGACTTGCTCAAGAAAATGGTCATAGACGCAAACGTTGTAGCTCAGGAAAAGGGCGTCGAAGCCGTTAGGAACTTTATTCAGTACTCAGGAGAATACGGTGCCCGGTATGTGGTCCTTGGTCTGCGTTATTCCTCGTTGTGATATTAACGTCGTTTGTAGAACGAGGGATTCCGTCATACCGGCGCTCGTAGACAAATGTTTTGGATCAACGCGTGCTGGAACCAAAGCCAAGGCGATAGAGATAGCTCTAGAGTATGTTGCGGCCGAGAACACCGGCGAAGGCGTGTTGGTGAGCCATTGTGAATTCTTGGATCCCCTCGCACTCACCTGTGTATAGCACGATATTTTTCCTGGAATCGGCGCAAAGCAACCAAAGGCTGTAGCTGGGTCCGTTAAAGCGCTAGGAGATATTTTCAGGTCAGTACATGAGTTGTAATCCTTTGCATGCATCTCAGCCATGGTTCGGACAGAGCCTTCGGACCAAAGATCGTGCCTCCCCAACCAATCCTCAAGGCATTGCCCAAGATATTTGGGCATACCGATAAAACAGTGCGATCTGATGTATATGTCTGCGTTCCTTGGGGTTCGAATCCGGTCTGACGTATTACTAGGGGGCTGTGCTCGCTCAGGCTCTTCATGTTTGGCTTGGGCCGGCCCTTCAGCCGGCCCTCTCGGAACTGAAGCCGGTTCAAGTGAAGGAATTGAATGAGGTTTTCGCGAGGCTGGACGCGGATGGTCAGGGCCACGGGACTGGAAAGCAGGATAAATTCACCAAAGCACAAGAACGTGAGCGAGCAGCGGCGGCGGTTTCGACCATTGAAGGCGATGAGCCTGAAGCTGAAGGTTAGTGTATGTGCAATTGTCTGGCACAACTGACGTTTCTTGTATGCAGGGGAACAAGTTGCATTTGATGCGCGGGAATTTGCCGAGGAAATCGATATTTTCCCAAAAATCCCTCAGGATTTCCAAGCGCAGATGAATTCCTCGAAATGGAAAGATCGTAAGGAAGCCCTGGATGCGACGCTGGACGTGGTGAAGGTTTCCGTCAGAATCAAGGACGCCGAGGGCATGGGGGAACTGCTCCGAGCGCTGGCAAGGCGAATGACAGATGCAAATGTCATGTGCGTCATGACTGCTGCTAATATCATCGGCGGCATTGCGAAAGGGGTTGGGCAGCCATTCTCCAAGTATAAATCTATTGTGATGCCCCCTATGATCGAACGATTCAAGGAGAGAAAAGCCAATGTTGTCGAGGCTATTTCCAATGGGTTAGATGAAGTTTTCGCGACTGTGGGTCTCTTTTTAGGGTTCTCCAACCACGTGCTGACATGGACTCGTAGACAACATTTCCGGATATCACTGAAGATCTGCTCAATGCTCTGCATTCTAAAAACCCTCAAGTTAAGGAGGCATCCCAGAAGTTTGCTAACCGTTGCCTCTCTACAACTAAAATTCCTCCAGCCAAAGCCGATATCAAGCCCCTTATGGACGCTATGGTGGGGCTCTTGAGTGAAAGCTCCGCACCCCTGCGGGAAAGCGCTATGGAGGGTCTTGGTATCTCCATGAAGATTCTTGGCGAGCGGGCCATGAACCCTTTTCTTGAACCAGTTGATGACATCAAGAAGGCAAAGATCAAAGAAGCTTACGAGAAGACCACTGTAAAGTGTAAAATCGGAGGCACTGCGCCGCCCCCGCCAAAGCCCGCTCCAGCGCCAATCCCTGCCAAGGTCAGTTTTTCTCTACGTCCTGAAGATCCACATCGAACCATTGATATGCCGGCAGCGTGCTCCTCCAAAGAGGTCTCCTGTCGAGATCACCCTGGAAGAAGAAGCCACCCCTCCTAAGCCGGCTGCTAAGCCGCCAGCACGACTACTTGTGCGTACATTTTTCTTCCTCTATGACTTCGTATTTATTTCGAGTATCAGGCACGCAGAACTGTTGGTGCCGGTTCCGAACCCTCTCAATCCGCTGCCGCTCCTCCCAAAGCGATTGCAGCAAAGAAGCCACCGCCAGTAGCGGTCTCTTCAGCGTCCGCAAAGTCATCCAAGGCTCCAGCCCCAGTGCCTCCAAGCGAATCGTTCAAGTTCAAGTTTACTCCTGAGGATGCTGAATCGCGATTCCCAGATTTGGTCCCCAACCAAATTTCCAGCGATTTGGGAGACTCTGCTTGGAAGGTTCGCCTGGCAGCACTGGATGAAGCTGTTCCACCATGGATCGATAGTATTGTTGACGACACTGATTGCGAATTATTGATCCGTTTCTTTGCGAAGAAACCGGGTTGGAATGAGAAGAATTTTCAGGTTACCCTACATGAATTCGCCTCATATTTTGGCTAACATCCTGCTCCAGGTTTCGGCAAAAGTATTTGGGGTACTTTCAACGCTCGCCGAACGCTCACCAACATTCAGCAAAGCCTGCGTTGCGTTGGCTACACCGCCTCTGATCGAGAAGCTTGGTGATATCAAGCTGAAGAAACCAGCTGGTGACGCACTATTAGTATTTGGGGAGAGATTTTCACTCTCATTTGTTTTGAGCCAGGGTATGAGAGTGATGCCACTACATAATACACGCGGTGCCTACACTCACTATTTCTACCCCAGCATATGACCCCATCAACAAACTAAAGGCACCAAAGACACTTGCGGATGCAGTTGCTTGGGTCAATGTTGCTTTGACGGACTTCGGAATCGTGGGACTCCCGCTTCGACCACTAGTTGAATTCCTGAAGACTGCTCTAAAGAACTCGAACGCAGCTGTACGCAGTAGTGCCACTGCAACCCTCGTAACCCTGCGCTTGTTTGCAGGCGTAGGCATTAAGGACCTTCTGGAGGATTTAAACCCCCAACTGCAAAATACTATTCAAGTGGAATTTGATAAAGTAGAGGGACAAGAGGCGCCGGTGCCTACACGGACCTCGTCGGACGTTGCGGCCACTCCCGCCGTTGGTCTAAAGGGCAAATCAACCTCCGAAGGCGACCCGCTGGACGAGCTTTTCCCTCGAGTGGACCTGGAAAAGCTCGTTAGTACCACCAATATTTTACTCGCATCGAAAAGTGAGGCTTGGAAAGAACGGAAAGAGGCTTTGGAAAATTTGATCGGGATCCTTGAAGTGGGGACGAACAAACGACTGAAACCGAATCTTGGTATGTTTTATGTGCTCAACTCGGGTCGCCCTTTGAACAGACTTTACCAGGCGACATTGCGGCTATGCTCAAGGGGAGACTCTCAGATCTCAACAAAGCCGTGCAATTACTCGCTCTTGATGCTATCTCGAAGATTGCAATTGGCATGAACAAACCATTCGAGAAGTACTGTAAAGTTCTTGTTCTCCCCGTTGCACAGGTCACCGCCGACCAAAAGGCAAATGTAAGGGTCGCAGGCACTACAACTTTGTCAGCTATCGCTCAGGCTTGCGAAGGTCTCGAAGCCATGGCTCATTTCATGGGCACTGCACTCGAGTCCCCCAATCCACTGCAACGAAGCACGCTTTTAGGTTGGCTCACCGAGTGGCTGAAAGAGTATCCAGCTACATCAACCATTGATATGTCAAATTGGGTTTCGCCAGTCCTGGCGGCTCTGGAGGATCGAAGCCCGGATGTCCGAAAGAGTGCTCAGGCTCTGTTACCTTCTGTCATCATACATGTTGGAGTGGGAAAGGTCCTAGAAAAGACGAATACACTGAAGGCGGCGTCCCGATCTGCCATAATACCACTGATCAATTCCGCAGCCGCTCCTAATGCTGCCCCACCCGACCGCAAACCCGCCCCGTCTGGGAAAAATGCTTTGAAGGTAGCCCCCACCGCTGACGAACCGGCTGGGCCCACTACTGTAACGTCAATTCCACCGCAACGAAAAGGGTTACTAGCTCGAAAATTCGGCATCTCTTCCCCAAGGCCGACATCAAGGGCGGGGAGCGGGGACGAACGACTCGACGCCCCGAACACTCCATTCAAATCCAAAGTTACAAGCCTGAAGCGGCCTGCTTCCGCAGTTTCCAAGGCCGTCCCCCCCGCCTCTGCACCTTTATCCGTCCCATTCTCTACTGCGAATGTTGAATCTAAACGCTCCCGCTTGTCGAAAGATGGAGGCCGATGGATTATCGAATCAGGACCTACTCGGAAAGACCTCGGGGAAACCTTACAACATCATATGGAACCTCACTGCTCGGGCGAACTCTTGGCGCTTCTGTTCAGTAAGGATCATCACGCCGTCAATGATCACGTTTCTGGTTTAGGTGTAATTTGTGATATGTTCGAGGCCACCTCCTCGGGAACGGATTCATACGGTGTATCTGCAGATATCATGAGCGCTCGACTGCTTGCCAATATCGACCTGCCCCTAAAATATGTCTCCCTCCGAATTCACGAGCCCCAACCTAATCTCATCAACAAATGTCTCGATGTTATCGACAATGCCATCTCATTTATGGCAAACGCAGCGTATGCATTAAATGACCTAGAGGCAGCAACGTTCATCCCAACGATTATACATAAGGCGAGTGGTTCGGCGGGAGTCCTACGGGCACGATCCTCACTGAATTTACATAGCTTGGTGATGCCAGAGAGGTTGTCCGGCAGCGGGTGCAGAAGATTATCGAAGCATTGCCGAAGGTATTTTCATCAAGTCGATTGTTTGCCTTTCTGTTGGAACATGGGCTCCGCGCCAAAGTCGCAAAAACTCGGGGGGGTGCCCTTGATGAGATGGCTATAATGATCAAGAAGAAAGGAATGTCGGTTTGCGAGCCGTCTAAGGTCCTTCCTGTTGTTGCGGCATTGGTGGATGATAAAGATGCAGCAGTCCGAAAATCTGCTCTCTCAGTTATTGGGTATGATCCCACTCATAGTCTAAACATACACTCTTACATCAGCTTTCTAGTGAATGCTACATACTTGAGGGTGAGAAAGTTTGGCAGTATCTGGGTCGCTTGGATTCGAAAATCCAGACCCAAGTTGAGGAAAAACTAAGACGACTTCCGAATGCTGCCAAAGCAGAGTCTGCGGGCGCTTTAACAACACAACGAACTGCAACTGCAACACCGCGGCCTGGTTCACCAGCTCTTCCTGCTAGAAAGGGCAGCATACCTCCGCCCTCCGCCATCAGCAATAAAAACCCCCGTACAGCGTCTCCTAGTTCACCGCTTGCTCTGTCTGGATCACCTACACCTCAGATTGCGTCAAGTCCCACGAACCGCGATCACGGGCCATCCTCCCCTAGCAGACCCAGAAGCATTCCAACCTCGCGCCTGGCTGCCCCTCGAACCCGCCCACTTTCTATTGCCCCCGAATTCCTTGGTCAAACTCCCCAGAATGAACAGCGCGGGCTCCGCACTCCCGAATCGCTCAAAATTCGAGGTGCGGATCGCTATAATGGTGACGCACTCCTTGATCAGGACGACGATCAGATTGATGGACAGGATGAAATTACTATCATCATTTCGAGCATACTAAGCTCAGATCCATCACGCAGTGTTGAGGCACTGAAGAAGATACAGAAGATTCTCGACATACCTCCAGAAGCGGAACCCTCGTCGCTTGAATTCCAAGCTCTTGCTGGCCACACCGATGGCTTGATAGAAACAATCACTCTCCAAATGGCTCATGTATTTGAACGCTCAAACGGCGTTGACGATCCCAAAAATTACCGCCTTGCCAAGCACCTCATACAAACGATGAATGCATTTTGCGATCACACTATGCTAGCAGAAACGATGCCTGTCGACATTCTTACTTCTCTGTTAGAAGAGCTCACAATGAGATTGTTGCAAACGGATGAAAGTAGTGATGGGAAAGTCAAAGATCTGTCTCGATTTATCAACATGATCATTCTCCGCCTTTTCAGCACTGCCAAACGGATCAATATCTTCAGGTTGGTCCTTTTTCGGTCATAATTTACTTCATTATTAAAGGAAGTTACCCAGGTCGCTATTTAATTTATTGCTACAGATCGTTAGGCCGTTTTCGAAATCCACTGCATCTCAGTCGAAAGAGGCGAGACTTGCCGAACTCGTACTAAAGTGCATGTGGAAGTTGGCTCGAGGCATCCCAGCTGATCTCGACAAGGGGATTCTGGACCCCACGGAGATTTTTCCTGCCCTTGAGACATTTTTGCAAACAATTCCTCCTAATGAGTGGAGAGCGCGCGCCGCAACCAAAATCCCAGTCGGAGATATGCCCTTACGAACCATTAAGGTTGTCATTCAACATATAGTCGGTACGTGATTTGCCTTGCGAGTGACATGTCCCGACAATAACCTCGGGTCACCAGGTGCCTTCGGTGACGAAGTTTATGATCAACTATCTGTTTCTTTTGACGATCCCTCTGCCACAATTGTCTACCCTTATGTCTATCGCATTCTCAACTCTGCGAACGCGGCCGCCCAGCAGCCACAGCAGCAGCGACCGACATCAGCGGCAAGCCACACAACCTCAAACAGCTATGCTCCCTCCGTTACTACCTCTGCCCCCTCCAATGGTATACACACTAGACCCATTTCCCCAGAACCCGAACCGATCTCACGAACACACTCCAAATCACAAACCTCAACATTTACTCCTACCCGTCCTCGTTCTGGGTCTGCGAGCGCATTCTCCGGCCGGGCCAGTTCTCCATCAACGCCCAATGGAGTTGAACCTGACCCAGATGCTAAACTCATGGAGATTTTCGGTCATATTTCGAGCGACACCACAGGGGCGCTTCACAAAGAAGGGATTACAGAACTCTATCACTTCCTGAAAGCTTATCCTCATAAACAAGCTAGAGCTGACAAAATGTTGGACTCAACGGGACCAGCATTCCGAAAGTACTTGGCTCGTGCGTTGGCAAGCAGAGCGGCAGAGGAGGAGGAACGTCGCGGTGCTGCAGTAGCCGACACTTTATCCCGTACGTCCCTTGCTTCATTGACGAGAGAAGATGGTTCTCACCGCCTGTAGGCCTGGAGTCAGGTCGTGCCCCTTCGGAACCCACCTCGCCCAAGTCTACAGGATCATATAATTCTCCGCGAAGAGTCAGCGGCACAACATCACTAGACGCTACACAAGACCCGGCACTGTCACGTCTACATGAGCTGTTTCGCTATCATGGTCGGAATTCAGTTATAGTGGATTCAAGGAGAGGCTCTGTAACATCTTCCTCTGGACATGGGGCCACTTTGACCGAACCCGTACAACCGAAGAATGAGATTCCACCTCCAGTATCCCCCTAATAACATTTTACGTCATTTTCTCTTCGCGTCATCATTCTAGCATTCAGGACGGGTGGCATTCTTCATTCTACTTCAGTTTACATTATTACTTTGTTCTTGCGTTTCTGACAACTACAGTAATCTATAACCTTGTTAAATGTATAGACCCCTTTTGTGGTCTTTGATTGCCAACCTCAGGCACGCAGCTCAGGGCAGACAGGTCTCGCTACCACTCACTATCCTCCGTAGAAAGCTTGCACAAACAAGAGACCCGGAAGGATCGCTGGACGTCCACGACCACCCCACTCAGGCTTCCATACCAACTCCCCCCCGTCGGCCAAACCCACCGCCAGGTTCAAGACGCTGGACTGGAAAACCTTCAGCAGGTGATTCAATTCCGGTGAGTGCTACCATCGCTTCGGTATAGCAGGGAATGCCCATGCGGATCCGCGGACCGGACGAGGGCCCACGACACTCATGGAAGGGCATCCTCAGGAGTCAGGCTGGCGAGTTCATTCAAGAAATCACGAGCCATCGATAAAAGGAATGAACGCCACGCCGTACCACCCGAGGGAGAACGCGACTGACCCGGAGCACATGGAGGCAGAGTTTCATAGAGATACATAACCATCCAGCAGCAAATAACCCCCACACCACAAGTCAGAGATTGACAGGTTCTCGTTATCACGTGGCAGAGCGGCTGCCCCGTTCGGATCATCTATACGCTACGTATGGCATCGGGGGGTCATAGAATAAAGTAAATGAAAGAAGGGACGAAAACCCAGTTACGGGCCGTCTCTCATTGAGACCTCGGTGTTGATGGGGCATGTTGGGTGAAACTTGCGCTTTCTTGCAAGTTGCAATACACACGGCAGCTACGGCTTGACGACGGGTGTTCCTCACTGCAGTTGATGCAGTTTGGTGGTCAGTCTTGAAGGTGGTTGGTTGTCATGGGTCCTCATCACCGCACATGTGGCACCGGTACGTGGCCTTGCACTGTGAGACATAAGCACATTTTTTACAGTGGATCGGGCGCAGGCAGTCCTTACAGTCGGATACTATGGCCAGGACATCGTACACACAGAAGGCCTTTTCAGGGCCGTCAACAACGAAGACGAGTGACGCTTTGTGTTTCGTTTGCAGGGACTCATCATTTGCCAACCGAGCTGGTAGGGAGATGGGGTTGAAGTTGTCCTAGTGAGCCGTATCCTTCCTGCAGTTGGGCGAGGATTTGTTCCGGGATGTATTGGGCCTGTCCTGGCAGTTCCTTGGTGCGTCGAGCTTCTTCTGGTATATTGCTTTGTCTTGGCAAGCCGTTGTGCGCTGTCGCCGATGATGCAGACTATATCATCCTTTAGGGGTGCTAGATCATTTGCGTGTGTATCAACCGCTCCGACAACAAGGTTGCCCCGTGCCGGCCAGGACTTGTTTTTTTTTTTGGCCCTTGGGTGTCGTTCCTTCAGTTGCGCATTACAGTAATACATTTGGCTGGTTCAGGCTGTATGTTGCGTGTATGAACAGCGAGTGGAGTGGTACATGTCGTGCGAAGCTCTATACATTTTTCGTTCAATTTTGACAGTTCTGCCGTTAGGGTGGCATTGGACTGGGCTAATGTTCTTCAAGTGCTTTGGATAGGGAAGCGGTGTCTAGTGGTGGGCCAAACAGCATACATAGATCCTCGATCTTCCTTTTGGTTTCCTCATTCAGGATTGGTGGGGAGGAAGTGTGTCTTTTTGCATTTCCCAAGCGGAGTCAATGCACGAGGTAGGTTGTTCAGCGTTGTTCCTGGGGGTGTCACACGATGTTGGTGTTTTTGGTTTTGAGAGTGCCGGTTGGAGGTGAGGAGTCGGGCGCTCGCAGGCGTGTCTATCTTTGCTTTTGGGCGACAAGCGAAGCAGCTGATGACTGTCACTCTGTGAGGTTTACATGTAAGGGATTCACGAAGTCACCCATTCAGTCGGGGTAGCACTGCCACGTATCAACGCGGCCGGGCGCCCCATCCATTCCGGAAGCAAGTCCCCAGCCGAATCTCTGACGTTATACTGCCGTTTTCAGTTGATCTGTCGCGTGACGGATTTCTTGCTTCCGTATAAATCCTGGCGCTTGAACAGCACCAAACTTCATCCCCAATTTACTTCACAACAACAACACCTTTTGCCAAACGGATTGTTGGAATGTATTCGTAGAATTGAGATCTAGAGACGTATTTCTCCGATTGTACATAGCATCAATATTTAAATTATAGGTAGCCCAACTTCATCCCCACTTTTCACCCTAACGGCTCGATAGAATTGGCTGAAAATTTGGCAGCACGGTGTTTGGGACAAAATCTAGGAGCCTTTTTTTGGACGGAGCATTTTGATGGATTTTTGAGAATTTGGATAATGGGGTGGACAAGTGCCTCAAAAATCCATCAAAATGCTCCGTCCAAAAAAAGGCTCCTAGATTTTGTCCCAAACACCGTGCTGCCAAATTTTCAGCCAATTCTATCGAGCCGTTAGGGTGAAAAGTGGGGATGAAGTTGGGCTACCTATAATTTAAATATTGATGCTATGTACAATCGGAGAAATACGTCTCTAGATCTCAATTCTACGAATACATTCCAACAATCCGTTTGGCAAAAGGTGTTGTTGTTGTGAAGTAAATTGGGGATGAAGTTTGGTGCTGTTCAAGCGCCAGGATTTATACGGAAGCAAGAAATCCGTCACGCGACAGATCAACTGAAAACGGCAGTAATATTTGGCCCACACCAATTATCGGACGATGGCCAACATCACCTACGATACTGTTTTATTCTTTTGGCGAGTTGTCACCAATATCTTCTTTCGTGAGATTCGTCCACGAGGCGCTTGGCACATCCCCAAGGATGGTGCAGTCATCTTCGTAGCTGCTCCACACAGCAACCAGGTCAGCATTTACCCTCCTAGCATGGAAGAGAGCTGAAATGTGTGTACCCTCGTACGAAGTTCCTGGACCCCATTCTACTGGCTTCTGAGGCTTTAAGGGAGGCCAGAAGGCATGTGGCGTTCCTCATCGCCGCGAAGAGCATGAGGATGAAGGTTATCGGATTTTTTGCTGGTCTGATGGGGAGCAGTGAGTTATGGAATGCTCAATCAGTTCCCCCTTCTCAACTCGTGTCCGACCTGCAGTCCCAACCGAGCGTGCTCAAGACCTCGCAGTGAATGGGAGTGGCTTTGTTTCCCTGTCTCCGTCAGACCCCTTGTTAGTTATTGGTGTCGGTACCAAATTCACAACTGAACTGTCGCCCCGCAAGAAAATTGCGCTTCCCAAATCTACTGGCAGCGTCATGGGTGAAGTGGTAGAAGTTATTTCCGACACTGAAGTCAAGATCAAGAGAGAATTCAGTGGGGATAACGGAAAAGCTACGTCCAAGGTTAGAGAACAAATTGAAGATGCGTTGAAAGGGGGAAAGCCGGGTCTGTCGTTCAAAATACTCCCGTATGTTGATCAAGAGCAAATGTACCGCCATGTTTACGAGCGTTTGAAGAAAGGGGGCTGCATTGGTATATTCCCTGAAGGCACGCTCGGCAGTTACACTCATCCATTCAGCTCCCCTGATCCCTGTTCCAATAGGCGGGAGCCATGACCGAACTGATCTATTACCACTGAAGGCGGGAGTTTCGATTATGGCACTTGGCGCAATGGCTAATAACCCCGGCCTTCGCGTGCGGATCGTGCCTGTTGGATTATCGTACTTCCATGCTCACCGTTTCCGCTCGCGTGCAGTAGTCGAGTTTGGTTCTGCATTGGATGTACCCTCCGAACTCGTCGAACAATTCAAAGCTGGAGGCGACAGTAGACGCCAGGCGTCTAGCAAATTACTTGACATCATCTACGACGCGCTGAAGACGGTTACTATCAGAGCACCGAACTATGAAACTCTAATGGCGAGTTCGAGACAACCTCTATTGCGCTGGGCACTTCATTCTCATTGCATCTACACAGCTTATTCAAGCATGCCGCCGCTTGTACAAAACCCCCGGCCAGCACCTTACGCTCGGCCAGGTTGTCGAGCTCAATAAGCGGTTCATCGAAGGTTACAACCATTTCAAGGATGAGCCACAGGTTAAGAAAGTACAAGCTGATGTCCTTCGATACAATCGTTTCCTAAAGGATTTGGGATTAAAGGACCACCAAGTATGGCATATTGTCGTTAACTTTGACGCTGTCTGAGGCAGATTCGAATAGGTTCCACGCGCTAAACGTGCGATATGGAAAACTCTCGGACTCCTGACGTATCGTGTACTCTTGCTGTTAATCTGGACTACAGCTGCACTGCCAGGAGTTGTCTTGAATAGCCCAATTTTCATCATTGCCGCTGTGATGTCGCGCAAGAAAGCGAAAGGTGAGAATCTCTCAAAGAGAGAAAACCAGCTCTCCTGAGCGCGCTTTTATCCCCAGAGGCTCTCGCAGCGTCAAGCGTCAAGATTGCTGGGCGAGATGTGCTGGCGAGCTGGAAAGTTCTCATCTCACTTGTTTTCACCCCATTCCTGTATACTTTTTATGCCGTCATCGCCACCCTTGCTACTAGCAGAATAGGTGTATCGCGTAGGTGGAGAATGTGGACACCTTTCATTACGATTGCGGCGCTACCATTTTTCGGCTACTCTGCATTGAAGTTTGGAGAAGCTGGCTTGGACATTGCCAAGTAGGTGTGGGAACCATCTCCGAATCTGCGTATTAACGACTTGAGTTAGATCATTGAGACCCCTCGTGATAGCATTATTACCTGGTCAGCAGCGGTCCCTCAATAGGCTTAAGGCAATGCGTGAGGCGATATCACAAGAAGTAAATGACGTGATAAATGAATTCGGGCCCAAGCTATTTGAGGATTTTGACTCTGTGAGTGCAGAAGTAATCCCCCAATGGCAGCACTAATTCGGTTCCTTCAGTTCCGCATCCTCGTCCCTGCATCCGCACCCCCTTCTTCGGGCTCAACCGGATTGTGGAGACGGAAGACTGCTGTTGGCGGCGTTGACCAACAAGGCACTCTCCTAAATCACCCCATGACCTGGATTGATGAGCGTCTCTTTGGTTGGAGCCAGAGCACCCGCCGAGAGCCAACTAGCGGGTCAGCCAGTCTCATGACCAGTCATCAGGGTACTCCTGATGTCTCGGACGACGAACAAGAGAACGCCGACTACGAAAATGTGGTGGGCTATTTGCACTCCTACGAGCCATCCTTATCAAAAAAGCGGACGCGGAGCAATCATGCTTCTTACGCGGATTTACAGCAGCCCAGAAGAAACACCTCCTCGAGTGAAGTTGGTGTTTCTGGTCAAGGCGGTGCCCCGGATTCGCCCCTGAAAACACGCACACGCAGTCGTTCGGAGATCAATTTGTCTCAGCTCGCCCCGGTATATCATCATCTCGCTTCGCGCTCGCCCATTCATTCGCCACTCAGCTCCACCTACTCTCTTGTTCCATCCCAGACCCCTGAAGAGTCGATGCCGCCCTCACCTGTTAATGAAAATAGCCCTGGCCGGAGCCGTCAACGTCGGTCTTCATTAAATGATGGTGTGAACGTCCACCGGATCGCGGCTCAAGATCCGACATCGACCTTCCAAGAGAACACTGCAAGTATCAATCAGGAGAATCAGGAGCAAAAGCAAAAGCACGACTGATTCCTCAATTCGACTGATTATCTCGTCTTCTCATTTCTCATCCCTTTCTCCAGCTGGGCTCAGATCCAAGTTGAGCCACCTTTGGAAAGGTTTCTTGCTACACATGTATGCGCTAAACCTGTATCTGTATCTACCTTACGCAAATGATAAAAGCAAGGGATCGGACGCACAGCCACCATCATGCCCTTACGCCCATTTCATGACTGGCGGGAATATTGCTTCAGCTTTGTATCTTCGCTCGTTATCAACGTCCAGATTATTTCGATTTAAAACCGCCATGGGAAAGAACAACAGAAGGAAGGCTGAACAGCCAGGAGAAGAGTGCGCGGCGCCTGTGACGTTCTTGCTAAAGCGCTCACAACTCCGCCCTTTGACAGATATATTTACCTACCAGCTCACTCATCTTACAGCTCGCCTCTCCAGGGATTGTAGACACTCATTGCCACCTCCTTTCAACTTATGCAACACACTTCTCCAAATATCCCCAAACGAAGCTTCTCACCCTTCACGATTTTGCGCGGGAGGTGTACACGAAGCCAATACCCCCACCAACATCTCTTAACGGTACGTATAGCATAACTGCCTTTTGAATGTGAACCCGGATGATTTCATTACACGAACCAGATCACAGAGCTAGCTTCAAACGACATAAGATTGATGCCATCATAGACGTGTGGTGCGAAGCTCCGGTACGGAAAGGTCTGAGCCGTCAAAGGCCAAATCCGTTCGTGCAGGCGGCGTTGATCATTATATAATCCAGAATGGAAGGAGCTGGCTGATAGCGCCCTGAGCGCAGAAGCTAGGGAACAGCAATGGAACGGACTGGACTATTATTTCGTCCTGGGTACGCTTCAGGTTTGCAGGCGATAGGGTTTTTTTTTCAAATGTTCTCCTTTCCTCTTAGGCGTCCACCCGTGAGTCTGATAACGGCTGAAAAGAGAAGACATAATCTAAATGTACAATCCAGACACGAGGCTAAATCATACGATGACAAAGTGGAAGCGGACATGTATGTACACAACTATTCAATTGTCCTTGCCCAAGTTTGCCTCTTTTCCCCCTTAGATTGGAGGCAATGGAACATCCACGATGCGTAGGGTGGGGGGAGATTGGGCTGGACTATCATTATAATCTATCGCCACCGGACGTCCAGCGTTCGGTCCTCACTCGCCAACTTCAGCTTGCAGTTACACTAGGGAAACCTATAACAATTCATACGCGCGAAGCAGACAAAGATATAGAGGAGATTCTGAAAGCTGTCGTTCCGAGAGAGCATCCTGTGAGTCCCTCATCTCCGGCAGACCGATGACCGTGCGGGCTAGCGGCTTGAGGCCGATTCACCCCTCCCCCTCCCTTAGATCCATGTCCACTGTTTTACAGACAGTGTTGAATTAGCGAAGAGCTTGCTAGAACATTTCCCCAATCTCTATGTCGGAATAACAGGTAAGAGCCACTGGCAAATTTGCTGACCTAATGTTCAATCTGTCATGTCTTCATCTCCGGCGAGGTGTCATCACATACGCCACCAACCAGAACACTTCCGCTGTCATAAAACACCTCTTAGATGCAACCCACTCGGCTAGTTCGCCTCCTCGAATCCTCATGGAGACGGATTCGCCGTACATGGTACCATCAAATCTGACTTCGCAGACGCTTGGATTAAAGTCGGGTCAAAAATTACCCGCCTCTCATTCGGGTATGATACCTTGGACCGCTGAATTTATAGCGAATCTCGCTGGGGACGGTTGGGACGCGGATAAAGTGTTGGCCGTTTCGAGAGAGAATACAAGGGCTGTTTATGGCGTGTAGGACTTTAGCCAGGGTCTGGTGCAGCACTCCGGGCCACAGCGCTAGCATGGGAAAGACTGGCAGAAGGTGCTCGGTGACTTTATGTTAAAGGAAATAATCGTGCAGCAACTGCCTTTTGGTTGATGAGGTCACAAGTTTTCGTGTAGTTCCGGGCGCAAATGGGGGCGCCGGGCTTGTGCGCTTGCGCCTCGTGCGCAGCATTCATTATGTAGAAGACGAGCGGTAGTGAGCGCCAATTGGGAGTTTCAATGAGTATCATCTATTATACTAGCCAGCCGGGAAGATCACATCCAGAAGTTCACTAACACGACCTATGACCTGCACGCAACGGTTTGGTAGGGTCTCAATTGACGTGTGAGATGGCTTGGTGTGACATGATATGATACTATGTCGATCCTTCGTGTAGGGAATTCCCGGGCCCTTGCGGCTCGCGTTATATATTAGTTTGGAATCAATAGAAGCCTTTTTGATTATTGCCCGTCACGCTTGGCCCCGAAAGAGGGGCAGTGGCGGATATTCAGAGGATCATAGTTGCCAGTTTCTCACTAGAACGAGGCAGATGAACGCGTGTAATTTGAAAGAACAAATCTGAAGCGATCATATATCGGGTATCAACATATCGTATGACAAACGAAAATCGGAGTTATAAGCCAGCGAACTGGTGTCAAACCATCGTTGAGGATCTCTCCGGCAACAATCTCCAAGCCATCATTAAGCCGCCTGTTGGCAGTAGTCACAAGGATACTCGGAACGTTTAGCTGTAATGTGGACAGGCTGAGTTTTACTAATCAGCGCCGATTGCGCATGATGGAGAAAATGACAAGATGCTCTCAAGTCAGTAAAAGCCTACCAGAAGGCTCACTACCGAAGGCATACGCACTAAGACCAGCAGCCTGTCAAAGTACCGGTGATGAGTGCACGCTACAACCCGGATGACTTCTGACTTACCACCTTCTCTGCATTGAGGATTCTGACACCATTGAGGGTGATTAACGCTGATGCGGCACCTATTACTGCCACAATCAATCTACGCATGTGAAAGGCCGTGTCAGCAGGGTGTAACTTTAAGTGAACAAAGAAATACAAATTGATGAATGCATTTGGCATACCTTCTCCCCCTCCTCAGGGGTGCCGGGAGCAATAAATTTATGGCCTTGTCGGGACAGGTTCAATACCCACGCGTCGGAGATACTGCCTTAGCATTACTGACCGCAAACTAAAGAAAACAAATCGGTATTCAGAGTTCGAATTCGACAGAAGTCTCTGGCTACGCTTACTGAATTTGTGCCAAACGAAACGCAGGTGACACATCTGTTGAAGGCGAATCGTCGATGAGGAAGAGGTCAAAGCCAGCGGCGAGGGACATGTTGACCTTGACTGAGTAGATCTCGAAGAGTGTTCTAGCTGCAGAGGGTTCTAGTAGAGTACTATCGTAGAACAGCTTGGTGAAAGGAGGGTTGTTGGTGACGGAGGGAGGGCTGAAGGGCGCCGCTTATATGCGTATCCTAGGCCGTCAAATGGGGAGGGAGTCCCAGGCGAGAAGGGGCAATCAAATGAGATGATTCTGTCATTGGGCGACGGAGAAAAGCTACCAAATCGCCCGGGCGCGAAGTCCGCTACGTCACATAGTAAGCTCAAAAAGCAACGAAGTTTGATCGTCATGATGGAGGTTCGAATAAAAGCAAATGATTATTCAGACTATACTATGATAAGGGTGGGTGCCTGTAATGAATTTTTGGCCAGCGGGCGTGATGTTACGATAATCATGCGGCGGGAAGCAGACCTCAAGTTTGGCAGAAGCTTATCAGTTGTCGGAAATTTGGAACTTTCCTGCGCTCTGAAGGAGGGAAGCACAGTGCTAGTGAAAGCTAAAAGCGGTCTGCCTGCAGTATTTGCTCGGGATGGGAGGCCCGCAGCACCGTTCGACATGCGTACAGCGTGCTGCGAAGACGTGTGTATTGAAGGACGAAAATTCGAAAGTTTCGCATCTCAGCGACTGTCCGAAAATACCTTGAGGACTTCCCCAAAAGTGAATAGGAAATAATCAAAGGACAAGTCTCCGGGCATTTGAACGGTGCACTACGATCTGAGAATAGCAAAATCAACTAAGTTCGGAATCAACAGCCACCAAAAATAAGCTGAAATGGAGAAAAAAGACGCTCGCCAGTAAATCATGGCAGGCAACGTTTATGGTATTACCAATATTTTTAGTTTTCGCTATCATCTCATTGAGAAGCGACCAAGTATTCATGGCCGACTTGATCCGTGTCTCCCAGTTCGTCAACAGTGATGTGAGGCACATCATCAGAGCTGCATCACGCAAGGCCGGAAACCGTCTTTTCCGCGGTCCTCATCCCGCTCGGTGTGGATAGTAATTCAGTCGTAAACCTTGGTTACGGGCGCCCAGTTGAGGGCTGGAAAGACACACCGAGGCCATGCACGCAAATCGGAACCCCTTCTCCCGAGCGGTGGTGTATACCGGTGGCAAGTTCTCCTCAAGGCCCGAAATACGATCAAACGCCCAAATGAGCACATTTAGAGGGAAAAGTCCCGGGCCTAGCAAAATGTCAGATGGGAGAGGCCATCATGCAGGGACCGGGGGGGACAAATTGCAGTGTCCGACCTGTCTACTGAATTGGGCCATCATATTCAAGAAAACGTGTTTCCTACCTCCTCTACGATCAAGCGTACGTTTGACGTCAAGGAGATCACGAACACGAATGACATCCGAGGAACTCTGCGATCTCGATCTCCAATGGCTGGCAAATCTCTCCTTTGCAGGAGTCTGCACCACTCATGATCTCGACCTCACTCCAATGATCAATGTATAGTATAACACGTTGGTTAATTTCACTGGAATCGTCTCACGCATTGTGTCTGGGGCCATGGATTTCTCCATCAGCTTGGTGCTCATGAATGTCCGATTCAAATTCTCCCATGCTGGTGGGCTTCAATGCATTTTGCTCGATAAACACCTTCTCAGCGGTATGATCCCATCTCCCGTGGTCTTGATGTCCTCGGCACCTAGCTGGACTCCTGCGGGAATATGTGCAAAACCACCATTTACTTGATAAGGTCGTCATCTCAATTGAATCATCAGCTCTTCTGGATTCACCCTCTAGCGGGGTTTTAATCGCTAAACTGGCAGCTAGTACTCATGCGTGAACCTCCTGACCCGTCTGCATTAGAGACACCCCCAAATAGTCCCAGGCCTACTGCCACAGTTTTCCAATCTGATGTTCGAACATTTAGTCACACATGAGCACACATTCCAATTGTCTCTCAACACGAGTCCAGCGGCTTATCTCCAATTGTATCCCTGGGTGCTTTTGTCAGTTCCTGTTGACTAGCTGCTCAATTTCATTTGCAACATGCGCAGGAGTGTCCTTTAGTGGTTAATTTCCCTCGCGCGAACGCCTCGCTTTGGCTCTCCTATACCTGGCCGAGGGGCGTGTACTTCTCGGATGCGTGAAACTACTCTAGAATAGATACATCCCAAATAATGTCATCATGCGCCACGCATACGTTTGAAAATCGGTTTCCATCGATCGATATTAAGTGCTGTGGGGTATGTTGCCGATCGTACGAAGCAATCACCTTGCAGCCAGGAAACGCATAACCTGCAATACATCAAAAAAAAAACAGCTTGATAGTTCGCCGCAACATGCCACACAATCTGCTGCAACATTGAGGCTGCAAAGCGTCTGACCGGCGGTTCCGGACGAAATGAACAACGCGACTTTACCTTTACACATGCACCTGAAGTGGGGAAGGGACTGTCGGAATTTTAGGGTATCTATCTGATTATCGATCTAATCGATCGCTACATCCCTTGTCACCCTTTCAGCCATGAGCCATGTGATTATCCATGAAAAGTAGGGTGATGACAATCAGGTCCCGCCCATCTGCTAATATGCCTAAGAACAGTAAAGTGAAGCTCAAAGTTGTGGGTGGATCATTCGAAATGGGGGTTGGTTTTTAGGACTGGCAATGCCTTGCAAATTGTCAATTTAGCGACTTGATATCACCTTCAGCTATCCGACAAAGTACAGGGATAGTCTTTTGATTGATTTGGTGGCTCCCGCAATTAGACACCTTATCGTGTACGACGTATGTACTAAGCAATCCCCATCCGGAAAGAAAGCCGAAAAGCTTCAGTCCTCCCATTCGGGCTGAAGTCTTGCGAGACGTATACGCTTAATAGAGGGTGGAGAGATGGGAGCCCGGGCCGGGCGGTAGAACGCCAAAAGGACCCATACGTTTATCATAAAGAGCCCACTGGGGCAACTGGTGGATGGGCAAAGCACGTCGCACGCGCTTCTGTGCAGCAATTCAGGGGCGGCTGGGCCATACAGCCGCAATACAAGGTCAAGATAGAATTCAACGTCATCCCCACCAACCGACGACATAAGGAATCACTCGCGCGGCCCTCCAATCGGCTCTAATTAGTTGTTGCGTGAACGAAGTAGCGGCGAGCCAACCAAAATACGCTACGCGATGCCTAACTAAGGGCGGGTCCAAAAGCATAAACAACGTGCATGACAGCCGCCAATCCGTTTCTGAGGTGAGTCGCGCATCCCAAAGTCAGGAAGCCGTGTTATTATGGATGGTTCCCGACCGATTCTTATCTGGACTGGCAAAGATACAAGGAAGATTTTTATTCAGGGAGCATTGAATATTGTTTATCTCCAGCAAACTTTTGATCTCGTCTGAGCTAGGCAAGGAATATGGTTTTAGCGAATCCTGTGCTCTTCAGGGAAGCAGCAGAGTGAAATCCACCCAGAATTTCATAACCTTGTCTCAAGCTGGACGGCTAGCTTGAGCAACCGAGACATTCGCCCAGAATAGAACACGGAAACCGAGAAATCATTTAATCCGAAAAGATGTTTACCAGGTACTGGCTTACCCCAGAAGGGGTGAGGATGCCCACATCTGAAAAAACCAAGGCAATAAGGTCGGGTCGCGTGTAGTCAACATCCGGGTTATTGGCAAGCTGTTCAGGTGTCATCGTCAACGTCGGTGCGGGTGATGAATGGTCAGAGAGGTGGGGGGCCGCGGGCCGCTCAGCTGCCGGTGGAGCATAAACTGCAGGTGACCCATGTGACACCGTTAGTGTGGAAGGGTGAGAAGGTTTCTGTGTTGGAAGTCGCAAGACGGAAGAATTGTGGATGGGCAGATCGTATTGTGATAGGGGAAACGAGCGGAGGAATTTGTAGCTGAAGGTCGTTTTCCAATGAGAGGAATCATTTGGGGTAAATTTATCACCTCACCTCTCTGCTAGGGCGTATAGCGGCTTATTGGCGGCTTTCGCTATGATGGCCACTTGGTAGCTTCCCACAGCATTTATTAGGCCGCCACTCTCCACAACAGCCTCAGACCCGACCAGAACTAGATCTACCCTATCCATGACGTACGCCACTGCAGAATCGAGCACGAGGGTGGAAGGGACTCCAGCAGCGGTTAAAGCGTCAAATGCTTTGATGCTATCCCAATCATTCATTTCAGAAGCGAACTAAATGAGATGTTGATGCATGAGGCTCACCCCAAACCTCTTGGGCGCGCTTCGGTGACATAAACAGATACGCGCTTCCGCTTATGTGCATTTATCAATGCCTGGAGAACCACCCTTGAAAATGAATGTATTAAAATCTGATAGTTTGAGGGTTCCAACTGTGTCAGCATTGTGAGTAAAAGGTCCGGTAGCAATACGTACCACGCCGTCATCAGGTATGAAGCCCAGTGCAAGATGCGATATTTTCTCTCGACAAGATTCGGCTGCGTTACGCGCATACAAATTCCCTTCCCGAATTAGCGCTTCCTTATGGGTGGCGAACGCCTATGCGAGCGTAAAGCAGAACCCAACAATTTCAGATGCTGGCAATGGATCGAAGTAAACTGACCGTACCAAGTCTTCCTGGCGCGCTGTGCTCACGTAACGGATGAATAGATCACAACCGGCCGTTAGACTGATTGGATTCGGAGTTGCTTGTTTGAGGATAGCTGCTCCAACTTTCAATGCTTCTACCAATTCGTACATCGTTTCCGCTTCAGATTGGAAGAGGAGATATTAGCGGGACGCGTGCGCTCGGTACGTTCACGCATCCACCTTTTGAGACGGCAAGGAGCTCTGTTAATGCAAGTACAGCAGCAATTGGCATGGATGTGTCCTCATCCAAGAGATTTCTTCGATAGGCAGCAATTACATCAAATGGTGGAGACTGAGAAGGTTCTAGGCCCGCTCTGATAGCGTTATCAAGCATTTTTGAGGGATTTTTGGTTCGTTGTGCTGGTCACTGTGGAGTGGGTTGATAATAAAATTACACTGTTCCATGGCCGGATGTGGCAATGCGGACGGATATGTCCTTGTGCAAATCCCCCTCGGCTTGACCACCCTCATGAAGTCTTCTCATTTGTCCTCTCAATGGCTATTCAAGGGTGAACATGTTGGAAAAACTCCTTCAGTAGCTCTCGATGGCAAATCCGTCTCTGATGAGCTCGTCTTAAGGAATCAAGGGATCGAATTCTTATCTCGTGTTAGCTTGCAATTGAAGCTGTTAGTGGAACTTGGGAATCTTTGCTCGCTTCTGTCCAATTCTCATTCACTGTCCCCTATCAGTACGGTCCCAGTTATCTCCACCGCAGCAGTATACTTCCACCGCTTCTATATGCGATACTCGATCAATGGCCACATTATCTACGTGCGTTTGGGCCCGAATGCAGCCATCGTTTTCTCGTAAATGATGTGTCTTTGTGTCCCCTTTCCCCAAAAGGACACCGCTGGCGCATGTATATTCCTCGCGTGTAAGACGGAGGAGACCGGGCGAAAGCTCAGGGATGTTGCAATCGTCTGCCATGCGAAGGCCAGCGGTTTACCACCCACAACAGACGAGCAAGATCCGGTCTGGCTCTCATCATTTGCCTCATTCATGATTTCTCATCAGGTTGCTGTAGAATGTCACCAAGTGGATGAAACGTATCACGCAATATGAAGAGCTCCTCCTCGAGGCCTTGTGTTTTGATATGACGGTCGAGCACCCTCACACCGCGTTATTGACAGCAGCCAAAGTGCTTCATCCTTCAGAAGAACTTCTTGCGTATTCCTGGAGCATCATAAATGACACGTAGGCAGACTCTTGTTCCCAAGTAGAAACATGACATTTCATACCACATTCTCCCAGCTATCGGACCCCTCTCTGCGTTTTGTACTCACACAATGTCATAGCTTGCGCGTGCTACTTATTAGCGCATTATTGGATGGATCCTGCAGTGCCCCTGGGTGAGGTTCTGGAGACTCGCTCAGCTGTAGTGTATGATGTTTTCGCCGTACAACAGTCAACAACAGACGTCTCAAGTAAGTTGACCACCCATCCTTGATTGTCAAACAGGATAAAACGACCCCACTAGTAACCGTTGCCGCAATAATGGACTTCTATCGTCATGCCCGTCCGTATATTCAGGATAAATTCTGGCAATCCAATCCTTTCGAACAAGTTACTGTATGAACAACTCTTCCCATCGTTCCCATGTGCTTATCCCATATATTGCAGGCCGAGTTCTTGCCCGAACCCCCTTTCAGTTTCCGCAAGTCCGACTCACCCCCACCAGAGGACTCAAATGACGGAGCTAGCCCACCCCTCATAATCACTACCCTTTCCCCACCAAAATCCCCTCAACTGGGGGAAAACTCTCAGTGACACGCACACAGATGCATCTTTCATCAACATCAAGCATCGGGCAACAAATCATTGTTGTAGTTAATCGCTGTCACTAAAATGGATCCGATCCTCGACTTCCTCGACTTCGTCATGCGCTGTGTTTCGCTCGTACTGACTAATGTCCACGGATACGGCTCCTTCTTCGCCCTCCTCGTCGTCAGCGCCAAAGTTGCGATCTTTCTCGAACAACTGTCGCCCTATGTGGAGTTTAGACGCGGGACGACGGCAACAAGGGTGTGCTAGACCTGTAGGTTTTAGCTTATTTCTCTTGTATTCCTCCCTTTCTTTCGGCGGTATCGCTTTGATACGTTCTTCGTCTTCTGCTGCGACTTTGGCGGCGAGCTCCTTATCAAAACGTTTCTTCCACTCAGAAAATGTAGAAGAAGTTACTGGTGTCCCTCTAGTGCGAGCAGTTTCTGCCTGGTAAACAGGTACACATAGGAATTCAAGTGCCGTGTGAATGCAGTAACCACGAACCTCGAGCTCGCGACGGGCTTTTTCAGCAGCCTCTATTTTGCGTAATTCTTCCCTTTCACTTATCAACTTGCCAAGAGACTCTTGTAACTGCGAGACGAGTGTGAAGACCATAGCCATCCCCAGACTTTCTTCACCCTTTGATGCGCTGAGACTTCAATCCAAATTGAGGGATGTTCATAATCCCCGTACCATTTCATGAAGGGTGTTCAGCAACATTTTTTCCTCGTCCCGGCTCAGTGACCCTCTCGAGGAATGGATAGCCAGCCCTGGAACCTTGTCAGGGTATTCGGGAGGATACTTTACGAACAGCGTGAGCTGTACTATGAACCCGGGCGGTAAGAGTGGCGCCACGATCAGAACCTTCCTGAGCTGTAAACAAGCATAACTTCTCGGACTTGCTCTGGTCTTCCGAGCTTGGGGGCTGCTCAGCCGGCTCGACGCGAATCTTCAACTCATCCTCTGCAACCTCTATCGGGTGCACAGGTGATGAGTCAAAATAGCAACAGAAAGTGCTAGGACCTCACTTTCCAGCTCGTCTGGGTAAATAGAAGACAAGACTTCATATTCTTCCGCTAAGACTTCCGACGACATCAAGACGAAAGATGAATCATGAAACAGCGATTGCGCAGCGATCAGCCGATCGGTCACGCGACTTGGAAGGAACGTGGGAATTGCACGAACCATCAGACATGCAACGCCTGCGACCTTCAATAGCGGTTTCAATCATTCGTCGTTATGTCTCAGACACAAGACATACCGGAAACCCGACGTCCTCACGACCATTGGTGCTGGACCATATCTTTGACAACATTGTGAAGCCACACCCAGCTTCTCCCGCGAAAAGCCGTCAACAACCTGAGCAAACGAATTCTCCTCACCCTGCAATCTGGCAAACATGGGGAAGACTCAATAATGCATTATATGCATCGGAGCAGAAAGTGTCGAAACCGGAGGACTTGTGGCGGGCATACTCCGGACGACGCATGGCTGAGATCCAAAAGTTGCAGCAGGAGCGAGCACACGCTGGAATGTACTGGGGTCGCTCATTTCCTGTCACCAATGGAAATTTTATAGCAGCTTACTCCCGCGTGATGACTACGCTCCGGGATAATAGGGTTCGCCAGGAACAACGACTGGCGGAACGTTTTGAAAAACCCACCGATAAGAGACGAAGACTGAAGAGTGAGCGTCACAGAAGAAGATTCGCGGAGATGGTGAGTGTACATTTCGTGCGCCCCTGTACATGAAACACCAACCGGTTTCCGGCAACCTAGATAAGTCAGAAAGTCAAAATCGTCCGCGCGATACGCGAACGTGGCGGATGACGGGTGAGTGTCCCCCATCTGTGTCTCTGCATTCCTCTTCCTTGTACCGGCTCACATCCCGACTCATTCAGGCGTCTTTGCACCATATTATTTTCTGTCCCTTTGAAGATGAAACAAACACGTTTTTAAGGGACCTGATCCTTTCTACGTTAGATTATAGATCTGCTTATTAGGGAGGGTCAAACGCCATTCGCCGCACCTGAAACATGAGGTGATGGTTGAATCCTAGTTGGCTGAGGAAGGTCCCGTGCGTGACGCAAGGCTCATGACGCCGCTCCCTTTAAAGACGACGTCTCTTCCCGTGTCTGCCTAAATTTCATTCTTCGGTCTTTCCTCATCGCGAATAACTCCCTTCAATAACCTCAATTTCCCCACTTTGCTCAATAGCCAACTCGATAGAACATGTGCTATAATGTATAATACCCCTGCGTTTCGTGTTCTATTGCGCCAACCACTAACCCACTGTCTTTTACTGGAACGTGGTATAGGTTATTGAAGGGCGATGGTATCAGATATGCGACTGCTTCGATGCGATGTCGACCCATCGCCGGGATTGCAACGATCCCAAGTGTACCTTTTCCTCCGCCCACCCACAGCCATCACACTGGTGCACGACACACAATTCTTGTACCAAAATGATGACTCTACCAGACAAGCAGCCAATTCGAATCAGTCCTCTGAAATGTGCAAAATGCTCTAAACAAGAGGCAGAATTGCTGTTCAAGGGTCAGGCCAAAGGTGTAGCCAGCGTTCCGAATACTGGGGTACAGTTGCCACCTTCTGGGAGAGTAGCTTGGAGTTGAGGGAATTCGTGGTGTGAGTTTGAAGATGTGCTTGGCAGGAATCCAGGTCTTGTGTAAAGATGCGGTTGTGAATGAGCGAAAACTTCCCTCGATAGATGTTGATCGTCTGTATTTTTCGGCTGGACCGTCACTTGTACTGAATGTACATCCCATAAGCCTGGTTGTCCTTGTCCGTAAGTGACGTACAGGAACACATCGGAGAATAATATTGCAAGGTAGCTCGTCAGAAGACTTCTCCCCTGGCAATGCTCTCCATAACGAGCCGTGTGGTGTTTTCCACTTCCCTCCACAAGCCATGAAGGCAGTGGTCGGCATATAGGAGCCAGGTTGGCGTAGCGCCGGTTAGGGAAAGTGCAAGCCGATCAGCTCTTAGGATTCCTTTAGCTTGTTCGTTCAGGGACTGGCAGATCATTAAAAGTTGGTCTCGCGCCTTCTGCTCGTTGATTTCAGACACGTTATCTGCGAAACCCAGGACAGTTGCTTTCCAACAATCATAGGGGTCTTCGCTGGGCCAACCAGTAGGAAACTTTGGTCGCACTGGAGAGCTATCAAGATCCTGGGAAGCAGCGGTGATGGCGGAGCTCGGAAGAGCGAGTAAGCGAAGAACGGTTAACAAACGGTAGGATGGGTGCGCGGGGGGTGGCGATGTATGAATTGTCCAGTCGCTATCACAGTATCAGATTGCAAGGAAGCAATTGAGAATATCCAGAAACGCTTACAGCCAATAATCCCATCGCTCCAACAAGTCTTTCATGGACGCGTACGGTTGCAGCAGCAGCCGTATCGCATAATCTAGATTTACCTCTGACGGATCGGAATCCAAACGTCGTTCAAGGGTGAAGCCATACTCAGAAAACAAGGCCGAATTGCTATGATGCCCGTACTGAAGCAAAATCTCTTCTCCAGCTTTTACGGTTACAGACGCCGGCGAACGGAGGATAACGGATCGCGGCGCGTGGGGAGAGCCGGAAGGGCCGCGCCGGGTGTCGCAAATGTATTTGACTTCAAACTGGCACGCACGTGGAAGATCGGGAGAGTGATTTGCTAAGTCAAGTAATGGCACGAGCGTCAAATCTTCTTCTGGTGAGGAGGTGCTGGTTATTGGGAGATGAATACACCGCGTATTCACTGTCAGTTTCTATCTCAGTGTCCGAACACGAGAAGGATGTTTGTAACTAACCACAAAGCCATGACCATAAGAAATCTTCTTCCTCGCTTCGCGTACTGCATCTAGATTTTGCCAATTCGACATTCCCTTTCTGTGCAGGTAACTGATCAGGAACTGTTAACGCAACTGTATTTGTGTCCCCACTAGATACAGTCTAACTTGCTCGATATCATGTTGGTACCTGGCATGAGTGGCAGTGATCCTTGCACTTGCCGTTTCAGGTATCCTCGAAATCAATTCCCTCGGAAGCATAGATGCAGTTTGCAATTGTGCCCGAGCGTACCAGGCTACGGGGTGAGAGTCAAAGGATTGGGGAAGAGACGCAATGAATGGTGAGAAAGAGTCATTTTCTCCTTCACGATGAAGGAAGAGATGCATGGTCAGAAGCTGCATCGAGGTCAGATCTAAAGCACTTGTCGGGTACGACGATCTCAACGTAAACTTGTTGAGCAACTTGGACCCAGGTAGTACTATCAAGGGCGTGTTGGGCTGCAGAAGTCGATTCAGTATCAAGCAAATCACGACCCGCCCATCTCGGCACGCACAGGAACGTCCATTGTCGCGAAGAGTCCCCTTCCCGCACCATTCTCAAGCTCCTTGCATTCGACCAAGGGACTAGCTGCGTCAGGTAGGCTCACCCAGGATACAAGCTGCCTGAAGTTGATCATGGTCCAAGTATGTGAAATTTCTGCCGAACAAAGTCAGGCAGTATGGAAAGATGCGGAACGGATTAAGGACTCGGAGGATGGGAAATTCTTTCAATTTGTGGCCAATTAAATAATTGGTCACGCGACCATTGCTCGACGCCACTTAGGTGTCGCTGGTTTAGTGATAGCTATCATGATACTGGTAGACGAGGGATATAATGAAGATGAAATACAGGTTTTTTCTGTAGAATCGCCCTCTGGCTCTCTGTCTTGCTCCCGGACACGAGATTACCTGACAGGTCGCATCGATGTCAACCTGTTAAGTCCTTCGGAGCGTACTGGTCAGTTGCAAGGTTTTTTGCGCTCGCATGTCAATCCATAACCGTGATTCAACTAGCCCTTCTGGCTGATCTTTTGGGAACCCTAAGTATCGGTGAATTGAGCAGTTTGCATTGCAAAGTGTCGTCCCTCCTCCAAGTCGATATTATCGGGGTAAGCTTGGAAGGCATTCATAGTGAGTGTCGTCGGCTCATGTCTCTCATTCTTTCAGGAACTTCCCCCAGAACTAGCATTGCAAGTGCTGTCTTGGTTGCCGGTTGAAAGTTTGCTGACTGCAAGTTTTGTAAACAAACAATGGAACTTGTTGTGCAAGGACCAAAGCCTGTGGAGATTGCTTTGCGAGGCTAGGGGGTGGAAATGGAAATCACCCAATCGCTTTGTCTCACTTTGGCGCGAAGAGTCTAACCATGTTTCTGGAAGTCACATTGACGAAGGCTTCGGAGATGACGAGGCGGAGAGGATTCCACGAGACCTTTATGGGGTATTTCCGCTTCAATCTAAGGGACCGCTATCCCGCAATTCAGCACCAGCTCTGCTACCCTCACCCATTTCCCATCAATCACCCGACTATAGAACTCTTTTCAAGACTCGGACGATACTCCGTCAACGTCTCCGAAGGGGCGAATTCAGCCGGACGACCATCCAGGCTCATTCAAGAAATTTTCCGCGTCCTGGTGACTCTCATCAGCCTGTACAAGGTCATACTTCGACGATCTATGCACTGTGCTTGAGCAACGATCCTGTCACTGGCGAGAGTACACTGTTTACCGCGTCCAGGGATCGGAGTATCATTCAGTGGGATGTGGCTACGCCAGCGTCCCTTCAGACCCGACCAATTCGAGTATTCAAAAATGCGCATGTAGGCAGTGTGCTTTCTGTCTGTGCCGCTCCCGAGTTCGGGTATCTCATCTCGGGAGGAAGTGATGGACGCGTTATTGTATGGTCCATTTCGACTGCTGCGCCTTTTAGAGTATTCGAGGGCCAAAACGCCCATCTAGATAGTGTGCTTTGCGTTCGTTGCGATAAGAGGATCATCGTATCTTGCAGCAAGGACAGGACAATTAGGACATATGAGTTACGAACCCTGGAGCCTTCCCACATTCTTGCGTCACATCGGGCAGCTGTAAATTCCGTGGCAATTTCTGACAAGTATATTGTTTCTGCTTCGGGGGACCGATCGCTGAGGCTATGGGACTCGGAGACAGGCGAGCTGTTGCGCGTGTTTGAAGGCCATCACGCCCGAGGGTGAGTCAATCCTACCCTTCGTGATTTTACAAAAGTTAGTCACGCAGACCGGGCTTGCAGCCTCGCTGCAGTGGATTTCGACCTCCCGTACATCCTCACCGGGTCTTCCGATAGACAGATACGTTTATATGATCTTAGTACCCAGAAGGGGTGGTCTACGGACCCTTGGCGGCATACCCATCGCCCCACCCACCGTCACCACTCTCATCTCGTATTGGAAGGTCCCGGCGTTTCTCACACGAGTTCAGAACCAGGCAATGGGAGCAATCAAACGACGGCCACCTTTGTGGGACTCGATATACATCATGCATTCGCCGGTTTTGGCCTTGGTGCTGCGCATACGCATACTTCCCAAGCCCGAGCCTTTCCAGGAGGAGAAAATAATGGATACAGCGGAGGCATGAATGGTCATCAGTTGCGTTCCTCTATCTATTCACAGAGGGCAGTGGCTGCGTACAATTCGCTCATCGAGCGCTTCAGCGGCCCTATGAGGAGTTCGTTGGGGTCTAGCGCTCACAATGAATTGGATGCGTGCCCTACGTGCTCCGGAACAGGTCGTGTTCCGCTTGAAGTTGTACGGAACGTTCATCACGGCCAGTCGTTTTTGCATCAGGTGCACCAACATCATCAGGATCTCGTGCGAGCTGTAGCAATGGACGCCGATGTGGTAGTCAGTGCAAGTTATGATGCTACTATCAAGGTGAGTTTCTTGTATATTTCTTCTGGACTATGGTTCTCGATGGTTTATCGGGAGGCTAATAATTGGAATCCATTTCTCCTGCCGTTTTCCAAAATACTGAAACAGGTTTGGGATCGACGGACGGGTGTACTGCTCGCCGATCTTGTCGGCGGTCACAGGGGGCGAATCTTCGGCGTCGCGTTCGACTGTACGAAGGTAACGTATCTTATCCCCTATCTCTCCGCCGGAAATTGTGAGCGGAAGTTGAGAGATCGTTTCGCTTCCAATCCTTTCCTAAACTTTTACCTGGGGTGGTATCCCATTTGCCCCTTTTTGAAAACTTGGGATGCCTTCAATCCTTGACATGGATTTACTGGACTATCTGTCGCAATAGATTGTCAGCTGCGGCGAGGATGAAGTGCGTGTTATTGCTTCGTATCTCATCAATGCTATGCAATCCGCTGATGCGAGGCATACGCTTAATATCTATAGCGTATCTGCATCTGGGATTTATCTTTTGGCCTCGACACCTCTTTTGTGAGGGTGTGAGCGCATCATGATCAAGTTACAGTTATGCAATACTCGAACGCAAACCATTTCGTTGTTATGCTTCTACACAGAAGCCGAATGCACCGTTGTCAATCTGACGGCCCAGAGGAATAACACCGCAATAACCCGCCTCCATGCAGATGCTGTATCTCTACACATGTCCTTGGGTGCATTACCAATCAACGTCTCGGATTGTACATAGAGATCTCCCAGCCACAGGTGTAATCAGGTCATGCCACAATTGACCGAGAATCAGCCGCATGCATTAGCGCTGCCCTCAGCTTCCTCTCGCCCACAGGGTCCTTCATCATCTCATCAGCTCATGATTATTCCAGGGAATGTGATTTGCAGTGCCTCAGGATATTGTGCGCAGCAGCCTGCGCGTGTCGACCTGCACCACATTGAACGATGGATCAACTGGCGATCTTCCTGTGATTGCAGTGCAGCATGTCAATATCGTCGTGATTGCGGCCCGTCCTCCGCGTTGAGTGCGTTTTTGGTATTCTTGGCTTCTGGGACAAATCATTATCGTTGGTACTATATGGACAATCATTTCTGCACTACTTATTGTGCGCCACCACTCGGATCGTCCTGGGCTGCAGGATCAAGCCAATCTATTCATACACAGGACGCCGGGGGATTACTGCCCGTCCCCTTGATGATCGATTGGCCAGCTGGTGCATCATTCGTGATGGCGTCGCAATGCATTTTACATATGCAGCCAGTCCCACGTCCATGCAGCTGCAGCGATCTCAAGCAAAGCCCCCTCTTGTGCGCCTTATCCTAGACACCTTTCAACCTATCTGGAACGTTGAGTCGGACAACCGGAAATTCTCACTCCCCGAACATCCAACGGCCCATTTGGGTGGCACGGCTCGGCAGCAAGCTCAAGTGCATCGTGCGGCCTTGTGGGAGACGCAAGGCTGTATTGACACATTAAGAAGTAAATGAATCATGATTAACCATCGTGCAGATCAATTGTCCTCGAGAATCTTCCCTTTCTCAATGGATGAGTTTCTAGACCTATGGGGCCGTCCACATTGCTCGAATTGAATTTACCCCTATCACCACAAGGTTTATCGTTTTGATGCCGGTTGGAATGGGTTTGCCGCTCACATTCGCAACCTCAGCGTCGCCGCTAGATTGCTTCGCCGCACGAGGGAATGACTATCGCTATTTAAGCTTGAACCCCTGGACCGACGAAGGGAACTTCTCCGAGTAGAAAACAAATGAGCTACATTTCCTTTTCTATTGAGAGGTCTTTAACATCGGGATTCCGGCCTCTATGGTCATTCGAGTGACACGATGAGAACGGCCTCTTCTCGGCTCGGCACCCCTCTTTTCTGATCCCACGTGGCTTCCCCATGTCTATTATGTGGGAAGAATGATATCATCATTCCTATCTTGTAATTGCTCGCTAAGAAGGGAACACTCTTGCGCCACGATGATTCGTGCCACTTTGCTCCTATCCAGCAACAAAAGCCTCAGTAGCCAGGAATATATATACACAATGATCTACATGGAGGTATCACAGCAAGTCGTCCATCATCGTGATCTCCCAAGCAGGGTGCTCCGCAGAAGCGTCCCGCTGGGGAACAGAATGAAAGAAATGTCTTCATTTCCGCGAAAACTTGTGGGGGTAGTTCGGGCGGTGCGGCAGCGGGTGGAGGTTCTAGTGCGTCCGAATACGGGGCTTCTGCGCTTGGGCGAACTGCGGGTAAAGTTCGACAATTCGACATTCTTCGTGCTGATCCCTGTTCGAGGGGCGCAAACTTCGACACCGCGACCACTGGCAAGTTGCAGTAACATGCTGAGTAAGCATTAATATTCAAGTGTCCCCAATGAACGCGAGGTCCTCCGCAATCAACACCCTTAGCGGGAATGCGTGGAGGGGTTTCCCACAAGGAGCTGGGGGTAATAAGGAAGCGGTCAAGCAATCACGCACCTCCCCAACGCATATCCTAAATTGGCCGTAGGACCACAGCTTGGGGAGTGTAGCTTGATTTGGAATGAAGTCCGACCAATCAAGTGTCTTTGTTCCCCCCACAACGAAGGCAACTAGTGGAATTGCTTGTTGGCAGTCATGACTTGAAAAGGTTAAGGTCATGTGTGTCACAACCGCATTTAGCAGAAGTTTCAGTCCCAGGATGAATCAGATGTGCTCGTTCCCAAAACGGCTTACTCGCCATTCATGCTGGCTGCTGAGCAGTATTGGAATGACAAAATTGTTATATATGGGGATGCAGCGTTGGCGATTGGGCAATAACCTGGGACGCCTGCGGTAGCGGACGGTAAGGTAGATGCTTTTGGCATCTCCGTGGTGACCAACGCAAGAGATAAAGCTGAGAAGCCTTACGAAGGAAAAGGCCAGACCAGAAGGGAAGCATTGTTCGGTTTACCATTTTGAGCGTATCCGTGATGGATATGACGGACCAAATGGGGTCCTGAGTGTTTTTGTCACTCATTCAACACGTCGTGCGCAGGATGGATTCCAAACCGGTACTTTGGTTATGTCTCAGTGCAAACCCCGCAAATGGTATCCACCTCCTCCGGACCACTGCGAGTTGTGCCTTGGCAAGTTCGGTGGGATGGAACAAACAACTTGCGAACCACACGAGGACTAACCCTACTGGGAAAACAGCAACGAGCAGGTATGCACGCGCTCCGTTCACCTGGATTACATTGGACGGGCCCCACTAGTGGTCGTGGTCATTGTGGTCACTACGAAAAGTAGATTCTAGTGCGCTAGACTCAATATGGTAACACTAAGTCGTTACGTCAGTTGCATAAGTCTCACCAAGACGTCTGGCTGCGTCAGGCCAATCGAAGTTCCGCAGTTACTCCACAACAAGGATCTTTGAGTGGTATGTCCGATCTATATCTTGGTATCGTGATGGCGGTGTTGGGTCCCAGATATTGATCCTACTCAACAGGATCTCGTGCACATCTGCGACAAAAGATCCTGCTGATCAGGATCGCTCCGCATCACGTCATTTGCGCTCAGTACCATTTTGCGCTCGAAAAGCCATGCTGCGGTTAATCACAGGACTCCAGCTATGCCACCGTTGTTCAGTCCGCCGCAGAGCAATACTTGAACCGACAAAACATGCATGCACCTTGCGCTGGGTGTGCGCTATCCAGTGTCCTGACATTACCGTTCCAATAATTTTATCCCGAACACAGCAAGCCATCCCAGTGTCAATTTCGACCCCTCATAGCGATACACGCGAGCAAATGAGAGTTGACAGATTGGATACGGTATACACAGTAACGGGGAATGGAAGTCCAGATGGGTGTATTCTTCATTGGGGATTAGGGCACAGACTGTAACGCCGAACCGAAATTCAAAGCCCTTTCTCCAGATCTCGGGTTACGTGGCCGATAGGTGCGTACCCTTACTCCATTCCCCGCAGGTTTCGATTGCGTCGCTGCTAACCGCGACTCCATTCCCTCGGAACGCGCAAAGACCAGAGAATCAATCTTACAACTGGCGCCATTGCTGCTTCCACGCGACCACAACACAGATGGCTACGTAGCATGAAGGTACTGGAGGACCGTAAGCATGCAACAAGGAATTTTGTAGCCGGGGAAGGGGCGCCATTTGCTACCTCGGTCGTTGTTATGCCGAACTCTGGTCACAGCTGGATTACATGGCTGCAGCAACAGTTCACTGCAGTTCGTGTTCCTGCTCCAGGCCGACACTCAAATCTGACGTACAAGTTGCGTATGGAAACCATGAGCGCAATCCCAGAGCCCCGGGGTCGAGCCATCTCCCGAAGACTATTTGCCAGTAGATATACGAGACACGCAGAACATTCGCCAATGTCACTGCTCGACCATTGATACGACTTACGATTTTAGTGCAAATTTAGCTGACCCGCGCAATGTATCAGGAGGAAGAGGTCTATTCACCTGCACAGGAATGTCGAGGATCTACGGTGCGAGATGCAGCTGGTGATGGAAGAACAGCCTCGATAGGTGTTGCGAATACAAGGATGGTCCGGGGAGGTGATTCAATTGAGCAGGAGTATCTTCAAACGACAACGAAAAATGCCCCAAAACTCAAACTGTCGGTCCAGGAGAGTTTAAAAGTAACAGGCCATACGTTAGTCTAGGGATATTCCTTCAAGAGCCATTTTAGTCTGCTCGAAAGCGATTCGCGGCTTATGGCTTCGCAGGTTGCCTCTAAAGAAAAGGACCAGCCTGGGTGTCTGGCTGGGGACGGCACAGTGAGCAGTCAACAAGGAATCAACGCACAATTAAATATTTAAGAGATCAGTAGAGGCGAGGCAAAAATTGTGGGCTAATACGTCGGCGAGCAATGGGCCATTGGGGAATCAAGAGAAGAGGAAAAGGCCTTCTGACTCTCAGGAATACCGAAGAGGTCTTGCAGCCGAGTGGACCTTGGTCACCCTGTTCCCGAAGGTTTTCAAGTGTGCGTCCAGTAGGGAAGACTTGTGTTGTCCAAACAAGATCTCGGGCCTTGACCTACACAGTGCAGTTAAACCCGTTGGCGAAGGATACACTTGGGAGTAAAACAAGAAGCCTGCTGGGTTCTTTCGTTGTCTGAGGCCTCGTAGAATCATTTTTCTGAGACTCCCGAGGAACAGAAGGATGTTGGACATTCCACGAAGGCGACACAGTGCAGCGAGGACGGATTCAATAATGAATCTCACCAAGACAAACGAAATCCATGTGCCGTTTCACGGGAGCCTCCGTTTCCTAAGATTCCCACGGAGGGCGTGCAGCTGTTCTGCCGTCCACCTAGGCAGGATACCAGCCTCTATAAGAATAGACCGTCCACCTGGCATGAAAGATATTGGACACTCTGCGGCCTTCGTGAGTTTAAGTATTTCCCTGTGGTGTCGAGATCGGCCATCATTTCCTCACTTGATTTTTTTGCCAATCTAGCGTTTGGACTGTCTTGTCGGGGGCCGGTCGCGTCGGAGATTGGGTGCCTCTTCACATGGGATATTTGTCAGTCGGGCTCTAGTCAATGTTATCATTGATGCTTTGGTTTTAGCTTGACAAACCATTCGTTTCTGGCATTAGTAACTACGCTCGTATCTTGTTTGCTTCGAACCCACTGATGGGGTGAGCTGCTCTGGTGTTGAAGAGCACGTGAACCACGCTGTGGACACCTGGACCCATCCTTCTGTTGATTTTCCCATATCCTGTTATCTATCTTACGAGTTCCAAATACGTTGCACAAGCCATCCGACGTCGCCTGGATGGATTGAGGGCTTCCCCTGATTGAAAGGAACCGTCCGCTTCCTCGTGGCATCACTTCCCGCTAATCTATCATTCGAGTCACTGACCGCCGCTTTTGTCCCATAAGAAGTGCAACTTTCTATCCGTGCTCCTAAAAAGCACTGCATATATCTTGGTCTTCATCGCATACAGGGCTTGTAGAACATCCATTGATGACAACTTCTGCGTTCTCGCTTGTCCTCTGTTGGTCTATTCTTCTCGACTTCATATTCACATTTAAGCCCATTCCAGGAATCGAATGTAGTGCAGAACAGAAATTACCATCTCTTTTACCCCGGAAGACGCCAAGCTCCAATCCCCGCAGATCGAACTACGCCCCTCTCTTCATCTCACCTCCCACATTTTGCGTGTTTTGGAGCACTTGGTTTTGGTTTGGGGTGTTGGTTTATTTTGACAGAGTACTTATCTGGCGTTGCGTTTTAGGGAGGGTTGATCCCTGCAGAGCCAAAGCCTCAACGAGCGCCGATCGCACAGCCTTCCTTCGTCGCGAGATCCATTGCGGAGGGGACGGTGGCCACGTCACAGTCGGCCAGTGGTGGATTTGATCAGTCGTTCCGATGGCTCTGCCTAAGACACAACGTCAGATCCCACTGCTCAGCCCTACATGCTATCTACCACGCCCACTTTTTTCATGAGCATATGGAATTAATTCACCCCCTCCCTCGTACACCGTGGGACCCGCACCCATCGCCCCCCCCCCCCTTCAAGGAGGGAGCGGTTAAGCGACACTAGTATCCCATACTCAGCAACAGGCGATTCGGGACGGCTCTAGAAATGGCAGCAGGAGGGTACTCGCCAATTCATAGGGTCTCTAGTCCTCAGAGGCTCGGCGGCCCTCAGCTCCATTCTATCTACGAAGGCAAGCTAGTAGGTGTCAAACTCGCACTAGACATATTTACGCGATCTCCCCTGACACAAAGAATGCTATCATCTGCCTAGATAACCAAGCTGCCATCAAAGCCCTCCCCATCCACCAGGGTGTCAATCGGGCAAACACATCATTCTAAACGAGTACGAAAACATACACATCCCAACCTACGGATCCACCTCGGGTGGGTCCCAGGGCACTGTCCAGGCAATGAAAAAGCCGACTCGCTCGCCAAAAAAAGTCACCAATCCCAACGTCTCCCATGCCCCTTACATGCCTGCCTCTCTAGCGGCAACTCGCCGAAGGCTGCGCAGACAGGGCTCGGATAACGAGCCCTCTGCCACAAAGGCAGTGTTCCACTGCTGTGTCCACTACAAACAAGAATCTGGCGTCCCTACCAAGTGGCACATCCTCCATCTACGATCCGCGCATGTAGCTTTGAGCGCCTATGGAGACATGTGGACTCGCCCAATTTCCCTCTATTCACCTGCCGTTGTTTCTGCCGCAAGCGCCAAAAGCTCAAGAGGAGCCTCCGCTGATGATACATCCATCAAAACTTTCGAGCCGTCCCAATTGCTCTCCCATCTGAAGATCCTTCTGCACACCACCCGGTTTATCCGCGAAACGGAGCGCTCCCCCTTGTATGCAACGCGATCTGTAGGTGCCTAATTTTCTCTCTCTCTCTCTTGACGTCACTTTGGCCTTTCATATTGCGCGGTGCAGAGTCAATCGAGCGAAGCGGGCATTCCACTCCTCTAATTAATGTGGCCTTTTCACCAAGCACGCTAGATCTGCTGTCCATCCCGGCTTCCCACCTAAGCTTGAGGGTAACCAGCTGCAAAAATAAAAAAGCTATGCCTTGCGACTGATAATATGGCGATCAGGTGGGTCCTTATGCAGTACTTCCTATGATAGGGATTCAGATAGAGTGCGTGTGGGGGGGAGCCAAAGGGGTCGCTGACGATTGGGGTACCACAGGCAGCGCAGATTCACTCTGTTCACCTGTCTCGCATCAATTCATGGTCTTTTTGAGTGTCTTGTTGCAATAATTCAGCACACCATTCCGATTTATTCATTTCTCCACATCGGAATGTTAGACTCAGGCCGCCTAGACATGAGATGGTCAGGAGCGTCAATTGGGGTGTCAATCGAGATGCGTGCGTAGTAGGGAACAGCAGGGACATCGGGCATGGTCAACACAAGGTGGCTTTAGAGAGGAATTCGATGGATCGAACGTGACAAATGGTAAGACTTGCGATAGCCGCAAGAACTTCATGACGACCCTGCCCTCTATGAAACCTTCGGCACTAAATGATGCACATATCGTCACATCGGGAAACGGTGTCCTTGTCGAATGGAGAATCCCTACCCGTAAAGAAAAAGATGCTCAGTGACAGTTACCATGACTTGGTGCACTGGGCCGAGTGAGGGTATTCCCCTGTGGCGAGCAGTCTATGTACACTGGAGTCCTACATGGTCGTGTCTACCGTAGGCCTCATCTTCCCTTTAAGGAAGGAGTGTCTGGTGTCTGTTTGACGGAAGGTGGCTGCTCTGGCGAGTTTGTTCACGTGAAATTGGAGCACGAGCTTCGGGACTTGCCTCGGCGCCCTATCACATAATTACATACCCAAATAAGGATATGCATGTCCATTTCTATTTTAGGAAGACATTTGTTTTGTTCCGACTTCCCTTCATATCGAACCTTTTTCCTTCACGATGTTGCTATGGATGGCGAAGCTCCAGTCCGCGGCCTGAGCCTCGCCTGGAAAGGTATGGATCCAACATGCGGTGCAGCCCGTTTGTAAGCATCCCCTCGCGCCTTAGTCCAATCATATATTATTCTAGTACGGAGCACTAACGTGGACTCGTGCTGAACAATTTAGTTGTGGTCCCATGACTACAGACTTAGTTGGCGCTCACCTCAACAACGGCGCGTTGTGTATTTTATGTAATTCCCTCCGAGTTTCCAGGCTCATGGACTTAACGTCTTTGTAGGCGTGCGGCAACATTGGTCAGCCATGGAAGGCGCATCGGTCTTCAGCCCCCAAGGGTTTTTCCGTTGTACAGACTTAGGGGGAACCACTTGTTCCGAACAACAGCCGATCTGCCTCATTTATTTCTCATTCCGGGAAGATTTGCATGTGGAAATTGTGTCGCAGGGATGTGAAATGCTTCCATTTGTCACTCATTTTCCGGCCTCGTTCAGACCCCACATTGCGCGGATCGTCATCATCGGGAAGATTAGCCAATTGCCAACGGGGTTTTGCAGTAACCCCGATTTCCTTGCCTCACCTGCCCATCACAAGAATTTATGATCAAATATTGTCTGATTGGCCGCTTTCTCTTTGTGCAGTCGCTGCCGCTCGGGCGGGTCACCAATTTTTAACGGGATAAAGGTCAGTATTCGACTCGCGATGTTCTGGCAATTCCATTCAAACTTCTGAATGGGTTTGCAAAGCTTTCGACGTATAGGCTTATGGTCATGCTTCGCGATTGGTTGTGAGCAGCTTTTGCAATCATATTGGCCGCATGCTTGGCCCTCGAGGCTAAATGAATGGAATTGCGCTAGTTGCTACCCAACAGAAAGGGGTTCTACGCGTGGTTGCGTTGCATGCGTGTGATATTCTCCTAGCTCTGACCTGGCGCCCCCTCGTCAGAGAGCGGCATAGCGCCCCAGTACAATATAACTAGCGGGAAATATCTGCTTCGTTTCCCTCAGGCTCAGGAAATACGGACCGTGGAGGCATAGCAGTGCATTCCAAGTTAAACACCTCCCTCCCCCTTTATTGCAACGCCTCTTTATGACCGGGGGTTCTAGACTATCCCCCTTCACTATCCTGAAATGCAAGATCTTTTAGACTTCGTCATCAACCACGTTTTCATGCCCCCCAAGCTGCCTCAGGAGGAGGATGACAGCTCAGAGCGCAAAGATTTCCTTCTGTCGACGGTCTACAGTACAATGGAGCTCTACAGGCAGCAGTATGCTGCGATTGAGCACCAAGCGTTGTGGGGCTCTTTGTTAAAAATGGTGGATACATTGCGACGAATTAACGAGTGTCCGGAGGTTTGGATCAGCAAATCTATCAAAAACATGGTTACCGGAGGTAAGGGCTGCTGTAACTTCGTGCGGAACGTTCACGATAACATCTGGATGCAGACATTATCTCCATTCTCATTCGGGCTCAGAATGCAAGCGTGATCATCCGTTGCGGAGAGGAGGAAACGATATTCGAGAGTTTTGAAGTCTCACCCAGGAACAAAGACGTGATGGGCTGTACAAGAAAGCTTATCCGCTCCTTTCCCGGACCTGCCATTGCCGTTCAGAATGACATTGCGCTGGACCCGGCATTTCTCGAAGAGTTATCCACATTCCTAATTCAGATGGACATTGATTCATTGGCGGATGCCCAAACCCTCACCAGAAAAGCAGGCAGTGACCTCGTCGAAGAGCGCGACACGACTCATCCTATGTATATTACCGAATTGCTGACTGGGATACTCCGTGGACTGGGACAGCCTGCCGACATTCTTCGTATCCAGAAGAGGACGTCGGATGATGTCTTGTGGGATAAAACCTTGCTCCCATGGAGACGCAGTCCTCTCTGGCTCGTTGTTCGTGTCACCTTACAAACTGCGATTCGCCGAAATGCCTCGGGTGCGAACGAATACAAGTCCTTTATGATACTCCTTCTGGCCCAGATTTTGCGCAATGGTGTCGAGAACCGGTTGCCAGGCGACGTCCTTTATTGCATGCGTGCGAAGCTTAGCCGTCGGCTCTTCAAAATTCGATCATGGGCAGGTGCAGCTCTTGTCGCGTATGTCCGCGGGGTTGTTGTTGATACCGAAAGACTGCTCCAAGATCGATGGGAAGCTGTCCAAGACGTGCAGATGCAAGCACCCGAATGGGCGCCGGACGGATTAGATATTGATGGAGACACAAGCCTTACCCTTCAGAACAGTAGATCTTACATCGATGCTGCTTTCAACCCAGTGGCACATGATAGTACCAGCGCTGCGTTCAACCCATCCCATCATCCGCGACCAGTCGATAATCCGTTTGAGGATGTACCCCATCATCTTCCAGAGGCAGTAAAAGCCGATGGACTCGTTGCGCTGTGGGATTTTGAGCATTGCGTAAGGAACAGCATCGACGACTGGGTGTCTTTGCAGGTTTCCCGCCAGAACTGCGAAGAAGCCTGTACTATTCTTTCTGATTGCATGATGACATACGCCGAAAATGCGAACACGTTGTATGAAAAGGCCCCGGAACAGCAGTCCATCATGCTCCTCACACTCTTTGAACTGTGGATGGCACTCGATATATTAGCAGTCACTTCCTGTCCTCTTTTGAAGTCCTATTCTCCCGAGATCCCCCTGACTCTGTATGAGACACTCCTGCTTCCGAACTCCGATTTGCTGGAACGCATATCTAGGATCCAGAAGCATCTACGCAGTCGCTACCGCGAGGCCGGTAGTAACCCTCGGTCGATTTTTTCAGAAATTGTAGATGAGGAAACCTTTGCCGTCAAGTTTTTCAGCTCGTCTCCATTTCTCCAGGGAGTGAAACATCGCATAGAAGAGCAGGCGACAGCGAAGCGGGACGAAAAACTTCTCGAGCTTCGCTTGTTGAACCATCAGTACGAGGAAAATATGGCTCTGGCTGGTATAATTTCGAAAATCAACATAATTGTGATCATGGACTGACAATGGATTTCAGCTCGCATCGATCATAACGACTCTACACGTCGCGGTAAGGTCGGACATTATCCGCGCCGTTGTCAAAAATGCAAATACGAGAAGAAGGCAAGAGCCAACATACATATTCACGAATGGCCGCTACCCGGCCATCTAATGCGAGCCGAGGTCGTTGTGTTTGAACTTGCGGGTCCTTGGGACTTCAAGACTTGGAGGAGGGCGACTTATTGGCTTCTTCGTGACATCTGTACCCGTCCTGTTCATTCCCACAAAGCGGCCCCATCGATGACATTACGACGTTATGCCGACCTCAATATTTCCGGAAACATTGTCTTCGATTCTCTGCTCCGAATCTCGTTGGCATCCCAGAAGAAGTCCTTCTTGAACACTCATTTTAAGGGCGTGGAAATCCCAGCGAGCGAAGAGAGCATCTGCCTCCCGAATGCGCTGTCATATCGACTGTATGACGTAGACAACGATAGCTGGATATATCCCCCATCCTCCGACTGTGACCTCAGCCATAGAACGTCCAAGCAGATAGCACATCGTTCGCCATATGTTTCCCTAGAATGTTTTGCACAGGGCACTTCCCACACCTCGAACGAAGTTCTTGCGAGCCAGCATGAATGTCCTGCTTCACTCGGCTTACAAGAATTCATTGCATTTGGGTCATTGCGCGCCGGAGCGCGGTTGCAATGGTATAATATTGCCCGAGAAATTCCCTCGAGAAACCTTAGTTTCCATCATGAGGTGGTTTATGATCTCATCTCTCGGGCTGCGTGTCAAGTGGGTTGCCTTTCCAGTGACGGTGACTGGGAATGCCACGAAGTTCTGCGGGATGCATCATTTTGTGACGTGTTACTAGACGTTCTTGACCAGCTCGGAACAGATATCGAGGGGAACTGGAATCAGAGTGTTGCAGCACTGACTGTCAGTACTCTGGCTTGCCGACTGCTGGCTTCGGTGGTACATGAATCAACCATTAACAAAACGTACAAGTTGCTGCGGAAGATCCGAAGCATCGCTATGCGCTGGCTGGATGAACTGACGAAACTCCAATCAAACACTGAAACCGAAACCGAACAGGACAAATACGAGAAGGAAATATGTCGAATAGCTGCGACTTGCAGGAGTACTTTTGATGTTGACTCAATCCATGCCGGCTCACTCCTTCGGACTTCAGAGGATGTCGCCATTTTTGTCGAATGTGCTATCATTCTTCACAATCATTCAGCTCAAGGATTCCCCAGTGCAAATCTTCATTTACATCAATTGCTTCTCCGAGACCAGCGCTTGTCCTGCAATATGGAAGAGCTTCTCATCACCCGCGCCCAGGAAACAGAAACCATGCAAGGCCTTAGTGAGGCGATAGCAAGGGTTTGGACCAGCTTCGACTTGACATGTCGCTGGACAAGGCTGCCAAGACCGAACCATCGTTGGTTAGCCACTGTCACCGGCCAGAGGTCACAAGAAGTCCAATTTAACGTACTGAGTGGTGCTTTACTGATTGAGGGGAAACCATTCGGTCGGTTGCCGCCTGCGATGCGTGGGCATCCGATATATAAGGAACTCTTCGGTGAAGTGCGGAGCCGTTTCTTACCTATAACAACGCTTGTCGATTCACGATCCATTCGCAGAAAAACCTGAGTGTCGTTCCATCGGACATGGAAGACATGGAGTATGCAACTAATGCCAGTGTGTCTTGCGGGTCTCGACTTGGGATTCAAGATATTCCTCAGGTTGGTTGAAAAATGAGCTTTCGAACCAAACTTCACTTGACGCTCGCCGTCAATAGATAATTCACTTCGGGTGGCGAGATGGAAAGCTCATTCTACGAAGTAGATCCTGCAGACCTGATGGGGAGACTTGTTGGATCTTGGAGTTGTTGCCTCGTGAGATATTCATGGGTGACCTCCCTACTATTCTAATCGACGACTATGTCCATTGGTTGGAAGTATCCACACGCCAAATTGAGTTGCGACCCAAAGAAGCGCCCTGGACACCCTCCCAATCAAGTTGGCACTTACGTCGCACTCGGTCTTCTGCATGGGTCATGGATAAGCAGTCTTCTATCGTATTGGTTGACTGTCGAAGCCGGACGGCGGAGATGATGCATGACGTACTTCGGCATCTGGAGGCGCCAAACAATATTCTCGTCACAAGACCGGCAACGCACCAACTCCTGGTCGACCTTCCCCGGTTCCAGCTCTCCTTTGTCCTGAAAGGGGGGGGCTCTGTTCACTGAACTTTCCCGGCTTCGAAATAGATCATGACAATCAATCAACAGGAACAATGCTAGGTCTTCAGAGTCAACTTGTTCTGCGCCAGAGCAGATATCACCCCGCTCGTTTTGTGGAGCCCATTTATTCTAAGCGTGTCATCATCCCCGTCGGCGACGTATCGATCGTAGGAGACGGTGACTACGTTGCTGTCACGATTGACCACTCAGGATCGCGTCGTGTCAATTATTACGATTATGATGTCGATACCCTGCTCGGCCGTTTGGTCGGAGATGGAAGCTTGTCTAGCACGCTTTTCCAGGCGTACCTTCACGCCATCACTAGTTACTGCCTACCGGATCCTCTTACGTCATTGTCGGGAACCGAGGAGGCACTTCAAATTCTTCGCTCAGCACGCTGCAGATCGTTTCTTAGTCTTAATGACCAGGAGCGTAACATCCTTCATCAGCTGTCCACATTGACGCCGTTAAGAAGTTGGTATCCTTTCCACCTACGAGTGATGCAACAAACTGTGTGGAATAAATCACTAAGACCGATTATCCAACACGATGCCTTCTGGAGCGATGTCCAGTCTATAATAGAGTGGGACGGTCAAATGCAAGCTTTCCGCCCTTCCATGTCCAGGGAAGACTCAGCGAGCACCCCCCATGTAAGAGACCCACATTTACTGTCTCGGGCAAGATGCCGCAATGCTATCTGGCCCGGCTCTGGGCAGGACAAGCTGGGCGTAGATACGACATACAGATCTAGGGATGCTTCAGACGGGCTCGACACTGCCCGCATTCACCGCACCTCAAATGTCTCTAGTTTGGTGTACAAATGTCCTCTTCAACTCAGGACTCCGAAAAACCTTTTATCTCGCATCGAATCATGGACGGAGGAGATGAAGGGCTCTTCCACTTCCAACCAATCGTGCGTAAGCCTCGGATACAGCAGAGAATGGCTGTCCTTGGACATAGCAAGTGCATGGATTTCCTTATACAATGCTTGTCGATCAGTCGGATGGGGGAATGATACCCGTTTCAAAATGGCATTCAGTCTTTCGGCATTGGAGTACTCTAATCATCGGTTCAAAGATTTGCTCCCCGTCGTTCTTGCATTTTCACGTTACCCTGAATTCCGTTCCATCAGTCCGCCGTTGTGGCCACGATACAAATTCACTATGGGTTACGTAGCAGATCCATCACAGCTCAACACCACCATCTCAGGGTGTGCCAATCCCTTTCAGGCCATCGGCGATGCATCGGCCCTAAATGTGTCTAAAAAGAAGCGTAAAATGGCATACCATTCCCAAGTGTCTTCCCAAGTCTCCTTCCTTGTTACACATTTCACTAACCAATGGAATTGTGCACCCTCGAGCAAACCAACGTTGCCATTTGTACCAAGCGGGGATACATGGCTAATCAACACCTCTCTTGCTATGCATAGAGTAACGGAGTTGTTCGGGATGTGGTCCAGGAACCGGGATTTGTGTGACCACATCCGGGAAGTGCAGCACATCTTGGATAATCGTTATACTTCAAATGCTCCGGTACTACCTCTATACTCATTCCAGACCTCTCCACACCTGGAAGAGGCACAACCATCCATTGTATCGTATCGCGATGTTTTCCTTCGACGGCCTCCAATTCTTGCTCCTATGCCTTCCCCTCCTAGATCAAAGGAATGCTTGGCTTCCAAATCACGTTCGGGGCCTGATAATCTTAGAATTCTCATTTCGAGGTTCCACTCATCTGGAAGCCCACTATCTCGGAAATATGGGGAAGATCTCGAGGCCAGCAGGGATGCATTGCAGTACGATACTGACATCGGCACGGAGCGGGTGAAAATCCTTCGGGGAGCCCTTTATCGTGATTACCAGATGTACCAAACTTATCTATACGATACCTTGGAGCAAATTGAACGGGCAATCGATCCGGATCCTCAGTCGGAGGCCCCAGAGGAGATTATGCGTGTAGCTGGGCTGTGGCCAAAGAGCACCATACGTTCTTTGTTGCACCACTTATCATTCTCATCGCGCTCAAGAGTTGGTCTCTCCCCTGGTTGGGAAACCGCTCTTATTCGCCTTGCCCAGTCCATACTACTGTTACAGCGGTCGGAGAGGTTGATGAAATCAAGACATTGCACCGATGAATTCCTGAAGGAATATCAGAATTATACTGATCTGCATGACATTTCGGACAGATTAGACTGGCTGCTCATCCAAGTAAGTGCTAATTTTTCAGCGTAGATGAGGGAGGGTATTGACTTTCTGAGTGCTTGAGATTGACTCTAACTTTCTTATCCGCCCGCTTCAAATTGACGTTGCCCGTAACATGATGTTTCCCTGCCCACAGGAAAACAACATCCTTCAACTCAATATGGGGGAAGGGAAATCGTCTGTTATTGTCCCGCTAATAGCGTCATCTTTGGCGGACGGACAAAAACTGGTCAGAATCATCGTGCTAAAACCCTTAGCAAATCAAATGTTTCAGCTACTCGTCCGACGCTTGAGCGGCCTGGCCAATCGACGAGTATATTACACGCCCTTTTCCCGTGCGACTTCTATGGATGGACACCATTTATCCCTTTTTAAAAGCATATATCTTGAATGCATGCGTGCGGGTGGGATACTGGTCATGCAGCCTGAACACGTCCTATCATTCAAACTCATGGGTGTAGATCGACAACTTTCGGCTGTCACGGGCCAGAAGACGCCAAATGCGATGCTGGGACTGCAACGATGGTTGGATTCGAATGTTAGAGACATTTTGGACGAGAGCGATGAGATTCTAGCGGTCAAATACCAACTCGTCTACAGTGTTGGGGCCCAGCAGCCTCTAAACCATCATCCTGACCGATGGACTGTTGTACAACATGTGTTTTCCATCTTGCGCAGCCACGCCTGGTTCATCGAGGAATTCCTTCCTCAAGGAGGCTTCGAGGTCGAACAACAGCGAGGTGGATGCTTCCCTCATTTTCGTATTCTCACCCGTAAGGCTGGTGTTTGGCTTGTGGGAAGGCTTGTGCGTGGAATAATGTCGGGGGAGTGTCCAGATCTGCCTTCGTTAAGGCTATTTCACGGCAGAGCGCGACAAGAAGCAGTGGCTTTCATCACAGAACCGAGTCCTGGAGAACTTGATGAATTGCGAAATCACTGCCACCGTGACACCCGCCTATGGAACACTCTACTCTTGCTGAGAGGCCTTTTTGCCCATGGAATACTTACGTACATCCTTAGTGAACGTAGGTGGCGAGTTGATTATGGGCTTGACCTTAGACGGTCCCTTCTCGCAGTGCCTTATCGCGCAAAAGATGTGCCTTCACTGAGAGCGGAGTTCAGTCATCCGGACGTCTGCATTTCGCTGACATGTCTCAGCTATTATTACGGTGGATTATCTTGTGATCAATTGGATATATGCTTTGAACTCCTTGGTCGACTGGAGGATCCTGTTGTAGAGTATGGCAAGTGGGTAAAAGAGAACTGCTTAGTGCCGGAATTCCTCTGTGACTATAGCAGTTTCAATCCGGGCGACCACAGTCAAAGGATCAACCATCTCTATCCAGCTTTTCAAAGGAACCAGGAGACGATCAACTTCTTCCTCTCTCATGTTGTTTTTCCGAGGGAAGCCAAGGCATATCCGCAAAAGCTCTCCGCATCTGGATGGGATATCGCTGAACGGAGACAACACGTAACGACAGGGTTCAGTGGTACAAATGACAACCGCTATCTTCTCCCTACTTCTATTAAACAGGTCGACATTCCTGCACAATTAAGCACGAATGCCAAGGTGTTGAATTTGATGCTCCAGCCTGAGAATGATCATTATCGAACTGCAGAGCGTAGCAAGTTTTTAGATCTTCTTATTGAGGAGACCCCTCAAATCCGAGTTCTATTGGATGTGGGCGCTCAAATGTTAGAAGATTCCAACAGGGGTTTGGCATCGAGATGGCTTTCGAAAATCCCAGCAGCCGACGTAGATGTTGCGATCTTCTTCGAGGATGACGAAATCCTCGCCATACGACGTGATGGGGAAACGGAGCCGTTTTTCTCGTCCTCGTACAGACGCCGGCTCGATCGTTGCCTTGTGTACCTTGATGATTCCCATACCAGGGGCACCGACTTAATGCTGCCCCTTGATTATCGTGCGGCAGTGACATTGGGTCAGAAAGTGACGAAGGATAAACTGGTTCAAGGTGAGCCTTCCGTTGAGATAAAATCATATCGAAGCAGAAGCATATTGCTTCAGGATGCATGCGAATGCGCAGGCTAGGGCAGGGACAATCCATCATCTTTCTTGCACCTCCCGTTGTGGATCACTCAATCCGCCGGTTCAATAAAAAACGCGACGGAGAACAAATCACTGCTGGCGACATTCTTGCCTGGTCCATCGGTGAGACATGTAAGAGCCTACAGCATTACAGCTCCCACTGGAGAGAGCAGGGGATTCATTACATGGACAGGCAATGCGCATGGAAAGAGTTTTGGTTGTCCGATGCTAGTGACGCTTCCGGGCTGGCGAAATATTGGCTGCAACCCGAGTCGAAGTCTTTGGAGGAAATGTATGAGGTATCATTGTCTTCCGTATCATCAGCACGCGAATCATCCCATCATCCCGCTGCTGACTTTCGTGAGATCAGAAAGAGAGCTCACATTTTCTCATTCTCCACGGAGCACGGGCTGGTGAGAATGGAAGAAGACCAAGAGCAGGAACGCGAGGTAACCCATGAGCTCGAACGGGAGCAACAAGTCGAGAGACCACCACCTTTACCGCCTGCCCGCCATCGCCTCGATCCTGATATCGTCTCTTTCGTACGAAGTGGCCGAACACCAGCAGACTCATCGCTTGCTTTCGTCACGCTCTTCCCTTCAGTCTCGATCCTTCATCCGTCCCCGCAGCAAGCCACTAAGTGGTCAGACAAGCTACTTGCAACCAGAGACTTCGTCACGGTCATCAAAGGTTTGGATGTCCAGAAAAGCATCGAGTTCCTTCGGCCCGTCAACTGGATACTGTCCAGTGCCCGCGACCCGACGCTCGTTGTTTGCAGCCCCTTTGAGGCGAACGAGCTGCTCCCTGAAATCCGCCGCAGCCACAACACTACGTTGCATGTCTACTCGCCTAGAGTGAACCAACCAATGAGGTCCTTCGATGATTTCAGATTTTGCACAATTCCACCTTTACCAACAATGTGGACGGAGCCAGAGAGGCTTACGATCTCGCAGCTCAACATATTCTCAGGCCAGGTATACCTCAACGACTTTGAAACGTACCTTGAACTTTGCAATTTTTTGGGAGTCAACACGAGTCATGACGGGAACAACGAGATCGAAACCCAAAGTGACGGCTTCATCCTTCCCCAAAACCGCACTGGAGAGATGGAATTGGTCTGTCCGTTTGATAGCAGCCCTCTCCCTTTCATACATGAGCTGATGAGCCACAGGAGGAAAGGTGAGTTCCAGAAAATTAAGTTCTCACATCGATATTAAAATATATAAGGGATACCCTACACTTCCACTCATCTTGGACGAATTGTTAATGGAGCATTCGTACGACCGGAAGATTTCTGACCAAATGTGTACTATTAGATCTCTATCTTGCCACAATTTTGTGTATGCTAAGATTGTTAATTCCACCACTGGCGGGGGGGGCTAAAGTGAGCTTCTAAAGTGAGCTTTGTTCTGTCGACGCAGCAAACATGGACAAGTTGGGTTAGTCTCCCATAACCGGCTGGACCCAACCTATTGCTGTTTATAATATTGACATGATCATCCACACTGACGGCACTCGAGAAAAAAAAGTGCTCAGGGCAATATATATATATATCACGAAGCGCCGAACTCGTGTCTCGGCGGGATGCTATCCTGCAATACTATCGCGTGGACCTCGCTGATGCTGTTCTGTTTGGCGAAGTGGGTCTGCCTTCTAGATTGCGCAACCACACTCAGGCACGTGCGGCAGGCAGGCGCTGGATCGTATGAATTCTCGAGAGTCCATTAATATTAAGTTCTCCTGTGACTAAGGAATCGGATGTAGCCGAGACTCACAGGATGTCTGGCAAGCTCATGGATGCTAGGCAGGATCCCAGCCTCTACTACATGGATGCCCGACTTCTGTCTGCAAGCAGTTGGGAGGCGCATGCTTTTGTTCCCGCAGCTGAACGAAACCATTCTATTGTCCCTGGTCGTCGCTTGTTGAGTGTCTACAGAATATCAAATACTTAGGTCGATCATCATTTATTTGCTACCATTTTTGGAAGATTACATGATCCGCACGGCCATTCATTCAAATCGGGCGCACCGATTTTTCCTTGGCTTGCTGTAAGGATTGCCCCCAATTGGGCGCAGCACATCGGTATTTAGCCAACGCGCTGGAAGACTGGCGGTCCCAGAGTTATATCTACCTGGCTTACGAGTTCATGTAACAGCTCAATGGAAGTGCGCGAGTGGTAAGACGACATGCCTAAAGACTCATCTGGAGCAGGTCTCATTTTGACGGTCCTTGTGGTGATTGTTGCCGGCTGATGCTTCGCCTCGAGAACGCGAAGTACCCCCAGAGCAAGGTCGCACATTTTCAATGATGCATGCAACCCTGGCGTGACATCCGGATTGGCATTACCGAGCCCGCGCGGCTCTTACCAATCAACTTTCACCAGTCTTAATACTTGTCCTCTCACATCATTTCCATCACTTCCTAGTCTTTCACCAGTCCCATCGCATATTTTGGATTCGTCGAGAATCACCACCGATAACATTGTGAGGCGGTTCAATCCAAGAGGACTTGAGACATAATTACTGCTGCGGGTTGGTGCTTTACTCCTTTCTCACGAGATTGACCCCATGATGTCGATGTCTTTGACGCTTAGTTTCATCCTTTAGTCACGTCCGATTCACCATTTGGACATGGACACCGCTGGGCGCCATACTGGAAATGGCACTGGTGGCGTTGGTAGTGAGAAATTCATGGCATTTTGAATCTACATATTCAGGCGTTCTTACTGGATCCGATATCCACGTTATCAGCGTCCGGTAACCACGCACCTGTTGAAGAGGGCCTCAGTGACACGGGTAGCATTGCGACCGTCGGCCTTTCGGACTCGGTCGACGATTTCCTCGAGAACGTGAGAATAAATTGTGTACAAGCGTCGATCTTTAATTGATTTTACATAACTTACGTAATAGCTCGATGAAGGCACTGAGCCTTCGCTCGAGCCTGCTCCGTCTAGCGATGCATCTTCTGCAAACGCGCCATCGCTGAGCAGCATATCGGGCAACCGGTTTTCCCAAATGACTTTTTCTGATACTTCATCCACTGTCGCACCAACCATTCCTTCTCTCTCGAGTGAAGTCACGAATGTGGCAAGTCTCGCGTCGGCGGGTGCATTTTACTCTAAACACTTGGACTCTCAGCCATACAGGATTTATAGCGTTCGAACATTCTGCGAAAGTTTGCTTAAGAGTGCTCGTGTGGATGATGCTAGGATTATGTCGGTTGAGCGTTATGGTGATCTCCATGGCGTGCCACACCGATTTCTCATCCTTCACGTTGTTCGGACAGACGGAAGGGACTTCTACCTTCGCTTAGACCGTCGACGAGATCACAGCGTCCCATTACGGATATTCGCAGTGCGAGATCTGGGGACGTCAGCTGCCGTGGACACTGTGAGGGGTGAAACCTGCATGACCTGTATTACAACTGAAGCACAGTGCCTGATAGGCTGCCATTTCTGGCCGACATGAACACCTCCTAGATTACACGAACAAGAAATCTGGTGTAGAGGCTGTCATGATTTTTCCGACCTTAGCACCCTTAACTGCAGTTGCACAAATTCTGTACGCTATCGCGACAGAGTCACCCGAATACAAGTTAACAAAGGTGAGTCTCGCGACTTTATTTGATTTTTATCATCCCCTGACCTACAAATCACCTGTAGGACAACTGCTGGTTCTTTGCGTCCACTATTCAGGAAATGTTGATACTGAGGTTCGGGGCCCAGTATCAGAGCGGATCTCTTAACCACCCAAACATCGGGGCTGACCGCCGAAACCCCATCCGGCTGATGACGTATGCTCACACTACGACTGAAATTGGTTCCATATTGGAGAGAATTCATAAATTTGCGGCGCTGGTGGCAGATTCAAGGTTAACAGAGGCTGTTAAATCTGTCCTGAACGTTATAAAAAACTGCTACGTACGAGAAGGATTCCCTTGCCAAGTGTACATCATCACTAATCTCAATCGAACCAGAAGTCTGCCGATGACATCTTCTCCGCACCTGACGCGCCTCTGTTCGTTTCATCCACGCGAGGATCACTCTTTACGCTACACCAGGCACTACACGAGCATCTACATGCATGCTATGGGATTCGAGGAGCGCGGACAATCTCAAGCAGTTTCTCTGTGTCAGTGAATCAGCTAAACATTGATTGTGATCCACGGGCCTCACAACTACTTCTAATATTGCTAGAGAGTTGCTTCAGATATATCCATCATGGAGGCGGAGCTTTCCGGCATCTCTGCAAGGCACAACGCCCAATGTGAACGGGATCACCGCTCTAGCTACCACTGTTGCCAACTTTGTAAAATCGTCGGCACGTAAATCCTGCCACTGCAGTGGTCAATTGACTAATCTCTTCTCCAGCTGAAAAGGGATCCTCCAGCGAACCGAAATTCTTCAATCACCTATGATCCAATCGGCGATGACCCTAGTTCATTTTCCAAGCCCCTTCCAGCAATACTACGCAAAATTCTACTATCAATCCTCATTGAGATTAATTCTGGGTCGGAGTCAGTTTTGAAATTTGCTGCATTGATTGATGATTCAAGGATAACAAAGGCCGTTGAGCCCGTCCTGAATGCCATAAAAGACTGCTATGTACGAGAATGTTTCCTTTGTCGAATGCACATCGTTGCTGATCTCGATTGAATCAGAAGTCGGCCGATAGCATTTTTGGTGCACCCGATGCACCTCAAATCCTTTCATCCACGCGAGGATTGCTTTTCACGCTGCACCAGGCTCTACATGAGCACCTGCATGCATGTCATGGGATTCAAGGTGCACGGATGATCTCGAGTAGTTTCTTTAAGTCAGTGAATCAGCCAAATATTCATGGTAAACCGCAGTTCTTGTGCAACTGCTGCTAATATGCGGTGTTGCCAGGAGGTTACCCCAGATATTTCTACGGTGGGAACGGGACATTCGGCAAACCACAGTACCCGACGTGCATGGGATAATTATTCTGACAACAAGTATCACCAACCTGTTAAAATCGTCGGCACGTATATCCTACTAATACCCACAGCCGCCGATTGCCCAACTGATCCCTTTATCAGTTGAATGGGAGTCCTCCAGTGCACCGAGCTTCTTCAATTACCTACAACCCAATCCGCAAGGACCCCAGTTCCTTTTTCATCCCACTTCTAGCACTGATACGCAATGTTGTGCTATCGGTGCTAAGTGAAATTAATTCTAGATCGGAGTCGATCTTGGAACTTAGTGCGTTGATCGAAGATTCAAGGGTGACAGGGGCCGTCAAATCTGTCTTGAATGCTATCAAGAATTGTTATGTACAAGGAAGTTTCCTTTGTTGAACGCGCATCAACACTGATCTCGATTGACCCAGACGTGGGTCGATGATATTTTTTGCGCAACTGATGCACCCCAAGTCCTTTCATCCACACGAGGATTGCTTTCCATGCTACATTGGGCACTACACGAACATCTGCATGCATATTATGGGATCCAAGGAGCACGGATAATTTCGAGTAGTTTCTCCGAGTCAGTGAATCAGCTTAATTCATTGTGGACTGCTAATATTCTGTGTTGCTAGGGAGTTACCTCGAGTGGTTCTAACCTGGAGACGGAGCGTTCAGAAGCCTCCGCGAAACACAGCGTTCCGCGTAGATGGGATAATCACTGCGACGACGAGTATCACCAACCTCGTAAAATCATCGGCATGTATATCCTGCCACTGCAACGGTCAATCGCCTAATTTCTCCACAGCTGAAAGGGAGCCCTTCAACGACCCGAAATTCAATCACCTACGATCGAATCAGCGACAACCCGAACTCGTATTCCATTCCACTTTCAATACTGATACGCAAGGTTGTGACATCAGTACTGAACGAAATTGAATCTAGATCGGAGTCGATATTGAAACTTACTACGTTGATTGAAGATTCGAGAATAACAGAGCCCGTCAAGTCTGTACTGAATTCTATAGAAACCTGCTATGTACGAGAGAGCTTCCCTTGTTGAATGTGCACCGTCACTAATCCCGATTGAGTCAGACATCGATCGATGATATTTTTTGTGGCCCTCGTGCACCACAAATCGTTTCGTCTACCCGAGGATTGCTTTCTACACTGCATCAAGCCCTACATGAACATCTGCATGCACGCTATGGGATTCAGGGCGCACGAATAATTTCAAGTAGTTTTTTCAAGTTAGTAAATCAGCTAAGCATTCATTGTAAACTACGGTTCTCGTGCAACCACTAATATGCTGTATCGCTAGCGGGTTGCCCCAGATACTTCTGGCGTGGGAGCGGAACATTCAGACGTCTTCACAAAACATAGTGTCCCGTGCAGATGGGATAATCACTCTGACAACAAGTATCTCCAACCTCGTAAAATCATCGGTACGTATATCCTGCCACTGAGGCGGTCAATCGCCTCATCTTTCCACCAGCTAAAAGGGGGCCCTTCAACGAACCGAAATTCAATCACCTACGATCGAATCAGCGATGACCCTAATTTGTTTTCCATCCCACTTCCAACACTGATACGCAAGGTCGTGATATCAGTGCTGAATGACATTGATTCTAGATCGGAGTCGATTTTGAAACTCACTGCGTTGACCGAAGATTCAAGAATGGCAGCGCCCGTCAAGTCAATCCTGGCCGCTATGAAAGCATGTTATGTGCGAGAGGGTTTCCCCTATCAAATGTGCATCATCACTAATTCCGAAAGAGCCAGGCATCGGTCGATGACATTTTTTGTGCACCCCATGCACCCCAAATCCTTTCAACCACGCGAGGGTTGCTTTCTACACTGCACCAAGCTCTACATGAGCATCTGCACGCACGCTATGGGATTCGAGGAGCACGGATGATTTCAAGTAGTTTTCTCAAGTCAGTAAATCAACTAAACATCCGCGTGAAGTACGGTTCTCGTGCAACTGCTAATACTATAATTGTATTGCTAGCGAATTGCCTCAAATATTCCTGTCATGGAAAAGGAACATTCAAACGTCTTCACAAAACAAAGCGTCCACCTTGGATGGGATAGTCCCTCTGGCAACAAGTATCACCAACCTCGTAAAATCATCGGCACGTATATATCCTGCCATTGCGGCGGTCGATTATCTAATCTCCCCACCAGCTGAAAGGGAGTCCTTCTATGAACCGAAGTTCAATTACCTACGATCGAATCAGCATCGGCCCCAATTTATTTTACATCCCACTTCCAACGCTGATACGTAAGGTCGTGATATCAGTGCTGAATGAAATTGATTCTAGATCTGAGTCGATTTCGAAACTTACCACGCTGATTGAAGACCCAATAATAACAGGGCCCATCAAGTTTATTCTGAACGTTATAAAAACCTGTTATGTGCTAGAGAGTTTCCCTTGTCAAATGTGCATCATCGCTAATCCCGATTGAGCCAGACATTGGTCGATGACATTTTTTGTGCACCTCATGCAACACAAATTCTTTCATCCACGCGAGGATTGCTTTCTATGCTGCACCAGGCTCTACACGAGCATCTGCATGCATGTTACGGAATTCAAGGAGCACGGATAATCTCGAGTAATTTCTCCAAGTAAGTGAAATATTTAGACATATATTGCGAACCCTGGTTCTCGTGCAACCGCTGCTGATACACTGTGTCCCCAGAGAGTTTCCTCGTATGTTTCCATTATGGGAACAAAGTATTCGGATGTCTTCGCAAAACGGAGTACCCCACGTGGATATCATCATTCTGACAACAGGTGTCACGAACCTTTTAGCATCGTCGGCATGTATATCCTGCTACTTCGGTGGTCAATCGTCTAATCTTTCCACCAGTTGAAACCACATTCCCCAGACAACCAAAATCCTTCAATTACCTATGATCCAATCGGCAACGACCCTAGTTCATTTTCCATCCCACTTCCAACACTGATACGCAAGGTTGTGATATCAGTGCTGAATGAGATTGATTCTAAATCCGAGTCGATTTTGAAACTTACCACGTTGATTGAAGATTCAAGAATAACGGAGCCCGTTAAGTCTGTCCTGAACTCTATAAAAACTTGTTATGTGCGAGAGAGTTTCCGTTGCCCGAGTCCAATGTGCATCGTCACTAATCCCGATTGAGCCAGACGTTGGTTGATGACATTTTTTGTGCGCGTGATGCACCTCAAATCCTTTCATCCACACGAGGATTCCTTTCTACACTGCATCAGGCTCTGCATGAACATCTGCATGCATGCTACGGGGTTCAAGGAGCACGGATAATTTCAAGCAGTTTCCTCAAGTCAGTGAATCAACTCAGCGTTCATTTCGAACCGCGGTCCTCGTGCAACTGCTGCTGATATACTGATTTGCTAGCGGGTTGCCTCAAATATTTCTTTCATGGGAACAAAACATTCTGATGTTTTCACAAAACCCATCGTCTGCTAGTGCCATGGATGGGATAATCACTCTGATAACGAGTATCACCAACCTCGTAAAATCGTCGGCATGTATACCCCGCCACCGCAGTTGTCCACCGCCTGACTGGTCTCTTCATCAGCTGAATGGGAATCCTCCAGTGCATCGAGATTCTTCAATTATCTATGATCCAATCGACAATGATCCCAGTTCATTTTCCATCCCACTTCCGACACTAATACGCAAAGTTGTGCTATCAATGCTGAACGAAATTGATTCTAGATCGGAATTGATTTTGAAACTTGCTGCCCTAATTCAAGATTCAAGGGTGATGAGGGCCATCAAGTCTGTCCTGAATGTTATAAAAAACCGTTATGTGCGAGAACGTTTTCTCCGTCGAATGTGCTTCATCACTGATTCCCATTGAGCCAGAAGTCGGTGGATGACATTTTTTGTGCACCCCATGCAACCCAAATCCTTTCGTCCACGCGAGGATTGCTTTCTATACTGCACCAGGCCGTACACGATCATCTATATGCATGTTATGGGATTCAAGGCGCACGGATGATTTCGAGTAATTTCTCCAAGTAAGCGAAACATCCACACACATTGTGAACCGTGGTTCTCGTGCAACCGCTGCTAATACATCCTGTTCCCAGAGAGTTGCGTCGGATGTTTCTATTTCGGGAGCAGAGCATTCGGATGTCTTCGCAAAACAGAGTGCCCCACGTAGGTGGGATCATCACATTGACAACTAGTGTCAGGAACCTTTTGGAATCGTCGGCATGTATATCATGCTAACTGCAGTGGTCAATCGTCTAATCTTTTCACCAGCTGAGACCAAATTCGCCGGAGAACCGAAATCCTTCAATTATCTATGTTCCAATTGGCAACGACCCTGGCACATTTTTCATCCAAGTTCCAACACTGATGCGCAAGGTTGTGATATCAGTGCAGGATGAAATTGGTTCTAGATCGGAATTTACTATGTTAATTGAACACTCAAGGATACCAGAAGCTGTCAAGTGTGTCCTGAGTGCTATAAGAAACAGTTATGTACGAGGGCACTTCCTTTGTCGAATGTGCATCATCGCTAATCTCAGTTGACCTGAAGTGGGGTGATGACATTTTTTGTGCACCCGGGGCACCTCAAATCCTTTCATTCACACAAGGATTACTTACTACGCTGCACGGGGCACCAAATGAACATCTGCGTGCATGCTATGGGGTCCAAAGAGCACGGGTAATCTTGAGAAGTTTCTCCAAGTGAGTCAATCAGCTAAGCATTCTTTGTGAACTACATTTCTTGTGGCAAGTACTGAGGATTTGAACAAGTGCGATCCTCTCCCTAGTACTTTCACCGAATGGCCGTCACCTAATCTCGGCCCCCTTAGATGCCTCGCGCATCGGGAATGTGGCGACGGGAGCGCTACTTGGAGAATTGGAGGAACACACTGGCCTGGTGCCGTCCTCTGGGGATCCCACCGTCCGTATCTGCGATGCGGCATCTCTTCGACAATCGAAGGGGCACACCAATAACGTTCTCTGTGCGACCTTTTCGCCGAATCGCAGCCATCTAGCCTCGGTCTCCAGTGACCACACGGTATGCACTCGAGATCCCTCAATGGGGGCGTCTCTTCAAATGCTGCAGGGACACACAGATTGGGTTAGGTTTGTGTTATATTCACCCAATAGCCGTCAGCTTCAAACGATCGTACCGTGCGTGTTCTTGATACGGTGACAGGAAGGATTGTTCGAGCGCTGAACGGCCATGCCAATTAGGTCTTTTCCATTACGTTTTCACTAGACAGCCGTTATTTAGCTTCCCATGATGACCATGTGCGTGTTTGGGATGTAGCGGCTGTGGGGCTTCTTCGGGGTGATACCAGTCGATCTTTTCCGTGACATTTTCTTTAGATGGCCTCTATCTGACCTCGGTCTCGAGGAACCGTATCCTACGTGTCTGGAAGGGTCACGACAGGTGCGGCTCATCGAGGCCTCAAAAAGCGGACCGGTTGCGCCAGAACCTGCGGAATCAGATGGCTGACACCCAACCACCGCCCTGGACGATGCCACCGCCGTTTGGCGGAGAAAGAAGTCCTAAATCAAGGGTTGAAGGGACATACTGATTTGGTCTTGTCCATCAATTTTTTATGGATGGTCGTCATCTGGTCTTACACTCCCAAGATGGCACCGTCTGTCTCTGGGACGGGAATTACATTGGACAGAGACGGCTCGATTCTGACTCCGATGCTCGTCAACTTCCATTTTCCACAGACGGCTTGATGAAGGTTTGATAGCCGCGAACCATTTGGCGGCCCCGGATCTACATGATATATCCCATCGATCGATTCACCCACTTCCGCCGCCGCCGTTTTATCCCGACCGCAATGCTCTCCGCATCAAACAGTTCTCACGTTCTCACCCCTTGCGTCTGTTGGTTTTACGCTCGGTTCTGGTTGTCGCACGACATGGTGACCGTGTTTGCATCGGGGGAGGAGGGATGATCGCATTTATCGATCTGGATGGGCTTGTGTTTCACAATGTGTAATATTTGGATCCGCAACAGCACAACGTTAGATTTGCTATAGGACCTCACTCTATTCCCGTCAAATAAAGGCTGGTGAACTGCATTGGATCTCGCTGGTCAGTGTAGAACTCGGCAACAATACAGATGATGGACGGACTGATCGACGTCACCTGCATGGCCAGTTCATCTTGACATGAACGTTTGTTCACGGCGCCACCCAGCAAAATTAGAGACCTAAACCCATTGATGGGGCAGTTGGGGCACAATGATTGATGAACAAGAGAGAGAATCGCAGACGTGGAAGTGACGAGCCAGAATCAATATACACATTGTCAGTGGGACGCTAATTATAAGCGTTGTTGTGCATGTGAGCCTTCGGTTGAGATCGAATCATATCGAAAGAAGAAATCTATTTCGTCAGGATGTACGTATGTGAATGCGCAAGCCAGGGTACGGACACTCCGACATCTTTCTTGCCGCCTCCCGTGCATTTGAGGGTCGCGCGATCCGCGAGTTTACTGCAAAAATCTACAGAGGACAAATCACTGCTGGCGACGTTTATCTTGCGCTAATGAAATGGGCACAACGCATTTCGTCTCTCCCGGCCATAAGTTAGCTGTTCTTCTACTGGCTGGATACACATGGTTGCGAAATGCCGATTGTTTCGTCGAGCTTGCTGGTCCACAAACCATGCAATACGCGAGAGCGCATATACTGAGTATTTTAAGTGCTTTTGAGCGTTGCCCCACGCACGAGACCATTGTTCATGTAGTGGTAATCAGGGAATGTTCAGCGGGGTCGATGCTTATCCCATTCATGTGTTTGTTTCACATGAAACCGCCAGTATATAATGATGTCTTCTTCAACAGATCACCATCACCCTTCCTATTCAGAGTCCGGAAGGGGACCCTTTATACTAATTCAAACTTGAATTAAGCCGCAGGAACCGTGCGGCTTGAGACCACGCGCACCCTTTTGCCACCCCTGAACTCCCCTCCCGGAACATCCATTTAAAGTCAGTCATTGGTCGTGAGTGCGCAACGAGGGCAGGTGTATGAACTGGTGGCGGTTCAGTCCCATTTTACCTCAAAATGCATGTTTGATCGTAAGCGACACCACAATTTCCAATGAACTTTTTGATTGCTGTAAGAAAGTCATTAAGGGCTCGCCATCCGAGCTCTATCTAGACTGCCATGGTGCTCTTGTCATGGTCCGCATTCACATCGCAGTTGAATGAGTGCCGAGCGCGGCTCCGGGGACCTCGCAATCGCTTATGAGAATGCTCCCCAACAAGCTGGGCACAAGTGATCTCACCTTCCGTGCTGTAGTAAGTCTGAACGCTTTGAACAGTAGGGATCGCCCATACGTAGTGCGGCATATGGGTAGCTCGATTCTGAGCGATTTAAGAATGCCGGCCACGCAGTGTTAAAATTAGACCCGTGCTTGGATCAAGAGTCATTACGGGAACCAACGGGATGGGGTGCGCATGGGGTGCGACCACACAGACCAGGGAGCACGCGAGTACTACAGGTATGCCCACACTTCAGAAAGTTTAAACATCCATTGGGCCGTAGTCCCCAATCCAAGGGGGAAAGGAGGGAGCTCAACGATCTGAAGGAGTTTGGAGAATATCAAAATCGACGTCGAAGCAGACGTACGAGTATATATAACAACAACGGGGTTCTTGCCAATATAAATGAATTTGCCAAACTTCAGAAGACCAACGACCGGAGAGCTGCCAAAATGAGACGCTCCTCCTAAGCGAAACGAGTTGATCAGCAAACTCCAAGGTACGCAAAAACCAAGTACGTGTAGGGAGTGAACCGCCGTGACATGACGAACCCAGAGATGAGGGAGGAAAAGGAAAAGAGTCATCTGGGATGACGTTCGGAAATAGAAACCGGATTGAGCGGATGACTGAACCAGAACAGTACTATATACCATGGATCCGGTGGTCAGCTCTGGCAACGTCAGCTGGGTCTCGAGTACAACCCGACGCCCATTATCACGCTATAACCTAGTGGATGTTCGAATCCGTGTCGCGGTTCATGTTTGCCAACAGCAAACCCAGCGGTTCGGGCTCAAACTTCTGGCGTTCCTACTTTTCATGCACAAGTTCGGGATCGCTAATAAAAGAGCGTGAGGAACACGTACTCGCTCTTTTAGTTATGGATGCTTCCATCGTCGCTCGTGAAGTTCTCGCTCACGCAGACTCTGCTAACTTCTTGGGTTCCGTATTGACCCCGGTTCAACGGTGTGACTTACCGCAGTGCAGCAGTGTCTAATGGTCAGTCTATACGCGGTACTTGGATGACGCATGGTGATCGCAAACGCACCGGCCGAATTCGTTTTTTGTTTTTTTTTAGGAATGATCACCGTGACCGACGTCGGTCCATACGGTAATCAGCGTGCCGCGCCATTTACTTAATGCATGGCGCGAACAAGACGTTCGTCCCCCCCCCCCTCCTCTTGCATTGTTCGATTCATCACTTACAATGTCCGGCAGGGCACCAAAGTGAATGGCACGAAGTATTAAATCCACCTGGGTAACCCCAATGGCTCTGGCACCTGAAGCAAAGAAATTGTCTTGCCGACCAACTGTACGCTTTCAATCGTCTGAAAAACGCGACTGGTCTCGGCCACCATTGTGAAGGTGCGTGGCCAGCTTTCTTCGTTGTACTGGACCTCAGTCGTCGTGTACGTCTCAAGAGGACATGGTCGAAATTCATGAAACCGACTTACGTTGACAATCGTGACTCGTAACTGCCCTTCAACTTGCGAATTCTGCACCCAATGTTCAAGGAGAGCTGAGCTGCGGCTCCAAAGGAGACCAAGAAGGTTAAGATGTCTCTTTCTCTGGAAAATAGTAAGCGAGCGGGCGGCGGTGAGGAGGCGTTCTGCGATTCATCTAGATGATGACGCACCTGAGGGGAGTAGTCTGATGGAAGAGGCGGGTTTGGCCTTCCATGTTCTCGCAGCTTGGTGGAGTCGTCCACGTTCACCAGTCTTAATAGTAATAACTTGCCCAAGTCTCATCGTTTTGGATTCACCGAGAACCACCAAGATAACTTTGTGAGACGGCGGTTCAATTTTTGGAAGAGATTGTTTGGCGTAATCATTGCTGTGGGAAGCAAACTTCTAGCTCAAAAGTATATTAACTGTTGTGGAAGAGACTTGGCACGAATCATTTTCTTTACATGATATAGTATTCAGAACTGACTTGACAGCCTTTGTCCGCGTCGAATCTGTTGGAGGAACAACCTCGAAGCATGTATTTACTATTGTTTAGTGGTAATACCTTCCTAATCAAGAGTCCACTATATTCTCGTCCAGCCGCCCTCAACTTGGTTCTCTCTATAGAATCTGCAATTAACCTAGCGCTTCTCAGAATCTTGTCCGATGCAAGTTCGATCTCATTAGCAATAGAGGGATACATCAAAAGTCTGATACGGCCTCGGTGCTCGGCCCAAATTTAAATTTTGGGATGGTTGAGAGATGCACTCTCTTACTTGGCTTCACGTATCAATATTCGGATCAAATGGCCACTAGAAAGGTTGCTTCGCAACCATGACCCCGCTTGCACATGACATGGCGCTACTTTGCAACTAGTCGCAGCAGTACTAACTTTAAGCAATCATGTCTTTCACAGCCGTGTTCACATGCATAGAAAAATATAATGAGTTGAATCAACATTTCAGGGGACATTTGATCGATCTTGCACCCCCATGACCAACAGGAGGACTGACACTTATGTTGTGTTATCTGGAGCTCTGGATGTGACACGATACGACTTCTGCGAGAATTCGATGAGAAGAATTCAGACAACCAGCATGTAGCATTCTGGAGGCGGAAGACAAAAGGTTGGAGAAAGCAAGTGAAGCAACACATAGAGGTGGGGAAAATTCCGATGATGCTGTTGTTGTTCACAATTTATGACAAATTACATACATGTTTATTTCGGAGGGGGCACAGAGCACACATGGTCCAAAGAAACCAATATCAACATGTGGGAAACTAAGGCTTCGTTCGGTATGGAGAAACAGGTTTCTTTGGTCTGTTTCTTCCTGTTTCTTAATACAAAAATTGCGTGTTTCTTTAGATAGAAGAAATGAGAAAGAATATTGAATTGAAAAACTGGAAGAAACAGGCCTGTTTCTTCATACCGAACGAAGCCTAAAAGTTCCCACAAATTGTGTATGCGAAAGAGACCTTGCAAGCAAGGTAATCACGTAGAACGTTGACACTGACTCTGGTAGAGTTGTACCATGGGATCATAACGAGAGGAAGGACCATAGGCTTCAATTCCAGCCTCTTTGTTCGTGGCATCCAGAAGGTGCTCGAATCGACCAGAGATAGCAACCTACAAGTGCTGCGCCTTAGCTCTCGTGCAATGATCGTATCTTCCACAACACACAGTATCTACCACATTCGACATCCCTGGATCTCGGTCTGAAAGCCTCTTCCACAAGCCCGAGTAACGTGAAGGATAAGAAATCGATGTGACATGCCATGAAGGTCCCCATAACGTTCAATCGACTTAATCTTGGCATCGACGGCGTGAGGGCTCTTGAGAACGCTGTCGCAGAATGTTCGCACAGAGCAAGTCCTGCACAGCTAAGGGTTCAAGTCTTCGAAATGGGCACCTCGCTCCTGTGCCGCTTACTACGTGTGTGGTGTTGCTGGCTGATGATGCACAAAGGGTTTGGATAGCAGCGGATGCATCAAGAGATGAAGCCGTGGGAAACCGGCTACTCGGTCAGCTGGGAAGCGACGGAACCTCTGCGGAAGAAGGATCAACGCCAGATAGGCCAGTCTGGATTGGAAACTTAATCTCCCCATCGAGCTATTAAGCCCAAGTGAGTAAAGCTCAGCTTGATCAGAAAGTTCGTTCCTAATTAAGTTAATGGGGGTGCACATGGATCCCAGGGAAGATCGAAGACGCAATTGGACGTTGGAGCTAGTAGCGGCATCGTAACATGAAGAACCCCTTTCCTATCTGAATGCCGCAGTAGAGATAGAAGCAAAGGACAGGAACTGTCTTCGATGCTCTTTGATTAAGGCCGCCATTGGGTAGAATTTGATGGGTCGTTGAGAGGGTTAGGAGTCTTAGTATCGTCCCCTGATATGGGTGGGAGGACGAAACGTGTGTGGAGGCAGGATGCCGCTTTGTTGCTTGTTGTGGCACAATCAAGTTCAGGCTGTGCAGGCGAATCGCACTGCCACACATGCTTCCAGCGTTCGTTCAAGCAGTGTTGTACAGACCTGGTCACAAATGGTCACAAAGACCAAAGTCCGTGAGTCTGACTAGATGGTCACAAGTCTCTCCCACGGTCAGTGTAAGTCGGACTTTTCATCGGGGGATCCCGATATTCAGACCTGTCCGCAACCTTTCTTCATAGGATATGTTTTGTTTGTTATGGATTAGATGTTGTAATGACTGTTTGCTAGCATGCAAGAGATGCTGAGCATGATTCTACTACAGCTTGAGTTACACAACTGTGACTTTGCTGCCTGATTTGCCATGTTTCATGTTAGGATTTTCGAAAACTTCACACAATCCCACACAATCCCACCTCCCCATCCTCCTCTAGCTCACCATGGGCGTTTCTAGTCCTATGTGGGAATACTTCCACCAACTTGAAAGGTTTTATGGAAATAATAAAAGCCACCGCGTTGCCAAGTGCAAGGGATGCGTGGCTTGGCACACAAGGACACTGGAGGCAAAGGATTCCGAGGGCATCTCAACTGGAAGCATTACACAACGACGCTCAGCGGATGAACTACATGAAGCTGGTATGCATTGTATATCTCATCAATTTGGTTTGAGAGGTATTCATCAAATGGCAAACATAAGCTCTTGCACTCGCATCTGATATTCAAGGAACAGTAGAAAAGCTGGCTTGTCATCTTGTGAAATGCACACACGCTTCCGTAGAGGGGTGTGCTGAAGGACAAGCATGGTTAGACCAGCGTTCAACAAGTCCGATGCCTCATGTCCATGTAACTTCTTCTCTATCACTGGGGACACAAAGAACCCCGCACGCAATCGACTATCTGTTGAGAAGATGGTGAAAATCTCATCTATCTAACCAGACCTCAACCACCAACATGCAGTCGATGGTTCACATGGGAAGAGAATCCGTCGTTCATTTGGACTTGCTCCTTTCGGTAGCGACCATGACCCCTCTGGGGGCCGTTTGGAGCTCGAGCATGGACATCCCTCCTGCATTCCTGATGGCATAAACCATGGCTACCATCCTTTCCGTGCCAACCTTCTTCAGGACCTCACCAGTGACTACGATGCAGAACAACCTGAAATGAATTTTGCGCGGAGTCTACCATCAAGATCCCCCCGAGTAAGTTCTATTTTCCATTCCTCCCAAAGTATCTATTTACAGCTTGCCGTTAGGGTGTAAGTTTGCAGGGGAAAAGGGTACGAGATATTTTCAACTTGACGCGAGATTCAATGTGGATCCAGGGTGAGCGGAACTTAGTGCTAGAAACAGAGATGGAAGACCTCTTAACATGAGAGAGGAACTTAGACCTAGATGGGAGCTTAGAGACGGTGGCAGGGTGGAATGTTTCTGGTGATACGTCAAGCGCTTGTAGCTAAATCCGTTAGTCCGTTATAACTCTGTTAGTTCAGACCTGACGGACCGAGACACCCAGTCCGGACCCAATCTGACTCAGAGTCCCCGTGACCACGAGTCTGACTTAACACTGCGTTCAAGTGTACATATAGGGCCTCGACGATGGATGTCAGTCGAGGGGGAGTTCTGCTACCACAGCGAACACCCGGCACGGGCCTAAACCTTCACGCGGTGCCCCTGTTTAAAACTAATTAGGCCTCTAACATCTGAAGGGAGGATGACGTGGCCACCGTGGTAATGCCAATCAACCGCAACCCCGTAAGCCCAGAGCCGCACTGGCTGGAGAGATGCAAGAGCGCGGGTGCATGTCCCGCCGTCAAGCCAACCCTTCCTTTTTCTTCTCACCACTACCTTTTTGGGATGACGAGCGCGATAGTGGCAACGCCAATGGTGACCTCCGTAAGCCCAGACGGGACTGGCCAGAGGACTGTGGGTTCAAGTCCCACCGTCACCCCAACCCTTCCTTCTTTTTCTCTTCTCCACTACCTTTTGGGATGGTGAGGTGCAATAGTGGTAGCGCCAATGGTAGCCTCCATAAGTCCATGGGCAGGCCGGAGGAGTGCAGGTTCAAGTCCTGCCATCACCCCAACACCCTTCCGATTCATCTTTCTCTCCACTACCTCTTAGTGACGAGGCGCGATAGTGGTAGCGCCAATGATAGCCCCATATGCCGACAAAAAGTTGACTGCAAGGAATGCAGGTTCAAGTCCTGCCGTCACCCCAACACTTTCATTTCTCTCCACTACCCCTTCTACCAAAGGCCTATCTGCCACATGCCTTTATTCAACAAGCATGAGCAAGATGCCACCAACACCCATCGCCTTTCGCTGCCACTGGAACATTCACCAGCCTACCGTGACATAAACCCGTGAAAGCACCCTCCAACTCACCCACCCGCAAGAACCGCGCACTCAAACATTGACTTAACCATAGGCACACAGCAGCAAAACATGCGGCCCCAACACTGGGGGTCGCGTGTCCTTTTCTTTGGCTCTATCCAACCTCTTTCCACCTCCATTCTCTCTCACCCGTTGTTCAATCTCAGTGCAGGGGTCGCATGCCCCTTTATGTGTTATTGCTTCATCTCACTTTATTCTCCTTCACACCATTGATTACTCGATGTCTCATACTTCCTAGGTCAAACAAATTCCTTTCTTCACATCCTTATGTTCTCCAAACTTTTTTCACCCGAGTCACTATAGTACGGCATATGCCGATAGGCACGGTTACGTACTTTAAAATGAATCCATCCATCCATCCATCCATCCAAGTGTACATATATTTCACATAAACACATCATAAGCTAGTCTCCAAAAATGGAACTCCCGCATTCAACTATCCGGTTCTGCTGTCCTCAAGGCCAAATGAATGCTATGGAATCTCACAGAACCATCAGGCACTACACTCGTGGTCAAATTACGCCCCTTGATAGCTCTGACCCGATACTGGCCAAGCTACACACACGCCTCGAGCTCTCTTCACCGAGCTGATCTACACCATACTCAGGCTTAGGCTGACATTGGCACGGTTAGCAGGAAACCGTGATTCAAAGTTTTCACCGGTGTGTCAAAGAGCATTCTCGGGCACGAGGACAATATTGATGTAGGATGAAAACTAGAGAGGTGCATTCCGATCGACTGATTTTCGACTCACGATATTCGATATCCCTTCCCCTGTCTCTTCTTCATTGCGACGTCTCAATACAAAGGTTTCTCCATTATTGCGCTTCAGGGCCCGCAATGGGGGATGATCTTCTAGACTTCGTCATCAACCATGTGTTCATGCCTCCCAAGTTGCCCCAAGAGGCGGATGAGAGTCCGGAGCGCATAGATTTTCTTTTGTCAACTATTCGCAAGAGCATGAAACTTTACAAACAGCAGCATGCTGCGCCTGAGCACCAAGCATTGTGGGATTCATTATTGAAAATGGTGGACACATTGCGACGAATCAACATAGACCCCGAGGTCGGGATCAGCGAATGCATCAAAAGAAGGAGCACTGGAGGTAATGTCACTAGATACAAGCTGGAGCCGAACAGTAGGAGTAATATCTCTGGATGCAGATACAATCGCCATTTTTGTCCATGCTCAAAACGCGGGTGTGATCATCCGTTGTGGTGAGGAGGAAACAATATTCGAAAATTTCGAAGCATCACCGATGAACACAGCGGTGATGCGCTGCACAGGGAAGCTTATCCGCTCCTTTCCTGGACCTGCAATTGCCCTTCGAAACAATGTTATGCAGGATCCGGATTTTCTAGAAGAATTGGCCGCATTCCTAACCCAGATGTACGGGGGCCAACGTGAGGATGAGGGCATGGTGGACGGTGATCAACTGCTGGACGAGGACACAGTAGATAACGATTATTTGCAAGATGAGGACACAATCAATGGCGATCAGCTGCGGGAAGAGGGCACTATGGACGGCGATCCACCACTGGATAGGGGCACAACCCATCCGAAGTACATCACTGAATTGCTGACCGGGATACTCCGTGGACTAGGAGAGCCTGCAGACATTCCTCGCATCCAGAAGAGGACATCGGACGATGTTTTGCAGCGTGCGGATGATATTGTCCCATGGAGGCGCAGCTCCCTCTGGCTCGTTGTTCGTGTTGCCTTGCAAACTACGATTCACCGAGGCACTTCGAACATGAACGAATACAAGTCTTTTATGATACTCCTTCTGGCCGAGATTCTGCGGAGCGGTGTTGAGAACCGCTTACCGGGACATATCCTCTATTGCATGCGCGCCAAACTCAGCCGCGGACTCTTTAAAATCCGATCATGGGCGGCTCCGTCTCTGGTCACACTTGCCCACGAGGTTGCGCTTGATACTGAAAGACTGCTCCAAGATCGATGGAAGAGCATTCAGGATGCGCACGTGCGGGCACCCAAGTGGGCACCAAACGAGCTAGATGTGTTTGGGGACACTAGCCTCAACTTGAAAAATTGCAGGTCTTACATCAGTGCTGCTCTCGTCCCGGGGATTCCCGCCAATCCTAATGCTGCATTCCAATCACATCATCCACGATCATTCAATAATCTCTTTGATGACGAACCCGGGGTTTTTTCAGCAGCAGTAGAAGCCAATGGATTTGTTGCGCTTTGGGATTTTGAGCGTTGCGTAAAAAACCACATTGACGAATGGGTATCTCGGCAAATCTCCGACCAGAACTGCGAAAGTGCTTGCGACTTAATCTCTCATTACATGACGACATACGCCGATGAGGCCGGGGATCTGTACAATGGGGCACCAGCGGAACAGTCCATTATGCTCCTCACGCTTTTTGAGTTGTGGATGGCACTCGACATTTTGACAGCGACTATCTGTCCCCTCCTGAAGGATTATTCGCCTGAGGTTCCACTGACTCTATATGAGGGCCTCCTGCTTTCGAAAGCCGAGCCGTTGGGACGCATCTCGAGGATCCAGGCGTACCTGCGCAAGCGCTATCACAAAGCTGGTAGTAACCCTCAGTCGATCTTCTCAGAAATTGTCGATGCGGAAACCTTCGCAGTCAGATTTTTCGATTCGTCCTCGTCGCTCCAGGATCTTAAGCGCACCATAGAGCAGCAAGCAATGACGAGTCAAAAACTTCGCGAGCTTCATTTGCTGAAACTTGAATATAGGGAAATAATGAAACGAGCAGGTACGACCTCGAAGAAGGCCAATTTTCTCATGATTAGACACTAAACTGGATCTTCAGGCTCTCACACTGTGGATCGCATGAGGTCCAGGCACAATCCGGAATCTTGCGAAGAATGCTGTTTCAAATGGCGGGCAAGAGCCCTGAGGACAGTTATTCGCGAATGGCCTCTTCCACAAGAACCAGTCCGAGCCAAATTCTTTGTGTTTGAACGAGCTGTTCCTAGCGTTTTCAAGACTTGGAGGGAGACGACTTATTGGCTTCTCCGTGACATCTGTATGCCGAAGGAAGGAAGGACACTTACGATAGGGGAATTGTATATCCGCTCAGACTCATCGGAGTTTCCCTTCGGTGAAGAACGTCGCGTGTCAACTTCTCGACAGCGAATATCGTTAGCACCGGAGGTGGAAATCCCAGACGAGGAAGGCGGTGTCACTCAAACGTACACAGCTTCCTGTCGGCTGTGGGACAACGGCCATTGTAGATGGATATATCCTCCATCCGGTTACTGCGATCTGAGTCACAGAACGTCCATGCGGATACCGGAAGAGTCTCCATATGCTTCCTTGGGACGCTTTGCGTTGGGAACATCTCACACTTCGAACGAAGTTCTTGCGAGCCAACATGTATGTTCCTCTTCGCTTAGCCTACGCAGTTTCGTCGCCTTCGGTTCGTTGCGCGCTGGAGCCCGGTTGCAATGGTGCAATATTGCCCGAGAGATTCCCTCCGGAAATTTAAGTTTTCAGTGTGAGGAGGTGTATGACCTCATCTCTCAGGCTGTGTGCCAAGTCGGATGCCTTTCCGGTGATGGTATTTGGGAATGTCACCAGGTTTTACAAGAGGTACCATTCGGTAACATGTTGTTGGACGTCCTTGAACAGCTGGGGACGGATATAGAGGGGAGCTGGCGCCAGGGTATTACAGCACTGACTATCACTACACTAGCTTCTCGACTGCTGGTCTCGGCTGTGGCACAGCCAATCACCAATAGAACGTACAAACTACTCCAGAAGATACGAGACACCACTTTGCGCTGGTTGCACGAACTTCTGGCACTTCAATCACACGCTGAAACCGAAACTGAACGGGGGAGATATCGGCGAGCAATATGTCAAATAGCTGCGGTTTGTAGGAGCTCATTTGATGTCGATGCGTGCCATGCTGGCGAACTCCTTCGAACTCCGGAAGACGTTGCCATATTCATTGAATGTGCTATCATTCTTTGTAGCCACTCTCCCCAAGAAACACTTACTAAGGCAGACCCTCATTTGCACCAGTTGCTTCTCCGAGACAAGCGCCTGTCCTGCAGGATGGAAGAACTTCTTGTTACTCGCATCCAGGAAGGGGGGACCATATTAGGTATTAACGAGGCAATATCAGCTGTTTGGAATGGTATCGATCCAACATGTAGCTGGACAAGGCGACCAAGACCTAACGACTGTTGGTTGACCACTGCCGTAGATGGTCAAAGGACACAAAACGTTCATTTCAACGTATTAAGTGGCGCTTTGCTCATTGATGGAAAACCACCTGGTTGGTTGCCATCTGACATTCGTGGGCATTCGATATACAAAGAACTCTTTGGTGCAGTACGGGACTATTCTCCACCCATAGTAAGACCCGCCGATTAACGGTTCATCTGCAGAGAAGCCCGGAAGTTGTTTCATCGGATATGGGAGACATGGACTATGTTAGCAAGGCTCACATGTTCTCCGAGTCTCAGCTCGAAACCAAGGATACTGATGAGGTTCGTCGAGGAAGATGAAGGAAACGGGTTTGACTAATTCTCACCATTAAATAGACAATTCACTTTGGGTGGCGAGATGGAAGGCTCATTGTACGAAGCAGATCCCTTGCGCTTGATGGGAAAAGCTGTCGGATCTTGGAATTGTTACCACGTGAAATCTTTGAAGGGGATCTGCCATCCATCCTAGTCAAGGAATATTTTCACTGGATGGAGTTATCCACTTGTCAGATTGAGCTGCGGCCCAAGAACGCACCCTGGACATCCTCCCGATCGAACTGGCACCTCCGTCGTACCGCATGCTCCACGTGGGTTATGGATAAAGGGCCCTCTGTCAGACTAGTTGACTGCCAAAGCCGCACAGGGGAGATGATTTGTGCTATCCTTCGTTCTCTTGAACCTGAAAATAACATTCTTATCACATTGGCGAGGTCGTCGATTCAAGAACTGCGTATCGATCTTCCCCGGTTCCAGCTCTCCTTCGCCCTGAAAGGTGGAAAGCTCTATTCGTTAAACTTTCCGGGTTTCGAAGTAGATAGTAATCAATCAACAGGCACAATGCTGGGCCTTCGCAGTCAGTTGGTTTTGCGCCACAGCGGAGGTCTCGCTCCTGGTGTGGAGCTCAATTATTCGAGGCGCGTCATCATTCCGATGGGGGATGTGTCTATCGCAAGTGACGGTGACCACGTCGCTGTTACGATTAATGACTCGGAATTGTCACGCGTCAAATATTGTGATTATGACGTTGATGTCTTACTGGGCCGTCTGGTTGGAGACGGAAGTTTGCCCAGCGCATTATTCCAGTCACTTCTTCATGCCGTTACTAGTTACTGCTTGCCCGATCCTCTCACGTCATTGTCAGGAGTCGAGGAAGCGATCCAAATCCTTCGATCAGCACGTTGCAAATCGTTCCAAAGTCTTGGTGACTGGGAGCGGCAGCTTCTGCGTCGGCTATCGGCGTTAACGCCATCAAGGATTCGGGAACCGCCCGATGAGTGGCCTGATAAACGGCGTTGGGAATGGGAACGGATACCGAAACGGGAACCGAGACTGGAACGGTGGTGGCATTTGACAGGGCTTTGGGAGAATGGTATTGGAGAAGCCGTTTGGAATATAGCACTTAGTCCGCTTGTCCAACACGGTGCCTTTTGGGATGAGGCCCGATCTATTTTCGAGTGGCATAACGAAATGAATGTCTTTGATTCTTCCATGGGTTTCGAAAAATTGGAAAGAGATTGGAAAGAACTACATCTGCTTTCCCGTGCTAGATGTCACAATGCAGTCTGGTACGGCCCCGATCTTCCCCGGGGCATGCGGGGTGAAGACGTGATATACGAATCTAGGGACGCTGACACAGGACTCAATACCACTCGTATTCGTGCCGCATCGAATGCCTCTAGCTTGGTGTACCATTGTCCTCTTCGGCTAAAGACCCCCAAAGCCCTTTTGTCTCACATGGAATTGTGGACGGAGAACATTAGAGGTTCTTCCCTCAACCACTTGTCGGATGTGCGTTTGGGATTTAGCAAGGAATGGCTGTCCCTGAGCATGCCACGCAACTGGATTCCTTTGTACAATGCCTGTCGAACGGAGGGTTGGGGAAACCATACTCGTTTCAAACTGTTGTTTAGTCTTTCGGCACTGGGCTACTCTAATCCTTCACACGAGAATTTGGTCCCTGCCTTACTTGCATTCGCATGCTTCCCCGAGTTCCGTTCCATTGATCCGCCACCGTGGCCTCGATACACATTCATCCAGGGCTATAAACCAGATGCGTCCGTACTCAAATATGTCATTATGGCATCGATTGCGGACCGCCCACTAAGCAAATTTTATGATTCGCCGTTGTGGGGTGAACATGATTTAGACGATATATACAACGGCCACAAACCAGATGCATCCAGACTCAAGGATGCCATTACGGCATCGATCCGTCGAGGCAAATTTAGTTCCCGAGCATCTTCTCAAGTTTCTTTTCTTGTCAAAAAATTCATCGCTCAATGGGATCATGAACCTACAGGAGCGCCAACATTACCAAGTCTGCCGGATGGCGATGTGTGGCTGATCAACACCTCTGACGCCATGACTGAGGTAACTAGGTGGTTTGAGTCCTGGTTTAGAAACCGGGATTTACTCCAGCACATTCGAGCAATCCAGACGGTATTGGACAAACACCGGACTTTGACTTCAGATGCTCCGGTTCTACCAATATATTCCTTCCGGACTTCCTTGCAACTTGCAGAAGTGGATCTGTCCATTGTATCATACAGTGACGTCTTTCTCCGACAACCTCCGATGCTTGCGCCTCCACCTTCCCCTCTGAAAATGAAAGGATGGTTGACCATCAAATCGTCTTTGGAGCGTGGTGATAGCCTCAAACCTCTCATTTCAACTCTCCGCTCATCCCACGACCGCATATCCCAGAAATACGGTGCTGATCTCGAGGCTAGCCGCAATGCATTGCACGACATACAAATCAGCACGGAGCGGGTGGAATCCCTCCAAGAAGAGCTTTATCGTGATCACCAGATGTACCGATCTCATCTCTCTCATGTGTTAGGGCAAATCCGACGGGTACTCAATCCAGACCCTCAGTCCGAGCGAGTACAGGAGGTCATGCGGGTTGCAGGACTATGGCCGAAGAGCACCACTCGTTCTTTACTGCACCACCTATCATTCTCATCCCGTTCAACAGTAAACTTATCCCCCGAATGGAAGAATGTCCTCGTTTGCCTCGCCCAGTCCATACTGCTTTGGCAGCGATCGGAGAGATTGGTAAGATTAGGACCCAAAACCGACGAATTTCTGAAGGAATGTTCGAGTTATCCTGATCTGCATGACATTTCTGACGACTGGCTGCTCGTCCAGGTGAGCGTGTCGTTCGTCAGCATGGACGACGGGATTGACTCTCTGAGATTCTCAGATTGACTCCAACTTTCTTGCACGCCCTCTTCAAGTTGATGTTGCGCATAACATGATGTTTCCTCGCTCACAGGACAATACCATCCTTCAGCTCAATATGGGGGAGGGAAAATCGTCCGTTATTGTTCCGCTTATTGCCATATCTCTAGCAGATGGACAACAACTAGTCAGAGTCATCGTGCCAAAGCCCTTAGCAAATCAAATGTTCCAGTCACTGGTCCGACGCTTGAGTGGCTTAGCGAATCGGCGAATATATTGCATGCCGTTCTCCCGCGCTATCGCAACGGATTCGGATGTTTTTCAAAGGATCTATCATGAATGCATGGATGCCGGTGGCATACTGGTTATGCAGCCTGAACACGTCCTGTCGTTCAAACTCACGGGCATTGAACGACAACTCTCATCGGCTAGGCGCAAGGGGACTCCAGATGAAATGCTGAAGCTACAGCGATGGCTGGACGCAAACGTTAGGGACATTTTGGACGAGAGTGACGAGATTCTGGCGGTCAAGTGTCAACTTGTGTACACAGTTGGCACTCAGCAGCCCCTGGGTCCTCAACCTGTCAGATGGACTACGGTGCAGCATGTGTTTTCCATCCTGCGTAGTAGCGGCCGGCTTCTTCACCAGCTGGCTTCTCAAGGGGATCTCGAGCTCGAGCAACGAGACGGGTGCTTCCCTTGTCTTCGCATTCTCAGACATGAAGCTGGCGTTCAAATTTTGAAATCTCTCCTACGTGGAATAACACAAGGGGAGTCTCCTGACCTACCTCCGTTCAGGCTATTCCATGGAGTGGTGCGACAAGAAGCAGAGGCTTTCATTGCTCAGAGGAACCCCGGAAAACTTGATGAATTGCGGAATCACTGCCGCAGTGACAACCACCTGTGGAGCGTTTTGCTCCTGCTGAGAGGCCTTTTTGCGCATGGGATACTTATGTACGTTCTCAGTGAACGTAGGTGGCGAGTAGACTATGGACTTGACCTGACACGGTCGCGTCTCGCAGTGCCCTATCGTGCAAAAGATGTGCCTGCACTGAGAGCAGAGTTCAGTCACCCGGATGTCTGTACCTCGCTGACATACCTCAGCTACTACTATGGCGGATTGTCTTACGATCAGCTTGATATGTGCTTCGAGCATATCAACGAACTGGAGGATCCCGGAGCTGAATATCGCAAGTGGATTAAGGATAATTCCTTAGTGCCAGACTTCCTCTGCGACTACAGTAGTTTCAACCCGGATGACCGCGAACAAAAGATCCACTACCTCTATCCAGCTTTCGAAAGGAACCCGGCGACCATCAACTTTTTCCTCTGTCAAGTGGTTTTTCCTAAAGAAGCCAAGACATTTCCTCAAAAACTCTCCACATCGGGTTGGGACATCGCCGAACGAAGGCGACACGTAACGACAGGTTTTAGTGGCACCAATGACAACCGCTATCTTCTCCCCACTTCTATTCAACCAGATGACATCCCTGCGCAATTGGGTACAAATGCCAAGGTGTTGAATTTGATGCTCCGGCCTGAGAACGATTACTACCAAAGTGCGGCGAGTAGCGAGTTTCTGGACCTCATCGTCAAGGAGACTCCTCAAATCCGAGTTTTGTTGGATGTGGGCGCTCAGATGTTGGAGTACCCCAATAAGGAATTGGCATCGATATGGCTTTCGCAAGTCTCGGTAGTAGATATAGATGCTGCGATCTTCTTCTCCGAAGATGACGAAATCTTCGTTATTAGGCGTGATGGGGCAATGGAGCCATTCATCTCATCGTCGTACAGACACCAGCTTGATTGTTGTCTCGTGTACCTGGATGATGCCCACACAAGAGGCACCGACTTGAAATTGCCTGCCGATTATCGTGCCGCAGTTACATTAGGTCCAAAAGTGACGAAGGATAGACTAGTCCAAGGTGAGCCTCCCCATTTCCATTAGGATATGATTGAACCAGCAGGTATATCTTCAGGATGTATGCGAATGCGCAGGCTGGGTAAGGGACATTCTGTCTTATTCCTCGCCCCTCCTGATGTGGATCGCAAAATCCGCAAGCTCTCTAAAAAGACCCATGGAGAACGAATTGGTGTATACGACGTTCTTTCCTGGTCCATCAGGGAGACATGTTCCAGCTTAAGGCGTTATAGTTGTGATTGGAGAGAGCAAGGCATTCATTACATCGACAGGCAATGCGCATGGAAAGAGTTTTGGACATCCTACATCCGCCGCACCTCAGTGTTAGCAAAATATTGGTTGAGACCCGAGTTGAAGTCTCTCGAGGAAATGTATGGGGCACCGTCGTCCTCCGGGCCACTGGAACAGGAACCGTCTCATCCGGCAGCCGATTGTCGCGAGATCAAGCAGAGGAGTGAGATTTTCTCGTCCTCCACAATGAGTTGGCTGGTGAAAATGGCAGAAGAGCAGGAACGCGAAGTAACCCACGAGCCTGAGCGCGAGCCGGAGGCTGGGTCACCATTACCTGTACGACCTGCCCGCCATCGCCTCCATCCTGACGTCGTATCATTCGTGCGCGATGGTAAAATCTCACCATCTTCTCGTGCTTTCATCTCTCTCTTTTCTTCAGTTGCAATCCTCCCTCAGTCCCAGCAACACACCAAGTGGTCACGCAACCTTCTTGCAACCAGCGACTTCGTCACCACAATCGAGGGTTCGAATGCACGGAAAGGCATCGAGTTTCTTCGGCCTGTGAACTGGATATTGTCTAGTATTCACGAATCGATGCTGGTGGTGTGCAGTCCTTTTGAGGTGAATGAGTTGCTCCCGGAAATTCGTCGCAGCTGTAACATCAGGTTGCACGTATACTCTCCAAGAACAAGTCAACCGATGAGGTCCTTCGATGATCTCAAATTTTACACAATTCCATCCTTACCGACGACGTGGACTTACCCAGGGAGGCTCACGGTCTCACAGCTCAATATATTCTCAGGCCAGTTATACATCAACAACTTCGAAACGTATCTCGAACTTTGCAATTTTCTGGGCGTCAACACCAGTCATGATGGGAGGAACGAAGTAGAAACACAAAGTGATGGTTTTGTCCTACCCAGGAAGCGTAGTCGGGAAATGAGCTTGGTCTGCCCCTTTGATATTAGTCCCTTGCCTTTCATCCGCAAGCTAACGAGTCTCCGGAGGAACGGTGAGTTGTTCCATCTGATTCTAGCAGCTCGAAGTACCCACGCTAACACGCCACGCTCAAGGAACGTCCTATGCCTCTACTCATCTTGGACGAATTGTGAATGGAGCATTCATACAGCCAGAGTTTTGATGGAATACGCACCATTACTGATCATGTATACAATTATCCAGCTTGCAAATTCGCAGCTAGGCGTATACTTATACCATTGAATGAGCTTGCGTCATGAAGGTCATGTTAGAGCCTCCCGGCCAGCGGAACCTCATATCCGATCGGTGCAGTTCCACTGTCACACGCGTGCAGACTGTGTATGGTATTGTCAAGGAATACTGCGCACTGGCATGTACACCAAGGGTCCCACAGCAATCCTACAGTGTGGGTTGCCGTATTACATGGAAAGGTAGCGAGTTTACGCTCAGTATCGAATGTTTTACTAATTACGGCTACGTGAGTGCGCGTCAGTCATAAAGACCAACACGAAAGAAAAAAGGAAGAGCAGCCAGACGCCAAGCATTGGACACAGAAGCAACGCGCAAAGGATCGTCGATCAAGCCGCACCGCCAGCAGCTCCGAACTGGCTCCCTAGCCTCGTCAATCTTCACGAGCAACTTACAACGACATCACTCCCTTCCAACCCTCTTTCATTCTTCACCGACCCCCTCTCTTCCACCCCTTTGCCAACACCACCCTTAGCCAACCCCAACCCGCTCGCAATCCCTTCCCCACCCCAAATGCCCACCATAAGGCGTGACCACGTTGACAGCCAAATTTCCCATCGCTTTCGATCTCCTTTATAGGCTTTTCAATCATCCCCCCAAGTTGAACGCCGAGAAATGAGTCCTCTTATGAATCGTAGAACTGGCATAATAGTGATCGGCTGATGCGAAGGGGTACTTGGGTGGTGTCCCTCCCATGAATCGCCTGACGTGATAATCGAAATCTCTCAGAGTGGGTGCCAATTTGGAAAGAGTTTCGAGGTGGCCTTGGAGGAAGAGGTTCCCGCCCACTGCTTTGGTGCAGATGTTGCGGTACAGGATCACTTTCCGACAGCCACTGTCGAGGCTCGCTCCATGGCTAGAATGAGAGAAATGAAAGAAAGAAATGGGAAGTCGAGTTTTCCGGGGAACGGTGCGGTAGAATGGCTACCTACATTCCCAAAAACATAAACATTCGACAACGCACACTTATCGCCCTCTTCCTCGACATACAACGACAATACATTCGCTCTCAACGAGAACCCAAGCTCCAACAACGATGCCTCGGGTTACGTTTAGTGAGGGTAAAGAATAGTGAATCGGATATCTTCCGTATGGGCTCCCCCGTGGAGTTGGACCGTCATGAGGGGGACGCGGGCGCCTTGTTGTGTTTCAAAAGCGCAAGTGCCCCATTTCGTTTCGAGGGATCGATATTTGGTGGATTGAGTGAGAACGAATGGTATGTGGATTAGCAAGTGGCTCCGATCACGAACGAAAAAAAAAGAGAGAGAGAGAAATGTGTAAAAGGAAGGCGGAACTCACATCCTCTTAAACAACTCCGCGATATATCCTAATCCTCCTTCCTCCTTGGTGCACAAGTGCTAGAGAGGTCTCCCACATATTATTTGAATAAAAAGTCTAGACCGCTGTCGGATTCACAATCGATAGAGTGATGACGACGCATTGGATGTTATGAGGTGAAAGGTTGAGAGCCCATTGTTATGCCGGTCAATCAGGGGGTTGTCTCCGCGACCATCGCGGCTGCTGTTGAGATCTGACATGGCACAGGTCTGATGGTTAGGCCGATACTAGATAGACTATCAGTTCCTGAACCACGAAATTGACCCGCCAGAGATGCCAAGGCCATGGTGTCTATAAAAATACAGGTAAGCCAAGTTACTCCGAGTACGGTTCATAGAAAACGTCATCATCACTATTCCTATTCAGAGTTCGGAAAGGGACCCGGCGCATAAACAAACTTGAATTAAGCCGCAGGAACTGTGCAGCTTGGCACCACGCACACTGTTTTTCCACTCCTGAACTTCCCTCCCGGAACATGACTTTCATCCATTTATGTAAAGCCAGTCATGAGCGTGAGTTGCGCAACGAGGCAGGTGTATGAACTGGTGGCAGTTCAAGTCCCATTTTGCCTCAATATGCATGTTCGATTGTAAGCGACGCAACAATTTCCAATGAACTTTCTGATTGCTGTAGAAAAGTCATTGAGGGCTCGCCATCCGAGCTCTAGACTGGCCGGTGTTCTTGTCATCGTCCGCATTCACATCCCAGTGCCGAGCGCCCGGGGGACGTCGCAATCGCTTATGAGAATGCTCCTCACAAGTGATCACACCTTCCGTGCTGTAGACAGTCTGAGCGCTTTGAACAGTATATAGGGTCGCTTCTAATCTCTCATACGCAGTGCGACATATCTTTTGAATTCCCGAGTCGGGAACAACCCCGAGAGCTGCCAAAATGAGACGCTCCTCCTAAGCGAAAACGAGTTGGCCAGCGAACTCCATGCAAGGTACGTATACGTAACTTGTGCAAAACCAAGAACGCGAACCACCGTGACATGACGAACCCAAAGATAGAGGGGGAAAAAGGAAAAGAGTCATCTGGGATGACGTTAAAAAATGGAAACCGAATTGAGCGGAATATGACTGAACCAGACCAGCACTACCATGAATCCGGCGGTCAGCTTTGGCAACGTCAGCTGGGTTTCAAGTACAACCCGACGCCCATCATCACATTGTAACCTAGTTGATGTTCCGTGCTCGCGGTTCATGTTTGCCAATAGAAAACCCAGTCGGGTTCAAACTTCTGGTGTTCCTAACTTTCCATGCACAAGTTTGGGATCGCTCATAAACGAGCGTGAGGAACAACTCGATCATAACAAGCGCTCTTTAGTTATGGGTGCTTCCATCGTCGCTCGTGAAGTCCTCGCTCACGCAGACTCTGCTAACTTCTTGGGTTCCATTGGCCCCGGTTCAACGGTGCGACTTACCGTAGTGCAGCAGTGTCTAATGGTCAGTCTATACGCGGTACGACGTCGGTCTTTACGATAATCAGCGTCCTCTTTCCCCTCTTGCATTGTTCGATTCATCACTTACAATGTCCGGCAGGGCACCATAGTGAATGGCACGAAGTATCAAATCCAACTGGGTAATTCCCCCAATGGCTCTGGCACCTGAAGCGAAGAAATTGTCTTGCGGACCAACTGTACGCTTTAAATCGTCTGAAAAACGCGTGTGGTCCCGGCCACGATTGTGAAGTCATTGTGAAGGTGCGTGGCCAGCTTTCCTCGTTGTACTGGACCTCAGTCGTCGTGTACGTCTCAAGAGGACATGGTCGAATTCATGAAACCGACTTACGTCGACAATCGTGATTCGTGACTGCCCTTCAACTTGCGAATTCTGCACCCAATGTTCAAGGAGAGCTGAGCTGCGGCTCCAAAGGAGATCGAGAATGTTAGGATGTCTCTTTCTCTGGAAAATTGTAAGCGAGCGGGCAGCGGTGAGGGGGCATTCTGTCATTAATTTCTCCCGCCTCTAGATGATGACGTACCTGGGGGGAGTAGTTTGATGGAAGAGGCGGGTTTGGCCTTCCATGTTCTCGCAGCTTGGTGGAGTCGTCCACGTTCACCAGTCTTAATGGTAGTAACTTGCCCAAGTCTCATCGTTTTGGATTCACCGAGAACCACCAACGATAACCCTGTGAGACGGCGGTTCAATCTTTGGAAGAGATTGTTCAGCGTAATCATTGCTGTGGAGAGCAAACTTCTAGCTCAAGAGTATATTAACTGTTGTGGGAGAGACTTGGCACGAACCGTTTTCCTCACATGAGTGTATTCAGAACTGACTTGACAGCCTTTGTCAGCGTTGAATCTGCAATTAACCCAGCGCTTCTCAGAATCTTGTCGATGCAAGTTCGATCTCATTAGCAATAGCGGGATACATCAAAAATCTGATATATACGGCCTCGGTGCTCGGCCCCAATTTTGGGATGGTTGAGAGATGCACTCTCTTACTTGGTTCCACGTGTCAATATTCGGATCAAATGACCATCGCGTAGAACGTTGACACTGACTCTGGTAGAGTTGTGCCGTGCGATCGTAACGAGAGGAAGGACCATAATGGCTTCAATTCCAGCCTCTTTGTTCGTGGCATCCAGAAGGTGCTCGAATCGACCAGAGATAGCAACCTAGCTCTCGTGCAATGATCGTATCTTCCACAACACACAGTATTTACCACATTCGACATCCCTGGATCTCGGTCTGAGCGAGGGCGAAAGCCTCTTTCACAGGCCTGAGTAACGTGAAGGATAAGAAATCGATGTGACATGCCACATAACGTTCAATCGACATAAGATTGGCATCGGCGGTGCGAGGGCTCTTAACCACGCTTTCGCAGAATGTTCGCACAGAGCAAGTCCTGTACGGCTGAGGGTTCAAGTCTTCGGAGTGGGCACCCGCTCCTGTGCCGCTTGCCACATGTGTGGCCGATGACACACAAAGGGTTGGGATCACAGCGAACACAGTAAGAGATGAGGCCGTGGAAAATCGGCTTCTTGGTCGACTGGGAAGTGGCGGCACCACTGCGGATGAAGGGTCGACATCGGATGGGCCAGGCTGGATTGGAAACTCAATCTCCCCATCAAGCTATTAAGAAGTTCATTCTCACATAGACAAGGAAATCTTCGACCAGGGTCGGCTCTGGAAATCCTGGGGGCCTAATTAAGTTGATGGGGGTGCACATGAATCCCAGGGAAGATCGAAGATGCATCTGGACACCGGAGCTAGTAGCGAGAACTCCTTGCCTACCTGAGCGCTGCAGTAGAGATAGAAGAAAAGGAGCTCTATGATCAGGGATGTTCTTCGATTGAGCCTGCCATTGGGTGGAATTTGATGGGTCGTTGAGAGGGTTGGGAGTCCAGAACTGACTTGGTATCGTCCACTGAGATGAATGGGATTTGTAACTGGCTAGGACGAAACGTGTGTGGAGGCAGGATGCATGCTGCTTTGTTCCTTGCTGTGGCACAATCAGGTTCAGAGATGAAGGCTGTGCAGGCGAATCGCACTGCCACCACGTGCCTCTGATAAAAAAAATGGAACTCCCGCATTCGGCTGCTGTCCTCAAGGCCAAATGAATACTATAAATCCCACAGAACCATCAGGCAGGTCAAATTACATTGAAGAATGCCCCTTAATAGCTCTGACCCGATACTGACCATTTGAAATACTGACCAAGCCACACACACGCCTGGCCCTCGAGCTCTCTTCACCGAGCTGATCTACACCATACTCAGGCCTAGGCTGACATTGGCACGGTTAGCAGGAAACCGTGATTCAAAGTTTTCCCTGGTATGTCAAAGAGCATTCTCCTTGGTACGGGGACAATATTGATGTGGGATGAAAACTAGAGGGGTGCATTCCGATCGATTGGTTTTTGACTCACGATATTCGATATCCCTTCTCCCTGTCTCTTCTTCATTGCGACGTCTCAACTCAAAGGCTTCTCGATTATTACGCTTCAGGGCCCGCAATGGGGGATGATCTTCTAGACTTCGTCATCAACCATGTGTTCATGCCGCCCAAGTTGCCCCAAGAGGCGGATGAGAGTCCGGAGCGCATAGATTTTCTTTTGTCCACTATCCGCAAGAGCATGAAGCTTTACAGACAGCATTATGTTGCGCCTGAGCACCAAGCATTGTGGGATTCATTGTTGAAAATGGTGGGTACGTTGCGCCGAATCAACATGGACCCGGGGGTTGGAATTAGCGAATGCATCAAAAGAAGGAGCACTGGAGGTAATGTCACTAGATACAGGCTAGAGCTGAATAGTAGTAATATCTCTAGATGCAGACACCATCGCCATTTTCATTCGTGCTCAAAACGCGGGTGTGATCATCCGTTGTGGCGAGGAGGAAACAATATTCGAGAATTTCGAAGCTTCGCCAACGAATAGCGCCGTGATGGATTGCACAGGGAAGCTTGTCCGCTCCTTTCCCGGGCCCGCAATTGCCATCCGAAACAACATTATGCAGGATCCGGATTTTGTAGAAGAATTGGCTGCATTCCTAACTGAGATGAATGGCGATCGACGGGAGGATGAGGACCTGATGGACGATGATCAATCGATAGGTGAGGACACAGTGGACGGCGATCAACGGGAGGACGAGGTCGAAATGGGCAGTGATCGACTACAGGATGAGGACACAAAGGGCGGTGATCCATTGCAGGATGTGGATGGCGATCCACTGCAGGATAAGGACATAGTGGACAGTGATCAACCGCAAAATAAGGGAGAACACGGGAACCGCTCGTTCTCGTTCGCGCCCCGATGGCGATGGGGTTCCCAGGATAACCACACACCTCATCCGAAGCACGTCACCGAATTGCTGACTGGGATACTCCGTACACTAGGGGAGCCTGCCGATATTCCTCGCATCCAGAAGAGGACATCGGACGATGTTTTGCGGGGAGAAACCGCTTCTGTCCCATGGCGGCGTAGCTCCCTCTGGCTCGTTGTTCGCGTCGCGTTGCAAACTACGATCCATAGAGGCACTTTGAACATGAAGGAATACAAGTCTTTTATGGTGCTCCTTCTGGCCGAGATTCTGCGGAGCGGTGTTGAGAACTGTTTACCGGGACATATCCTTTATTGCATGCGGGCCAAACTTAGCCGCCGACTCTTTAGAATCCGATCATGGGCAGCCCCGTCTCTAATCACATTTGTCCACGAGGTTGTGCTTGATACGGAAGGACTGCTCCAAGATCGATGGAGGAGCATTCAAGACACGCAGATGCGAGCACCTCAGTGGGCACCAGACGAGCTAGATGTTATTGGGGACACTAGCCTCAACTTGAAAAATTGCAGGTCTTACATCAGTGCCGCTCTCGTCCCAGGAATTTCCGCCAACCATGATGCTGCATTCCAACCACATCATCATCCACGATCATTCAATTTTTTTGACGACGAACCCAGGAGTCTCCCGGCAGCTGTAGAAGCAAATGGATTTGTTGCGCTTTGGGATTTTGAGCGTTGCGTAAAAGATCGCATTGACGAATGGGTATCTCGGCAAATCTCCGACCAGAATTGGGAAAGTGCTTGCGATTTAATCCCTCATTACATGACGACATATGCCGAAGAGGCCGGGAAATTGTATGGGGGGGCACCAGCGGAACAGTCCGTTATGCTCCTCACGCTTTTTGAATTGTGGATGGCGCTCGACATTTTGGCAATAGCTAGCTGTCCCCTCTTAAAGGATTATTCACCCGAGGTTCCATTGACTTTATACGAGGGCCTCCTACTTTCGAAATCCGAGTCGTTGGCACGCATCTCGAAGATCCAGATGTACCTGCGCAGGCGCTATCACGAAGCTGGTAGTACCCCTCGATCGGTTTTCTCAGGAATTGTCGATGAGGAAACTTTCGCAGTCAGATTTTTCGAGTCTTCTCCATCACTCCAGAATCTCAAGTGCACCATAGAGGAACAAGCGGGGACGAGCGAAAAACTTCACGAGCTTCACTTGCTAAATCTAGAATATAGGGAAATGATGAGAGAAGCGGGTACGACCTTGAAGGCAACCGTGTCCGTAATCAGGGACTAAATCGGATCTTTAGGCTTTCACACTATAGGCCGCATTGGGTTGTGGCACGACCGGAAATATTGCAGAAAATGCTATTACAAATGGCGGGCAAGAGTCCTGAAGACAGTCATTCGCGAATGGCCTCTGCCAAAAGACCCGGTGCGAGCCAAAATCTTTGTGTTTGAACGAGCAGTTCCTGGGGTCTTCAGGACTTGGAGGGAGACAACTTATTGGCTTCTCTGTGACATCTGTGCGCCGGGAAAAGAAAGGCGATTCACGAGGTGGGAATTGTATGCCCGCCGTGACCTGAGTCACGTTCCAAATCCCCAACACCGAATATCGCTCGTACCGGAGTTGAGAATTCTAGACAACCAAGGCAATATCCGCGGCACATATACATCTTCATGTCAGTTGTGGGACAATAACGACCTTGGATGGGTATATCCTTCATCTGGCGACTGCGATCTGAGTCATAGAACATCCATGTGGATATCGAGAGAGTCGCCATATGCTTCCTTGAAACGCTTTGCACAGGGGACATCCCACACTTCAAACGAAGTTCTTGCGAGCCAACATGAATGTCCCTCTTCGCTTCGCTTACGCAGTTTCATCGCCTTCGGTTCGTTGCGCGCTGGGGCCAGGTTGCAGTGGTACAATATTGCCCGAGAGATTCCCTCCGAAAATCTGAGTTTTCAGTGTGAGGAGGTTTGTGACCTCATCTCTCGGGCTGTGTGGCAAATCGGATGTCTTTCTAGCGATGGTGTTTGGGAACACCACCAGGTTGTACAAGAAGCACCATTCGGCGATGCGTTATTGGATGTCCTTGAACAGCTGAGGACAGATATAGAAGGGGATTGGCGCCAGGGTATCACAGCGCTGACCATCACTACGCTAGCTTCTCGACTGCTGGCCTCGGCTGTGGCACCACCGATCATCAACAAAACATATAAGCTACTTCGAAAGATACGAGACACCACCCTGAGCTGGTTACACGAACTTATGGCACTTGAATCACACGCCGAAACCGAGGCTGAACGGGAAAAATATCAAGGAGCAATATGTCCTTTGGCCGCGATTTGTAGGAGCTCATTTGATGTCGATGCCCACCATGCTGGGTCACTGCTTCGAAGTCCGGAAGATGTCGCCATATTCATCGAATGTGCCATCATTCTTTATAGCCATTCCCCCCAAGAAACCCTCACCGATCCAGACCCTCATTTACGTCTGTTACTCCTCCGGGACAACCGCCTGTCCTGCTGTATGGAAGAATTCATTTTTACCCTCATCCAAGAAAGGGCGAACATGCTGGGCGTCAATAAAGCAATATCAAGCGTTTGGAGTGCCATCGATCCGATGTGCTACTGGACAAGGTTACCAAAACCTAATGATCGTTGGTTGACTACCGCCGTAAACAGCCAAAGGGCTCAAAATGTTCATTTCAACGTATTGAGTGGCGCTTTGCTCATTGATGGAAAACCACCTGGTCGGTTGACATCTGACATCCGTGGGCATTCAATATATAAAGAACTTTTCGGTGCGGTGCGGAACTATTCTTCATCCATAATAAGGCCTGCCAATTCACAGCCCGTTTGCAGAGAAATCCGGACGCTGTTCCATCGGATATTGAAGACATGGACTATGTTACCAAAGTTCATATATCTTACAACTCTCAACTCAAGACTAAAGATGTGGATGAGGTCCGTTGAAGGCGACGAAGAAAATGAACTTCACTGATGCTCACCATCAAATAGCAAATGCACTTTGGGTGGCGAGATGGAAGACTCATTCTACGAACTAGAAGCCCTATGCTTGACGGGAAGAGCTATCGGGTCTTAGAATTGTTACCACGTGAAATCTTTCAAGGCGATCTCCCACCTACTCTAGTCGACGATTATTCTCATTGGATGGAGTTATCGACTTGTCAGATTGAGCTACGGCCTAAGGAGACACCCTGGACATCCTCCCGATCGAACTGGCACCTCCGTCGTACTGCATGCTCCACATGGGTCATGGATAAAGGGTCCTCTGTCAGACTAGTTGACTGGCAGAGCCGCACGGGGGAGATGATTTGTGCCATGCTTCGTCCACTTGAACCTGACAATAATATTCTTATCACATTGGCGAGGTCGCCTGTTCGAGAACTGCGTGTCGATCTTCCTCGGTTTCAGCTCTCCTTCACCTTGAAGGGCGGAAAACTTCGTTCATTAAACTTTCCGGGCTTTGAAGTAGATAGTAATCAATCAACAGGCACAATGCTGGGACTCCGCAGCCAGTTGGTTCTGCGCCGGAGCGGAGATCTCGCTCCTGGTGTGGAGCTTAACTGTTCGAGGCGCGTCATAATCCCGACGGGGAAAGTAACTATCACAAGTGATGGTGACCACGTCACTGTTACGATTGATAACTCGGGATTGTCACGCGTCAAATATTGTGATTATGACGTCGATGTCCTACTGGGTCGTCTGGTTGGAGATGGGAGCTTATTCAGCACATTATTCCAATCATTCCTTCACGCTGTGACTAGTTACTGCCTGCCTGATCCTCTTACGTCAATGTCAGGAGTCGAGGAAGCGACCCAAATCCTTCGATCAGCACGTTGCAAATCGTTTCAAAGCCTTGATGACCAGGAACGTCAGCTTCTGCGTCAGCTATCAGCGTTAACGCCATCAAGGTTCTGGACGTGGGAAGGGGGGCAACAAATTAACTGGAACGAAACACTTAGCCCGCTTACCCAACACGGTGCTTTCTGGGTTGAGGCCCAATCTATTTTCGAATGGAATAACGAAATGGATGTTTTTGGTCCCTCCGCCGGTCCCGGGAGCGGTCGGGGAAACTTAAATCTGCTTTCCCGTGCTAGATGCCACAATGCAGTCTGGTACGGCCCTGATCTTCCACGGGGCATGCGGGGTCAAGACGTGACATATAAATCTAGGGACGCTGACAAAGGACTCGATACAACCCGTATTCATGCTGCATCGAATATCTCTAGCTTGGTGTATCGCTGTCCTCGTCAGCTGAAGACCCCCAAAGATCTTTTGTCGCACATGGAATCGTGGACGAAGGTCATCAGAGGTCCTTCCCCCAATCACTTGTCGGATGTGGATGTGCGTTTGGGATTTACCAAGGAATGGCTGCCCTTGGATATACCAGGCAAATGGATTCCTTTGTACAATGTGTGTCGAACGGAGGGATGGGGAAACCGTACTCGTTTCAAAATGATGTTTAGTCTTTCTGCAATGGGCTACTCTACTCATCGAGGCGAGGGTTTGGTCCCTGCCTTACTTGCATTCACATACTTCCCCGAGTTCCGTTCCATTGATCCGCCGTTGTGGCCTGAATACGATTTGCGCAAGGGCTATAAACCAGACGCATCCAAACTCGATGATGTCGTCACGACATGGATCCATCCAGGCAAAGTTGGCCCCCGAGCATCCTCTCAAGTTTCTTTCCTTGTCAGACACTTAATCGGTCAGTGGGATCATGAACCCACAAGAGCGCCAACGTTACCAAGTCTGCCGGATGGTGATGTGTGGCTGATCAGAACCTCTCGCGCCATGGTCAATGTGACTAAGTTGTTTGAACAGTGGTTTAGAAACTGGGAATTACGCCAGCATATCCGAGAAATCCAGACGGTATTGGACACACACCAGACTCGGAATTCAGATGCTCCGGTTGTACCGATATATTCGTTTTCGACCTCCTTGCAACTTGAAAAAGCGAATCCGTCCGTTGTATCATACAGTAAAGTTTTTCTCCGACAACCTCCGGTTCTTGCGCGTACACCTTCCCCTCTGAAAACTAAAAGATGGTTGAACATCAAACCGGCTTCGGAACATAATAATCTCAAAGCTCTCATTTCAACTCTCCGTCCATCCCACGACCCGATATTCCAGAAATATGCGGTTGATCTCGAAGCTAGCTACAATGCATTGCATGACGACATACAGATCAGCGTGGAGCAAGTAGAAACCCTCCGAGAAGAGCTTTACCGCGATCACCAGATGTACCAATCTCACCTCTCTCATGTGTTAGGGCAAATCGGAGGGACGCTCAACCCAGATCCTCAGTCAGAGCGAGTACAGGAGGTTATGCGGGTTGCAGGACTATGGCCGAAGAGCACCACTCTTTCTTTACTGCACCACCTATCATTCTCATCCCGTTCAAAAGTTAAATTATCCCCCGAATGGAGGAACGTCCTCGTTTGCCTCGCCCAGTCCATACTGCTTTGGCAGCGATCGGAGAGATTGATGAGATTAGGACCCAAATCCGATGAGTTTCTGAAGGAATGTTCGAGTTATCCTGATCTGCATGACGTCTCTGACGACTGGCTGCTTGTCCAGGTGAGCGCGTCGTTTGTCGGCACGGACGACGGAATTAACTCTCTGAGATCCCCAGATTGACTCCAACTTCCTTGCGCGCCCTCTTCAAGTTGATGTTGCGCGTAACATGATGTTTCCTCGCTCACAAGGCAATACCATCCTTCAACTCAATATGGGGGAGGGAAAATCGTCCGTCATTGTTCCGCTTATTGCCGTATCTCTAGCAGATGGACAAAAACTAGTGAGAATCATCGTGCCAAAGCCCTTAGCAAATCAAACATTCCAGTCACTGGTTCAACGCTTGAGCGGCTTAGCGAATCGGCGAATATATTGCATGCCGTTTTCCCGTGCTATCGCAGTGAAGCCGGATGCTTTTCAAACGATCTACCATCAATGCATGAATGTTGGTGGCATACTGGTTATGCAGCCTGAACACGTCCTATCGTTCAAACTCACGGGCATTGAACGACAGCTCTCATCGGCTAGGCGCAAGGGGACTCCGACTCCAAATGCAATGCTGGAGCTACAGCGATGGCTGGACGCAAACGTTAGGGACATTTTGGACGAGAGTGACGAGATTCTGGCGGTCAAGTGTCAACTTGTGTACACAGTTGGCACTCAGCAGCCCCTAGGTCCTCAGCCTGTCAGATGGACTACGGTGCAGCATGTATTTTCCATCCTGCGTAGTAGGGGCGGGCTTCTTAATCAGCTGGCTTCTCAAGGGGGTCTCGAGCTCGAGCAACGAGACGGATACTTCCCTCGACTTCGCATTCTCAGACACGAAGCTGGCGTCCAAATTTTGAAATCTCTTTTACAAGGAATAATGCAAGGGGAGTCTCCTGATCTACCTCCGTTCAGGCTATTTCATGGAGGGATACGACGAGAAGCAGAGGCTTTCATCGCCCAAAGGGATCCTGGGACACTTCCTGAATTGCGAAATCACTGTCGCAGTGACAACCGTCTATGGAGCATTCTGCTCCTGCTGAGAGGCCTTTTTGCGCATGGGATACTTATGTACATTCTCAGTGGACGTAGGTGGCGAGTAGACTATGGGCTTGACCTAACGCGGTCACTTCTCGCCGTGCCCTATCGTGCAAAGGACGTGCCTGCACTGAGAGCAGAATTCAGTCACCCGGACGTCTGCATCTCTCTGACATACCTCAGCTACTACTATTGCGGATTGTCTCACGATCAGCTTGATATGTGTTTTGAGCATATCAACGAACTAGAAGATCCTATATCGGAATATCGCAAGTGGGTTGAGGATAATTGCTTGGTGCCAGACTTTCTCCGCAATTACAGTAGTTTCAACCCGGATGACCGCGAACAAAAGACCCAGCATCTCTATCCAGCTTTCGAAAGGAACCCGTCGACGATCAACTTCTTCCTCTGTCAGGTAGTTTTTCCGAAAGAAGCCAAGACATTTCCTCAAAAACTCTCCACATCGGGTTGGGACATCGCCGAACGAAGGCAACACGTAACGACGGGTTTCAGTGGTACCAATGACAACCGCTATCTTCTCCCCACTTCTATTCAACAGGACGACATCCCTGCGCAATTGGGTACAAATGCTAAGGTATTGAATTTGATGTTGCAGCCTGAGAACGATCACTACCGAAGTGTGGCCAGTAGCGAGCTTCTGGACGTCGTCGTCGGGGAAACTCCTCAAATACGAGTTTTGTTGGATGTGGGCGCCCAGATGTTGGAATACTCTAATAAGGAATTGACATCGATATGGCTTTCGCAAGTCTCGGCAGTAGATGTAGATGCTGCGATCTTCTTCTCCGAAGATGACGAAATCTTCGTTATTAAACGTGATGGGGCAACGGAACCATTCATTTCTTCGTCGTACAGACACCAGCTTGATCGTTGTCTCGTGTACCTGGACGATTCCCACACAAGAGGCACCGACTTGAAATTGCCTGCCAATTATCGTGCGGCAGTTACATTAGGTCCGAAAGTGACAAAGGATAGACTAGCCCAAGGTGAGCCTTCCTATTCCTATGAGGATATGATCGAATCAGCAGGTATGTCTTCAGGATGCATGCGAATGCGCAGGTTGGGTAAGGGACAATCTGTTCTTTTTCTCGCCCCTCCTGATGTGGATCGCAAAATCCGCAAGTTCTCTAAAAAGACCCATGGAGAACGAATCGATGTATACGACGTTCTTTCCTGGTCCATCAGGGAGACATGTGCCGGCCTACGGCGTTATAGTTGTGACTGGAGAGAGCAAGGCATTCATTACATCGATAGGCGATGCGCATGCGAAGAATTTTGGACATCCTCCATCCCTCGCACCTCAGTGTTAGCAAAATGGGAAGAGTTTTGGATATCTTTCATCCCCCGCATCTCAGTGTTAGCAAAATATTGGTTGAGACCCGAGTTGAAGTCTCTCGAGGAGATGTATGGGGCACCATCGTCCTCCGGGCCACTGGAACAGGAATTGTCTCATCCCGCAGCCGATTGTCGCGAGATCAAGCAGAGGAGTGAGATTTTTTCATCCTCCACAGAGAGTTGGCTGGTGAAAATGGCAGAAGAGCAGGAACGCGAAGTGACCCACGAGCCTGAGCGCGAGCCGGAAGCTGAGGAGCCACCACCACCACCTTTACGGCCTGCACGCCATCGCCTCCATCCTGGTGTCGTATCATTCGTGCGCGATGGTCAAATCCCACCATTTTCTCGTGCTTTCATCCCGCTCTTTTCTTCAGTCACAATCCTCCCTCGGTCTCAGCAAGGCACCCAGTGGTCACGCAACCTTCTTGCAACCAGCGACTTCGTCACCACAATCAAGGGTTCGAATGCACGGAAAGGCAACGAGTTTCTTCGGCCTGTGAACTGGATACTGTCTAGTATTCACGGATCGATGCTCGTGGTGTGCAGTCCTTTTGAGGTGAATGAGTTGCTCCCGGAAATTCGCCGCAGCGGTAACGTCAGGTTGCACGTGTACTCCCCAAGAACAAGTCAGCCTATGAAGTCCTTCGATGATCTCAAATTCTACACAATTCCATCCTTACCAACGACATGGACTTACCTGGGGAGGCTCACAGTCTCTCAGCTCAATATATTCTCAGGCCAGCTATACATCAACGACTTCGAAACGTATCTTGAACTTTGCAATTTTCTGGGAATCAACACCAGTCATGATGGGAGGAACGAAGTAGAAACACAAATTGATGGTTTTGTCCTACCCAAGAAGCGTACTGGGGAAATGAATTTAGCCTGCCCCTTTGATATCAGTCCTCTGCCTTTCATCCGCAAGCTAACAAGTCTCCGGAGGAAGGGTAAGTTGATTCGAGCAACCCGAAGTACCCACGCTAACACGCCACACTCAAGGAACGTCCTATGCCTCTACTCATCTTGGACGAATTGTTAATGGAGCATTCATACAGCCAGAGGAGTTTTGACCGAATATGCACCATTACTGATTATGTATATGATTGTCCAGTTTGCAAATTCGCAGTAGGCGTATATTCCATTAAATGAGCTTGCATCATGTTAGAGCCTCTCGGCCAGCGGAACCCCAGATCCGATCGGTGCAGTTCCACTATCACGCGCGTACCGACCGTGTATGGTATTGTCAGGGAATACTGTGCACTGGCATGTACACCAAGAGTCCCACAGCAATCCTACAGTGTGGGTTGCCGTATTACATAGAAGGGTAGCGAATTTACGCTAGCGTATTACGCTCAGTATTAAATGTTGTTGAACTAACTAATTACGGATACGTGAGTGCGCGTCAGTCATAAAGACTAACACGAAAGAGAAAAGTCTCTTAAGGAAAAGCAGCCAGACGCCAAGCATTGGACACAGAAGAGAATGTTCGCGCAAAGGATCCTCGAACAAGCCGCACTGGCAGCTCCGAACTGGCTCCCTAGCCTTGTCAATCTTCACGAGCAACTTACAACGACATCACTCCCTTCCAACCCTCTTTCATTCTTCACCGACCCCCTCTCTTCCACCCCTAGCCAACCCCAACCCGCTCGCAATCCCTTTCCCACCTTCAAACCACCCCAAATGCCCACCATAAGGCGTGACCACGTTGACAGCCGAATTTCCCATCGCTTCCGATCTCCTTTATAGAATTTTCAATCGTCCCCCACGTTGAACGCCGAGAAATGCGTCCTCTTATGAGTCGTAGAACTGGCATAATAGTGATCGGCTGATGCGAAGGGGTACTTGGGTGATGTCCCTCCCATGAATCGCCTGATGTGATGATCGAAATCTCTCAGAGTGGGTGCCAACTTGGAAAGAGTTTCGAAGTGGCCTTGGAGGAAGAGGTTCCCGCCCACTGCTTTGGTGCAGATGTTGCGGTACAGGATCACTTTCCGACAGCCACTGTCGAGGCTCGTTCCATGGCTAGAATGGGAGAAAAAAATGTTTTCCGGGGAACGGTGCGGTAGAATGGCTACCTACATTCCCAAAAACATAGACATTCGACAACGCACACTTATCGCCCTCTTCCTCGACATACAACGACAATACATTCGCTCTCAACGAGAACCCAAGCTCCAACAATGATGCTTCGGGTTGCATTTAGTGAGGATAAAGAATAGTGGATCGGATATCTTCCGTATGGGGTCCCCCGTGGAGTTGGGCCGTCATAAGGGGGACGCGGGCGCCTTATTGTGTTTCAAAAGCGCAAGTGCCCCATTTCGTTTCGAGAGATATTTGGTGGAGTGAGTGAGAACGAATGGTATGTGGATTAGCAAGTGGCTCCGATCACGAACGAAAAAAAAAGAGAGAGAGAGAAATGTGTAAAAGGAAGGCGGAACTCACATCCTCTTAAACAACTCCGCGATATCCTAATCCTCCTTCCTCCTTGGTGCACAAGTGCTAGAGAGGTCTCGAATAAAAAGTCTAGACCACTGTCGGATTCACAATCGATAGAGTGATGACGACGCATTGGATGTTACGAAGTGAAAGGTTGAGAGCCCAAGTGAGATCGTTGTTATGCCGGTCAATCAGGGGGTTGTCTCCGCGACCATCGCAGCTGCTGTTGACATGACACAGGTCTGATGGTTAGGTCGATACTAGATAGACTATCAGTTCCTGAACCACGAAACTGACCCGCCAGAGATGCCGCCCATAAAAATACAGGTAAGCCAAGTTACTCCGAGTACGTGTTCGGTTCATAGAAAACGTCATCATCACGTCATCATCATTATACCCATTCAGAGTCCGGAAAGGGACCCCATCAACAAACTTGCAGGAACCGCGTGGCTTGGCACCACGCGCACCGAAATTGCTAATCGGAGCTCGCCGTCCGAGGCACCTGCACAATTGCAATTCGCAGCAAACTTGTGCTTCAGTCTATTAGCACCTCTGAACCAGTTCATATTTAAATCACCTAGTGAGTGCAGGCTCCTGTTTTCTTTATAGCGATGCAAAGACTATGTATGCGGGCCTGGGTTTGTCGCTGCAGTCCCAGCTCAGATCATACCTTCACCAAGGGTTCAGTATGCATGTTCTCCCATAGTTATAGCTCATGTCGCCAGTTCTTGGGCATGGCCGCATGGGTGAAAATAGCCACCGCAAAAGGCAGCATTCAATTCGTGGGCAAATCCATTCAGTTCTGCGAATGAGCTTGGATATTATCACCATTGGGTCGTTGTTGCGTCTATGAGCGGCCTGCTTTTTGCCTGCATCGAGCTAGGCTAAATAAACATTTTATCAGTGTCACTGCGTGGCGAACGCCATGTGACGAATTTCAGTACATATTTCCTTTTGTGGTCGGGTTTTCTAGGTTTTCTCCCTCACACCCCATCAACACATGGGTCAAGCATCATAGTCAGCGGGAAACATCGATTTAGAGTTCTAGTTGGCTTGTCGATTAGTCACTTGGAGGCCAGACTGCACGTGCCCGATAACTCACGATTAAACCTCTCCTTTTCACTATCTACAAGCACACAATGCGCGACCTTCTATGCTTCGTCATCAACCACGTCTTCATGCCTCCTAAACTACCCCAGGAGACCGATGACAGCTCAAAGCACACGGACTTTCTTCTGTTGACTGTTCGCAAGTCCATAGAGCTTCATAGGCGGCAGTTTGCTATAGCTGAGCATCAAGTAATGTGGGGCTCTTTGTTGGGGATGGTGGATATCTTGCGACGAATTAATGAGTGCCAAGAGGTCGGAATTAGCGAATGTATCGAAAGAATGAGTCCCGGAGGTAAGGAGTCCACTTTAACTTCAAGTTGGAATGGCAGCCACCACATACTTACATGAATACAGAAACTATTGCCATCCTTATTCGTGCACAAAACGCCGGTGTGATCATCCGTTGTGGCGGGAAAGAAACAACATTCGAGAGTTTCGAAGTCTCTCCAAGGAATCAAGACGTGATGGGCTGTACAAGAAAGCTTTTGCGATCCTTTCCTGGCCCTGCTATCACTGTTCGTAATGATATCGCCTGCGACCCGGCTTTTCTCAAGGAATTGGCTGCGTTCCTGACTCAGATGGACGCTGAATCACTGGAAGACGCTCAAATAATGACTAGGAAGGCGAGAAGCAATGTCATTGAAGAGCGCGACACGACCCATCCTCGGTATATTACCGAATTGTTGACCGGGATACTTTGTGGTCTAGGACAGCCTGCGGACGTCTCCCGCATCCGGAAGAGGACGTCGGATGATGTCTTATGGGATAAAACTTCACTCCCATGGAGACGTAGTCCTCTCTGGCTCGTTGTTCGTGTCGCCTTGCAAACTACAATTCATCGAGAAACTTTGAGCACCAACGAATACAAGCGCTTTATGGTGCTCCTTCTAGCTGATATTTTGCATCTCTCTGTCAAGAACCGTCTACCAGGTGACATTCTTCATTGCATGCGTGCCAAACTTAGCCGTCGGCTCTTTAAAATCCGGTCCTGGGTAGATTCAGCTCTTGTTACATATGTGCACGAAGTTGTTCTTGATACAGAATGGCTGCTCCAAGATCGATGGAAAGCCGTTCAAGACGCGCAGATGAGAACACCAATATGGGCGCCAGATGAGTTGGACGTGATTGGGGATACTGAACTCACCCTGAAAAATTCCATGGCTCATATCATCGCTGCGCTCGTCCCGGCAGTAACCACTGGTACCACTCGCAACACTGCGTTCATCCCGGATCATCATCGACGACTGCCTGGTTTTCTCTTCGAATTCATCCCCCAGGATCTTCCGCCAGCGGTAAAAGCAAATGGATCTATCGCGCTATGGGATTTTGAGCGTTCTGTACAAGATCATATCGATCTGTGGGTGCGTTCTCAGATGTACTCCATCAGCGAAAACGCCTGCGACACACTTTCCAATTGCATGACGACATATGCCGAAAACGCGGCAAGGCTGTACGCCGGGGTTCCCGAGCAACAGTCCATCATGCTGCTCACTCTTTTCGAGCTTTGGAGGGCACTTGATATGTTGGCCGTGGCAAGCTGTCCTCTTTTGAAGGATTATTCTCCTGAAGTTCCTCCGACTCTATATGAGGCTCTTCTGCTTAGGAAATCCAAATCGTTGGAGCGGATTTCAATGTTCCAGGCGTATCTCCACAAGCGCTATCGCGAAGCTAGCGGCGACCCTCGATCGATCTTCTCGGAATCAATCGATGAGGATATCTTTGCAGTTAAATTTTTCGACTCATCTCCGTCGCTTCAGGAAGTAAGGTGCCGTATAGAGGCGCAAGCGACTGCGAAGCGGGATGAAAAGCTCCGCGAGCTGAGCTTGTTGAATCTCGAATACGAGGAAAAAATGGAACTGGCTGGTACGATTTTGAACATATCTATATGTATAACCATGAGGCTGATCTTGGTCTGCAGACTCTCTTGATCACAGCGACTTCATCACGCGTCGTGGCTATGTAGTGCATGACCGTTATTGCCAAAAATGCAAATATGAACGGCAGGCCAGAGCACTCAAGATAGATATTCACGAATGGCCACTCCCAGAGGATGAGATACGAGCCAAAATGGTCGTGTTCGAACTCGCAGGCCCTCGGGTTTTCAAGACTTGGAGAACAACTACTTACTGGCTCCTCCGTGACATTTGCACACCTCCTCTCTCGTCGGTGGAAGCTCACCCGTCTATGACGCTGGAACACTATGCTAATCTCAATCATCTCTCTGGATATCTTGTTTCTGATTCTCGGCGTCGGATCTCGTTGGCATCTCAAGAGAAGTCCTTTCTGACCTCTCATTACAACCGTGTGAAAATCCCGGCAAGCGAAGAAGATGTCTGTCTTCGGAATGCGCTATCATATCGAGTATATGATGAACACCATAACACGTGGGTGCATCCCCCATCTTGGGACTGTGGTCTCCGTCATAAAACGTCCATACCGATATCGCAACGGTCACCCTATGCTTCCTTGGAGCACTTTGCACAACGAACTTCTCACACTTCAAACGAGGTTCTTGCAAGCCAGCATAGATGTCCACCTTCGCTCAACTTGCATGAATTCATAGCGTTTGGGTCGTTGCGCGCTGGAGCCCGCTTGCAGTGGTATAATATTGTTCGAGAGATTGCCTCAGGGAATCTCAGTCTTCATCGTGAAGAGGTTTATGACCTGATATCACAGGCTGCTTGCCAAATAGGATGTCTTTCTAATGGTGGTCTCTGGGAATTTCATGAGGAGTTGCGAAATCCCTCATTCGGTGACGTGTTGCTAGGCGTCCTTGATCAGCTGGGGACGGACATCGAAGGAAACTGGCTCCACAGCGTCACAGCACTGTCTATCACCACACTTGCCTCTCGGCTGCTGGCTTCAGCCTCCACAGGAACATCGATCATTTCCAAAACGTATAGTACACTGCGGAAGATCCGAAAGACCACGTTGGGCTGGTTGCGGGATCTCATGACACTTGAGTCAGAGGCTCAAGATGATTTGGAACGGAACAAGTATCAAGCAGCAATATGTCGAATAGCTGCAACCTGCAGAAGCACGTTTGACGTTGATTCGTGCCATGTCCCTTCACTCCTTCAGAGTTCGAAGGATGTGGCCACTTTCATTGAATGTGCTATCATCGTCAACATCCATTCTCCGCAGGTGACTTCCGCGAATGCAGACCCTCATTTGCACCGATTGCTTCTCCAAGATCAGTGCTTGTCTTGCAATATGGAAGGCTTCCTCATTGCCCGTATCCAGGCCTGGGAACCCATGAAAGGCATTAATAGCGCGGTGGCGAACATTTGGAACGGATTCGACTTGACATGTCGCTGGACAAGGCTACCAGAACCTAATGATCGCTGGTTGACCACCACCACCACCATAGCCGGTCAACGCCGACAGGAGGTTCATCTCAATATATTGAGTGGTTCTTTACTGATTGACGGGAAACCACTCGGTCGATTGCCACCTGAAATTGTGGGACACTCGACGTATATAGAACTTTTTGGCGCAGTACGGCAGCATTTTTCCACTATAATAACAGGACCCGTAGATTTACGTTCCAATTTTACAGAAAAACCTTGCCGTCGTACCATCGAACATGGAGGACATGGATTATGCGACCAAAGTCAGTTTATCCCGTGGTTCCGCAACCGGAACTCAAGAGGAAGAAGACGGCCACCAGGTTGGTTAAAAATAAGGAATTCACGAAATTACCCTCCACTGATGGTTACTGTCAAACAGATAATTCACTTTGCATGGCGGGATGGAAAACTCGTTCTGCGAAGCAGATCCCGCATGCTTGATGGGAAGGATGGTCGGGTCTGGGAGTTGCTACCACGTGAAATCTTCAGAAATGATCTTCCGTCTACACTGATCGACGATCACTTTCATTGGTTGGAGCCATCCACTCGCCAGGTTGAGCTGCGATCGAAGGAAGCACCTTGGACGTCATCTCGAGTAAATTGGCATCTACGTCTTACTCGGCACTCCACATGGGTTCTGGTTAGACAACCTTCTATTACACTCATTGACTGTCAAAGTCACACGGCAGAAATGATTTGTGTCATCCTTCGTTCACTTGAAGCTCCGAACAATGTTCTCATCACAAGCTCGCCAACACACGAACTTCTGGTCGATCTTCCCCGGTTCCAGCTTTCTTTCGCCCTGAAAGGTGGAAGGCTCTGTTCGCTCAACTTCCCCGGCTTCGAAGTTGATGAGAACCAATCTACAGGCACAATGCTAGGTCTTCAGAGCCAACTTGTTCTGCGCCAGAGTGAGGATCTCGCGAACAGCGTGGAGCTTAGTTACTCCAGGCGTGTCATCATCCCGATGGGAGATATATCCATCACACGAGATGATGACCATGTTGCTGTTACCATTAAACACTCGGGGTCACGTCGAGTCGAGTATTATGACTATGACGTAGATACCCTACTTGGCCGTTTGGTTGGAAATGGAAGTTTATCCAGCGCATTGTTTCAGTCGTACCTTCATGCTATTACCAGTTATTGTCTACCTGATCCCCTCACGTCATTGTCTGGAACTGAGGAGGCCCTTCGAATCCTTCGCTCAGCGCGTTGTAAATCGTTTCAAAGCCTCAATGGCCAAGAGCGTGGTCTTCTACATCAGTTGTCGACATTAACGCCATCAAGGGATTGGTATCCTTCCCACTTGCGGGTGATGCAACAGGCCATTTGGGATGGAAAACTTAATCCGATTGTCCAGCATGATGCTTTCTGGAGCGAGGTACAATCTATACTTGAATGGGGGAATCAAATGCATGTTTTCCATCAGGACGTGCCGATTGGGAACTCGAAAGACAGACGCCATATGAGAGAGCTTCATCTGCTATCCCGTGCCGGGTACCGCAATGCGGCCTGGCATGGTCCTGGCATATCGTCGGACGTATCAGGTGAAGATTCAGTGTATGAATCTCGGGATGACGTCGGTGGGCTCGACTTTGCTCGTGTTCGTGATGCCTCGAATGTCTCTAGCTTGGTATATCGTGGTCCTTTTCACCTCAAGACAACAAAAAATTTGTTATCTCAGATTCAATCGTGGAGGGAGGAGATCAGGGGGTATTCCACCAATGACGTGTCGGGTGTCCGTCTAGGATACAACAAGGAATGGCTCTCCTTCAACATGCCAGACACTTGGGTTCCCTTATACAATGCTTGTCGATCAGCTGGGTGGGAAATAGTCCGGTTTAAATTGGTTTTTAGCCTCTCGGCGATCGAATACTCTCGTCACCCATGCAAAGATCTAATCCCTGCCTTTCTTGCGTTTGCGCGCTACCCTGAATTCCGTGTCATAGATCCGCCGCCGTGGCAACGATACAAATTCAGTGAGGGTTGGACACCAGATCCAGGACTTCTCCATGCTGCGGTCGCGAAGTGTGTCCTTCCCTTTCAGGAAACCACCAATCCTTTAGTTCGCGATGTTGTTCGAATCGAACGACGAAAGAAATACGATGCCCAAGTATCATCTCAAGTTTGGTCCTTCGTTGCAGATCTGGTTAGTCAGTGGGAGATCGGTGGACCCACAGATACGCCAACAATACCACGTGTGCGGGGTGACGGCGAATGGCTAATTAGTCCGTCACTTGCCATGGTCAGAGTGACCGAATTGTTCGAACTATGGTTCAGGAATTCGGAACTGCATGATCACATCCAGGCAGTTCAGACGGTCTTGGACAGGCACTGGACTTCGGACACTCTGGTGCTGCCTACTTACTCTTTTTGAGCCTCCCCACCGCTGGGAGAAGTGCGCACATCCTTTGTATCATACCGCGATGTTTTTCTTCGGGAGTCTCCAATTCTGGCGCCCACACCCTCCCCTCCTAGAGCAATGAAATTGTCGGCAGCCAAACCATTTTCGGTACATGATAGTCTCAGGATTCTCATCTCGAATCTCCGCTCAGCTGAAAGTCCCCTGTTTCGAGAGTATGGGAACGATCTCGAGGTGAGTAGGGAAGCGTTGCAACATGACGCTGAAACCAGCGCCGAGTGGGTGGAAATCCTTCGAGAAGTCCTTGATCACAGTCACCAGACGTATCGCACATATCTCTCCCATATCTTAGAGCAAATCGAACGGGTAATCAATCCAGATCCTCAGTTCGAGGCCCCAGAGGAAGTCATGCATGTAGCAGGACTGTGGCCGAAGACCAGTATACGTTCTTTGCTGCACCACTTATCATTCTCATCGCGCTCAAAAGTTAGCCTTTCCCCTGATTGGGAAAATACTCTTGTCTGCCTTGCCCAGTCCATACTGCTTTTGCAGCAGTCGGAGAGATTGATGAGATCAAGACACAACACCGATGATTTCCTAAGGGAATGTCAGAATTATACTGACTTACATGACACTTCGGACAGACTGGACTGGCTGCTTGTTCAGGTGAGTGTGGCATTTTTTTCCTTCACTGTAGATGACGGCATTGACTTTGTGAGCGTCTTAGATTGACTCGAACTTCCTTATCCGCTCACTTCAAGTTGATGTTGCGCGTAACATGATGTCTCCCTGCCCACAGGACAACACTATCCTTCAACTCAATATGGGGGAGGGAAAATCGTCCGTTATTGTTCCACTGATTGCCGCATCTTTGGCGGACGGACAAAAACTGGTCAGAATCATTGTGCTCAAACCCTTAGCAAACCAAATGTTTCAGTTACTTGTCCGACGTTTGAGTGGCCTGGCCAATCGACGTGTATATTACATGCCCTTCTCCCGCACGATTTCGGTGGATGAGAACCACTTGTCCTTATTTCAAAGGATCTACCACGAGTGCATGCAGGCGGGCGGAATACTGGTCATGCAGCCTGAACACGTCCTGTCATTCAAACTCATGGGTATATACCGACAACTCTCGGCTGTCATGGACGAGAAGACGCCAAATGCGATGCTGAAACTGCAACAATGGCTAGATTCGAACGTTAGGGACATTTTGGACGAGAGCGATGAGATTCTAGCGGTCAAATACCAACTCGTCTACACTGTCGGAGCTCAGCAGCCTCTAGACCATCATCCTGACCGATGGACTGTTGTGCAACATGTGTTTTCCATCTTGCGCAGCCACACCCAATTCATTGAGGAATTCCTTCCTCAAGGAGGCTTCGAGCTTGAACAACAAAGAGGCGGATGCTTCCCTCGTCTTCGCATCCTCAAAAGCGAGGCTGGCGTGCAGCTCATGAGTTCTCTTGTACATGGGATAATGTCGGGGAACTCTCCAGACTTGCCTTCGTTCAGGCTATTCCATGGGAGAGTGCGACAAGAAGCAGTGGCTTTCATCACAGAACGGAATCCTGGAGAACTTGATGAATTGCGAAATCACTGCCGCGGTGACAGCCGCCTATGGAACACTCTACTCCTGCTAAGAGGCCTTTTCGCCCAAGGAATACTTATATACGTCCTTGGTGAACGTAGGTGGAGAGTAGACTATGGGCTCGACCTCACACGGTCCCTTCTCGCGGTTCCGTATCGCGCAAAAGACGTGCCCGCTTTGAGGGCAGAGTTCAGTCACCCAGACGTCTGCATCTCCTTGACATGTCTTAGCTATTATTATGGTGGACTATCCTGTGATCAACTAGACACATGCTTCGAATTGCTCAGTCAACTAGAGGATCCTGTGGTGGAATATAGCAAGTGGATAAAAGAGAATTGCTTTGTGCCGAAGTCCCTCAGTGACTATAGCAGTTTTAATCCCAATGACCACAGACAAAGGATCAACCATCTATATCCAGCTTTCACGAGGAACCAAGAGACAATCAACTTCTTCCTCTCTCGGGTCGTTTTTCCAAGGGAAGCCAAGGCATTCCCGCAAAAACTTTCCACATCTGGCTGGGATATCGCTGAACGAAGACAGCATGTAACAACGGGTTTCAGTGGTACGAATGACAACCGCTATCTTCTTCCCACTTCTATCAGACAGGCCGATATTCCTGCGCAATTAAGCACAAATGCCAAGGTGTTAAATTTGATGCTCCAGCCCGAGAATAATTACCGAACTGCAGCCAGTAGCAAGTTTCTGGACCTCGTTATCAAGGAGACCCCCCAAATCCGAGTTCTGTTGGATGTGGGCGCCCAAATGTTGGAGTACTCCAACAAGGGCTTAGCATCGATATGGCTCTCGCAAATACCTGAGGGGGATGTAGATGCTGCGATCTTCTTCTCCGAAGATGATGAGATCCATGTTATTAAGCGCGACGGGGAAACAGAGCCGTTCACTTCATCCTCATACAGACGTCGACTTGATCGATGCCTTGTGTACCTCGATGATTCCCATACAAGAGGGACCGACTTGAAATTGCCCATTGATTATCGCGCAGCAGTTACATTAGGCCGGAAAGTAACAAAGGATAGACTGGTTCAAGGTGAGCTTCTCATTGAGATTCAATTGCATCAGCCGAGGCAGAGGCGCATGTATTCAGGATGTATGCGAATGCGCAGGCTGGGACAGGGGCAATCTGTCATATTCCTCGCGCCCCCCGATGTGGATCGCGCCATCCGCAAGGTGTCTGCAAAGGAAGATGGAGAACGAATCACTGCATACGATGTTCTTTCTTGGTCCATTAGTGAGACATGTGCAAGTCTACAGCGTCATAGCTGCCATTGGAGAGAGCAGGGCATTCATTACATCGATAGGCGATGCGCGTGGGAGGAGTTTTGGTCATCTGGAGCCAGCGAAGCCTCCAAACTAGAAAGATATTGGTTGCAACCCGAGTCGAAGTCCTTGGAGGAAATGTATGAGGCATCACCCTCTTCCGAGCAATTGGAGCGGGAGCCACCCCACCACCCCGGAGCCGACTGTCGAGAGATTGAGCAGAGGAGCCGCGTTTTCTTGTCTCCTACGGACAATGAGGTGGTGAGGATGGAAGAAGAGCAAGAACGTGAGGTAACACACGAACTTGAACGGGAGCGGCAAATTGAGAGACCACCAGCTTTGCTCCCTGCCTCTCATATCCTCCATCCTGATGTCGTTTCGTTCGTGCGGAGTGGCCAAATATCGCCAGATACATCCCCTGCTTTCATTCCACTCTTCTCCTCGGTCTCAATCCTTCCTCGGTCCTTCCAACAGGGCGCTAAATGGTCTAACGATCTTTTTGCAACTAGAGACTTCACTTCCACCATTCAAGGTACGAACGTCCAGGAAAACATCGAATTCCTTCGACCTGTCAATTGGATACCATCCAGTACCCGCAACTCGACGCTCGTGGTCTGCAGCCCTTTCGAAGTAAATAAATTGATCCCCGAAATTCGCCGCAGCCACAACACTACGTTACGCGTTTACTCTCCAAGAACGAGTCAGCCGATGAAGTCCTTTGATGATCTCGAATTTTACACGATCCCATCTTTACCAACGATGCGGATGCATCCCGAGAGGCTCACGATCTCACAGCTGGGTGTATTCTCCGGCCAGTTATACCTCAAGGACTTCGAAACATATCTTGAACTTTGCAATTTTTTGGGAGTTAACACTAGCCATGATGGGAGCAATGAGGTCGAAACACAGAGCGATGGTTTTATCCTTCCCAAAAATCGTACAGAGATGCGCTTGGTCTGTCCATTTGATAACAGCCCTCTGCCCTTTATCCACAGGCTCACGAGTCTCAGGAGGAAGGGTGAGTTTCCTGCCCAATCTCAAAGAATTGTTCTTCACAATAACATGAAACACCTTAGGGATACCCTATACTTCCACTCATCTTGGACGAATTGTTCATGGAGCATTCGTGCGACCAGAGGATTTTTGACGACAAATGTGCACAGTGCTCCCAGCTGCCTATCTTGCCCATCGACTTGTCTGGATGTATTGATAGATTTATGATTGTCGATTCCGGTATGATAGAAGATATTATCTTTAAATAAGACCAACCGAATGGGGGTTAGACACGGGGGCTGAAAAGTAGATCGAAAAGAATGCATATCAGACGCCAGACGCGAGGGATACTGATTAATGCATATGCTGATAGTGTTTGAAGTTGCCACGTTCGCTCGTTTCCTTTGTGAGTATCAATTCACTTGTCTCCGCTGACGGTAGCATATTTCCTGTGTTGGGCCGGAGATGGGGAGAATTTCGTCAGGGTGGAGCATTATCGTTTACTTCGTGCATTGTGGGTCTCACGGCTTTCGATTTCCATCAGGCGCTTTCCCCCCGTTTTACGCCTCCGTGGTGACGTGTTATACATATCTACATGGCGGCATGGACGCTTGTCCCATGCCCCTCTTTCCCATAGGTCATACCCCGTGCTCGCGTCTCATGTGCGATGACCTATCGATATCGGTGTCTAGGTAACTGTGTCGCCTGCTGAGAGTAACTCCATGGAGCAGTCGCATGCACGCAAACTCTTGCTCGGCTGTCTTTGTTTCGCATCTTGTAAATGGGACGAATTTCAAGATCTACTCACCACATTGGAACTCAAGCAACAAGAGTGCATATTGATGTGCGCGACAAAACATAGGACCAAGGTTGTGCTATTGTTCAGTCTACACCAATAATCCCGTAGTCGGAACCATCTCCATCAGAAATAGACCTGGATATATGTCAAGGAAACACTATGGAAGTTCTTCAAAAGCGACTTCCAGTTTGTGGCAAAGTAATATCTGATCTCCTTAACCATGGGTGGTGTCGTCTGTACAAGCGATACGAGATATTGTTGATGGAGCGATGCATTCTTTGTTTCGTGGAAGCCCGACCTCTCGATCCCAAAGGGGGCGCTTAGTGTTCCAACTCGTGTTTGAATTAGTGGGAATGGAGACACAACAACAAATATTGCTAAAAATCTGACACCCAATTGTTAGTCCCATGGTAACAGGGATGAAGGAAGAATGCGGGAATGCATAGGGCCACTGGTGGCTGGAGGGCGTGGTGGTTTTGTTCAATGGCTTCACGCTTCCACTTGTGGGAACCAGCGACTCGGAGGGATCCATCCCGTTTCGGCCACCACATCGTGCGTCGGAACCTGTCCCTTTGCCAACCCTCTACAAACATGCATGATTTCAATTGCGTCGAGCCTTCGACACCGAATTTACTCGGATGGGTTTTATTATTCTCAGATCAATTTGTTGTCTTCTACTTTTATTCCGCAATTTATCCCGGGGAACCCCGACCAGTCAGAAAAAAACGAACAGAGCAAGTCTTCGCACCCTCGATCCTAGCGTTCCAAAATGATAGGATGTCACACACCGCACGGAAATCACTCTTGGGCGACACGACGCCGATAAGCCTTCATTCATGATTGGGTTCGAAGCATCTGAAAACAAAACCCATTAGCATTCATATAGGAATCGGCGATAGTTGCATTGTGTATAAATCTACAAAGTATAGGGGGCTGCACCAAGACTTGGAAGCAAGAAGTGATATGTGTTTGTTGATAATTACGGCTGCAGTCTGACCTAGTCTGTGCTGTTGGCACTATTGTGTCCAATCCTAGACGCGAACAGGCACCAGAATGCTTGGCTTGCAGTTGCTTCTTGCGATTTCACAACACACTCGTGGATTCTCCCCAATCCTTCACCCAATTGCGTTTACAGTCCTCCCCCACTCTATGGAAGTCGCTGTCCTCAACACCCGAGACAACACCACGCCCACCTAAGATTTTGTGAGCTACGTCATCAGCTGAGGAGCGCAAATTGCTCGCAGCGTACCTCCAACGTGGGGAGTCACCGCGTGTGAAAATTTCTTCGTTACCCCTTGTCCCCGCGGCATCTCTGCGCGTCACCGGAGACCCAAAGCAAGTTCGCCTAGGTCTGGACTTCTGTGCTGAATCAGATTTCAAATTATCCAGGGCGGTTTGCAAATCATTCTTCTCCCTCTCAAGGCTGGCGACAATTTCTCTCATCTGAGCGACATCACTTTCATGTTTCCTTTTGATATCGTCCAAGGAGCCTTGTAGCCGTTCTATACCCCCCTTTTGCGCATCGATACTCTCCCGGAAAGTGCTAAGCTGCTTCAGTGCGTGCTTGTTCTCAGCTTGTGCTCTGTGGGTTGGTGCGTTCGCGTTATTCGGTTTTTCTCGTATTTCTTGAAGTCCCTGCTCCAACCTCAAATTTTCTAGGAGTTGTAATTGAGGCCGGACCTGCAACTATAACAAGCCTTGACTGACCAGCATTGTGGACGCTCTCAAAGCCGAGACCCAGATCACCTTTTTCCTCCTTTGTTCCCTGTGAAGCCTTGTCGTACTCGTTCAACAGCGCGGGGATGGGCTGGGTGATATCAATCTCTCGCTTGGATTTGACGTCCAAGGGCTCTTGCAGCCCAGCTTCCCCGTTCGTAGACCCAAAGCGATTTGGCAAAGAGACGGACTTCTTGGCCAGCTCAGATTTCAAGACATCCAGAGCCGTTTCCAAGTCACTCTTCTCCCTTTGATGACTAGCGACAGCTTTTCTCATCTGAGCAATATCAACCTCATGCTTGGATTTCATATTATCCAAAAAGCTTTGCAGCTGTTCTGTCTCGTCCCTCTGTGAATTTATGGTTTCTTGGGCAGAGACAAGCTGTTTTAGCGTGCGCTTATTCTCCGCTTCCGCTCTCTGTGTGGATGAGTTCGCTTTGTTCAGTTTCTCCCGTAGTTCTTGAAGTGCGCACTCCAGATTCCAAATCTCCTCACTATTTTTCTCTGTGGGTCTGCAGGTTAAGCCAGATCTGCAACTGCATCAACCTTCAACTAACCAGCATTTGCTTGATGTTTTCTGAACGATGCCCGGAGGCTCTCCACGCTACGCTCCAGATCATCTCTTTGCTCCCTCAGCTCCTGTAAGGCCCTGTCACGTTCGCCCACCAGCGCACGTATGCGGCGGTTTTCGCCCGTCGATGGATCTCCGGTCTTGATTGTGATTCTATTTCAATAATCCCGCTGTGAATAGGAATGGAGTAGCGTACTCACATCGTCTGAATACCAATCTATCTCACTGACGTCTTTTGCCTTCCGCAGGCTCGCATTTTTGGTACGCCATGTCGATTGGGTGGCCGCTCGGGTTACTTCAGGGTGAGAAGACATATCCCCACCTGATGAGGAGCCGGAAGGGAATGATGGTGCAATGGGTGGGTCAACATCCGGCTTTTCGCCATAAACCACCCATAGAAATAATGTGAATGATCTACAAGTCTCCAATGCTTACACCTACTAATGTATCAAGGGCAAGGGCGTTAACCCAGGTCTCTTGGTTCTCCACCTCCCATGTTTTCAATGTCCTTCCCAAGCTTTCCAGCTCATCTCCAGTGGGCGCAATGTCTTTAGAATCGCCGGACTGTGGCACCCCAATTTCTGCCTCGACCATTCGCTGTATACGTTCCTCGAGCTCAATCTCTTGGCTAAGGAGCCGTTGCCCGAGAGTCCCCACGAGGGTAAGTTGTCGTTTCTTGTTGCTGATCAATGCCTGTAGTTGTTCCCGTATTCCTGACCGCAAGGGTGGGTTACCCTTAGCAACTTGAGGTTCGCTGAAATTAGGCGGTATTTTCGGTTCCATTAGACGTGGAGGGCATAGCAAGAAAAGAGACGACAAGGTAGTAGGCAAGAATGAGGGACAGGTTGTGCAAACGTCGTTCGAGAGTATCACATATCCTGAAACCTGAAGGGTCTGGCTGCACAAGCAGCATTTCCTTGCCAGGATCCCAGGATTCCCATTCCAGCCACTTGGTTTGTCGGCTGATGCCGACGCGTAATGTGCGTAATCTGGGACCAAAACGAAGGGAGACAGCCTCCATCCCTTCCGAGTCCCCTTATTACTGCGTGAGGGTTCCCGCACTTCGCAGGCCCATCGGACGTCTTGAGAATAGACCTATGTCCCATACCTAATCAGGTACCGAAGAATTTGATAATGTGCCTGGCTCGTCCTTGGCAGCGTCGAAGAGCCCTAAGTGGTTTATGTAAGGGGCACATACTCCTTGCGGCGGCATAGCAATAGATTTCTATATGCGGTCTTTGTCAAACCCACGACACAGCCGAGTCAAGTGCTGTAACCACAAATGTCTGAGTCTGTGTATACCGTCTCCGATGAAGGCACCATCGTCAAGCTGACGCCGAGGAGAGCGCCGATCGAACCCTTCATTCACACGGTCGGGGTCCGAGGAGCCCCGAGGAGCAGACTGCTAAAAACCAAGTCTAATTTCACCCACTCCGTTTTGGACGCCGTCAGAATCTGGTGGTGATCGGCAAATATATATACAGACTATTTTACTTTTTTCCTAGCAGCACATTCCTCGGATTTTCCTAACGCTTGTTGCATGTAAGACAGCTGGTTTGATGCGTCAATGCCTCCCGCCAGTCGCACATTGTCATCATCCGAGACTAGATAACAGCCATTTGGTGGAAAGCATATTTATTCGGTATGTCCCTTTAGTACTCGAAGATTCTAGGGGCATAGCGATCTCTCAGCATCACTGTCGGCGGGAGCTGCATTGAACAGAGACAGCTCGATCTGGATATCGATCCTTGTCAACTGCTATTTTCCATAGATTACCTTGAATAATGATTCGTGTCAACGGTCCGACAGCGACGAAATATTTGGGCTTAGAAGAGATAGCTCCGATTCCATGGTCCCTCATCCGGTCTGCCTCATCCTACTTTTTCCACCACAATGCCTTTGGCATCAAGGAGGGAAATCTCGCCCTTCGCGTCTGTCGGCTTTATGCCCATTTCTCGTATCGCACAACATGGCTGCGACTGCATTCATCAATTTGGACCGCATTACACTTCCCAATGTGAGGTATTTGCGCACACGCATGACATCATTATCACTGGATTTGCTATTGCATTGTCGGGATCTCACCCGCTAATGTTAGAATTGGATGCAAGTGTGCGAAAATATATCAAGTATGGGTGGGTGACAAGCGGTCTGGCGTCGCACCCAAGTTCTATCATCTGTCTATTGAGCACGAATGATGGTGCGCGTTCCCTGACAGTGCAATGGTGTCCAAAGAAAGGCAGATTTTAGGTGCAGATTTAATTTACAGCAAGAATCGGGGCCCAACCAATCAATAGCTGAGAGTGCGGAATAAAAGGTAAGAAGCAACGTTGACCTTCTCGATAGGACCCTCAGCGACAATTGGATCAATTTCCCTATTTAATCTCACCCTCTTATGAGTCGTAGAACCAACATGTCCAGCTAATACGAAGGGATGCCTTGGGTGCTAACTTGGAGAAACTTCCGGGGTGGCCACGGAGAAGGGAGAAGAGGTTTTTGCCCACCCATTTTTTTAGGTGATCGATTTCGTTGATATTCTCGTTACTATGAGCCATTGTCAGATTGTTCCAGAAATCCCCCTCTCAAGCTCCCGAAGGCCGGAATTTTTTTGTTTTCCCTAGAATGATGTAGTAGAAGTTTGTTGAGCAATGACGAGCAGAATGTGATGATCGAGCAGGTAGGGGAGATAACAATGCGACCGTCGACCCGTAAACTATTCCATCTGAATACGGAGGGCGGGAGTAATAGAACAACCTAGCGACGGACGATTCTGTGGAAATACAGTTAACCCTGCAGTCATTCCATTTACCTCCATATTACATTACCCCAGGGTGCGGTAAATTCGGCGAAGGCGCAGATTTGGTGTCAGTCCAAAAATACTACTGCACACTGGGAGGCAAAAGTCCATCCAAATTGAGAAATGCAATCATCCCCTCCTTTCCGCCAATGCAAACATTATTCCCATGTGCTGCGATAGGGGTACTGGGTTCAAAGTAGTCAGGGAGCCAACAGACGTAAAGACTAGTGTCTCCTTGCTTGATACAAAGAGCATTGTGGTCAAGGCAGACAGGGGATGGATTAGATTGGAAGAATAGCGGTGAAGCTGGGGGGGATATATCCTCTAGGCTCGGGAAGCTCAGATCTTCCGTCTCCGTTGGACCTTGGACACGGATCGTCAAGCCGTCGGCGGAGAATGAAATCTGACGAGGGTCAAAGCCCCAACCTAGCTGTCTTTGTCCACTACAGCGCCCGTCCGCAGCATCCCAGATACACACGACATCATCCTGAGTGGCTGAAACTAGATGACGACCATCGGGCGAATATTCGGCGGACAATACTGAGCCGGTGTGCCCCTTCCGTTCTCGATCAGATACTCCTGTCACTTGCCACACATGCATGGTACCATCATCTGAGGATGACACCACAAGACTGCCATCTGGCGAGAACTCCGCCGACAAGGCCGAAGCAGTGTGGCCTCTCAGTTCACGCGTAGGCGCTCCAAACGCCGTGTCCCCGATACGTAGGGTACCGTCTAGGGAGGCTGAGACCAGATGACGGCCATCGGGTGAGAATTTAACGAATGAGACGGAATGAGCGTGTTCTTCCAGTTTTCGGACAAGGGCTCCGGTCTCCACGTCCCAGACACGCATATTCCGATCGTCCGACACCAGATGACGGCCATCTGGCGAAAATGAAACGGACCATACCTGAGCAGTATGGCCTTTGAGTTCTCGAAGAAGCACCCCATCTCCATCCCCCCGTCCCAACCATGCGACGCCTCCCAACCATACAACGCCTCCCAACCTGACAGCGCCTCCCAACTATACAGTCCCTCCCAATCATTCTCGTTCCAAACACACACGGTGTGATCTTCCGAGGCGGAGGCTAGACGATCGCCATTCGGTGAAAAGGCGACGGACCTAACCCAACCAGAGTGTCCCTTCCGCTGTCGAAGGAGTGTTCCTGCCGCAACATCCCACACACATACTGTACGATCGTTCGAGGCTGAGGCCAGACGACAACCATCCTGTGAAAAGGCTACGGACCTAACCCAACTAGCATGCCTTTCAATTCTCGAAGCAGTCCTCCCGTCACCGGATCCCAGATCCGCACGACGCAGTCATTCGAGGCCGAGGCAAGATGACCTTCTGGCGAAAATGCAACGGACCCTACCCAACCGGTGCCACGACCCTTCAGTTCGCGGAAAAGCGCCCCTGTCGTTGCATCCCAAACACACACGCTTCCATTCGATGAGCCGGAGGCCAGATAACGGCCATCTGGCGAAAATGTCGCCGATAAGATTCCACTGATGGGAATCTTCATTACCTGCGATGGCCATGAATGACTGCTGTCCATGTCACGAGCAACAATCCGGCATTTAGCATTCCCTTTCGTCGGAAATGTAGCATTCAATGAGGAACCTAACGGAATAAACGGGTGGCTACTCCCGAGTATGGATAAGGATGAGAGCGCTAATGCACTCTTGGATTGCATGACCAGACCGTATAAGTCATAAACTACACGACATGTGTCGGTACTTTGCTCGTCGGATTCCTTGGAGACATGATGTGAGCAATAGGTTATCATTTAAACTTTTAACATACCAGCCATTGCGCCAGTTCTTTCAGTCCTCGGCAAGCTTGATCTATTTCACCCATGATCCCCATTGCTGCAATCCAGTAAAGAAATGATGGCACAGCGCGAGATAGTGCTATCACTATCTCATTGTCTCGATGATTCGACACGCAAAGGAGAGTGGTCCACTGGCGGCAGACCAACTTCAACTCCAACGTTATTAGCGTGTCGAATTCACTCTGAAGATTAGGAATAGTGTCATTCATTTGGAAGCGCCACGCTATTGGTAGACTATCCAACACCGTGCACAGACCCAGAAACTCCAGCGCAAACAGCACGACCTTGGGTCCTGGGAAGAGCTGGAAATGGCATGAGACAATGCTTATGGGGCCACGAGCGGCCAGGGAATGTCGACGTACCGTAATCTCGGCTACTTTCTGCTGGCGATAGATCAGGCGATCGGCAGTTGCAGCGGCACGAGACAGCACGTACCGATGATCTTAAGAGGTCGGTGATGCGGGATATCAAAGTAATTATGTCATCCACGTTCCGTGAGGAACTCTGGAGACTCTGTTCCCATGATAAAACCGTCTGAATCAATTCACTGGGATAAGTGTGTCAGAGGGATGGCGCAAGACTGCCGTTTATCGAGAATTCACTGACTCGGGGAAACTCTTTGAGAATGTCCGTGCTTCCCGAGCCCCGTAGCATCTACGAAGATGCTCAAACAGGTCGTCATGGAGCATAATAAGAAGTCTCCGCGTAGATGAAGAGACTTGAAATGCATCGAGCGCAAGGAAACTGTGAAAAGCAAACTTCTAGCTCAAAAGTAGATCAATTGTTGTGGACAATACTTGGCGCGAACCGTTTTCCTTACATGATGTTTTTTGATAGTATTCAGGACTGACTTGACAGCCTTCGTCAGCGTTGAATCTGCAATTAGCCTAGCGCTTCTCAAAATTTTGTCCGATGCAAGTTCGATCTCATTAGCAATGGAGGAATACATCAAAAGTCTGATACGGCCGCGCTGCTCGGCCCCAATTTTGAGATGATTGAGAGATGCACTCTCATACTTGGCTCCATACATCAATATTACCATTTCCTGGATGGTGGATGAAAAGAACCAACAATTATCCTACATGTTGCCCCGGATTAAGTGACCATAACGTGGGAAGGGCCAAACGTTGACACTTACTCTGGTCGACTTGTACCCAAGAGATTCTGCCACAACGGTATGCAATATCCGTGCGATCGTAACGAGAGGAGCTGGGGTCGGAAGGACCATAATGGCTTCAATTCCGGCCTCATTGTTCGTGGCATCCAGAAGGTGCTCGAGTCGACCAGAGATAGCAACCTACAAGTGCTGCGTCTTAGCTCTCGTGCAATGACCATATATCTCACAACACACAGTATCTACCACATTCGACTTCCCTGGATCTCGATCCAAGCGAATGTAAAAGTCTCTTCCACAGGCCCGGGTAACGTGAAGGATAAGAAATCGATGTGACACGCCATGAAGGTCCCCATAACGTTCAATCGACATAATATTGGCATCGGCGGCGCGAGGGCTCTTAACCACGCTTTCGCAGAATGTTCGCACAGAGCAAGTCCTGTACGGCTGAGGGTTCAAGTCTTCGGAGTGCCACGTGTGTAGCCGATGACGCACGAAGGGTTGGGATAGCAGCGAACACAGCAAGAGATGAAGCCATGGAAAATCGGTTACTCGGTCGGCTGGGAAGGGGCGGCACCTCTGCGGATGAAGGATCGACACCAGATGGGCCAGGCTGGATTGGAAACTCAATCTCCCCATCAAGCTGTTGAGCCCATGTGAGTAAAGCCCAGCTCGATCAGGAAGTTCATTCTCACATAGACAAGGAAATCTTCGACCAGGGTCAGCTGTGGAAATCCTGGGGGCCTAATTAAGTTAATGGGGGTGCACATGGAGATCGAAGATGCAACTGGACGTCGGAGCTAGTAGCGGCGTCGTAACATGAAGAACCCCTTTCCTATCTGAACGCCGCAGTAGAGATAGAAGCAAAGGACAGGAACTGTCTTCGATGCTCTTTGATTAAGGCCGCCGTTGGGTAGAATTTGATGGGTCGTTGAGAGGGTTAGGAGTCTTGGTATCGTCCACTGATATGGGTGGGATTGGTGACTGGGACGAAACGCAGGATGCCGCTTTGTTGCCTGTTCGCACCGCCACACATGCTTCCAGCGTTCGTTCAAGTGTACATATATCTCACATAAACACATCATAAGCTAGTCCAAAAATGGAACTCCCGCATTCAACTATCCGGTTCTGCTGTCCTCAAGGCCAAATGAATGCTATGGAATCCCACAGAACCATCAGGCACTACACTCGTGACCCGATACTGGCCAAGCTACACACACGCCTCGAGCTCTCTTCACCGAGCTGATCTACACCATACTCAGGCTTAGGCTGACATTGGCACGGTTAGCAGGAAACCGTGATTCAAAGTTTTCGCCGGTGTGTCAAAGAGCATTCTCTCGGGCACGAGGATAATATTGATGTAGGAAGAAAACTAGAGAGGTGCATTCCGATCGACTGATTTTCGACTCACGATATTCGATATCCCTTCCCCCTTCATTGCGACGTCTCAATACAAAGGTTTCTCCATTATTGCGCTTCAGGGCCCGCAATGGGGGATGATCTTCTAGACTTCGTCATCAACCATGTGTTCATGCCTCCCAAGTTGCCCCAAGAGGCGGATGAGAGTCCGGAGCGCATAGATTTTCTTTTGTCAACTATTCGCAAGAGCATGAAGCTTTACAGACAGCAGCATGCTGCGCCTGAGCACCAAGCATTGTGGGATTCATTATTGAAAATGGTGGGTACATTGCGACGAATCAACATAGACCCCGAGGTTGGAATCAGCGAATGCATCAAAAGAAGGAACACTGGAGGTAATGTCACTAGATACAAGCTGGAGCCGAACAGTGGGAGTAATATCTCTGGATGCAGATACAATCGCCATTTTTGTCCATGCTCAAAACGCGGGTGTGATCATCCGTTGTGGTGAGGAGGAAACAATTTTCGAAATTTTCGAAGCATCACCGATGAATACAGCCGTGATGCGCTGCACAGGGAAGCTTATCCGCTCCTTTCCTGGACCTGCAATTGCCCTTCGAAACAATGTTATGCAGGATCCGGATTTTCTAGAAGAATTGGCCGCATTCCTAACCCAGATGTACGGGGGCCAACGTGAGGATGAGGGCGTGGTGGACGGTGATCAACTGCTGGACGAGGACATAGTAGATCACGATTATTTGCAAGATGAGGACACAATGAATGGCGATCAGCTGCGGGAAGAGGGCACTATGGACGGCGATCCACCGCTGGATGAAGACACAATGGACAGCGATCCATGGGAACGCGAGAACGGCACATTCGCATTCGCACCCCGATGGCGATGGGGTTCCACGGATAGGCGCACAACCCATCCGAAGTACATCACTGAATTGCTGACCGGGATACTCCGTGGACTAGGAGAGCCTGCCGACATTCCTCTCATCCAGAAGAGGACATCGGACGATGTTTTGCAGCATGCGGATGATATTGTCCCATGGAGGCGCAGCTCCCTCTGGCTCGTTGTCCGTGTTGCCTTGCAAACTACGATTCACCGAGGCACTTCGAACATGAACGAATACAAGTCTTTTATGATACTCTTTCTGGCCGAGATTCTGCGGAGCGGTGTTGAGAACCGCTTACCGGGACATATCCTCTATTGCATGCGTGCCAAACTCAGCCGCCGACTCTTTAAAGTCCGATCATGGGCAGCTCCGTCTCTGGTCACACTTGCCCACGAGGTTGCGCTTGATACTGAAGAACTGCTCCAAGATCGATGGAAGAGCATTCAGGATGCGCACGTGCGGGCAGCCAAGTGGGCACCAAACGAGCTAGATGTTATTGGGGACACTAGCCTCAACTTGAAAAATTGCAGGTCTTACATCAGTGCTGCTCTCGTCCCGGGGATTCCCGCCGATCCTAATGCTGCATTCCAATCACATCATCCACGATTATTCAATAATCTCTTTGACGACGAACCCGGGGTTTTTTCGGCAGCAGTAAAAGCCAATGGATTTGTTGCGCTTTGGGATTTTGAGCGTTGCGTAAAAAATCACATTGACGAATGGGTATCTCGGCAAATCTCCGACCACAACTGCGAAAGTGCTTGCGACTTAATTTTTCATTACATGACGACATACGCCGACGAGGCCGGGGATTTGTACAAAGGGGCACCAGCGGAACAGTCCATTATGCTCCTCACGCTTTTTGAGTTGTGGATGGCACTCGACATTTTGGCAGCGACTATCTGTCCCCTCTTGAAGGATTATTCGCCTGAGGTTCCACTGACTCTATATGAGGGCCTCCTGCTTTCGAAAGCCGAGCCGTTGGAACGCATCTCGAGGATCCAGGCGTACCTGCGCAAGCGGTATCACGAAGCTGGCAGTGACCCTCGGTCGGTCTTCTCAGAAGTTGTCGACGCGGAAACCTTCGCAGTCAGATTTTTCGATTCGTCCCCGTCGCTCCAGGATCTTAAGAGCACCATAGAGCAGCAAGCGATGATGAGTCAACAACTTCGCGAGCTTCACTTGCTGAAGTTTGAATATAAGAAAATAATGAAACAAGCAGGTACTGAATATTGGGAAATAATGAAACGAGCAGGTACGACCTTGAAGAAGGCAAACGTTCTCATGATTAGACACTAAACTGGATCTTTAGGCTCTCACACTGTGGATCGCATGAGGTCCAGGCACAATCCGGAATCTTGTGAAGAATGCCGTTTCAAATGGCGGGCAAGAGCCCTGAGGACAGTTATTCGCGAATGGCCCCTTCCACAAGAACCAGTACGAGCCAAATTCATTGTGTTTGAACGAGCAGTTCCTAGCGTTTTCAAGACTTGGAGGGAGACGACTTATTGGCTTCTCCGTGACATCTGTGCGTCGAAGGAAGGAAGGACACTTACCACGGGGGAATCGTATATCCCCTCAGGCTCACGGAAGTCCCCCTTCGGTGAAGAACGTCGCGTCCCAACTTCTCAACAGCGAATATCGTTAGCACCGGAGGTGGAAATCCCAGACAAGGAAAGCGGTGTCTCTCGAACGTACACAGCTTCCTGTCGGCTGTGGGACAGCAGCCATCGCAGATGGATATATCCTCCATCTGGTTACTGCGATCTGAGTCACAGGACTTCCATGCGGATACCGGAAGAGTCCCCATATGCTTCCTTGAAACGCTTTGCGTTGGGAACATCCCACACCTCTCGCGAAGTTCTTGCAAGCCAACATGAATGTCCCTCTTCGCTTAGCCTACGCAGTTTCGTCGCCTTCGGTTCGTTACGCGCTGGGGTCCGGTTGCAGTGGTACAATATTGCCCGAGAGATTCCCTCCGGAAATCTAAATTTCCAGTGCGAGGAGGTGTATGACCTCATCTCCCAGGCTGTGTGCCAAGTCGGATGCCTTTCCAGCGATGGTATTTGGGAATGTCACCAGGTTTTACAAGAGGTACCATTCGGTAATGTGTTATTGGACGTCCTTGAACAGCTGGGGACGGATATAGAGGGGAACTGGCGCCAGGGTATCACAGCACTGGGTATCACTACACTAGCTTCTCGACTGCTGCTCTCGGCTGTAGCACAGCCGATCATCAATAGAACGTACAACCTACTCCAGAAGATCCGAGACACCACTTTGCGCTGGTTGCACGAACTTCTGGCACTTCAATCACACGCTGAAACTAAAACTGGACGGGGGAGCTATCGGCGAGCAATATGTCAAATAGCTGCGGTTTGTAGGAGCTCATTTGATGTCGATGCATGCCATGCTGGCTCACTCCTTCGAACTCCGGAAGATGTTGCCATATTCATTGAATGTGCTATCATCCGTTGTAGCCACTCTCCCCTAGAAATCCTCACTGCGGCAGACCTTCATTTGCATGGGTTGCTTCTCCGAGACAAGCGCCTGTCCTGCAGGATGGAAGAACTTCTTGTTACCCGCATCCAGGAGGGGGGACCATGCTGGGTATTAACGGGGCAATATCAGCTGTTTGGAGTGGTATCGATCCGGCATGTTGCTGGACAAGGCTACCAAGACCTAACGACCGTTGGTTGACCACTACCGTAGATGGTCAAAGGACACAAAACGTTCATTTCAACGTATTAAGTGGCGCTTTGCTCTGATGGAAAACCACCTGGTTGGTTGCCATTTGCCATTCGTAGGCGTTCGGTATACAAAGAACTCTTTGGTGCAGTACGGGACTCTTCTCTACCCATAGTAAGACCCGCCGATTAACGGTTCATCTGCAGAGAAGCCCGGAAGTTGTTCCATCGGATATGGAAGACATGGACTATGTTAGCAAGGCTCACATGTTCTACAAGTTTCAGCTCGAGACCAAGGATATTGATGAGGTTCGTCGAGGGAGATGAAGGAATCGGGCTTGACTAATTCTCACCATTAAATAGACAATTCACTTTGGGTGGCGAGATGGAGGGCTCATTGTACGAACCAAATCCCCTGCGCTTGATGGGAAGAGCTATCGGGTCTTGGAATTGTTACCACGTGAAATCTTCGAAGGGGATCTGCCACCTATTCTGGTAAAGGAATATTTTCATTGGATGGAGTTATCTACTTGTCAAATTGAGCTGCGGCCTAAGGAGACACCCTGGACAACCTCCCGATCGAACTGGCACCTCCGTCGTACTGCATGCTCCACATGGGTCATGGATAAAGGGTCATCTGTCAGACTAGTTGACTGCCAAAGCCGCACGGCCGAGATGATTCATGCTATCCTTCGTCCACTTGAACCTGAAAGTAACATTCTTATCACAATGGCAAGGTCGTCGATGCAAGAATTGCGCATCGATATTCCCCGGCTCCAGCTCTCCTTCACCCTGAAAGGCGGAAGGCTGCATTCATTAAACTTTCCGGGTTTCGAAGTAGATAGTAGTAATCAATCAACAGGCACAATGCTAGGCCTCCGCAGTCAGTTGGTTTTGCGCCGCAGCGGAGATCTCGTTCCTGGCGTGGAGCTTAATTATTCGAGGCGGGTCATAATCCCGACGGGGGATGTGTCTATCGCAAGTGACGGTGACCACGTCGCTGTGACGATTGATAACTCGGAACCGTTATGCGTCAAATATTGTGATTATGACGTTGATGTCTTACTGGGCCGTCTGGTTGGAGATGGAAGTTTGCCCAGCGCATTATTCCAGTCACTTCTTCATGCCATTACTAGTTACTGCTTGCCCGATCCTCTCACGTCATTGTCAGGAGTCGAGGAAGCGATCCAAATCCTTCAATCAGCGCGTTGCAAATCATTCCAAAGTCTTGGTGACTGGGAGTGGCAGCTTCTGCGTCGGTTATCGGCGTTAACACCATCAAGAATTCGGGAACGGCCCAATGAACGGCGTCGGGAACGGCGTCGGTCACCGTATCAGCAACGGGAACGCGGACGGGAACGCGAACTGGAACGCGGACGGGAACGCGAACGGGAATGGAATCGGACACAGCATTTGAGAAAGCTTTGGAACGATGGTATTGGAGAAGTCGTTTGGAATGAAGCACTCAATCCGCTTGTTCAACACGGTGCCTTTTGGGATGAGACCCGATCTATTTTCAAATGGGATAACGAAATGGATATCCCCGATCCTTCCATAGGTTTCAGAGATTCGGAAAGTGATCGGATAGAATTACACCTGCTTTCCCGTGCTAGATGTCACAATGCAGTCTGGTACGGCCCTGATCTTCCATGGGGCATGCGGGGTGTAGACATGATATACGAATCTAGGGACGCTGACGATGGGTTCAATACCACCCGTATTCGTGCTGCATCCAATGTCTCTAGTTTGGTGTTCCATTGTCCTCGTCGGCTAAAGACCCCCAAAGATCTTCTGTCTCATATGGAATCATGGACGGACGACATCAGAGGTTCTTCCCCCAATCACTTGTCGGATGTGCGTTTGGGATTCAGCAAGGAATGGCTGTCCCTGAGCATGCCACGCAAATGGATTCCTTTGTACAATGCCTGTCGAACGGAGGGTTGGGGAAACCATACTCGTTTCAAACTGTTGTTTAGTCTTTCGGCACTGGGCCACTCTAATCCTTCACTTGAGAACTTGGTCCCTGCTCTACTTGCATTCACATGCTTCCCCGAGTTCCGTTCCATTGATCCACCGTTGTGGCCTGAATACGATTTGCACATGGGCTACAAACCAAATGCACCCCAACTCTATGACATCATTACGGCACCGATCCGTCCAGGCAAATTGAGTCGCCGAGCATCTTCTCAAGTTTCTTTTCTTGTCAAAAATTTAATCCGTCAGTGGGATCATGAACCTACAGGAGCGCCAACATTACCAAGTCTGCCGGATGGCGATGTGTGGCTGATCAACACCTCTGACGCCATGGTCAATGTGACTCAGTTGTTTGAACAGTGGTTTGGAAACTGGGGATTACGCCAGCACATTCGGGCAGTCCAGACAGTATTGGACAAACACCGGACTTGGACTTCAGATGCTCCGGTTCCACCAATATATTCGTTTCCGACCTCCTTACCACTCGGATTAGTGGAGCCGTCCATCGTATCATACAGTGACGTCTTTCTCCGACAACCTCCGATTCTTGCATGTACGCCAACCCCTCTGGAAACGAAAAAATGGTGGACCATCAAATCGCCTTTGGAACATAATGATAGCCTCAAACCTCTCATTTCAACTCTCCGCTCATCCCACGACCGGATATACCAGAAATACGGTGCTGATCTCGAGGCTAGCCGCAATGCATTGCACGACATACAAATCAGCGCGGAGCGGGTGGAATCCCTCCAAGAAGAGCTTTATCGTGATCACCAGATGTACCGATCTCATCTCTCTCATGTGTTAGGGCAAATCCGACGGGTACTCAATCCAGACCCTCAGTCCGAGCGAGTACAGGAGGTTATGCGGGTTGCAGGACTATGGCCGAAGAGCACCACTCGTTCTTTACTGCACCACCTATCATTCTCATCCCGTTCAACAGTAAACTTATCCCCCGAATGGAAGAATGTCCTCGTTTGCCTCGCCCAGTCCATACTGCTTTGGCAGCGATCGGAGAGATTGGTAAGATTAGGACCCAAAACCGACGAATTTCTGAAGGAATGTTCGAGTTATCCTGATCTGCATGACATTTCTGACGACTGGCTGCTCGTCCAGGTGAGCGTGTCGTTCGTCAGCATGGACGATGGGATTGACTCTCCGAGATTCTCAGATTGACTCCAACTTTCTTGCGCGCCCTCTTCAAGTTGATGTTGCGTGTAACATGATGTTTCCTCGCTCACAAGGCAATACCATCCTTCAACTCAATATGGGGGAGGGAAAATCGTCCGTCATTGTTCCGCTTATTGCCGTATCTCTAGCAGATGGACAAAAACTAGTCAGAATCATCGTGCCAAAGCCCTTAGCAAATCAAACATTCCAGTCACTGGTTCAACGCTTGAGCGGCTTAGCGAATCGGCGAATATATTGCATGCCGTTTTCCCGTGCTATCGCAGTGAAGCCGGATGCTTTTCAAACGATCTACCATCAGTGCATGAATGTTGGTGGCATACTGGTTATGCAGCCTGAACACGTCCTATCGTTCAAACTCACGGGCATTGAACGACAGCTCTCATCGGCTAGGCGCAAGGGAACTCCGACTCCAAATGCAATGCTGGAGCTACAGCGATGGCTGGACGCAAACGTTAGGGACATTTTGGACGAGAGTGACGAGATTCTGGCGGTCAAGTGTCAACTTGTGTACGCAGTTGGCACTCAGCAGCCCCTAGGTCCTCAGCCTGTCAGATGGACTACGGTGCAGCATGTGTTTTCCATCCTGCGTAGTAGGGGCGGGCTTCTTAATCAGCTGGCTTCTCAAGGGGATCTCGAGCTCGATCAACGAGACGGATACTTCCCTCGACTTCGCATTCTCAGACATGAGGCTGGCGTCCAAATTTTGAAATCTCTTTTACGAGGAATAATGCAAGGGGAGTCTCCTGATCTACCTCCGTTCAGGCTATTTCATGGAGGGGTACGACAAGAAGCAGAGGCTTTCATCGCTCAAAGGGATCCCGGAAAACTTGATGAATTGCGAAATCACTGTCGCAGTGACGACTATCTATGGAGCATTCTGCTCCTGCTGAGAGGCCTTTTTGCGCATGGGATACTTATGTACATTCTCAGTGGACGTAGGTGGCGAGTAGACTATGGGCTTGACCTAACGCGGTCGCTTCTCGCCGTGCCCTATCGTGCAAAGGATGTGCCTGCACTGAGAGCAGAGTTCAGTCACCCGGACGTCTGCATCTCTCTGACATACCTCAGCTACTACTATGGCGGATTGTCTTACGATCAGCTTGATATATGCTTCAAGCATATCAACGAACTAGAAGACCCTGTAGCGGAATATTGCAAGTGGATTAAGGACAATTGCTTGGTGCCAGACTTCCTCCACAATTACAGTGGTTTCAACCCGGATGACCGCGAACAAAAGATCCAGCATCTCTATCCAGCTTTCGAAAGGAACCCATCGACGATTAACTTCTTCCTCTGTCAGGTGGTTTTTCCGAAGGAAGCCAAGACATTTCCTCAAAAACTTTCCACGTCCGGTTGGGACATCGCCGAACGAAGGCAACAGGTAACGACGGGTTTTAGTGGTACCAATGACAACCGCTATCTCCTCCCCACTTCTATTCAACAGGATGACATCCCTGCGCAATTGGGTATAAATGCTAAGGTGTTGAATTTGATGCTGCAGCCTGAGAACGATCACTACCAGAGTGCGGCGAGTAGCAAGTTTCTGGACCTCATCGTCAAGGAGACTCCTCAAATCCGAGTTTTGTTGGATGTGGGTGCTCAGATGTTGGAGTACTCCAATAAGGAATTGGCATCGATATGGCTTTCGCGAGTCTCGGCAATAGATATAGATGCTGCAATCTTCTCCGAAGATGACGAACTACTCGTTATTAGGCGTGAGGGGGCAACGGAACCGTTCATCTCATCGTCGTACAGGCACCAGCTTGATCGTTGTCTCGTGTACCTGGATGATTCCCACACAAGAGGCACCGACTTGAAATTGCCTGCCGATTACCGTGCCGCAGTTACATTGGGTCCGAAAGTGACAAAGGACAGACTAGCCCAAGGTGAGCCTTCCTGTTCCTATGAGGAAATGATCGAATCAGGCATGTCTTCAGGATGTATGCGAATGCGCAGGTTGGGTAGGGGACAATCTGTCTTATTTCTCGCCCCTCCTGATGTGGATCGCAAAATCCGCAAGCTTTCCAAAAAGACCCATGGAGAACGAATTGGTGTATACGACGTTCTTTCCTGGTCCATCAGGGAGACATGTGCTAGCCTACGGCGTTATAGTTGTGAATGGAGAGAGCAAGGCATTCATTACATCGACAGGCAATGCGCATGGAAAGAGTTTTGGACATCCTACATCCGTCGCACCTCAGTGTTAGCAAAATATTGGTTGAGACCCGAGTTGAAGTCTCTCGACGAAATGTATGGGGCACCGTCGTCCTCCGGGCCACTGGAGCAGGAACCGTCTCATCCCGCAGCTGATTGTCACGAGATCAAGCAGAGGAGTGAGATTTTCTCATCCTCCACAATGAGTTGGCTGGCAAAAATGGCAGAAGAGCAGGAACGCGAAGTAACCCACGAGCCTGAGCGCGAGCCGGAGGCTGAGTCACCACCACCACCTTTACGGCCTGCACGCCATCGCCTCCATCCTGGTGTCGTATCATTCGTGCGCGATGGTCAAATCCCACTATTTTCTCGTGCTTTCATCTCGCTCTTTTCTTCAGTCACAATCCTCCCTCGGTCTCAGCAAGGCACCAAGTGGTCACGCAACCTTCTTGCAACTAGCGACTTCGTCACCACAATCAAGGGTTCGAATGCACGGAAAGGCATCGAGTTTCTTTGGCCTGTGAACTGGATACTGTCTAGTATTCACGGACCGGTGCTCGTGGTGTGCAGTCCTTTTGAGGTGAACGAGTTGCTCCCGGAAATCCGCCGCAGCTGCAACATCAGGTTGCACGTGTACTCTCCAAGAACGAGTCAGCCGATGAGATCCTTCGATGATCTCAAATTTTACACAATTCCATCCCTACCAACGACGTGGACTTACCCGGAGAGGCTCACAGTCTCGCAGCTCAATATATTCTCAGGCCAGTTATACATCAACGACTTCGAAACGTATCTCGAACTTTGCAATTTTCTGGGAATCAACACCAGTCATGATGGGAGGAACGAAGTAGAAACACAAAGTGATGGTTTTATCCTACCCAAGAGGCGTACTCGAGAAATGAGCTTGGTCTGCCCTTTTAATATCAGTCCCCTGCCTTTCATCCGCAAGCTAACGAGTCTCCGGAGGAAGGGTGAGTTGTTTCATCTGATTCTAGCAGCCCGAAATGCCCACGCTAACACGCCATGCACAAGGAACGTCCTATGCCTCTACTCATCTTGGGCGAATTGTTAATGGGGCATTCATACAGCCAGAGGAGTTTTGACCGAATATGCATCATCATTGATCATGTATCTGATTGTCCAGCTTGCAAATCCGCAGCTAGGCGTATATACCATTGAATGAGCTTGCGTCATGAAGGTCATGTTAGAGCCTCTCGGCCAGCGGAACTTCACATCCGATCGGTGCAGCCCACTGTCACACGCGCGCAGACTGTGTATGGTATTGTCAGGGAATACTGCGCACTGGCAAGGTCCCACAGCAATCCTACAGTGTGGGTTGCCGTATTACATGGAAAGGTAGCGAATTTACGCTAGCGTGTTATGCTCAGTATCAAACGTTGTTGAACTAAATAATTACCTAGCGTGTTACGCTAGGATACGTAAGTACGCATCAGTCATCAAGATCAACACGAAAGAGAAAGTGAAGTCTCTAAGGGAAAGCATCGAGACGCCAAGCATTGGACACAGAAGAGAATGTTGCAATGCACAAAGGATCCCCGATCAAGCCGCATTCCCAGCAGCTCCGAACTGGCCGGTTCAGGTTCCCTAGCCTTGTCAATCTTCACGAGCAACTTCACTCCCTTCCAACATCATAAACCCTCTTTCATTCTTCACCAACCCCCTCTCTTGCGCCCCTTCGCCAACACTCCTTTTCCCACTTTCAAACCACCCCAAATGTCCTCCATAAGGCGTGACCACCTTGACAGCCAAATTTCCCATCGCTTTTGATCTCCTTTATAGGATTTTCAATCGTCCCCCCACGTTGAACGCCGAGAAGTGAGTCCTCTTATGAGTTGTAGAGCTGGCATAATAGTGATCGGCTGATGCGAAGGGGTGTTGGAATTTGTACACGTGGTCTTAGGAACCTTAATGCTAAAATATGGACATTCTGGGAGTCGAACCGCAGAACCCTGCATAGGTACCAAGAGTGTGTTACCATTACACTAAATGCCCGCATTAGGCAGAGGTGGTTTCTAACACACCCCCTTCACATTGGATTGAGCCCGTGATCCACATGTGACCCTAACCACCGGGCTTCCAACAGCCCGTGAGCCGTCACCCCCTGAATTCATATTCAGGCCGGACTTACTGCTAATCTCCTACATGTCCACGTCATGTGGTCTGAAGCAGCCGGATTTGGGTCCTTAGTGCTCTGAGCTACACCCCCTGAAACTTTGTCAGGCCGGCTAATTTAATGCTTGACTTCACGTGCCCATCTCACGTGGCAGCAACCAGATTTGGGTGTGCTCGGTGACTTCCGTAGAATGTCCACCATGTTGGAATTTGTACACATGGTCTTAGGAACCTTAATGCTAAAATATGGACATTCTGGGAGTCGAACCACAGAACCCTGCATAGGTACCAGGAGTGTGTTACCATTACACTAAATGCTTGCATTAGGTGGAGGTGGTTTCTAACAAGGGGTACTTGGGTGATGTCCCTTATGTGGCGTCCAGAAGTGTGTTGCTTCTGTTTGAAATATGTGAGGGCTTTATGGTCAGTAACAACCATAAATTGTTGCCCTCCAGTCAACTTGTCCATCCACTTGGACAGAGCTTCTAAGACGCCCAGGGCTTCAAGTTCATACACAAAGTATGAATGTTGCATCAAAGTGAATTTCTTCGACATGAAAGCAGCTGGATGGGATCAGGCTAGTCAGCTAAGTATCAGACCCTATCAAGGGGTGTTTTTTGCACTTCAGATAGGGCCTAAATGGCCTATTCCACTGTGGACGTCCTGGGACGTCCTGGTGAAGCGGCTTGCTGCCAAAAATGGACCTGTGAGAATATCTGGGACATCCCAGGACGTCCTGAAACTACTTAGCACACAGCATAAACATTCTGGGTGGGGGTCACTAAGCTAAGGTTAAGTCCGGTAGTGTACAAGTCTTTTAAACACTAGGCAGGCCAGCTCTCATGCTGTTTGCTCACGACGCTATGTACACTGCAGCATGAGTCTCTAGAGAAAGTTTGCAGCACAAAAAACATAATTATGTCCTTAAGATTTTTCACAACACCTCATATATCGTATTCAGGAACCAATCGACATGTGTTATTACAACTCATGGGGATGCTTACAATCAAATAGAATATCAACTGGAATAAAACTGGGAACATGAAACAAAAAGTGAGAGCTGAACTGCTATGCCACAACATTGTTCATTCCTAAGTCTGAATCACTGTCGGAAGGATCATCGTAACCAGCTAGCATTCTTGCTTCAGCTGTGGCAAGGAACAAGTCAGACTCATCATAGTTATCTACCTCAAGTTCCAGGTCTGAGGAATCATTGTCACTTATGAGCTCGAGATTTTCATGAAGGATATTATCCCTGTTCGCCACTAGGCTCTCCTCATCATCATCTATGCACTCAAGCCCTTCATCATTGAGGACATCCCTGTTTAGCTGGCCATGTTGGAATGGTTGAAGGGGCACAGGGGACAGCCATTCAGAAGCATCGTCAGCAATCGGAACATTTTTGGTTGCACTGCACCATCGGTCAAGAATCTGCTGGAGAAATAACAGCTTCTCATATGCATAGAATGCCACGGGTTTGTCATGGTGCTCGGTATGTTTGTAGAGGGCTTCATACAAGTGGTATTCTTGAGTGAACCACTGGCGAAGGTTGGCATGCTCAGCCTTGCACCTCCTGAGCTCCTGGCAGCTGTTGTGTAATTGCTGTGCAAAACAAATTTGCTCCTTCACCTTCGCATCGGTGAGCCAACAAGGAAGAGTACCATCAGGAAATTGGGACCAATCACAATCTTCCCAAATGCCCTGGTCGATATCAAGCTTGTACAAGTCACTGTGTAGGATGATTGGCAGTAAATGTTGATGAGCGACACTTGTGATCCCGGAGCTGGACTATGAGTAATGACTCAGTCTCAGCCAATATGTGTGAAGAACTGGATATATTACCTATGAGTAATGACTAGAGGTAATATACATAATATAAGTTACAATGATAAAGCAATGAGGGAATGTAACTAACTAACCTCAGTCTCAGCCAATATGCGTGAAGAACTGAGGGAAAAGGAAATGAATTCAAATGAATGAATATGTCCATGGCCTGGCACGGATTAGTCCGAAATAATATAAAAGAGAAAAGGTGTTGTGACTAAGTAGTCACGCTACCGCAGGAATGTGGCTGTACGAAAACTCGTCCGGCCTCCCATAGCACACGGTTCCTCCAACAGTAAATAAACATGGTGATGGGTTGGATCAAGTGCCTGGAGTGCACCAAGTTCTTTCAGCTTATCATTGTACTTCGACAGTGTGGACTCAATGCCACTTGAACGTTTATTTACTGCCTTCTCGACGTGGGCTTTCATGCTCTGGTCCAAAGCCCGAGCAGCATGGGTTCGGTCCAGGATGCTCAACTCAGCTTTCCAGGCATGTAGTTTGTGAAGGAGCTGGTCCTTGATGACACAGAGATTCAACATCTCGTTTGTCCATTTGTCCTTCTTCAGTTTTTGGAGCTCAGAGAAGTCCATGGGTCTTGTTGATTGAAGGGACACTGTCTCACTATGAATCTTTCCCTCCAAGTGCACCAACTTCCGCTCACTCTGTTCGAACTTCTCTTGCCAGTCAGCATGAAGGGCATGACCAATGGAATCAGTTGGATCCTGAAGAGCAGTACCCTGTCGCCCCAAATCCTCATGAATTCTTTTTTGCAGGTCCAATGTGGCCATGAGATTAAGGATACAGTCAATGTGTTTTAAAGATAAAAGGCTATGATGCATAAGATTCTCAGACTCGTACAAGAGTTCTAGAATTGAATCATACCTATGACGCGTAAGATTCTGCATCAGCATGTACATAGTTAGAAAAGTGTTGTTAATAATAAAAACTATAGCTCTCACCTCAGACTCGTACAAGAGTTCTGAGGGAGAGGATCTACAGAGAGAGTGCTCTTTATATGTGAGCCATGTCTCTGACATGTCTCACCGCATAAAGAGCACACAGAGAGCAAACAGAGAGACCGAGACAAGACCCTCAAAACTCATTCCGCCGTCAGCAGTGGGTTATTGATCATGTCTCGGTGTTTGTAGCGACCCCAAAAAGAATATCAAATCCCACGCTACTCGGGCGCTGGAACTAGTTGTTGAAATTCCAACAATGTGCTTCTGAGCAGCTGTTCTTGACTGATGCTGTTGGGGTTTGGAGTGATGAGCTCGCTGCTCAGTGAAATATACCATCAGTTGTTCAATGGAACAATCACTGAGCTTTCCCAAAGCCTCTTCCTCCTTCCCCTGGGCCTTCAGCACGTGTGCATGTAACCACTTCCCAAAGAATGGAAACTTCTGTGCATCAACATAGGCTACCTGGGTGTCAAGAATGAACAGATGCCGATGATAACCGGTGACATGCAGTCCAGGAATCAACCATCGTAGCTCACTCCAGAATCGCTTGCAGCCTTCACCATCAGTGAGGCCCCAGATGACACTTTTCTGAGGGTGATACCAGAGCTGACAGCTGTACTGATGGCCATATGCATAAAATATTGACACCCCACACAAGCCGGGTCCGCCATTCTGGGGAAAAATCCCACTTTTTGAGTGCATGATCCATCTGACATCCAATATTGTATAGAACACCAACTTTCCAAGACGATGGAATATGCTGCAGGAGCACCGATAAGAGAGCAAGGGCATAAAATTGCTTTTCCCCTGCAGTCCACATATTCACAAGGAACAATGGAATGTCATGTGGACAGACCATTGCCATGATGCCAGTGTCCCCAAACATTCGGGTAGAAGCCTTAACATGGTCACCATCAGCGGCAATGAAAGACTGGCCACATTGTCACGACCCGGCAATTCCCATGGTCAGGTGACCACTCCCCACACCTTCTCCCACCTCCGCTTCGACCCCGTCAACTCCGCTGCCTGCCTGATGCCGCCTGGACAAGCCCATCACCCCTCCCCATCATTACTACCTTTTCTACAGCCTGTCATGGGCCTACAAGTCATTCCTTATTACTCTTGTTTTCTTGACAGCCATGCACAGCTGTCCTTCTCCCATGCTCTTTGTTTGTTTTTTGTCCTTCTTAAAGCCACCCACAATCTCCATGAGATCTGGTGACTTATTCCTATTCATTTCGTTATACTTAAATACCGGTTGTACACTACCTCATACTTTAGTTCGAAAATCAACTAGGGTTACCCCCTGTGCTTCCTGTCTGAACTCAGTTGCACCCTCTGCACTCTGAAATATCGGGGCCGTGTCAAGTATGAGGTGCAACACTCACGAATGAGTTGTTGAAGCCGAAACCCTGCTTCGCCGTGATTGTCATCCCCATCCTTAACAGGCTGTTATGCTGAAGCAGCGGACCTTAACGGTTGCCGATGGCAAGTCATGGTAACGTTTCCCATGCCCTGACACACATGCATCGTACATTGAATTTGGGCCAGGCAAGCCATGTTCAACCTTGTCCTCCTCTGGCACTTCTTGTGCAGCCTGGTGGGCACCACCAGCTGTATTCCTATTGTGAAGCCCAAGAGTAGATGGTCTCTGCCGAGTGCCTCGCAAAGGATGATGTTCCTTCTCCGCAATGGCTTGCCAGTATTCCACAAATGCCTGATCAAGAATGATGGTACAGGGTGAAAGATATTGTGGATCTTTGGAACCTTGCCCTCCTTTGCCACGGTGCATGTCTTGGTCACATTTCCTCTTGAGCTGGAAATTGGCATCCAGACAAACAATACATTGCATGAGGAGTTCCAGCGACATAGCGTGTGTGCTGCCAAAGCACAATGGACAGTGCGACTGAAGATACTCACTCGTGCTTTGAGATTTGAGAGACTCTGTGTCTGACAAGGTGGTGGGAGTTGTATTGGAAGGTAGTTGATCAGGTATGGCAGTTGCATGTTGGGCATTGATGTATCGATGCGCGTTGAGTGGGGTTGATTTGTCCAACTTTATTAGGTGATTCTCAACAGAGCACATGTCGCTTGGGTTGGACAATGGAAGGCTGACCTCCTCAACGAGTATTTGATAATGGAGAAGCGTGTTGGCAAAGCGGCGCCGAAGTCCTCGCTTTGGAATGTAGATCCATTGGCAGCAAGAACGGCCTCAGTGGCAGCTGCAAACACTCTGTTGTTTGGTGCCATGTGGGCAAATAGCTCAGTTGCAAATTCCAGCATCTCCAGAGATACCGCCAAGGATGGGTGGTAGGGAGTGCAAGGAAAGAGCCCTCTTGCAATGAGTTGATTTGCAGCAGGTCTATGACAGCAAGTAAGGATGCTGATGGTTTCATGACAATCCCAAAATATCCCGAGCACGGTGAGAGAATTGTGAACCTCTCCACAATCGCATGCATCAGATACAAACTGCGTTAACATTGCAGAAGCGCTCATAGGCAGCTTTGAGTGGTAAATCCTCATTCGCTCCATGTAGACATGCATGACAGTCATGATAACAGAGTCTTTCCAATGGTCTGCCTGACATAAACGATGGCACACATGGAGTGATTGTAAGTTGGCATTGTTATGAGTTGAGTGAACAACATGCTGCTCAGGAGGTGGCATCGGATCCCTGTACGCAACATCAAGTGGAATGAATGCCATAAAATCACCATCCTCCACTGATCGTTGACTTGTGTCTGCTTGCGAACTGGGCTGTGAAGCATCCACTGAATGACCAGGGACAGGGATCACTTGATCAAGGGCATCTCCAACAGGGTTCGTTTTTCTCTTCTTAGGTTGTGTTGGCTTAGGTTTGCTTGCTGCATGCTGGCATTGTTTGGCAGAATCAATGAGCAGGATGAACGACATGAATAGCACAAATGAGGGGTCAATACTGTCGGCTGAGTTAATGGTTTAGGTTTACAGCAATAACCCCCTGCTCTCAAAGAATGCAGTCATGCACATGCAAGCCTAGATCTGACTTTGTGGGATGCACACCTCGGCTAAGTATGACTGGTTTGACACAAGCCTTGCATCGACAAACCTTTCCAGGCGTAGGTTGCCCAGTCTAGGATAGTCAGGCACAGAGGCACACATTGTGACAATATACAGACTAGATACAAAGTGTCTTTGCAACACCTCAGGATACTGGCCTTGGCTATGTATGGCTGGTTTGACACAAGCCTTGCATCGACAAACCCCCCCAGGCAATAGGTTGCCCAGTCTAGGATAGTTGGGGCACACAGGCATGTATCACGACAATATACAGACTAGATACAAAGTGACAGTTTGACACAAGCCTTGCATCAACAAACCTTTCCAGGCATGGGTTGCCCAGTCTAGGATAGTTGGGGCACACAGGCACGTTGTCAGGGCATGGGAAATGTTACTGTGACTCACCATCAGCGACTGTTAAGGTCCACTGCTTCGGTGTAACAGCCCGTTAAGGGTGGGGATGACAATCGTGGCGAAGTGGGGTTTTGGCTTCAACGACTTGTTCGTGAGTGTTGCACCTCGTACTTGACATGGCCCCGATATTTCAGAGTGCAGAGGGTGCAACTGAGTTCAGACAGGAAGCACAGGGGGTAACCCTAGTTGATTTTCGAACTAAAGTACAAGGTAGTGTACAACCGGTATTTAAGTATAATGGAATGAATAGGAATAAGTCACCAGATCTCATGGAGATTGTGGGCGGCTTTAAGAAGGACAAAAAACAAACAAAGAGTGTGGGAGAAGGACGGCCATGCACAGCCATCAAGAAAACAAGAGTAATAAGGTTTTAAAATATATATGTGCGCTATGGCATGTTAGACTCAGACCCATATGAGAGATCTTAGATTATTAAACTGTACCTATGGCGTGTTAGACTGCACCAATACATTCAGGATGATACTCAGAAATAGTAAAGGAATCCTCACCTCAGACCCATATGAGAGATCTGAGGGAGGGGGAGTAGTAAATAATGTCCGCTCTCTTTATACATGGTATAACAGAGAGAATGAGGGTCAAACCCCCAAATATCGTCCAATAATTGCGATGATATTAGAACCGTCTCAGGTAGTCACCACTGTCAATAATCACATTATTGACAGCCGGGTGACAGGGCTGATTGTTGCATTTCCAACACACCCTCTCAACATCGGTTCCCATCGATGATTCCCATTCCTTCCCTGAACTTGTCATGTTTCTCGAATGGAAGTGCCTTGGTGAGTATGTCTGCCACTTGATTGGCAGTCGGGATGTACTCGAGTATGATGTCCCTATTGTAAATGCAATCCCGGATGAAATGTTGACATATGCGAATGTGTTTGGTGTGAGCATGGAAAGTGGGGTTCATGGCAAGTGCTAAAGCACCTTGGTTGTCGCCAAGTATGGTGGTTGGAATAGATGGAGGTCAGAGGACATTACCAATTAGTCCCTGTATCCAAACTGCCTCCTTCGCTGTGTGTGTCAATGCCATATATTCACCTTTGGTACTTGATAATGCAACTGAGGACTGTTTCTTCGAGCTCCAAGACACAGCAGCTCTGGCCATCTTGAATACATATCCAGAGATCGACCTACAATCACGAGAGTCTCCTGCCCAATCCGAGTCTGAATAAGCCATAAAATCTCCCTGGCAACATCCTCCATTGTATACAAGTTAGAATTTCTTCATAGCATTGAGGTACTTCAGAACTCGGTTGACAGCATTGAAATGGTCTTTTCCAGGGTTTGCAGAATACTGACTGAGGGTGCCCACAGCGTATGCGATATCAGGATGCGTTCTCAGCATCATGTACATGATGCTACTGATCCATGATTGGTAATTGTGCACATTGACCTCGGGGGTATCTGACTGAGCCAGTTTGAGGCCTGCAGCTATAGGTGTTAAGACTGGCTGGGCATTAGTAAATCCAAAGCGGTTGATGATGTTTGTCACGTAGTGGGTTTGAGAAACATAAATTAGGCATTTTGGTCGATCGCGGGTGATTTCCAGCCCTAAGAACCAATGAATCGGTCCAAGGTCCTTCATCCTAAAAGTGTCCTTGAGTTGTCCCTTCTTGACCTTGAGTAAGCGGGCATTGTTGCATAGGATCATCAAATCGTTGACATTATACAGAACGTTTTGTTCTGGCCCCTATTGTCACGACCCGGCAATTCCCACGGTCAGGTGATCACTCCCCACACCTTCTCCCTCCCCTGCTTCGACCCTGTCAACTCCGCTGCCTGCCCGACGCCGCCTGAACAAGCCCGTCACCCTTCCCCGTCACTGCTACCTGTTTCCACGGCCCGTCACGGGCCTACAAGCCTTTCCTTATCATGCTTGTTTTTCTTGACGGCCGTGCACGGCCGTCCTTCTCCCACACTCTTTGTTTGTTTTTGTTCCTTCTTAACCCCGCCCGCAATCTCCATGAGATCTGGCAACTTATTTCTATTCATTGCGTTATACTTAAATACCGGTTGTACACTACCTCGTACTTTAGTTCGAAAATCAACTAGGGTTACCCCCTGCACTCTCTGTCTGACCCAGTCGCGCCTCCTGCCTCCTGAAATATCGGGGCCGCGTCAAGTACGAGGTGCAACGCTCATGAACGAGTCGTTGAAGCCGAAACCCCTTTCTGCCACGATTGTCATCCCCGCCCTTGACAGGCTGTTACACTGAAGTAGCGGACCTTAGCGGTCGCCGACGGCGAGTCACGGTAACGTTTTCCCACGCCCTGACAGTATTTTCGAACTCCCCTCGCTCTTGACGTTAAACGATGTCTCGCAAACCCAGAACCCGTTCTCAGACCCGCCAACCAGTGGCTGGTACTTCTGCATCACCATACATGCAGTACACCTCGCGCGTATTATTTGATAGGGAAGAGTCAGACGAACCGTTATTCGAGAGCTTCACAGCAGACCGGGCAGACTTACGGTCCTCAACGCCAGTGAAACGCCGTCAATACTGCTGGCAACGAACGCCGAGCGAAGTTGACAGCGATTCACTTGGTAATGAGGCCGAGTCAACGGCCCAGATACCAATCGAGCCAGTGCCAGAACCTGAACCAGAGCCCGAGCCAGCACCACGAGAGGAGCTACCCGCCGATCTGCCGGTTATGGTCGATGAGATCGAAGAGATCGATATTGACCAAGCAGAGCAAGCCCTGCCGAAGGGACGTTGTAGGCGGGATAATCGCCCACACGCAGAGCCGGCTCGGATATCCATTTTCACCATTCAAAAATCATCTTCATTCGTTCCATAAATCGATACAAACTTGGTACCTAAAAATACTCCTAATTCCTACGAATCCGTCGATGTCAAGATCCTCCCAATCGGTGGAGATTTGGTGGAGTTAAGTGTTTGGGAGGTTAGCCACGGCGCGGGTCACGGGATCTGGTCATGTGCGGGCGTGGGAAGTTCAATTTAGGCAAGCGGGAAGTCAGAAAAGCATGCTTCACACATTCCCAAGGCATCAAATAAATTGGGAAAAATGTTCTTTAGCCGCGTAAAGGTTATTTCCAGCCACAATTCCAGTTTCGGGTACTAATTTTGAGAAATCATTGATAAATTCCCGATTTTCCTCATATTTTCACATTTTTACCATCATTTTGATATATTGGATGATATTCTTTTATTCTTCTGATGCCCTTTTCAAATATTTCACTTATGATGGGGTCCAGGAGCCATATGGCGCCAATATTTCCCATCAATCACTTCTAAAAATGTTTATTCTTTATAATCCTGTACATACCGGGATTGAAAAAAGAAGTTCTCCCCTCCCTAATTTTCTCTAAGGCGCTAGGACGCGTCAGAGTTAGTGTGAGTGTGTTAGGAATTCCTACAGTAGGAGTAAGGGCAGTTGTCTATCCCAACTGAGGCTGACAAAGTCCTATTCGCTGTCTCATACTTGAAGGGGGTGGCACTGGACTGGTTTGAGCCCGATATCCTTCGTGGCCACTGGCCCAGTCGAGAACCACAGTGGATGAATGACTGGACAAGGTTTGTGGGAGAACTCGAACGTAACTTCGGCCCACACGACCCCGTTGGCGAAGCTGAAGAGCATTTGTTCAACCTAACAATGAAGGATGGACAGACCATCGGGAAGTACGTCACCGAGTTCAACCGCTATGCGGGTAAGTTGGACAACTGGGGTGAAGGAGCCCTCCGCGCCCTGTTCTACCGTGGTCTGCCCGATTGTATCAAAGATGAAATCACTCGGTTTGGTAAGCCAACATTGTTATATGACCTACGGGACCTCGCTGATGAAATCGATACACGCTACTGGGAATGAAAGACCCAGACTGATCGGCGTCATAAACCCGCCTCCGACACCTACAATAAAGGCTCCCAGAAACCACCCTCCTCCAAATCCCACCGATCCGCCACACCTCCCCCTGCCACACCATCCACATCCGCCACCAATAAACCAAAGGACAAGCACCCCGACGGTAAG